CTTTCGGTGCAGCAGCCATCTCGGCACCTGCAAAGACCATCCTGAAGCTGGCACCCTCCAGTAGTTCTATAATCTGTTGTTGCATACCAGTAGAGTTGAACTTGCAGTTTGTGCGAACCTAGGTCGAATTTCCTTTTTCAGTTTCATACTAGTACCCCGACTATCGTCATGTCTCTTGCCGGTCTTGTCTCACTATCATCTTTCTTTAAGTCTATCCAATGCGCACTAGCGGTGGTCACGATGTCGTAGGTCGAGTCCTCATTTCCTCTCTCATTTCCGAGGATGTGTTTAATTAAGACCACAGATTCGTGCTCGTACCAATGTCAGCGCACTTATGATACCCCTGTATTCTACATAGCTGATATGTCGGAACAATTTTCAGAACAAAAAAAGGTATGCAAAGATTCGATTATCCCTAATTGACAACATTGTCCATCCACATCTAACAAAACTCTACCGCGGTGCAGGCAGCCCGCTCGCAGTCGCCCCAATCTCAGTCAGCTCTATCAACGGGTCCAATTTTCCCTTGAACTCAGGCAGGAACGCCGCATCAGTATATGGACAGCGAACTGATGGCGAGCCTTTGTAGATAGGCGTGTACGTGGCTGCGCAGATCTCAAACTCTGTGAACTCATCGTATGAGACCTCAACTGTATTCCGGGGATTGCGGTCCCCTGCTGCGATGCGCTGACGAGCCTTCACATACGGGTTAGCGAGGGGCAATGTACGAACTAAAATAATCAGGGGCGTACCTGTGCAACAATTTTGGGATCGGGGTTAAGCTCAAGGAGGCGACGTGCCAGTTTGGCAGCGGTTGCATAGTTATTGGCTTTGGCGAACACACCAATAGCGCTCCGTAGTGCAATCTGCATGTGCTGGGGCTGTAGCTGACAGTGCGTGAAATACGCGGCGAGTTCAAGGCTCCGGCGGACGTTGTCAGGTTCATCCTGTGCGATACGTCGCCGCTCAAGCTCAATGGAGACACCAAGGAGATACTCTCGGGCGGCCGTCACAGTGTCTCGCCACTGATGGTATGATCAGTTGGTGTAAAATCCAAGCAACTGATAGCGCTTACTTCCTTTGCCTCATTATCTGATGAGACAACCATAAGCAGCAAAGCTTGCAACACCGACCGGAATGTTGTCTGAGCCTCTGAGAGCTTGTTTCCAGAAACGAAGCGGTATCCCTCTGACAGCTCCGTGCGAATCGAAGGAAGCGTCCGAGCAGCAACAGGAAGTACCCGTCCAGGCGAAGTCTCCTCGGGATTCCTCCGAATGTGCAATTGCAATGGCGGCAACGAAGCGATTGGCGAAACGTAGACGTGTGATGAACGGTAGATGGACAAGAACGATGGCTTCAAGAGCGCAAAGTTCACAACGCCAAGCTGCCGGTTGAGAAGCTAGGTCATAGAGTAATTGAGTATTCTACTCGAAATGGGAGGTAACGTTTAGCTCACCTGCATGGCGGTGTCGAATGATCCTGCTGCGACGTGTTCGGCTGCGAACGGTGAGTTCCGGACCCAAAGCTCGTTCTCGCTCACACCAGGCGCAGCGCCGGCGCCAAGATCCTCCTCCTCTATGGCATCCTCAAACTCCTCATCTGCATCCTTCTCCTCATCGTCGTCCGCCTCTGCGTCGAGCTCCCATCCATCTTCCTCTACATTTGGTTCTTCATCTCTTGCCCACTCATCCAGGGCGGTAGAGGCGCCTGCACCTGGGTCCATGCCATTGCCATTGATGTGAGGTATATCACCGTCCCCATCAAGATGACCGTTGGCGAGCGCACGGTCGAAGAAGGATTCTCCCATGGAAATAGATGGCCAATTGAGGTTGGATGTAGGAGTGACAACAGATGGAGTTTGGAGGGTACACTTCCCAAACGTAGGGACGTCGTCCACGTCGGCTTCGGTAAGGCCAGCGGCCTCAAGGATTTCAGCTGCTTCTTCCTCCAAACCGTTTGTCTTTGCTGTAAGATACGCCAGGGGATCTAGGGAGCAGTGGTAAGTCTTGAAACCCAGGGTTGAAGGGATGTACTTACGAAGCCCGACGTCACGCAAGACAGTAATACGTCCAAGAACATCACCGGCATAAAGCGCATTGTGGAAGCGTGACATGGGGTCGCCTCGTGCGTCCGCGATTTTCTGCATTTTAGAAAGCTTTTCTGTACTGCCTGTAGCGAGATACAAAAATGACAGGCGGTCGAAGTTCTTGGTTTGCTGGTAGGCCTTTTCGACGATCTGGGATGCAATAAATTGACTATCGAACAACATGCAAGGGAAGAGGCAAACCTTGTGGTTGCCCTGCTTCAAGGCTTGTTGTGCTAGACGCTCCCAACACTCAGGCCGGTCGATCGCTCTTGCAGTCTCAAGTGCGACGTCCAAGTTCCCACATTCGATGGCAAGATCAAATCTCGTGTTCTTGTCTTGCACAAAGTGCAGTGCAATCTATACATTGTATAAGTATTCCATATTTCACGGATCTCCACTTGAAAACAAACCTCTGGGAAGCCCTTTTGCTGAAGATAGGCAATGATGCTCTGCCCAAGCAATGTCGACGTGCGGATGATATGGAGTATCTCGTCGTAATTGTTGCGCAGGAGCGCGAGTTTGAAGCGGTACTCAGTCGGGTCGAACGTAATAGTGCGTGGGCGTGCAGATCGGTCCAGGCAATGAGCAGTTTTACCCTTGACACGGGTAAGGTAGACGGGGTTATCGAGTGTGCAGATGACGCCATGATCACTGAAAAGACAGATAGATCAGTTGCGTGCAAGCTAGCGGAAGGAAGATCAGTACCCTTGTGGCAAGCAGTACTTGATATGGTTGAGCGTGGAGTAAATAAAAACGCCTGTGTCATCCCAAGCACCAGACTTGATCCGTATCGTCTCATGGATAAGGCTGTTTTGCGAGAAGTTTTTGTTGGCGATAGTAATCGCTGTGCATGGCTTTGAACTCAGTTTAAAGAACTACATAATATGGACTCACTGTGCTTGCTCATCAGAGCGACCAGCGACCCGTCCGCGTTCCAGACGACATATTTAACAGGTGGGCTATTCAACTCTGCGATGGTTTTCTGCTGTTGGATATCATACAGCACAACAGTAGACGTTGAACTGAGAATCAGGCAGGCTGTACCACCATAGAATATTTCATTAGTCTGGGCCGGGGGCTTGATGCTTTTCACGACTGAATTTGACAAGTCGCGAACTTCAATGAGCTGCGAAATCATGAGAACAATACTCTCTGACTGGAATATTAGAGCGACTACCTGGGAGGTTTTGTTGAGCACTGCAAACCGATTCCTTGCAACAAAGATTGCGCTGTGAGCAGAGCCACGCTTTCCATCTGAAGACGAGTCTTTAACCTCGCCATTGGACTGTGTCGGCAGTGAAGAGAGCTCAAATAGCCCATTATCGGAAGAGATGGTGACCACAACGGCGCGCTCGGCAGGGTTGTAGCTCAGGGTACGCGGAGGAACATACGGGCTTCCGAATTTCCTTACGCTCAGCAAGCCAATGTCCGAACCCGAGTTGAAGTCGTAAGTGCGCACGTACTTGTCACGGATGTAGTAAAGCATATCTCCGTGCACAGTAAACGCGGGCCGTTCGCGCTCGAGCTTGAACACAATCAGACCACCGTCATGTCCCGCTGCAAATAGATTGAGGTTAGGGTGTGCAGCCAAAATCCAGAACCTGTCGTTCTCCCGCCTGAACGTCTGGATTGCCGTCCGCTTGGCCAGATCCCAAACTCGGACAGTCTTGTCCTCAGCGCAAGACACGATCAATTCGTGCTTCGGGTGGAATATAGCACTTGACACGCTGTTGAAGTGACCTCTGCACGAGTCAACCTCCCACGCCCGGGTCTCGCTCATTCGCCAAATCTTGATCGTCCGGTCATCAGCTGCAGACACGATCAACGGTAGAGTAGGGTGGAATGACGCCCAGTTTACACCGCGATCGTGGCCTTCCAACACGTATTTGACCGTGGAGAACGTATCAAACGTCTCAAAGTTATTAGGGCCGTTATTTGGTGTATTCTTTCGCAGGCCGGAGATGTCCCAGACTCGGACGGTTTGGTCCATTGATGTTGAGACGATGAGATCATCTTTTGGGTGGAACTGCGCGGACATCACATAGTGAGAGTGCCCTGTCAGAATGGCAATACAATGCCGCGAGGTACTGTTCCATATCCGAATAGTCTGATCGTCGGACGCCGACAACTGCATATCCAGGCAACTTTCAACAAACTATTGAATACAAAACGAAACATGACTTACAATCCATGGCATTTCGTGGTGGAACTGAACGGTTCGGACATAGTCGAGGTGACCGTGCAGAGTAAATAGACACCTTCTGCTCTGAGGTTTCAGGTCTTACGATGCTCATGAGCGTGACGTTTGCGAAATAAAAACCCCACTCACCCCATACTTTGATCTTGTAGTCGTCGCCTCCAGTAACCAGTAGTGCTCGACTCGGATGAATTGCGACACCCCGGACAGGTCCTAGCAGTCGATGACATGAAATAAATACCGTAGTCATTGCATTTTGAATAAACTTTACCTTCGTGTTCTTCGAATCGGTCCACTAATACGCCCATACGGTAATTCCAGAGCTGAACACTTCCATTGTGAAGCGCGGCAGCAAGCAGTGGTTGAGTCGGATGGAAAGCAAGCCCTGTGACACACAGATTCGTCATAAACCCATGACAGGCTCAGAAACGAACATACCTTTGACGCGATTGCTCTTGGACTCGAACTTCGTGAGCATCACCGACATCTTGAGTTTGAACTCGTTTGAGTCGCGTCAATACTGAGTACGGCTTCCTGTCTAATAGCTGGTCTGTAGACGCTTATATCGATAGGTCAAGGAGCCCAGGTTATTCACAAAGGAAGGCCGTCGTCGTCGATCTGGCAGACTTACTTGCAAGGCGCTGCAGTGAGCCACGACATCGCGGTGGCGGAGTTATAAAAAGCTAGAAAAGGAAATTGCTGATGATACGGTCCTCTGTCAGGAACTGTACAATGTATATGGGACAGGAGGTTGCCTTTTGCTAATACTCAGTTTCCAACATCAAACGTCCTTTTTGTCAGAACTTGCAGTGCGCATGGGAGTTCTGGGTCTTACCCCATTTTTGCAGAAAACCTGGTGAGCTTTAAACCAGCTTTCTCTGCTCACATCTTAATTTACCTGCGTCAGCCCAGAAGTTATCAGAAAACTTCCAGACCGCCTCAGATCTCTCTGCGGTAAGACCATTGTCATGTAAGCTCTTTGTTAGACTAATTCCCCTAACTCATCTTCGACCACATTAGTGATGGCACTCTTATAACCCAGCGCCTGCACTTCGCACCCATGCCTCATCCTCATAGACACGTCCTCGGGTGGCACCGCATAATCACGGAACTCAAAGAGTGTAATGTGAAAGCAATTTGCGTCTTCGACGGTAGAGACCGTAGCGTTGCCAAAGCTCGAGAGGTAAGTTTCCACAATAACCGGAGATGCTGCAGATGGACATCTTTCCCAGGTAGAACGACGCAGGGAAATACGGAGGCTGGACGCAGCTCGTTCGTCCATCGAGGTAGAAAGACTGAGCAGACTTCGAAAATTGATGCGACTACTACCGCAATATCGTTCCATGGATCCGCCAGACCGTCGACGTGTCACCGACGCGTTAGAACACGTATCAGTGGCTCCGACGACCATTCCTACATACTCCCAGCCTTCATTGTCACCGTCGGGTTCCATTCAGAATGATGTGAACTCCGTTATTGTTAATACCGCTCGCTCTCAGACATGTCCGTCTGGTCATTCTGAATTTGAGCAGGTCTTCAATGCTCTGTCATCATATCCAGAGGAAGATACCCTTTCGACACTTTACGATTCTGTTAACATTTCGGACGCAGACATGAAGGAGATTCTTCTCGCTCGTACAGGTCAATCAGTTGCCGTCATCACGCCTAGTGATCCCAAGTCATGGCCAGACCATATAAACAGTTCAGCGTTGGATCCGGGTGCTTCCCTTATTGAAGGTATACCAAACCTCCGAATGCAAGACCTCCCTCTTGGTCCAGGCATCGGGAAAGGTGAATTTCAATTTCGAGAATTTGACTTTCAAACCTCTCAAGAAGCCATTTTCGCCACCATCGTAGATTCCGTATCCCCACCAGAGGATGTGCTTTTTGCGCTTTCCACCCTATATCAAGAGTATCGCGACTGCGTCGCACAGATCACTTCACTTCCCTCTACCGTGGAGGTCCCAGAGTCGCCAGACGAGACCCGCGTCGAGAACATTATGTCGAGGTCCCAACTCCAAATGACAATAGAGGAAGGCCAAATATGGGACACACTTGCAGACGCTCCTGAGACGGCGCTTACAACACTGGCTGAAAAGAGTGGTGTTATCTCCGAGTCTTACGCTCGCCGATCGAATCCTCCTACCGTTCAGACGTACGAGGAGAGCAAGGAGATATTGCGCGCCATGGGAGTGCCATGCATCGAGTCAGAGGGACCCTTTGAAGCAGAGGCTCTCGCATCCTCACTTGTCATCCATGGCATAGCTGATTACGTTGCAAGCGAAGATACGGTACGACCTTTTTAGAAGGCTACGTGTGAGCCTTTATTTATTCTTCACCTAGGACGTCCTAGTCTATGAGGCTCCCCTCATTCGAAATATCGCCAATAGAAACGATCCACTAATCCTCGTTTATGGGTCCCACGTTCGTTCTGCTCTCCAACTTTCCAAGTCCGCATATATCGACTTCCTCTTGCTCCTCGGCACGGACTTCTCACAGCGGATCAAGAACGTTGGTCCTCAGCGCGCACTCAAGTTCATCCGTGAATATGGCAGCATCGAGCGTGTAATCGCACAAGAACACAAGTATCCGCCGCGGCTCTCCAAACAGATGTACCTAGAACAAGTAGGCATCGCTCGGCTCGCATTCGCAACTCTGCCTCCTACTCCGGACCCTGAAATGCTGAAGCAACGCGATGTAAACCACGCGAAGGTTGCAGACATTGTACAAAAGTATAGATTACAGAGAGTACTGCCCGTTCAGTGGAATCACGGTACTGCGTTGGAGGGCAATTATTTTGCTGATAATCCTAGGGCAAGGAAGTTGACGCCCTCTGCGTACACTTCATGGTAGTCCATCGAACGTTCGTCTCAAGTCTTTTTAGATGATTAGTTACATTATTGGGCTGTTCTTGTCACTCACACTCAACGGTTTAATACAATCCAGCCTATTTCGACTTCCGCAACAACGATCACCCTCCACCTCCTTTGCCCCTACGTCTGCCCAGCAATTCACGACTTCCACTATCCTCACTACTTTATCCTCTTCAGTCACGTCTTCGTTGACTATATCCTCGAGCAACCTGAGCACCTCCAAGACCTCAATTTTGTCTACATCTCCAACTATCAATCCCACAAACTGTGCTTGTCCATAGTCAGTGTCGGACTTTCCGACAACCATAGTTATTGACGATCCGGTAGTCCCCCCCCCAACAACAACGGCCGTGACTTTGCGTATTACTAGAGACTACCTCCATGGTCGCAGGACTAACTGGTGACTCCCTCTGTACCCCAGCCACCACACTATCATAATCCGCGCACTATATTAATCTCGCCGGTTGTGTCACGATGTCCCGCATATCACTATGGCTCCACCCAAGCCATTGGACCCTGCTTTTTTGGCCCTTCGACGATGTGTTGGAATAAAGCTACTTTACACACGATGCTGCGTCTCGTGCACCATCTCCTACTGACTTCGCTGAACTGTAGCCACAGCACGATTGCTGGGCCGGCCGGCCCCGACGGCCCGAAGTCTCTGTATGCTTATGATGTCACGTAAGCGCAAGTGTAACCCAACCGCGCGCATAGCATTTCATCGTCCTGCTTTCTTTTAGCTTTCTTTGGTCGTCAAGCTATACAGACAGGCCATATGTCCTTATCTTGTCAGTTATTGTCGCCTTATATCTCTCTGTACATGCTGGTCTTCCAGTATTTACGTGATTGCCAGGTCTTGCCCTGAACACATCACACCGTTACCCTTCCGCGCAGTCCGACTACCCTGCGCCACCTCTCATCCATCAGTGGAGCATCACTCGATGACTGAATGTGCCTATGAACGTGCCCCTCCTCATGGATGCCTATTTGACGTTTCTTACTACAGTATTTGCTCACCACGGGCTTTCTTGCATCGTTATCGTTATGGACTGCTTTTATCCGGGAGGCTTTTCGGCCTCGTTGGTCAACGCTGTAGGACGCTTATTGTGCAAGCTTCCGCCGTTTTACTCTAAGACCATCTTTCAGTGGTGGGTCAAGTACACAAGCGCCGTACCTGACACATGCTGTATACCCAATGTAACCTCATAGGTCAAATGTACGCAAACATGTCTCACTCCCTGTTCGCCCCCGGCAATTTGAGCGCTGTTGTTAGCGATGTGTTTCATACCAGATGCCTCGGACAGCTAGCTTGTCGTAAAGTCTTCAGGGGCGACCCTCGCCAATTGTGCATTCCTGATCACACTGCGGTGACTGCCAGTGGAGACAGCCTATCGGTCCCCAGCGATTTGCACGTTCCTGCAGGGCGACACTCTCAGTGCCTGCTCTCACCAGGTTCTACTGTTGTTCCGTCAAGCTCAAATTTCGTTTCTCTACATATATCTATCACATCATTACCTATGTTATTACCAACGAAAGCCGTGATACTTATGATGACGGTCAGGAACGATCCTGCATTTTGTAGTGCATTTCTTCGCTAATCAATAATACTATTCGATGAGAGAGCTGCGCAACACATCATGACGGGGTGGACAAAAATTAGCTCCGAGCCGGCCGCGCGTTCTTATACGATTTGGACTAGCCAAACACTTTTGCGATTCTCGCCTATTCATCCAAGTCTGCCTAGCTTTATAGTACATAAATTGCCCACCCTCGCGTTGAGCCTGGCTACATGCTACAACAGTACGTACGTCGGTTATCGGAGGCGCTTGTGCAATACAGCAATGTGGATGCGCAATTTTGATGCCCAGTTGGACTCATATGATTCATGTCCACCCGCAGGCGCGCGTGAATTCATCAGCCCTAGATCGTATTCACAGCTGTACCATATATGAGTAAGTGGCAAGTCACTTTAAGATTTTCGATCAAGGTCCCCGGACATATGGATCTAGTAAGTTGACAGATAACAGTTGTATTTGTGTCCGTCCATCAAGTAGGGCGCCGTGGCCCAGTGATCAATAGAAGTCCTCTTGCCATTCTGGAGCGCTAAACCGCAGCCAAGGTTCAAGCGCCTGATGGACTCTGAGCAAATTTCCAATCATCTGTTCCATATTTCGTGGTTCATACATACAGCATCATAGGATTCTTGATCACACCACACTAAGTAACTTCGAGGAATTGAAATCGTATTGCTTATCTCTCTGCGCTTTCTCGCGGATGTGGCTGATATTCCACGCTCTCTACTTAGCGGCGTATCGTTTAGCATCGACCTGGCGAGGAGCAACAGTTGTTTTCCTAATATATTGGTCCTATCAAACGGCAGCTCTGATAAAATAAAAACAGCGTACTTCGGAGGGTTGGTTTGGCTGTTAGACTGGCTCTGATTATTCTGCGGCTGATTTCTGGACGCTTCCATTCGGCGGACGGTTTGGAGGGATACAGACCTCGGATCAGCAGGGCCTCGGGTACTGAACCTGGGTGTGTGTGTCACTTGATCGTACACTGCAGCAGAAATTTAAAAAAATTAAATTACCTAGAACCCTGAGCGGGCTCGTCTTTAACATCTTCTGGGGGGAATTCTCCTTCTGAATCTTCCTCGTTTGATTCATCATGAAGTTCCGCAACGTTCTCATCGTGTTTCCTGTATCGTCATGAGATCTTGCATATCTATCATGATAAGTACGAGTCACTTGCTGGTGATGGGCAGAGGGTGTTCCATAAGGAGCGTCTTCTACGCGATTGGCCATGTTAGCTTACAGTTATGTTGTCGTGCAGCGGAGGAAGCAGTTAGGGCGAGGGGAATCGAGTCGAATTGAAAGCCGAATAGTGGACAGGGAAGCGTGAGCAATCTGAGGGATGTGTATATGTGGCTGGAGTGGCTGGAGCTAATTTTGCATCAGTACATAAGTAACACTAGCCATGAGAATAAGCGCTGGATCCTGATAACGCAAGCGCCATTGTCCATAGCATGCTGCTGGGTTGAACTTGATTGGCCAAACCGACAGTAAGTGCCAAATTGTATTGACTTATTGCGTTGATCGTTTGACCTACTCAAGGTGGACACCTAGTCTTGAGGAAATCATCAGAAGTATCACTTATCTGGGCGCTAGGGGTGGCAGACCGAGTCATGGATCATACGGGCGCCATTTGCGAGCGAAACGCCCGACCAACTAGCCACTGGTCTAATTCTATCTATGGATAGTACACGGAAGTTCTGGTGGCAGGAAATGATTTGAAGTTTATACTGGTCAGGGACAACAACTTGCCATTGTAAATTATGAGGGCACTGACAGTTGCGTTCAAGGTTTAATACTAGCCTCGGGCTGGCTGCATGGCACGCTAATAACAGCCACGCATACCAGCAGGCGCGTTCACTAAGCTCCTGTGGCGGTCCATGCCGCATCCGAAATCTGCAGGAGGAGTCACGGAAACACACAGTATGCACGTTCTCCTTTCGAGTCAAGGAAGAAGACGTACTGGCGAAGTCATAATGACTATCCTCTGTGAATTATCACAGCCTGATAATGATTCTGGAAGATATCTCTGGCAATGGTGTTGTGAAGCATTACAGCTGGGTTGGCCATGGTGAGCTTTGACTGCTGGCAGCGCTTGAGGCCAATGCCAGTGCAACAGCCATGCCCTAATAGAAGGAGAATGGTCAGAGTCCTTTCTGGAGTTCATTGTGGGCCACATGGTGTGTGACTCGTGCATTGTTAATTGCTATTGTTCAACTGCGGTGGCATGCAGTTGACACGAAGAAAGCCACAGTCACAGTCCGACTCGCCAAACTGCGAGTTGCCTGTCTATGGCACTTGAGTCTGGTAGATTCACTGTGACCATTGAAGTACTGGCACGACCAAGTTGAAGACGATAATGATGATGATGAATTTGGAGCCTTATAATCCGAATCAGAAGTTTCAAAACGCTTATTCTAAAACGCCCGGCGCTCAGGCTGCCGAGCTGGCGGAGTACAGACATACACAGTGATAACACTCGATTACGCCACTGGTTGGCCCACACTGCGGCACAGGATGTGATCTCTGGCCAGTTAAAGACAGGTCGCGGAGCCCGTCCATCATTATTTCAATTCCACTGAACCTACGTACTACAACTTAAACGCCACTTCCAGACTTCTTTTCCCTCTTCCACCCCAGTTTATCGAGCATTGGCAGTACTGAACTTCAACTTGCTTCATTACACTACCGTAAACAATATGACATCTCCACTTAGCCTGGTCAATGACCTTAGGCCTACGACTTCGACGGCTACCAGACGGTATGAGAAGTTGTCCTGGTAGGTCCTTGCAAACCATCCTGTGTTGTATTCATTCATTCATTCTCCATCGAGGGTGGATGCATACCACACTACAACTGCACCTGGCTTGCGACTTCGTACCAGGTAACTCACTTACTGGCGACTGACTTGCGGGCTTAAACTAATCATGACTAACGTTCCAGCACCAAGCCCAAGTGGCTCTCCTTCACACATCCGGAAGGCCAAATATATTTTCACATGCAACGTGGCAATTTCTCAGTTGTCACGGAGGAGAACATGTTAGATAATGAAAAGGACAAGTTGGTGTCCGGCTATCTGGCACTAATCGAAAAGAGGATCCTCGAATACGGCATCGTATTGCCACAAACATGCGAGCTCTTCGTCGAACTTTGGTTTAACGAATCTCCACAAACGTCTACATGTGCATATTATTTCGTAGATCATCATAGCCGTTGCCTCTTCTGGCTCGAGCCTACATCATCGGAGCTGCTCGACATGGGCATGTTGGTGTCTGACTCACACTTGGGTGTGTGTTCAGTTTTTCTTTACAATGACAGTTGGTTGAGATTTAACAGATACTGCATTGGAAAGACTCTACTGGGTGCATGTCGAGTTTTTCCCGATGCACGTCTGTGGACAGATGGCGCCACTCATTGTGGACAACTTGATCAGCGTCATATGTCACGGCATGACAGGTATATCACGCTCTTCTTTGTGGAGACTTTGCCTTTCTCATTTCCGTATGACGTGACACGCGTTTAGATCGTATGACCTCGCGCACCTCAACATTCCCATATACAGAGGAAAAGTGCGGTCAGCTTCTCCAGGCGTTATCCTTTCGACGAGGTATGGAAACAATTGTTGCAAAAAGAGTTCACAACCTCACCATTATCCAAGGCCAACCCTTGGACGGCCATACACTATGTTTTGTCGGTGAGAAATCTGACGCACACATGTTATGTCAATCTGACACGTTTTAAGCTCGCCTTTGGGGTGCAATCAGTCAGTTGTGAAGATACTATGATTTCTTCCTGGTACTGACCGACTGAAAGATAATCAACGATTCATGACGTACTATGGACAAGAAAATGCACAATTGGACAGATTGCATCCACCGATGCCAGAAGACATAGTCGATCGTCCTGGGATGCGTGCACTGGCAAATCTGGCGTTGTGGGGAATCCCTAACCACCACTACTCAAAGCTTCATGACCTGTTCGTTCACGACCAGGTATATGTTGATCAATGGCAGGCTTTCATGACTGCATGTATGTCGGAATGGAGAGGATTGCTTTTGTGGGTACGTCATTCGTCTCATGCAATATATTGATTGCAATAGCTGAGCTGGCGTTCAGGAATTTTCGGTGCTGATGTCAGTTTATTCTCGGGGGGTTTGGTCGTTTGCGATATTGATGATAATCTCACAGTGCCAGCATTCTCATCTCGATGCTACCGCGCGCTTCATTATCATCTGCTATGGCACCAATTCTTGCAGCATCCTCAAGCATCTTGTCGGGATCAATCCTGCTTTTGAGACACCATGGCTTCGAAGATGCAACTGCCTCGTTTGCTGTTCGCATTTCTTCCCTCATTGGTCGATACAATTTGATTCACCCTCCTTCTAGGCTCGCTTCCTCCGCACAGCAAAATTGTCTAATTGGGGCTTTTTGCCTTTATCTATTGTCTACAGCATGCCAAAAGCATTGTACTTATGGAGTCTCGGACTGATGGTTGCTCAGTTCGTATTCTGGGTTTCCCGCGTAGTTGGCGTAGTTTGGGCATCAGGTGGAGCTTGCTTCCTAGCACTGATGGGCTATGGCATCCTCTATATCACATCTACGGAGGATGATCACCCCGATCCCATAGCCACTATGTGGGAAACCTTCCAGAGCGGTTCCGCGGAAGCCGATGTAATTCTGCCAGTATAAATCCAACCTAAATATTCTTTTCCGTAAATATTTAGTAGAATATCGCTACATAGAACGGTTCACAAGACTGTACTTCTGGTGCGAGTTACGCATACACTTCTCATAGGGGGTTTCCACTACGGGTCTGCTGTGTACACTAATTGTTTAAACGTCTAAACGTTTAAACATCTGTGGCCTCAGTACCCCTTACCCTGTTACAATATTCCCCAGTACAGCCCTGACAGGGCATAGCGTCTTAACAGTTTACCTTGTTTGTTGCGGTATAGAAATACAGAATCTCTCTCTCTCTCTCTCTGGCCTCAGTAAGCTGACATCTGCCCGACAAAACAACCCACACCATAAAGGACGTCGAAGAGAAATTCATTTACCATAGTGCCAAATGTTCTTTCCCAGTGTTCGTATCACGCTCGCCGAGCATTTGAAGAAACTTCAAATATTAGATATGTAGACATTATTGTCGATTGCAAAATAGCTAGCATATCCCAAAAATACGCGCCAAAAAACTGAAAACGAAAGCAAGGAATAAATTATTCGAACCACAACTCACACCTCATTCCGCAATATCAAACTAAAGCACGGCTCGCAAAACGGCTTATTTTCGCGCAAAAAGAACGATGGATCTTCAAAAGGGTTCTTGCAGCCCTGGAGACGCAATACAGTGATGAGCTCGGCATCCAAAAGGCGAAAACGAAAAACCACGTACCTCGCATACGAAACACTCCCAACACCATTTGCCTCCCAAAGCCTCAACAGCGCGCATTCCATCCCTAATCGACTTCTTGCAACCCTTGCATTTTGGCATACGCAGACGGACGTGGCACGCCTCGCAGTATGGGTGGCCCTTGTATACCGTGAAACCAACGTCATCGTCAAGATCGAACTCGCCATCACCCGTGACCGTCAAACCGCCATTCCCGGAAGACGGCGGGAGGAACGGGTCCCCGCACTCCGCACAAAAAAAGTGCTGCTCGTGATACGTCCGCTTTCCCAGCGCCTCATCGTCAAGCGTGATGAACCGCTCGTCAATAATCGCCGTTTTGCAGTGATAGCAACGAGGCGCAAAGTTCTGCGTGACATTGTAATTAAAATCGTTAGAAAACAAAGAGGTGTTGGGATAACAAACCTCGTGGTAATCAAGATGGCAATACGGTTTTCCCTCGTGCTCGAAGCTCGAGACATGCTCAAGGAGCTCATTGCACGCGGAGCAACAGAAACACCCTGGATGCCAGCGTTGTCCCATCGCGCTGACAATGCGTCCAATAATAGGACCGCCACACCCTGCGCATGAGAGCCCGTTCCCACGCATACCGCTCAGCACTCCTGATATTTTACCTGCACTCTGCGCATTGAACACATTGTTTTGTCCTCCTCCACCTCTTGGTCCAGTTTGGCCTGGAGGCGGTGGGAGACGTTTCTTCTCCTGGGATGGCGCTGACGTGTGCCATGAGGTAGGCTGCCTTGGAGAGGAACTGGGAATAGACACAGATATCTTGGGTGTAGATGGTGATGATACGGATGTTTGTCGAGTGGACGGTGAGGATACAGAAGACTGTGGAGGGGAAGGTGGTGATCCCGACACAGCTATACGAGGTGAAGATGAGCCTGACACGGCGATACGCGGTGGCGTTGACGCATTAACAGTCACACGCGGCGGCGTCGAACTAGTAACAGCCACCCTCGGCGGCGTAGCACGCGAACCCGTCACTCTCGGCGGCGTAGCGCTTGAAACAGCAATCCTTGGCGGCGACTCATGCGTCTTGCTCGACGGTACCGCGGCGCCACCACCATTATCACTGTCCTGATCAAAGTCAACATGCCCACCAGGGAGAGAGATAACCGGCGCGCCCACATCCGCACGTCTACCCTCATCATTCGTACGCCCCCCTGCACTCCTGGACGCCGGCGTACGATGCCACTTCGGCACATCCTGCCCACCTACAAAGTCCATCTCCAATACGGAGAACTGGGTCGAGGAGCGCTTCGCGAAACGGATGGGTGAGGGCGAACGCTCGTCCCCGTCATCCTCATTGCAATAACCATAGTCCTGGTCCTTGTTTGTGCGGCCTCTGGATGCAGAACGTCCACCTACGCGCGCCCCAAAGTCGGAAGGGGAAGGCGAGCGAGACGCATTAGGCGAAGGCAGACCCACACGCTCACGGAGCGGCGAAACAGGCGGCTCGTCGTCAAGGTCGTATGTGGATACGTATGCACGCTGTTTTTGGCGCTGACGCTCCATGATGTGTGAATTTGATGTGGTCGGATGAGAGGGGAACGAAGATGGGAATGCGCTGGGAGGGAACGCGTTCCGTGCGCTCGAGCTGCTAAGGTAGGCTAGCTTCGGCGGGGAGGTCGAAGAGGGTAGCGTTGGCGATGCATACGCATTGGATGATTTTTGTGGCGAATTGGGACGTGAATTTTGATTTTGTGACCCAAACGGGCCTTTTCCACCGCTCGCTTTTCGTGGGGAGGGGTATACAGGCGCCCCTCCTGCCTCGGCGCGTGCGAGTGTAGAGTTGGGGGGTGTCGGTAGGGGTGACTTTGATGGTGATGTAGGGCGCGAAAACCCAGATGTATGGAACACAGAATTCTTGACCGGAGATGCGGGCCGCGCGAAAGCGGATCGTGTAGGGGAGCTATTTGCGTCACCACCAGACCCAGAGGCATTAAACTCAGGTGAAAAAGGTGAGGTCCCAGCAGGCGATAGCGGTGCGCGGGGAAGCGGCGGGATGTTATGTGGCCACTGACTGCGCGTGGGTGAGGGTTCACGTATGGGGGATTGCTCGAGTGCAGGCGACTTGCTTCGGTGCTCCTGCTCACGCACTAAGCTTCGACTCCTGCCTGATACCCGTCTCTCCACTGGGGAGGATGCAAAAGGATGCCTTTGGAGTCCCTCAATCACAGACTTGCCACGCTGCAAACATGGGCGTTTGGACAGGTTGTCGAGTTCTTGTTCCCTTGACGACGGCACGTGCTGCAGTAGCGGGTGGCTTCCGAGGTCGAAGCTCGGCGAAGACGAGCGCGAACTTTGCATCGAACTGTGCATCGAGGGTTGCCTGCTTAGGTCGTTTTGCGTGTGCGAGGGTGACTGAGAAGGAGATAATCCGAGTGCGGCCATGCGCAGTGTGAGCGATTGCGGTTCGTTGTCCTGGATATCGTTGGGTGACTGAGATGGGGGAGTCGGGAGAGTCGCCGCGCGAGTCGGGCGCGTCCGAGTCCATTGTCTTTCCCGAATATGGGCTTGGGGTTGGGATGGTTGAGAAGGATGAGTGCGCCGAGGGAGGTCGTGGATGCCGTATTGTGGGGACACGTTGCCCGGTTCTCCCGGACTACGTATATCGCGTTCCCTATGAGCCTCCTTCTGCTCGTTATACCTACTGCGCTGCTGTCTATGGTCTCCCTTTCTATTACCATACTCTCTTTCTTCTTGGCGTCCATCAATTTTTTTATCATACTCATCACCCACGTCGCTTGGGTTGGACTCATCATCAGTGGTCGCAGCCGTCCGCGTATGCATCGAATGCATCGTCGAAGACGATAAACGAGAGAACTCTGTGAGCGTGGATGAGGTAGAGGGTGCGTTGCTTATCATACGTGCCATCTGTGAAACAGAGCTCGCTGCAATAACCAAGACAATCAGGAACATGCGGTGATCAACATCATTCATCAGTACCTGGTACTGGTGGCGATCTTGAACTGCCAGAGATAGGCGGGGGACGGGGTGACATAACTGGTGGAGAGCGAAAGCCATCTGGTATAGGTGGACCACGTGAACTCCCTTTCAGATGTGAAATTGATGAATGGTCAAGCACTAAAAAATAAATAGATACCTGGCTCTGGAGGCCAACGCGAACTGCCTGGAACTGGTTGGCTCTGCGAGGAACCTGGGATGGCCGGAGGAGAACGTGAGCTCCCTGAAAATAGTGATTAATGCTGAATATCGCACGTATTTTAATTACTATTACCTGGAACAGGCGGCGAGCGCGAACTACCCGGTTGGGGCGGACTACGTGAACTGCCTATGAATAAAATACCCCATGACTCTGACTGTGGTATTTTTAATAATTGGAAGACGGACCTGGAAGTGGGGGTACCGGTGGGGATCTATTGCCAATAGATGGCAAGGGACGGCGGCCGACCGATGTTTGTGTTTGGGCGCGGTGAATGACTGTCTGGGCACGATCTATGCCACTTGTGGGATCCCGCTCCGGGCTTACCGAACGGGCAAAGGGATAGTTGTTTGAAGTCGCAGGGGCGGGGAAACTGTTAGTAGCACCAAGGGTTGATGGGACAGCCGAGCCGGACACCGTGCTCCTGCGCTCCATGAATGGCCCCACACGAGAGGACGACTCATTGGGCTGTGGTGGTGGCCCTGGTCCTGGCAGGTCACGTTTCCAGTGAGGGGTGAATTTGGCCGGGGCAGAAGAGAGTGGAAGAGCTGTGCGTATGTGAGAAAAGAGGTCAAGTAAGGAGAAAAACACACGCACCTCGCACATCTATTAGTGGAGCGACATGGGGGTAGCTAGATGCTGGACCCGGGCCGCTGTAATTATGGGATGGCGTATGACGAAAACTTGCAGATGGTGGTGTATTTGGGTAGGCTGATGATGGGGGGTGATTTGAGAAAGCAGATGATTGTGCGGCGCTGGAGGAAGGAGCTGGACTAGAAAAGCTGGAGGCACCACTTGAAGCAGAAAAGGGGGAGAAACTAGCTGCGCTGGTTTGGGAGCTTACGGCACTGTTTAGACCTGGTTCTGCTGGATTGTGCTCTAACTGAGCACGAAGATCCAAGCTTGCATGTTTAGTTGACTTGGCACCTGGGTTAGGCAGCGGGCGTCTGGTGTGATTATTAATGTTGGTGCTCTCGAGGGATGCAGCATGTGCGAGGATGGCAGGACGTGAAGGGGCCGGGGCCGGGATAGGTGCCGGACGTGACGGAGCGGGGGTCTGAGCGGCACGTGCAGGTGGTGGGAGGGATTCTGGGCGTGACTTTGGGGTTGGAAGGGGGCGTCGGGTTGGGGCAGGGTTCGGGAAAGATGTCGGTGGTGGACGGGGTTGCTGGTGCGAGTGCGGGTATCTCAACTGGGGTATCTGGATCTGCGTCGGGTGTTGGATCGGGTATCCTGGTCGGGGTGATATGGATCTGAAACCTTGAGATTGTGGTGGTGGATCTCGTGGTGCCGCTGTATATGCCATCCTCCAACCACTGCTCAAGGTGTTCAGTGGTACACCTTACCGCGTGTCCCAGTGCAAGGCTGTCCATACATCGCTTAACCATCGCGTACATCATATGCACAAATACACACAAATAAACTTAGCGTGCCAAAAAGTTCCTCACAAATTGGGCTGGAACGAGTTCTCACGTAGCAGCTAGCTGGAACATCGAAAATGAAGCATGTCTTACATATCCTACATGATTGTTATACAAGAGTCCGACAACCTATACTTACCATTAAGTGCTTAGAACTTTACCACCCCTCGTACCGACCCAGTAAGACCCATTCGGCCACTCAAACTCGGCAATGCTCTCTTTATACATCTCGATACTATACCCTTCCTTTGGGTTACTCGGAATATTGTACCTCCCCCGGTTGTTCATGGTACACCGGTAGGGAAAGTGTTCATGCAAGTGGTCCGCGAATTCCAATACATTTCGTTCCATCGTCCCGGAAATGGCGACGTAGTCAATCACGCTTAACCTAGGTCAGAGACACTGCTTTCAGCAAAGGGATCGACACAGACCTGAGATGAATAACATATTCGCACAATCCAACGCCACCGGCATGTGGACAAACAGGGACGCCAAACCTCCGAACATGGATTTTCAGCATGTTGTCCGAATGAAAAAGTGAAAGTTTCCTCGTGCTCACTTTGCAGCCATCAGCAACACGCTCAGCACCTCACTGACACCTGCGAGTCTGCAGGAGTCGATCTGGCATACATCGATCGCTTCGGCCTGGAACAATTGCTTAAACACCATACGGTTATGTGCATGTTCCCCGGTCGCAACTCCGATCCCGTACGGTTTGAGTGCCCGCCTGATCGCAGCGTGGCCGAGAGCATCGTCGGGCGCTGTAGGCTCTTCGATAAACCTGATAGTAGAGGATCAAGGGTAAGTTCTCATAATTGGAATGAAAATGAATAGTACAGACCAAGGTTTGATTTCCGCCAATCCAGCCACATACTCTATTGCTTGTGGGACATCCCAAACCTGGTTTGCATCGATCATCAATACAGCACCAGTTGGACCCGCGTTCTTCCCAGCCAGATCTGGGCCTGAAGGATCCTTGAATCCAGACGGGTAATTTGCGGGGTCGTCGATGATAGAACGGATCATCTTGCCCCTGCGCAAGTCATCCTTGAGGTCGGTGCCTACTTTCATCTTGAAGTGGTTGAAACCATTTGCAAGGGCCTCCTTGGTGAGACGGGACACTTTCTCATCTGAATATCCTGCAGAACTACTCAGCAAATCAGCAAAATCAATAGGGTCCTGCTCACCAAGCCAGCCCGCTGATGTGATATATGCTGGATACCTGCGCTTGTTGTGTAAGATGTCGATAATTGAGACATACACCGACAAACCCTTACCCAACTTCGGTCACAAGGGCTTCCCTTTCACGCTTTCCAGCCTCTTTGGCCTTAAGCATCGCAAGTGCCTCTTCGCGTGTTAACACATCCGTGATATAACGGAAGGCAGTTGCGTTTACGAGCTCTTCCTGTGCATATGTTTGTGTGAATTTCAACTGGACAACCGTAAAATAAATGCCACGAACAGGAGTCATATCCACAATCAATTTCCAGAGGGGTTTGCCTCTCGCACGAGCAAACATGTCCCACAAGGCGTTATTCACTGCAGCGGTTGCAAGGTGAATTACGCCCTTCTCTGGACCAATCCTTTATAAAACAGATTCTCAGTATGACCACAGATACGAAGGTAACATAAAATGGATCAGAAAGAAGCAACTATGCCATACGTGACAGCCTAGCATCGATTCAGCGGAACGTTCGAGCACTCACCATCGCAGCTGCGAGTCGGAGCACATCCAGTCCCAAGCTTTTCCCATATTTTCAAAAAAGCTCTCGGGATCCCGTCCAACCAATCGTCCAGCAAGTTCCCGGATCGCATGGCAAACCTATCGCGCGAGGCAGGCAATGATCAGTAACATATCCAACAGGACAGAAAGCAATACAACGATAACTAGATCATCTATCAAAACTTGTGGCGAAGATGTATGTACATGTCAAAGAGCTGATTCCTGTTCACTCACAATGTCGGTACCACGACCAATGGTAAACGTCATTCCATGACCGATAAGCCCACCGTCGGTGTATATGGTAACATATGCTGAACTATAATCGCAATCTGTATTCCTGAGGCACGTGCGATGTAGAAGAACATCTGAATCACGACATAGGCATCGGCTCACATCGCATCAGTGCCATCACCCGTCAAGGATGTGGGAAATCGAATATCTATCATCGACGGCAAACAAGATGTGAGCGATAGCGGCATATACACAGGGGAAGCTCACCATGCGTTTCGAAATGTGTGATTCTGGTCGTCATCGTAAGAGTGTGTCGTGTTTAGGGACGAAGTTGGTATGAGCGACAGAAATGAAAGCGGACGATGCGGCGCCTAACTCTACCTGTATTTATGGAGCCTTGTGGATGGTACTGAGATGCTCCACCGGTGCGAATATTGACCCTGGATGACCAGGTGATGATAGACACATGCAGGGAAACATCACAAGACAATGATAATAAACTTGGTCAATATATGTGCCGCCACTGCCAGCCTGCCAGTGGGTAAACAAGTCGCACCCCGAACTTGCATTCTCGGCCCGCCGGTCCGCACGACGCAGTCTGTACTATCCCGAACCCCTTCACTCACTTTACATTACTTTCAAGGGGCGGATTGGGCCTTGATCTGTCTCTAGTTCTACTCAGACTGGCCCTGCTCTCAGTCTAGGACTTTGCCCTCGACAGGAATGAGGGCAGTCGGTCCCAAATCCAATGAAGGCTTCCGTTTGAAGCTGGTGAGACCTAACTCCACCCCCATCAAGTGTATTATTTACCGATTTCTTTGCATGACAGTTGGCGTTTGTCGTTTCCATTATGATGAGTAAAATCAGCGGTCAACACTTGTTACCGTCACAGAATGGGATTTATTGGCCTCCCAGGCGTGTCGGTGGCCTTCAATTATAATTATCATCACCACAACCGCTGTCAAAGCCTCAGAAGCCCGTATGTAAATCGAGTGCATGCTTTGACCAAGTTTGAAGACTCTTGCCATCTGGGATCTGAGCTTGACTTGAGCTGCCAGTACATGTGAAGGTAGTGGCCGAATAGCTGAACACGAGATCGACTGACCTGCTGTCGACACGTCACCGGAATACGTACTTTGTGAATATGTCTGTGACAAGACCATACCAGTTAACAACGCCAGCATGCAGTAATGTGCGATCGCATGGGAGTAGGAACTACAGAGCACAAAGATGAGATAAAGACATAAAATGAGCGACATATCGGGGTAAGATCAGTGAAGGTTTTTGTCGGCACAAGGCGTGAATGGAAATTGATGGTAAGGCAAAGGAGCTGGCAGTTACCCGGATATACGTCCGTCATTTTATTCCAACTCTCCCCACTACCCATCGAATTAGCTCTCAGCACCGATTTGACAAACATTCTCCTCCAAACTTTGCACCACGCAGCCTGTGCACTCAGTTCACATCCTCGAGGGTGTCTTTCTTCTCTTCGGCTGCAGCCTGCTCGCCCTCAACATCAAAGTTCTCGACGAGATCAGGCACATCATCATCATCATCATCAGCGGCACCGGCGTTGGATGGCCTCTGTTGTCCCTGCTGGATGGCCTGGTATGATTCCGCAAGTTTACGGAGCGATGCCAGCGAGTCAGGGCCGAGTTGGTTCAAGATACCAGGGACGAGCTCAGTCAGCTCCTTGACGTGGCCAGTTCCGTAGATCGCAAACGTGTTGGCGGAGACCGCGGCATGTACTACACAAGGCAAGGAGAAAAACTCAAATTAACACGGATCTTATCTGACGGGACGCCGAGCGCGAGCTTATCTACTCGCAAGCGACGTAGAAATTCGTACACACCTTTTGGGGCCGTGAAATGCAGCACGTTTCCATCTTCCCTGAACATATTAACCTCCTCTACACCAGGAATAGGCTGCACATTGAGTTTCTTGAGGGCGCCTTGAAGTTTTTTGTCATCTTGTGCGGCAGAGGGCTTAGTCTTCCGGACAATTTTCCGGCGCATGGTCCCTTTACCACCTGCAACGCGTCATCATGTTAGCCTTGAGTACACATATGCCAAGAAGGAAGAAGGAATGGAAGCTGCTAATTCCGCGGTTTGAAGGAAAATACTCACCGATCCTGTTGGCTGCAGCCTGCGCCTGAAGTTTGGCCAATTTTGCTTGATCCATGATGTTTTGCGGCGAGGGTTCACGATACCCTTGGTGATGCGACGGCGGTGAAAAGTTGCAGACTAAGGTTTACGCATAAACATGTGTACACAAACGCTAGTACCGCGGTCCTGAGTTTGTACCACAAATCTGTACGTATTTGGGCACTTTCACCCTGACACACGTTTGGAGGGGGATTCCCCAAGGTAATCAACGATACAACCCTAACTTATCCTTGGAATTAACATCAACTCCGTTGGAAAGCTTTTGGAAGTACCAGATACCCAGAGATGACTATTACATTTCATATCCGTCCGGCTACAGTAGATGACGTGGTGAGCACATAACGCATTGTTGATGAGCTCCGTTGTCAGAGCTGATAAGATCAATGACTCAGGATGCCATGCTTAAGTTGGTTCTAGATCTTGTAGGTAATCGCCTCGCCTCAAGGATCTTCATGTGCTGCAACTTCCCACTATTTATCTAGGCGACATATGAAAACGAACCCGAGTCCGCAAGGGCTACCCCTGCTCTGGTAGGTCCTTCAACACGTCGCGGAGTCATACTCACATGCCGGCAAAGTTTCGAGAAAACATATTCGAAAAGGAATATGCACACACCCTCCTCGCGTTTGATGGAACGCCCGAGGCACCCGGAATAGCATTGGGCATGGCACTATATTTCTTCAATTTCTCAACATGGACCGGCAAGCCTGGCCTCTTCGTGCGTCCAAAATTTGATTTAACTACGCCCCACCGCGACGCTGCCTATTTGCTAATATTTCACGTACAGCTTGAGGACCTGTATGTATCCCCGGATGCGAGAAATCAGGGTGTTGGCAAAGCCCTTTTCGCGGAGCTGGGTAAGGTAGCACAGGAGAAGGTAACATCACACGCTTCTTTCCGAGGACCTTACTGATGCAGCCTCTGGCAACAAGGACTGCGCACGCCTTGATTGGTCGGTACTCAAGGCAAGTCACACTTAGCTGGATCGTGGCCACCAGTGTTCCGCCGGATTAACGTGTCTTGGTACTTTTGTATCATTCTTTCATACAGTGGAACACTCCATCGATCGCATTCTATGAGAAAGCTTTGGAGGCCAAACCAATGGAAGAATGGATGGGTATGCGGCTGGAGGAACAGGGGATCGAGAATTTGAAGAAGCTTGCCGACCACACGGCCCGAAAGACTTGAGAAACAGGGTCTTCTGTATCCTGGTCAAGCACTGACATAGGCACCGTTGCGCAATGCGATGTCAGGGTGTCCCTGTGACGCACGAACACCAAAAGACTATCGGGCCTCGGGCACAATGGATGCGCAATACAAGTGGTAAATGAGTCATATATTAATCCGACGGCACACAAGGCGCACGAGTGCAGGGCCAGTAAATTGAGAGCACGACTTTGTGTGATGTAAGCTACACCCCGTCGTAACTAGCCCCACCAGCCTGACAAGATGAATGTGTGAGGCCGATGATATCTCCCGCTCTATATTTTATTAGACCGCTCACCTTCCGCAGCTTCACCACAATCGGATCCTCCTTTAAATCGTCCTTTTCCCGAGCGGGAACCTCAATAGAGTAGACACGCAACACCTGCTTGACATCGGCTGCATGGACGGAGATCTGCGAGACCATACAGCAAAGAGTCGTGTCAGAACTAAGTACTAAATCATCGCTGTCATCGAATCGCCGCTGAAAGGCAATGCAGGCGCAGGCCGCCGCCACCGCGTGTGTTTTTTAAAGTTGGAAAAAGCACGGTATTCCATATACGCCGCAGCACACGTAAAGAAACAGACTAGGGACTGACCTTGGCCTTTCGCATCACTTTGCACCCAGGACCGATCCACACTACTAGAATGAATTTCTCCCGTTGAGATTCCTTGTCATTGGAGAAGGTGACGCGAACGTATGCGTAAGACGCTTTGGAATCGGCAAGTGCATCGCGTAACTCGGCGAGACCACCCGTTCCCGTCTGTGTGACTGTTAGCTTGTCAGAGCGGTCAGACTAAGCGTGTGATCATCGTTGGGAGGACCTAGACGCATCAAGATAATCAGACCCGTTTGGAAACATAAACTCTGACCTCGTAGTCGAGCAAAAGCCAGTTAGTCTCGGATTTGTCGGAACGAACATCCTGGTAAGCTGTAAGGATCAGCACCACGCTGCTGGTTAACCCAATTTCACTAAGCGATGGCGCTGTAACATCGCAGACTAACCTTCGTCGATTTTGGGATCGGATAGGTCGGCCATCGGGTATGATCAAGCGCGATAAATCGAATACAAATCTTTGCGGAAGGAAGGAGGGGAAGAGAACAGGCTAATACGATAAGCTGGGAACTGATGGATGGTGGCTTCCTTCCTAGGAGATGGATTGAAAGTCGAAGCACTCACGAAACCACTCGGCAAGTACCGTGACAAACCGCCTGCCAATTTCTAGGTTTGAACTTTGCACAACCTTGCTACATTTGCATCAACCGTGTAATCATGCAGGCCGTCCAGTCTACAATGAGGTTCAACTATTATCAGTTGACATCGCTACTTCGTACACCTTCACACCACGCGCAGTCATGGCTTCACAAAAGCTCGCTCTATAGATACTATTCCACTACCAATGAGCCAAAGAAAAGGGACTGGAGACTGGCTGGACACCCTGCGCCTCTATCCTTAACGGAAGATGCAGAGGGTGAAACCCTCGACTTGAGCGAAGATGAACCACCCCCGAGGCGACGGAACCGCGCGCCGACGGAAGACACACCAGAGGAGTGGAGGCGCCACCGTCTCGCCATAAAGGAGGCTTTTCCTCAGGGGTGGTCTCCTCCACGTAAATTATCTCGCGAAGCCATGGACGGTCTGCGTGCCATGCATATCTACGACAAGCGCACGTTTTCGACGCCGGTGCTTGCAGAGAAGTTCAAGATTAGCCCCGAGGCTGTCCGTCGCATCTTGCGGAGCAAGTGGGAGCCATCGAGAGAGCAACGAACTAGATTTGCAGAACGGGAGCGACGTTCGAGGGAGGAACGGAAGATGCAGAATAGGCTTGAAGAGAAGAAGCAGAACATGGAACTGATTTCTGAGGCTGCGAAGCCAGAGAAACCCAATCGGAGAGAGGAGCGGCCAAAAGGGATTAATTCGAAGGACAGGTTATACTTTGGTTGACAAAATTACCGGGATCGACGGATTGGCATTGCTCAATGTGCACGTCTCGTTCACGCCTGCACGTTTATCACAAAATCATCAGAGGACTACATGCAACAAGTCCGATGTGTCAAAGTTTTTACAAAGAGAAGGAGCATCGTATTGCTACATGGGGATTGTCATACAGGCATATTACTTCTATCTAACCTAGATTATTAAGTCACATATACGTCTAGATATCTAGCAAACGAAAGGTCGGGGAAAGGGAGCGACGACGGGTAACGAGGTACGTTATAAACATAGTATCGGAACCGGTACAGTTTTGAAATGAAGTATAAGGTAGATAATTTATGTGTCCAACGGGTCTGTGACGAGAACCTGTGGGTAATGTAGATCGAAAAAGGCCGAACACGATCAAAAGTTTGTTGGCAGAGTGAGAAGCATTGTCCAAAAAGTCAAGTCCAGCTTGGATCACAGTGAAAGCACGGATTTCTCATGTTTCAGATAACACGAGCCTTGTTCCGGTCGGCAGAGTAGGATATCGTTCCAGTTGGGTTGGGGGGGCGTGTCAAGTTGTTCGCCTTTCTTGTCGACAAGGGAGTACCGGAAGCCAAGTAGCATCATGGAAGTGACAAGCTTGAGCTCAAGTCTGGCTAAGCGCTGGCCAAGACAATGCGTCTTTCCTTTATCGAGAAATTAGGTTTGCCGACAGGCGCACAATCGACAATGTGGCTTACCTCCTCCCCATCCCACGTAACCGAACGGAACCGTCGCTTCCTCGCGGCTAGGATCAAACCTCCATGGATCAGGGTAGAGGTCCGGATTGAGATGAACGTCCGAGAAAGGATATACTACATATGCCCCTGATGGGATAGTCTTTCCGTCAATCGTCACATCAGGTCCAAGATTTCGGCGCATGGCGGTATGGGGCTGCGCAATCCTGAGAGTCTCGCGAATGAGAGAATCAAGAACGGGAGTCTCGGATTCCCAAGCCTCCAGTGGAATGGACGAAAGTTGTTGCGACAAAGAGTGGGAGACGTTAGGGGAAACGTAACGTGCCAGGAGCTGCTCCACTTCAGTGATTACTTCATCCTTCGACTCATGTTCACCAAGGTAAGTGATGAGCCACGAAGCTGTTGTTCCAGTTGCTCTCGCACCAGCAACTAGCAGACCCAAAATAAACTGTTGAAACGTTAGATGTCGGAACGCCCAAGCTCAACGGAAAAACGTACACCGACAATTACAAGCCTCTCGTCTTTTTCGTCAAGGAGCATCTGCAGAGTGTCAGGTTTGGATATTCCGCTACGCTCCCGTTCATCAATGGCCCGAACGATAATGTCGTAGATTTTTTTGGTCGCCCAGAGCTTCTTAAGCATGCTGGGCCCGGGTAGCCATGGAAGTAAGACAGTCGCAGGCGTTGTCCCACTGTCCAAGGTGTCGTAGAGTTCTTTGAGATGCGCTACTTGTGCAGAATCATCTGCTAACTCCTCGCAAGAGAGTGATCGTACAGTAATTTGGAATAAAAGCTGTAGTGCATACAGTCAGGTATTGCACGAGACTAACAAATCCAAAGACCAACTTCATAGATTTTTTCGAATGGGTCAAATGTTCCTGATGCCCCCCACGTTTCCATCACCCTTCGGCAATCCTCCAACATGGGTGCAATGACTAGTGATGATCATAAGATGAGGATGAGATAGAATAAATGAATGGATAAACGCAACGTACGACGACTAAGGTGCTCATTTCGCTGAACGAAGGAGAGACGCTTATGAATCTGTGCAATGCGCTTGGTCTGAAGGTTAGAAGTCACCCCTTTAACGACGGGGATCTAAATAGAGTCAGGATTGGTGAACATGACATCGATTACAGAGGGAGGTACTGACGGCTCCGGAAAGCATTTTAAATCCTTCAGTAAGGTCGAAGTGCTTGTTAGAGAAGAACGATTTCCGGGCTGACTCTCCGGAAACAACAATGACTGTTTCCTGCAATGATCACAGTGAGTTATCACTGAAGAAGATTTGCTACCACGGTGCTTACTCGGAGCAAGTTGAACTGGAAGAGGGATTGCCCAGTTTGGCGGAAACCATTGTTCAGGAACTCGAAGCGTCGGCGGAAGAATGGGGCAATGGCGAGGAGGTGAGAGCCAGGGAGAAATACTGGGGCGCCGTCAACAGCGCTATCTTTTTGGGAACCAATACCGAAGACAAGAAGAATAAAGAGAACAAGTAAAGCGAGGGCCACCTGGGCCTTCAGGCTAGAAAGAAGAAATGCGTCGGCAGCGGATTGTAGGCCGACCGTATACATGATACAAGCTGTCGGACGCGAAAGATAATACTTGAGGACGGCAGCGAAAACCAGCGTGATGGCGCGGCTTTATATGCCACCTCAAGTCCATGGCTCATCTTCCGTGCACATGCGAACCAACACGCTGCCTCACCATGTATGCACAATATGAGTGCCTTTCGGTGTTGATCTTGATCGACAGATCTTGGAATGGCAATTGGTCACGGTGAGAAAATTCGGTTCCGCAACCCAAGGGGCGGTGAATACGTAATCCAACCTTGCGTATGTACGTCTGCGCTGTCTGTCGGAGACGATGACGACGCTCTGCAGTGTAGCCTAACGTACTTTGTCTTGTACGTCCTGTCCATTATAGTGCAATTCCTTAACCATCATTGACCGCCAGAGATACTGCATCCGGCCCTGCATCGCAGCACTCTTCAATACCTAAAAAATAAATCTCGGCTGCCTCGAGGTCTTGGTGTGGCTTTGCACATACTCGTCATCATCCGTCGGACGCCGATGGAATAGAGCCTCGATCCCCATTCACAACAAAATCTATCTGTCGTCTAACCCCACGTCACCTTTGTAAACACATGTCGCGAGGACTCCCGCATCGCGGTCTCCGAAGGTATACACTCAACCTGTCAATTGAAATGAGGATGACCAAACTTCCATTATGCTTACGGATACACCCTGCAACGTGGATTTTGTCTCCGCGCTAATGACTCCGCCGGAGCCGTGAACCTGCTGGGCAAAGACCCGCCATTGAGGCATGTTCCGACAAATTTTTCCCAGGCTGCCCACAGCGCAACATCAGCATGTCACAATTTCCATCCGTCCAAGCCCAGAATGCCAGTGATCGAAGGCAGTCAATACACACATCCAGTGAGCCAGAGCGGCCAGGACCACACAGCAGTGAAATATTTGATGCGATGCGAAGAGCAAGTCGAATTTCCCTGGAGCCAGGCGCTCCGGTATGCGATTAGCGCTGCGCGGGGATGAACCATGCAGACGTCAGGCATATGTGTGGAGGGCGGGAAATGAGGTCCTACGCACTAAATCAACGCGCCCGTGATGTATAGGCCGCCTGATGCGAGCAGCCAACCAAAACCCATCTCGGAAAATAGCTTGGATGTTCCATGCGATACCAATAAGTGAGCCACCGGGACCACAGCAGACAATCCGAGACCAATGAAAACACCGGTTCGTGCACCTCGATGCGTTGGTTTTGCATATTCAGGGTTTAGAACGATATATGCCGCGCCTTAAAACGTGTATTGGTAAATGACTTGTAATGTACCGGTATCAATGAACAATACTGACCTGCACCAACTAGAGCGATGGAACATAGATAACAGGCTTGCAAGGCTGGTTCGCAGTAGAATCCATAGTACAGGCATGGTACAAAAGATCCGACGGTGAGGACTACAGAAGGATTCATCGAAATGAGACAGAAGTGGGGATACCTTCACTTACCGACGATCCCTGAATAATCCAGTGCATGGCATTGGGTCGAAACCTGTGATTAATTTCGAAACGTGAGTCAGATCGTGCAGTCGCAACTTTGAGAAGGGCTGACCTGTTCCGAATGGCAAGTGGCGGTGTGGAACATGGCACTCGCAGTGAGGCAGAACACGGCAGAGAGTAGAAAAATACTGAAGGCAGAGGTGTCCAGCCAAGTGGTAGTGCTATACGCCAAGATATATTGCCCGCGAAATGTCACCAGAATCCAGAGAAAAAGCACAGCACCAGCCAGATGGCTGAGGATGTTCACTGGAAGCTGCAATGAATCGCGTCTACTTAAGAGAACAAGAGACTTACCAGTTTCGTTATGGGGATCTGTTCAGAACAAAATCGATGAACGACAAAAAAAAGTGGCGACTCGAATGTTCTCACAACTGTAGATAGATGCAATGCAGCCTGACCAACAGTTTTGCACTCTAGTAGCACAACAATCAATCAATCATCCGCATTGCAACAAGGAGGGTTGTACCCGTCGATGACCAGTCTTACCGTCTGTAGCCCGTTAAAATGTACTCGTTATCCCTCTGCCATTCCGGTATTTCGTGCCAGGAAAGCGTCATCCGCTGCTTGTCGGGACCAATTTGCGCAAGTGGTTGTCCAGGTCCATTCTGGACCTGGTTGCTGAGGTCGCGCTTGCGTGTCTTGAGCTCAGACATAGTATAACAACGACTTCGGGTATCGAGCTTGAGAGCACAGTCGATGCAGGAAGTTGCAAGTGAAGTCCAACTGTGTGACAGGCAACAACATGACCCCGATTTACACTCGCCAGTCACATTTGATGCACGTGGAGAACAAAGTACAACTCTCGGCCACGGAGCGTCCTCACATGGAAACCAAGGATGTCATCGATGCCAGTACCGTCTCGATTTCGATGAACCCCAATTTACAGGCTGTAGCGGAGCGCTCATCATTCAAATCGACTTCGGCCATCGTCAGTCTTTGTTAATTATCCCCGAGTTTCGTCATCAAATCCATGACCATAAGGCTCTTGTTCTAGGATGGGAAACTCAGCATCAAGGCCGCTTCAACCTTTCTGGAACCTCTTAGGTTTGAACCTTCCTTTACTATAGAAGGAGAAGGCTCTTCTTCGCCAGTGGTGGCTGAGCGAGCGGCGAGCGCGCTGAGGCTTTTGGAGGGCATTAGATAGGGTTAGGGTTCCAAAGTCACCATATATGGCAATAAGTTTCCACAACCATTTTGAAGTTGAGCGAGATCGGAAGTGAGATTTGAATTCACTGCGCAGTGCGCATGATGTTACGAAAGTCCTTCAAATTCGTCACGTCATGTTGCCCTGGCCAGCGCCCTGTACTACGCGGCCCAAGGTCGCAGAAACTTTGTTTCTGTCAGTTCCCTTTGACACATTTCACGTCCGTATACGAAAGCTCTCGGTCGTAGACACGTCGCCGAAGGCCCGAGTCAAATATTATTCAGCGCTCAGCTGTGTGCGGAATGTTGTTGACGTCAACCCAACGTTAACCAGCGGAAGTGGACTGACCACTCACTTCCCACTCACCAAAAAGCGCTTGCTCACAGAAAAGAGGTTCTCGATATTAGCCCTCCTCTCCTTCGTCGAGGCTGAAATACATTGTATGCCTTGCTAATATTATTACATGATGGAAAAATGAGCGTAATGTAGGTCCAACACACGGTGAGAATTGAAGTAAACAGCCGAGGCGACGAGTCTGATATTCCACACAGCAAATAACTAAGAGATGAAGACTTTCTTGAGTGCGCTGAACTCGCACGTTTGGACAGTCAGCGGGCAAGTGACCATGCCATTGTGCTTCGCTGCCATATCTTCCAGTGCCTGACAGCAGAACGTGAGTATCAGGTGACGGCACGCAGATGTTGGTGTGAGAGATATACCTCTCTCGAGTACACTTGACCATTGGGAAATACCATGGGCATATTATCCTCGTCCATAATCTTGCCGCTAATTCGACAAACAATGGTGGAGTTGGCGTGGTGGCTGAACGGAACTTCTTGAGCCAGAGTGTTTATGCTAGGATCACACACCGGGCAGTCGACATTGTGGGATGAACTGTCGTTGCAGGAAGGCAGCTTCAGTGAAGCAAGACCAGAATAGATAGCAAGGTTGAGAAGAGGTTCAGTGGGTAAAGAGTTCAGATTGTAGATGGCAAGCCGAAAGGCTTGAATAAGATCAAGCCAGCGGGAGTCGTCATACAGTCTCTGCAAGGTCCAATGAGATACAAATGCAGGTGGAGCAAAATTATCTTACGCGATACGGGCCACACGTCGTAGAAGGTCTTATTGCAAGTAGAGTGGCAGCCTGCATAATCTGTGGGAGATGTGTTTCTTGCCATGACACAAGATATTTTTTCGAGTATGCCATGGCCTCCGGCTTCTTCTGATCGCGCGCTAACTCGATATACTCTTGTAAGCGAAGTTCAAATTCAAGCGTGCTCTGCGGAAGAATCAAAACGATTTCATAGAGATCACATTATCGCAGCGTTCAGTTGCACCTTAATTTTCCGCAACGCCGTTTTGTTCTCGCTACACCATGCCAGTGCTTCAGTGCAACTGTGTTTGGAAAGTGCCAACTCGATTCTTCGGATATCTGTGAACAGATCAATGTCCACAAGGGTCTAGTGCAAGCGGTAGGCGCCATGAGTTGATGTGAACACTTTGCGGAACAACAAACCTCGATGTTCTTGTCCTGTGCCAGTGTCCGTGCTGTATTTTCCCGTCCAGTCCGGAGGGCCCAGTCAACAAGCCATCTGTCAAGCCGCGTGTCCGCCCACCGCGAAAAATCGAGGCTACTGGTGGTTTGCAGGGTCTCTACCGCCATGAGATGCTGTAGCCTCTCCCGAGTGACATCAAGGGTGGGTTTTCCAGCGGTATCCTGCAGTTCGGAAAGCTGCGCATAATACCCACTGATGTGAAATGAGAATTGAGTTAGCAAATAATTCCGCGTACCTTGCGCTTGAGGTTCTCCACCCGACCTATCATCCCGTCTACGCTCTTGGCAGCATCCTCGAGGTTGACCTCGCGGCTCTTGGATCGTTTTAGTAGGTCATTTGAGACAGTCTGGACATTTCCGAGCTCGCGCTCTATATTCCGTTGTGTCGCACGAAAGACCTTCCGATAGTTTTCATAAGGGACCTGACGAAGTGTGATTGTAGTGAGGTCATTGAGAATTGCCATGTGTCGCTGCGTACCCGTGCAAACGGCTGCTCGAACAGCAATACCCCATCAGAATTGAGCTTTGTTGAGCTCATATCAATAGTATAAGAACCTGTCTTTGAGGCCTTGGCTCGTCGGGTTGGTGTTGGTAGGGGATCGGGATAACGTGCTATCGTGTATTATTACTCCCACGTGACCTGAAGGGCTTTAGTAATATCACAGTATTACTGCTACTTGGTACTGGGAGTGACCGGGATCACACTGAGTATGATCAGAAGGTAACTGAGACTTGATTCTGGCGGCGAGTTACTAATTATCAGAGTGGAAGGGTGGCCAGTCATAATATTAGGGTGACTATGGACACTCCGACGGCAGCGATCAAAGCAACGGCGGCAGGCTTTCACTGCCCCTGCGTAACTTAACCATATTGTCCTGGGCACAGCTGCGGTATTCCGGGCAATAAAACAGCTGGAGAACGAGAACTTGTGGCGAATGCACTGAGAGAACAGCAGCGCACGGAGACACGGCAGAGGGCTAACTCTCATTACCCAATATTCTTACGCGAGCCCCTGTCACATCACCGCGATAATGAGGTCTTGGTGGAGCAGCCGCAAAATAGCAATTCTACCATCCTATCAAGAGAGGGGGGACCGAGGGGATGCCGTCCAGGCTCTTGGCAAGTTGCGACGGAATATTTGTCATACACACATTTCCGCATACCCCACGCTCAAAAAATCGGCGGCAAAGTCCCCTTTGCACACGTCGCGTCAATCACCGCCATCAAGGCCCCAGCGACCACCCCCTTTATCTTATTGCTTTTAGTTGGCTTTAATGCTTCACATACTTGTGATATCCATATGCTGTACTACGGACGAGCTACCGTACATTGCTGTAGGATTATTACCCTGCATGTATTTTCTACAGTAGGCAAGAGTCTAGCTAGCAACAAACAAGCTCTCAAACAAAAGGCGTAATCATCAATCTCGCCGCCTTCCGTCATCCCGTGAGCCCCGTCTCCATGCCATAAAATCTCGAATTAAGGCCACCACAAGAGGAACAGATATAGATGCGAATAGCGGCGTGTACACCGCATACTTGTGTTCAGCAGGAAAGTACAGCAATGCCAGCATCCCCGGATTAAAGAAAGCGCGTGATGCCATAGATAATGCCTTACTAGACCATCGTAGAGCAAGCGCCGGCGAGGCCACGGCGGTGCGATAGGCCTGCATTGTTTGAGCACAGTCTTCATTAATATGACATCAGATGCAGAACGGACCTCGTGGAGCGATGCAAGGGCATCTAGGACATCATCTCGTACCACTTGCCCAACAGGCATGTTATTGATCTGATCCACGAGCTTCACAATGCTGTGTAATGTGTCCTGGCTGCCTTGCACGTTCTGCAATGCACGACGCCGGAGCAAAGTATCTAACTGCCAGTCAGATAGAGCGGAGCTTTCTTCCATGCTCAGGCCGAGAGGAACGGGTGGCACGCCTAAAAGAGCAGTGAGCTGGGTGGCAAAATTGCGGAAAACTGGTTTTAGATCGTTATATGAAAGATGCAACGATGAGGAATCGAGTTCATTGTTGAGGATGAAAATGCTGCCCCATTGTGGCAAAAGGAAGGAGTTCTGATTTGTTGGACGACCTATCGGTAAGTCAGAAATGACCACAGGTGGGTATACGCGAAATTAACCTTCGCCGTCAATTATCTTCAAGGGTGAGTGGGTCTCAGAAGGAACGAAGAGAACGAAATGGAGAACAGGATCATTTGAGACGCCAGATGCTACGATAACTGGTCAGGCATTGACATCGTTGATCATAATGTAGTACTGACAAAGTGTCCATTCGGCAGAGTTGATAAATACCGTCAAGTCCTCCTGAGTAAGCCCTGATGCTTCAGTGGTACCAAATGCCAGGCGTTTCGGCTCAAAGGCTAATGGCGCATGATACTGAACTTGACTTTCGACTGTAAAATTGTGCAAAGTAGAGAGTCGAGACATGAGCGGAAATATGAATTCTGATAAAGTGTCTTTAGAGTCGGTCTCAAGATACAGGAGCCATAAGGATTACCCGCGAGCGCAGTTTGTACATCCCATGTCTCTACAAATCGATTGGGGGTTGCGTCTTCGTTCAGAAGCGTGAAAGCGAGACGATAGTGATCTGAGTATTGAACGACGCGCTGTGAATGTGAAGTGCTCGACTCTGGAGGGGCGATGAGGTCGGACAATATAGAGCTTAATCTTGTTGCTAGTGTGAGAGCAGTCGAATGCATTTCAAACCAACCCACTCTCCTTGACTCACCTGACTGCGCGTCGGTCTTGCTCACCCGCAAGTGTCTTGAATGGGCAATTGAGGTCTGTTCACCAAGAGCAACTGTATATAGGCTAGATATTTTATCGGTGACTACAGTAACACATCAAATTTCCCTGACCACTAGAACAATTTTTGCGAGCGCACACACCTTCATCATTTCTGTCTTGTAGGCGAAGGTCGACGCCCCTCCACCTTCCAGGTTCATTTATCGCAGAATCATGAAGTGATGTATGAACTTGAGAGATTAGGTTGGTATTTTGTTGGATAATGGACGCATCAAAATGAACAGTGATAGGGAATACGATGTTGTTTTGAACTAGTGCTCGTATTTGACTGGTTGGAAGTGCAAGTCTCTCGATACTCGTCAAATGCCACCAGAACGGGAAAGCGAGAATAATGATGATCCAATATGAGGCCAAGACTGCTCTACGGATCCAGTCTCTTTCGAAGCTAAGTTTCCGAGGATCCTTGAAGCCAGAGCTCGCGAAAGCAGCAGAGTTCATCGTAGTACTTAACAGAGCCTCCGAGCAACAACAACATCGACCCGCAGATGGGGGGTCGGAGTTTCAATCCCTTCTTGCTAGAGATCACTCATCTACTTCAAGCGTTTACTTCGACTGAGCGTCTTCGCTCCCGACCGTATCAAAGTTTCAACATTCATGTTCGATAACTGACCTTCACTTGCTTTCAAATAGTTCTGCAGATATTCTGGGTACCGCGACGCACTAGGCTTATTTTCAACCCGACTTCTCTTCCTGTGACAAGTGTTGCACCTTGGAGGTCCAAACTCTCACAAGCATGACTTCTCCAAGCTATGAAATGTCTAATTTTGCTAACCCTTCGCCTCCACATGACATACGACGCTCTCTAGGTGGCAGTTTCTCATCTGTATACGACGTAAGTTCTCGTGAGAGTCGTACTTTCTCGGGTCGTTCAAATACCCTCTTTCTTAGTCGCCTTATTCTACTGCACGTCGAAGATCTCCGTCTCCTGGTCCATCTTCGAGGAGATACGCCCCATACGATAGTTATATCCCCCGTGGGGGACCTAGCTATCGTAGTGATGATCATGCGAACAATTACAGGCCAAATACATGGAGAGCAGAACGCTACAACAGCCGCAGTCCATCCCCAGATCGTTACGACCGGTCTCGTCCTATGGAACCGCGCTTCTGGGATTCCGGTTCCCGCTGGCAGTCGACTTGGCCAGATCGAAGATCCTCTCCGAGCCCACCACCACTACGGGAAAAACTTCGCAGAGATACCATGGCAGAACGAATGTTTGAGCCATCAGAGTCCTGGAAACAATCACACGTCGATCGATCCTCCCGATACGAAGTGTTTGTCCATTTTCGTGTCACTTGATATTTTCTCTCATCATCATATATAGGTTGGAGCCCCCAAATCCAAGGTTTCCGGATTATCGTGCCCGTCCTGCACGAGATTACTCTCCTGAGAAGTCACCAACGTATCCTCCCGTTCATGGTGATACTTATCGTCCTTACCCTGGTGGTCAAAGCTACCGAGAACCACACGTACCTGTTCGGTCAGATTCATACAGACCACAATATGACGATAGGCGGTCCCCGCACTTAGGTGATAAACCGAACGCAGATGCTTACTATGCGCGTCGACCATCCAGTCATTATGATCATGATGACACCCGGTCTTCGACTTCCATTGCTAGCACACCGCCTCGCCATGCCGTTAACTCTCCTCCCCCAGACCCACCTATCACCGATCGTGATGCCCGCAGACATTCACCATCTTGCAGACGTGCGTCACCCGCCCATTCCGTAGCACGATCTAGAGCATCCTCGATATCTTCCGAACCCCCACTTAAAAGATTAAAGTCGAGATCTTCATCCCGATCATCTGCTTCTTCTCGAGATGATGAATCTGCTGTCTCCGCGCGTAATGGTCTTAAGGATATCGTGTCATCGAGACCACATCGAGCTAGCACAATTCAACAAGCACCCATGCATGTGTTGTCGCGAGGTCCTGATCGACCTGGTTTCACGCCGAACACTTCTGCTGGAAAGGGTTCTATACACCCTGAGCCTCTACCCCATGAGTTGCCGCACGTGGGTGCCAAACCGGTCCATCCTATGATGAACGGTGAGCTTAATGGTCCGCCTTTGGCATCGAACTTCCCGCGTTCTCCACCAAGTTTATTGTCAGGAGAAGGTACGGCGATTCATTTTGCTTGTCGATAACCTGAAGGCGTATACCAATTTTAGATATTGAGATGTCTCCTCCTGGGCTTATTTCTTCTCATGCTCTCCCTAGTGACGTGGACTTCGTTTTTTTGGGAGATTCAGCTGGCAAAGGGACTGAAACGCAAACCAACCAAACATCCCCTCTTTTCGTTGAAGTGCATGCCCAGCCCGTTAGTCCGGCTGTGCCCAGTCCTGCTTTGAAATCCGTGGGGGTGGCTGTCAATGACTCGCCGGCGTCCGCGACAGTGGCTCCTTCACCAGAATCAAGAACGTCGGAGAAAGATATTGATGCCGACTCCCCACGAACATTATCAGGAGACACTCCCTTGCTAAAGTCTGTTCCACAAATCATTACTACCAAGTCGGCTGGCAGTCCATCTCATGCCGAGGCAAGAGAACAATCTTTGACTCCTGCACTTGACGTAGAACAGCCCGCAACGTGGTTTTATGGTCGTCCATCTTTTGCAGATTCGGCCGCGAAAGCCCTCCGTTTTGTAGTCCTAACGAGGCTTCAATGTGATCGTCAGACGCGCGATGAGCGTGTTGTTCCGGTTCTTAGGGCCAATCGGGCGATTCGCGAGCCTTCTCTGCCTTCGCCAATTGACGCGCAAGACAAGCTGTTTCAGGAATTTGCAGCTGATCCAAGTCATCAGGACAGACTGGCTTCTCAGTCCGTCAGAACGTCCTTAACAGCGCACTTCCTAGAGCGAGAAACAGCCCTTCAGGAAAAGCAGCGGAAGCTGAGAGAAGAGTATCTTGAACTACATCAGCAATGGATAGCCCAATGTGCTCGGCTCGATAACGTGTCAAAAGGCGGTCTACCTGAGGAATTTATGCCAGCTTCTGCGGGCGGCAGGTCAACCAGACGATCGGCTGCCGTTTTGGGCGATGCTGTTCGCTCTGATCTCGAGATGGAGCAGATCATTGCGAATCTTGGGATGGAGGAGCTGACGGATCCAAGTTACTTGGCGATCAAGAACGTCGCAAAGATACCGGATATGGTTTCTGTCGTCGATGGCTGTGGACCATACTATTACGACGATACGAACAATCTCGCGGACGACCCCGCGGAGTTCTACAGCTCATCTTCGGCTCTTGACCTCTGGACGGAAGAGGAGCGCATTGTCTTCAAGGAGAAATATGCTGCCCATCCGAAGCAATTCGGACTTATTGCTCAACATCTGCCCAATAAGACTGCCGCTCAATGCGTCACATACTACTACTTGCACAAGCCACACGTCGACTTCCGTAAGGCTATTGCACAGTACGGTGCAGGTCGACGCCGGAGGAATGGCAGGGGAGCGAACAAGCAGAAAGGCAACGCGCTGCTTGCAGATATTCGCCGCCATGACGATGAAGTATTGGCTGCCCACCCCACCTCTTCGGCTGTACCCAGCAAGCGTAGGAGGGCAGCTATACTGCGAGCCAATATTGAACCTAGGAGAAACCAGTCTCGCCGGGGTACTGTCCAGCCTGACCAGACCCCGACGTCTTCTGGGACAACACCAGATCCCGAAGCAGATGAGCAGAAGCGCCGGCGGCGCTCCACTGCGGTTGCGCGTTCGTCAGGTCTTGCTCAAGAAGAGGCTGAACCTACTGTGCGTCATGGTACTTCCTACTTGCGCTTTTGTTCATATATATGTTTCGACGTAATCAGGAACCAGACGTTGAGGCTCCACCTCCAAAGCAAACTAGAAGAACCCGGAAGCCAAGAGCGCGCGCAGTCCCCACCCCGTCAGAGGAAGCCACCCCCGCTCCAGAACCCCTCGATTATTGCAAATCGTCGTCGATGCCGATACCATGGTCTAAAGACGACAAAAGTCAGGCCTCTCCCGTACAGCCTCTGAAATCGGCTTGCTGATCTCAGTCCAGGTTTGTTCCTTGAGCTTCTATCTCAACATGGTGATAATGTGCACCACATCGCTGCCTCCATGCCTCACAAGGTCCGTGGTGATCTGGTAGCAGGCTGTGGCGCCGCTTAGCTTGTCTGTCAGACTGCAGGGCAAGTCAGCCGTTATTATAGGAGTCACATGGATGAGTTGGCAGCTGTCTGCTGGGACTTCGACACTGTTTAACTATCTGATTCACTAGTTGTGCTGCAGTCCTTTCAGATGTTATTTCTGATTCGTATATCCGTAGTTTTTATCTCACCCACGTATGGTAGTTGCAGTAAATCCCTAATTGTAGACTCAAACAAACAGGCGCAAGGTACAAAGGTCATCGACGGCCCTCTACCATGATGATGTGGTATCCGAAATTCGTCTTAACCAAAGACGACAAAATGGGCTTGTCAACAGTTGACGGAGTAAGGGCGAATGCGGCATCTTGGAATGCACCCTTTATGACAGAGATAATAGGTTTTGCTTATCAGTCAAGGAATGAAACCACTTACGACCATAGACCCTCGCACCATCCATCCAAGACTGCCACCAGCTGGGACGAGAATGTGACATTCCGCCATTATATCTGGCGAGCAAACTCACCTTTAGCTTTGTCCTCCGAGTATTCTTGCGCTACCTTGTCGAAGCGCTGGCCCTCCTGCAAACCGCTTGTCAGAATTCATACACCCTCAGATAATAGCACATAGCACAACCTGGATCTTCTCCAGTGCCTCAGTCGCCTTGGAGTGTTTCTCGCATAGAATATGGCGGACGTTGATTGCAGTTGCGGCCTTCAAACCAGCCTTTCCCTGGACACGATTCGAGGTGTGGTTTTCATGAGATGCGACTGCTGTAGCTTACTTTGCCCTCGGATTGGTCACTTTTGTCGGCGTTCTTGTTTCCACCTTTCTTTTCTGCAGGCTTTTTCTCAGCCGACCCCGATTGTTTCTTGCCCATGGTTAGAGAAGCGGTGAAGCTTTGGCCTGTGTAGGGCTCTTCAGTACGTTGCTTGCTAAAAATAGACAGATTGATTTGCCGCCACAAACTTCCTAATGTACTCTATAGCAAAGTCTAACTTAGACTCATCTAATTGCCAGTAGAACACGGGCCTTATATCTGCAAACCGTGCCCAGGTGGACAATATTAATTGACCCATGCGACAGTGCTAAGGTAGAGGCCCCACTGGCAGACAGGCTGCCCAGGCATCTTAAAGACTTAACAACTCTTGCCTCTCTGACTCAGGCTGGTATTGTCTGCTGCATCCGGCCATCTTACCGTATGTTTTCATTAGCAATTTCTTTATAGCCCAGATCCCAGGAATAATTGGTTTGTTACGTGCTGCCAGCACACCCCGGATGCTGGTGCATACTACCCACACCCACACTTCACGGAAAAGGTGCCAAGGAACACCGAACGCTATGGGAGTCATATCTGATGCATCAGTAGAAAGATTCGACCCATAGGCACAAGGTACACGGTGCTTTTCAGTCAAGTCAGAGTCAAGTCTTCGAGTTGTCTTCTTGGTACGTCGTAGATGTGTTCGATGCACAGCTTATATATACCATATGATGAGGTTTGTCCAACTGGAGCGCACAACATTTATCTGTAGCGTGTCTGTCCACCAGGTGCGTCGTTCAGTGTACCGCAAATTACTCCCCAGTCTTCATCGGACAAATGACGATTCCCCCATCAAGTTTGACTGTGTCATCATCATTTTGCGCGCCATGTTCGTTTTCCGTTTACCGAGACCTTCTGCCTGAGTTTCTACTCAGTCTCTATTGGGAGACTTGACTCCCATTAGACGAGTTCCTACACAAGTCGTTCGTTCTTTTAACACCCAGAGATGATATATCAGTCTCGCCTCTGATTGGAGTGCCTTCGACTCAAAATGATGTAGGAGCTATGCGTTTACAAAGTAACAAAATGAATTGACACTTGTCCGATATTCGAGACCGCAAATAAATAAGTTTGTGACATGATGTACAACTCCAGACTGGGGAGGCAGAAGTTCTGACGACACACGAGAGCATAAATCAAATCAAGCAAACAAAGGAGAAACCCCGGAATTACATGGCCCTAATACAAGCCTTGTGCGATCAATGGGGGCTCAGGACGGGCCCACCTATAGGGCAGAAAATAAACGATGTGATCGACAATTGAGCGGGACGATCTGACTTACTTTTAACGTCCAGACTGCAGACGCCTACGCACACATGCTCGGACATCATTCTGAAGATCTACCTCGTCAATTGTCTTTGAGGAGCGTGAGTTACTCATTGCCGCAAGCACGGCGTCCTTGCAAATGATATATACATTCCTAGGAGCGAGGTTCCTGCCCTCAAGGTTCATTCGCACATTCTGGCGCGTTTCGTCGATGAACCTCCTCCGTTCTTTAGATCTGATTCGCAGAACACGAGAACGTGTCTCTTCATCGACGTCAGGATCTAAAGGGTCGAATCCTCTTGGCATTCTGTCCTGCACCATGTTATTGATGTGTTGGTCTGACTTGGAGCGAACGATTAACGCCTCAACAGTACTGAACTGCTCGCAGGCGCTGATGATGGCGAGGTCGGAGTCCAATACACGATTGTTGATGAGAATAATGATGCAATCGAATATGTAGAGGCCCATGTCATTGAAATACTGCCAATCAGGCACGTTTGGAGTGCCGGCTCCGGGAACGTCAAACCAAATGATCTGGGAGTTTGGGCGTGGATCGGGGTATCTTGTGACGGTATTGGTAGTTTCGACAATCCCCGTACGAGCGGCAATGGGATCATTATTGGACAAGCCACGGACGGCATTGATGAAGGATGACTTCCCAGCTCCAGCGGAGCCAACAACTGCAAGGTGAACGAAGTTTGGGCTATAACCATAGCGGGCCCTCATCCGAGCAACATCTTGATCTGAGGGGCGACACTCGGGGCGAACTCCTTCAAACCATCTGCGCTCAATTGCGAGCCTCTCTTCCTCTGCTCTACGAAGAGCTCCTTCAGCTTCATCTACCGCCCGTGCCAGTTCTTCCTGACGTCTCTGCGCATTTCTTCTTGTTTCATCGGCTGCACGCCTGGCTCTTTCCGCGGTTTCGGCTCGTCTCCGTGATAATGCGGCCTCCGCTTGGGCTGTTCTAGATATGCTTTCCGCATCATTCGCCCTGCGCCTCGCTTCTTCCGCTTCCTGTCTCGCCGTATGCACTATTGCGTCCAGTTCCCTTACCCTCTGATCTGTTTCATGTTGCGCAAATCTTCCAGAACCACAATGTTTTTCACCAACACCAAAAAATAAGCTGAATGGCAAAGCGAGTAATGGCAAGAATGAAGCAGCACCGCCCATGCGTGGCAAACAAATGGAGGGGGAGAAAATTTGACGCTCAGAAGGGCTGCGTAACAGGGAAAAAAGTGTTCTCCGCGTGCGTCTGATGCGACCTAGACTAAGATCAACCAATTGTAGACTACAGAGCTTCAAGCTTCGCTCACTTTTGTGTGTATTGCAATAATGTGAATGCAGCGTCCAGGTGGTGAGAACTTTGCAGGGAAGAAAAGAGACAAGGATTCGACAAGGGGAAAACGGGGATCTTATACTGATCCAGACAGAGGCCAGGCGCACACGTGACACGAGATCAAACCTAATAACGGCAGCCAGTCAAGTATCACATAGCTTCTGAGTGTTACGCCAAGTACACGTGGGGGGCAGAATAGAAGTACCCCTAATTTTTTGGATCAATACCACCAGAAATGATCAACCTGTACAAACCTGGTGATGATTGCCTCAAGCTGGATCCAGTGCTCTTCCAAAGCCTTGAAATCAACCACTGCCCTATCAATCTCCGCGTCAACAACACACCTGAAATGAAAAAAGGTACAGACCTGATCCACAAACTTCAAACTTCTTTACCGTCGGATGCCTGCAAACGCACCCCAACATGCACCCTACAGCTCCTCGCCTGGTTGTGAAGATACCATCTGGCGAGGTGGCTGCAAATAGATGTTCATCCATAACTCGATGGAGTGATCGATCGGGCACGAAGTATGCGATCGGTCACCCAGGATAGTATCAAATTAGCATGGTCAGTGCTACTGACAAGGGGACGGCGCTTGAGGCTGAGCGGAAACGAGAGAGTCGCGGCGTTGATTCTTGAACAAATTGTGTTCTTTTGCGTAGCACGTCCGTTAGATTGGCAACATCGTCCAACTTTCGAATGTCAAAGTCTGGAGTGAGCTACTCAAGTCTGGATGTTGCAGACTATTACATATGGCCACCTAGCATTGAACGTTGGACAGTGATTCTGATAGAGATGAAAACCGTATTATTCAAAGCCTATTAATCATGTTAGGTACAACCCCAACCCTCGCGGGAGTTCTAAATATGGCACCTACCTCTGTACCTCCTCTGCAACACTCACATTAATCCTCGTCGACATTCTGTCCGAGCATCTGGGTAGGGTCCATGGTGCTCTGCGCGTGGCAATCAGCTAATGTCTGCAGGGCTAGGGTGGCACCACTTCGTTAGTCCCAAGAAAGCTCGAAACCCGAAAAAATCCCAATCCCTCGTTCATGTTCCAGCCATTGGTCCAAAATGCGAGCGCCTAAATGGCCACCCTAATGCAATACTGACGCCCCCAGTTCTAGCTTTGCGGATGCTCAATCCGAAGTCCCGACGAATGTTGATGACGCTACGAGTTATACTTACCAACACCCGAAAGCTATACAGCATGCAGTTCGAAAGTGGTATTCATGTAACAAAAATTCGGGTAACTCTCTTATAACGGCGACCAGGCGATGGCCAGACATTGGGATAGCGAAGCACCGAGGCTGCCAATAACATAGTTGTGAAACTAACCCAAGCGTGAGAAGGTCGTGGAAATAGAAATAAAGAGTGACCTAATGACCATTGTCGTGCGGGGGATATGCACAGCAGAGAAACAGTACGAAACGAGCCCACAATGGGACAGGCGGGGATGGGACGACTGCTGTACCTGCTGTGGTGACATTAGTACCAGGAGTAGGAGGTGCCGAAGACGTCGATGCAGTGGCAGGCTGGGTGTGAGATGATGATGCCTGGGCTTGGCAGTTCAATTGAATATGTTGCTGTGTTTGTTTCGCCTTGTCACGTTCTGGCCGCCGAGCAACAAACAATGCCTAAACGGAATCATTGGGCCGCGGCGATGGGAAATGCACGCGAAGAAAGACATACCTGTTTGTCCCGTACTGCAGCAACTTCGACAATACGAGGACTGTGGTGAGAAAAGATGGTCCGTCTTGGGCGTTGCTGAAGTTCGGTAGATCCGTCGGTATTGGAGTGAGAGTTGTGGAAGAGCGATGAAATGCGAATGAGGAGCGCACGTGGATTTGCAGAAGAGGGTGCGAGAGCAGCACGGCGGCGGTAGGCAGAGAAATGGGTACCGCGCGTAGCAGAATACTAAGAGCAAGAGGTCAGACCAAGATGTGATTGATGAACTGTTGATTGAGAACGCACACGAACATCGGATTGCGCATCATTGAAAAACCCTGTTGGTATATGATCCTCCTCGGATTGTATAGCATTCGCCTTAAAATGTCGACGTTACGATGATGGAAAAAATCAAGAAACACGTCACGTACATCCATCAATGAATTTCGAGCTGGAACCTGTGAGTAGGAGATTAGCGAGGTCTTTAACGAAGAGCAATAAGATATAAACTCACAGACAGTAGATCTTCAAGGCCTAAGCCTTTTAGAATGGTGAGAATGTCCCATACATACACATTTCCGTCGTTGCAGCCAACGACTAGCAGCTTTGCATTAGCAGAAAACGCTGCGCACTTCACATCATCTTCGTGCTGGAGGAGTGAATTAACTGGTAGGTTCTCGTCCAGATTCCACAGACGTGCTGTTTCATCCCATGATACACTAGCAAGGAGGCGATCATTATAAGACAAGGAGATGGCATTGACCCAGTTTGTGTGACCCTCGAGAACGGCGATCTCCTGCCATGTGGTAGTGTCGAATATCCTAATTGGGCCAAATGACCCGGAGACAAGCTTTTCTCCATCCGACGTCCATGCCAAACTGAAAACCGCTCGATCGTGTTCGAGCGTGGCGAGCGGGTCGCCCGACATAGCATCCCAGATTTTTGCTGCGCTCTCATTTCCCCCGCCCGTCGCAATTTTTGTTGAGTCGGATGAGTAGATCACCACATAAACATAGTCGTGACCGGTCTCGGTTTCCAGGACTGTTTCGCCGCTTTCGACATCCCAAACTCTGGTAGTCCCGTCCTCGGATCCGCTCAGCACTCGCCAACCATCTGCACTCCAGCACACTGACCGCACAACCTTAGTGTGCCCCGTCCATCTGACGATGACCGTCCCCATCTTAACATCCCACAGCCTCACTGTTCCATCACAGCTTCCACTAGCGACAGTGTTGCCGTCTGGAGACAATGCTATGCTGTACACTGCTGTTTCATCCACCTCATCTCGAAAGTCGTCAGCGATCTGTGCTCCGCTCTTCAGGTCCCATAGTCGGAGTGAGTGATCAGTCGAACATGTGATGATGCGCTGTTCGCAGGGCAGGTGCGCAACACCTCGTACCAAGCCGGTATGGCCTCGAATCGTCTGGCAGGGCGTGATTGCTGGCGCCCCTTGAGTCTCGGCGGTGGGGGAAGTCATGGTCGACGTTCGGGGTCTCAACTATGGCAGATCTTTGACGGTATTGGAATTATCTGGGAAGGGGGCAGGTTGCTGGAGAGTCGACTGGTCTATTTTTCACTTCAGCTCTTTTCAATAGAGCATTGCTCATGAGACAGACTGCTTACATGAATTCAGTCCTCGCTAACAAGACAGCTGCGCTTCAGGATTATCTATGCAAGTGCTACCGGGGCGCGATTTCAGCCGATGATTATAAGTGAGCGGTCAGCTTTGCCTTACAGAGGCGACTAGAATATCACTCACGAGACGCAACGCTTAGATGGGCTCAGAGCTCAGGTCACCAGCGGGGCACGCAAATTGTAAGCTGAGACAATGTGCGTTATGGTTGGGGTCGGGGGGTTTGTCCAGGTCTTTTAAGGTCCGTACCATGTGTTATCCTCGTGTTCCCTTCACAGGTCAAGACGAAGCGCTCAGCATCTGCGATTGGTGCTGTGTGGCTTCTTGTATGTACCGAACAGCCTTGATGGTTGTGACAAGGGTGCTACATTTCCTCTCCATTTCACTTTCTTCTTCCAGCCTATCGTTTTCAAGCTTGATTGTACGCAACCTTTCAGCATGTTTGTGCACCGCGGTGCAGCGTGCATTGACCGCGTGCTCTATTGCGAAGCCTGCCTAAGCTAGGATGGTCATATTGTTTACGAGGAATCACCCACCTGTGGTTCTACACGCCGTGACAGTCCTACAGCTTGTTTCTTCCCAGACTTCCGCACAGCTCACTGCCTGGATTTTCCTGGGTATCCATTGCCTGTAGCTGACGAAAACAGAGGTGATCAGCATCAGATTCCTGAAGCTGTATTTTTTAAACGGTTAGCAGTGTTAAAGGGCACAGCCACCCATCATCACGGAGATACATCTCAAGCTTCAGGAACGGACCGTCATTGCCCTCAGCGAGGACGGAGCGGTGCTGCTTCAGGTTCCGAGCACTTTCCCTGAAATTCATTCAGTCCTGATCTCGTCCAAGGAGAACTCCAAGCAACGAGGCAGGACTCAGCATTCGCTAGGCATATTAGGGGCTGGGCCTCAAGGGTGAAGACCATGCTGTTGCAAGAAGTGGGTGCATCCGCAAATTGTATTTAAACACCGTCTTCCTCCCATCAGCCAAAGTGTTTGCACAACGTATTGGCTGTCTCGGTTTTCAACTGTACTCTCTTGCATCAATCAACAGCTGCTAATTGGTAATACTATGGCGAACCCAGACAGGGAAATTAGAATTGCGTAGGTACTTTCCATGTTTTCAGGTTAACGTACTGACGCTTTTTTAGCGTCATGGGTGTAACCGGCAGTGGTAAATCCACGGTATGTACGGTCTGTTTGCCCTGAATCACATGTTGATTATTATTGCTGGACACAGTTTATCAACAAGGCTAGCGGGTCGAACCTTCCTGTCAGTAGCGGCCTCGAGAGTTGCACCCAAGAGGTGCGAACTTCTAAGCCATTCGTCGTCAGCGGGCGTGTCGTGACCCTGATCGATACACCGGGGTCGGACGACACGACCCGCAGCGACGCAGAGGTTTTGTCCATGATCGCCGCATATCTCTCCAACACGTACGTGGTTCCATGCAATGTATTTCCTCGGGCTAAGCGTTTCTTCAGCTACGAGCACGGCTCCAGGCTCGCAGGTGTCATCTACATGCACCGCATTTCCGATTACAGGACGGGCGGCAAATCCCAGGGCAACTTCAAGATCTTCCGTGAACTCTGCGGAGATAGCTCGCTCAAAAACGTTCTCATCGTGACCAACATGTGGTCAAAGGTGAAACTCGAGATCGGCGAGGCCAGAGAGGCCGAGCTTGCGAGCAAGGACAAATTCTTTAAGCTCATGCTTGAGAAAGGTGCTCGGATGCTCCGCCACGATGGTACCATCGAGTCCGCACATACCATCCTCCGTTATCTCATCAACAGCCACCCCGCTACGCTCCGCATTCAGCGGGAAATTGTCGACGAGCACAAGCCCATAGAGAAAACCGCTGCAGGCTCTGAGCTCAGGCGCGCCCTCGACGAGCAGGCGGACGGCCACAGAGAGGAGATCCGTAATCTCCGAGCAGAGATGGAAGCCGCTATGCGGGCCAAGCACGAGGAGAGGAGAAGCGAACTTCAAGAAGAGCTCGAGAAAAAGCAGCAGGAATGTATGCGCATTGAGGAAAACTCTCAGCGCATGGCATCTGAGTTCGCTGCCGAACGCACACGTCTTGAGGCTCGAATCTTGCAGATGGAAGACGATCACCAGAAGCAACTGGAGGTGCTGGAGGGCCTTCAAGGAGATATAGCCAGAGTCCTGAGCGAGAAAGAGCAGCAGGAATCTCTGCACATTCGAAAGCAGAGCGAAATGCTTGCTGCTAAGCAGGAAGAGGACGAGCGTCGAGCTCGCGAATTGGAAGAAGAACGCAAGGCAAGAGCACTGGCAGAAGAAAGTCACCAGACGCACATCCACAGTCTCCTGGAGGACGTGGAAAAGACACGCACCGTGAAAGAGATAGGAGACGTCGCTCATGCCGAACAAGTCAAGCGAGAGCGAGCAGCGCTAGAGGCTGAGCAGCAGCGACAACGCTCCGCCATGGAAGCAGCGAAAAGGGAACGTGCTCGCGGGAGGAAGCAGAAAGAGCACGCCTGCAAAAAGAATTCGCGGAGAGAGAGAAAGAATTAGAGGAAGTTAAGGCGTCTCATGCACAGAAGGAGGTAGAGAGTGCCGCAGCAAAGCAAACCGAGGAAAACATTCGAATACGTCTCCTTGAACAGCAAGAACTAGCACGAAAAAGCAAAGAAGAGCTGGCTCGGGTGCGGGGGGACATGGAAAAGGCGTACGCCATCCAAGAGCATGAAGCAGCATTGGCTAGGCAAACTGAAGAAGATGCACGCGCACGACTGCTCACAGAGCAACATGAAGCCAAATTATGCAATGAAGCAGCACATAGGAAACGGCTTGAAGACGAGCTCCGAGGTACTCGCACTCAGTTGGAAGAGCAAAAACAAAAGCGAGCGATTGGTGATCGAATATTCTATTTTTGTGTCGATTTTTTCTTTTTTCTTTTTGTTTGCTTTCTTCTTGGTGACCCTAAAGCCAAGGCGTAGCCCTACTCCGATTCATTGTCACATACCGTCTGATGTTTGCAATTGATCTGATCTCTGTATATTTGTTGCCGAGACGGATCAGGATGCTGTTGGAAATCATGGATTTTAGCGCGCAACGACACAATGGTCGAGACTCGAGCTCGTTGTTGAGGACAGCGAGTTCAAATACTCTCCCAATCCTTCACCCTTTGCCTAGTTCTTTTCTATAATAAATGGTTATTTGTTACTAGTTGATTATGCTTACTCTTGGACAACACGGATTGGGAGAGTATTTGAGTCGGTCGCGCGCTAAAATTCATGATTTCTAAAAGTATCCTGATCCGTTTCGGCAACGGTAATTGCACATTTTTCTTCGTCATCGACTGTCCCCTTTGAAACTCTTATACCATGACATCAACGCAACTGGACTCGTATGGAATGGATAGACTTTTCACGTCGTTCTCAGCGGTTGGATTGTATCTACGCTGGATGCTAGCCTCGCCTGACATCATGGAGTGTGCTAAATGAGTAGTATGAGCAATACAAACCGGCCAACAACCTCGTGGTCTAGGGCTCGCATGTCCCCTCCAACCTTGGTGTGCCACTTTCGCTGATATAACTGACCATAGCAATGATTAGACAGCCCCCCCATGACCTGAACTCCATTTTTACTCCCCATTCCTCGCCACTCGGCCGATCTTCGCTTATCCTTAAATTATCATTTGCTTCAACGCATTCACGTGTCTATCACTGTCGGCCCAGGGAGATGCTGGAAGCGGATTGTCCAAGACCTATCATTCGATAGTCATGTAGTGCGGGGCGTGGCCTTGTAAGACTTCCACAGAGACTTGCGGGTGTGTTTTTAGTACTTATCGTCCGTTTATAGATCGATAGATGAATAACTTGGACCACCACGGAAGAAAAGGGAATCCTTCGAGCTCGACTGAATGCTGGGGCATGTAGAAGTCGTTAGCAAACGCGAAATATCGCGGCATGAGTTGCTTGATCATGGAGACGAACCTTTCAGTGAGTAGTCTACTTCGCATTCGTGCATGTCTATTAATTTGTCACAGATCTGTCCTTTCCACATGTTCTTGGTGTCTGCCCTTCTCTCACGCTGAAGGTCGATGTTGTGCAGACTTGCGGAAATCATGATGGTACACTGCCGGCCGCCAGGCCTTGATTTCCTACCAAAAGATGCATTTTACAGTCCAGTCGTGGGAGTAAGGTTTCTCAACACACAAACACAGGCAAGCGTGTCTATAACCTGACTGATGCTGAAAAGCAATTCCGGTTCATTGTCCAGGTGGCCACCCTGCCCGCACTGTCGCTCTCACTAACCTCGCGTGGACCCGCATTCAAGGTCACATTCACAAGGACCTTCAATGCATTGGCTCTACTATATCTCTATTCCGCGACGCCCTTGCATTCCCTAACCAGGCGCTACTACAGCAGGAGACGTACTGGTGTCGACATCCGCGAAGTCGCCCAACTCTATTATGAGCTACTGGCAATCTATTCCGAGTAGGCGCAGGGCAAGGCAAGGTGCTTGGCACTGTAGACAGCGAGTTTGAACTAGTCCATCAATTTGTTCGCCAAGTTCAGTAATCTACATGGGCCGCTGTATTTGATAATTTATGATGCAACACCTGGATGCACCTCGCTTGTCATGGGAAGCAGGACCGCAAGCAGCCTTACAACTCACGTTTCGCCATGAAAGACAAACCTCCGATGCTGCTCGACACCATGGAGAACGAGTCTCCGCACGCTGAATTCGCATTCTTATCGCCGTCTGTGATGAGGAGATGCTCGACCAAGTCATCCACCTCGCAGCTGGTCTCCGGTTTTCGGGATTCAAGAGCGTCATTAGCACGTCGACGACGCTGTCGCAAAACACGTTGTCGAAGCTTTCTACGAGAAGATGTTTGAGGATTTGAAGGAGGATGTCATGGACTACACTCGGCGGTATGTACACTTCACCATGCTGCATGCGCCGTGAAGAAGAAAGTGCCGTTCGAGCAGAAGACCGTTTTCCTTCATAATGGTATGTGGTTCCTGTCGTATTACTTTCATCTGGTACAGTTTTGTAAATTGGCTCCTACCGTATATCTTCTTTCACGCTGATAGTGATGAGATGTCGACATGAGGGTGACTTAGAGTGACAATCAATCGCATGTTTCAAAAAAAACCGCTAGTGGGTAGTATTGGCGTGCGGTGCAGCGCAAATGATAGATACTGAATGATCAACACATATCCGATCGCGAATCGTAAGTCTAGTCGCTACAGTAACTTAACATATAGTTCCGACTGGCGATGGCCACCAAGCGTGCCCAGCCCAGTAATTTTCCTCTCATCATATGCCATGACTGCCAAAGTCAGAGCTATTAACTCCTAGTCCTTGTACTCTTCTATGTCGTGACTACCTTGTAGCGTCCACTTAGCAGCCACCGGCGCATGGCGGAAAGATCCATTGGTGGCGCTTCTAGCAACGATCTTGGGAGGAGGCATTGTGCTCGACGAAGGTCGAGGATAGTCGAGTTCCTCGGGCTCTTCGACGACGTTATCTGTGTATCTCGCACTCTCCATGTGTTCTGTGTAATGTGAACTAGGCGATATTGCGGCGCCCGCGTCATTGGCTTCTATTTCTATTGATGTTCGTCCTTCAGTCCTGGACAGCATGGTGGCCGTGGTTGAGAGAGCATAAGAATGCAAGTCTTTTGTTTTGACCGCTGTCTCAACTATCCCTTCTGCCGCGGAACATGAGGGAGCAGTGACATGTCCCAATGGGATAGCATCAGATTCGCAGTGAGCCACTGCAGTAGACCGATCTTGGGATACGGTCTGGATATAATCTCCGAGTTGCTGCGTGGGATTGCTGCCTTGTGTTTTCAGAGGTGAATCCACAAAGGCGGTGGGCTGGCGTGACCAAGTTGGAGGGATAGAAGAGTTAGGATGATCTTCATGACCGTTCACGCCTGGTATTTCTAGTTGGTGATCGCGTGAAGGTGTCAAGTGAGATATCGATATCCTGTGCATTGAAGCATCCGCCTCGACGTTTGCTTGCGAGAGGCCTGTGTGAAGGCTGATGTCTTCAGGATCGGGTTGAGGCTCGCATCTTTGACCTCTTGTCATCTCCGCGAACCTCATGATATGTTTCCAAGTGTGAGCTGGTAGGGACGATAGTTGCTGGCCAACGGTGCGCCACCACCAGCGTTCTCCTTCCCTGATGCGAATGATGCCGTTTGATATCATCACGAATACGATCGATATCACAGTACCAACTACGGCTCTGGAAGTTGTATCCCCGGCACCGCACCAATCGATCGAGAATGCCACAAAGAAGAAGAGCATCCTAATTTGAAGTCAGAACCTCCACCTGATACATTATAGTACAGACTCACCCCCACATGAGCAACGCCTTGGGGACGCTGTAAATTATGGCCAGCTTTTCCAGTCCGTGCTTTTGGTCGTGAAGTCTTGATGCAAATAATACCTGAATCAGCTACCAGTAAGAAACATTCAAGTTATACAGCATGAATTACTGACTGCTTCATAGGCCGTATTGTCTCCAGACGTTTTTTCATGCCAGACCAAGAAGATGCCGAGAACAATGCTTCCCACACTTGTGACCAGGGACAGGTAGCTTGCCATCTGAATGGCAGATCTTCCGCCCCTATCAACAGTGTTGATAGCGAGAAACCCAACATTAACATTGAGCAAGACAGTGGCCTACCAATGGCTCAGCGTTAATTTTATGTGACACAACAATACAAGGTGGATTTACCAAGAGATTGGAGTCCTGAAGCTGCCCTTTCAATTTTGAACTGAGTGCATTCCACCGTGCCGTGGAAGCAATTTCGTCTACAAAAACCCTGTGCAGTTTTTGGACTTGAGTTACGGGGTCCAAGAAAAGTAGGGGTGCGACCACGATCATCAACAGTGATGGCTTGTATTCCCATCCATGGACTGTCTGTCCGGATTCCAGTCTCACGCAATTCTCCCCATGAAAATTGATAAATTGATTTTCACCTGGAAAATCATCATCAATTCCAGCTATGTACAAATGAGAGAGCACTGACTGAATAGCTGCATAATGCGGCCTTATAATAATCGATGTGAGAAAAGGCTTAAGCTCAAATTCAAGTCTCACCGATGACGATAGCAGCGTGACATCGTTTTTTATGCTGGTCCTCAGGGGAGTAAACTTTGAGATCCTGGGTTAGCAAAAAGGAAGTATCAACGAGGCGCACGTACTCTTGATTCCGTCTACCACAGAAATGTAGTCCTTGAGTTCGATGACATCACCTAGTGCAGAAGACTGCTTCGATGTTATGTGATCTATCGTTACGACCGAACACATTAGGTCAAGTTACAAGGCCTAAAAGAGTACTGACCACACATCGCATGTATCAACATATCCTTAACATCATTGACATGATCTTGTGAAACTGGGCACAGGCTAGGGAAGTATGTCCAGTGTAGCCTACGTTGTTTGTTAGATAACTTGCATGTAAACCTGTAATTTTATCAGGAATGGGACGGTGTGGTCAACAATGTCGTGCGGACCTTTCCTGAAACACACCAGTATTGTGCCTGAATGGCAAGTCCTGTCGATGAGCAACAAAACAAGTCATCAAATACAAACCCGCTGAGAACTATGATCCACCCACGTATATGTGAAAGACTCTTGACGCCTTTACAATTCTCTAGAATATCTTTGACATTAAACTCCACCAACCAAAAGAGGCACCTGCCACGGTGGTTGACGAAATAATAGCAACAAACGACAGAACCATCAGACTTGTCGCTGTCTTTTAGCTCAAGCACAAGGTCCACTTGCATCATGTCGAGATCAAGTTCCTCCTGCTCGACTAACAACTCGAGCCCACTCAGTAAGTATTTCATGTGGTATTCGATGCGCCCGTGTATTTGTTCATCACAAATATTCATTTCTGTGAATGTTCTCTGCATATTTCAACCATACTGTCGGTCTTCCATAATCGATGAACGTCGCGCACTTTTTCTTCGTTTAGAAAGTAGCGAGAACCTTCTGGGTGAACGAGCGGGATCCATCCCAGGGGTACCCTTGAAAGAGTTGATGCAGGGAAAAATGGTTCAAGTACAACTTACTTCGAGCTATACTCAGGAAACGTGATTTTCATAGCAGGGACAGTAGTTTTGGTAATGTCGGTGGCCCTTTCACAACGTCAGCACCTGACTGCAGGCAACAGAGAAGACTCATATTCACCGGGGAATACACCTTTCATACCGCATGACTCCTTCCGCAACCATAGGACACAATCCTGGGCTCTCACCCTGATGGACTTCGACAATATCCTGGCCCGGCTGCTCGTCGCTGCCGGGCGGAACAGTGAAATGAACAGGATGGATGATACCAGGATCTGATAATCCATTGTGTAGATCCACGATGGAACTATGGATAACAGGTGGGAGATGATAAACAGGCCCCGTGTGCGGTCGATATACATCTTGTCCACAATGTGACCCAGCAATCGATCGTGTAAGGGAGCGACCGCTGCCTGCCGAAAGAAGACTACGTCGGGAATGAGTCATGTCAGGCGCCAGATGCCTCGTGGATGGCGCGCGCGTTGCAGCAACCCGAGAAAGAGCAGCATTCGTGTATATTTGTAATCGTGAATGTGACCCTGACAATTCACGAAGGCCTGAAGGGTGTGATGGGCCTGGACTGCTGGACCCTGGTAATGGGCCATCAGGGAACGTCCCGTTGCTCACTGAGCTCTCTCCCGTCTGCAGAGACGGGTGAAAACTTGACGTAGAGCCCTGGTAAAATTCTGCGGTACTCCCATTCGGTGTCATCGTATTAGTCTGTGACAAAGGCATAGCTGTACCCTTTCGTATATGTTGTGAGTACTGTGAATGGGGATAAGGATCATCCGAAGGAGACGGAGACCCTCCCATTTGACCAGGAGGCAGAAGATTCGGGCAAATAGGTGCATTCTCTCTCGCGATGTTCCCCTGGGATCGCGGGAGAGTGGCAGCGAACAACCTCCGACCACGTGCACCGAGATCTGAAGCAAAGCGGCGGAGCAAAGACAAGAAAAAGGATACTGAACTCGCAGAGCGACATGCAAGCTGCGAAAGATACTTTTTCAGTGTGTTGAGAATGTGGCGAAGGAATCGTGCTGTTATCATGGCGAGAGCGGTTAAGTACCATACAGGCAAGGAAAAAGAAGGGGAACAATATTGAGATCATGGTGTCAATTAGATTTAAGATACCCTAGGGACCATCCGAGAGGTACCCACGCGTTTGCACTACCAGGGGTCCGAGAAGCATGCATTACGTTTATTTCAAGAAGATATCGGGGTACCAAGAGAGATATTGCTGAAGGGAGTCTGAGTTCCCCGGGCTCTTCTTGGCTTAGTTCACACTCCTTTTCTTCTGTACGTGATGAAGCATATGGGAGCAACCCTGTCGGTGATTATCACTGCAGCCTCGTGTCGGGACAAAAACAGTCTGAATGACTTGTGTATGTCATCTCGAATGTCCTGCAAAGAGGCTATGCCTGACATAAAATGTCAGCAAGGAAAGCCTTCAGGCCGCTGTGGTGGTGTGGTTTTTCTGCTCCTCCAGTATGAGCTGAGTAAGTGTGGTGAATCCACAGAAGTGGGCCGGCATGACCGAATCGGGTTAGAAGGGCTGGGGTGAATTTCCGCGCCTAGTATTTCTGATTGAGGTGAGGTCGATGAATGAGAGGTGCCGCTAATTACAGCATTCGCCTCGATGTTCGCTGGGGAGACGTCTGTGGGAATACCCATCTGAACCAGACTGGCCCCTTCAGCGTCGGATCGCGGCTCGCCGGTGACTTCTCTGTGGCAACGTGTCACCACCATAAATTCCACGACCTGCTTCCAAGCGTCAGCTAGGCGAGATAATAGCTCCAGGCCGACGCCTCCATGCAGCGGATTTATCTGCCAGTCGGCTTTCCTGATGAGAATGACGCTGTACGCCACCATTACGAATACGACCAGTATCACAGTACCAACAATGGCCCTGGAAGATGTATCGCCAGGACTCCACCAATCTACAGAGAACGCTGCGAAAAAGAAGACCATGCTAACATATCTGAGTCAAGGGGTCTGCTTATTACACGGCACAGACTCACCCCCAGATGAGCAACGCTTTTGGGAGGCTGTAAATGATGGCCAGTTTTTCAAGCCCATGTTCTCGATCGTGAAGTCCCGATAGAAAGATTTCCTGATCAAATTATCGTAAGATGCATCATGGTCATACAGCGTTGGAGCTGACCGCGTGGAGGTGAGTACCTTGGCCCATGGTTCGATTGTGCGAGACAAGCAACAAGCCAAGGATCATACTTCCCATGCTCGCCACAAGAGACATGTAGCTTGCCACCTGAGTGGGAGATCTACCACTCACGTCGACGCTGTCGATAGCGAGAAATCCAACATTGGCGTTGAGCAAAACAGTGGCCTGATTCAATATTAATCATATGCCAATTTACGGGAATAATAAAAGTGAATTTACCAAGAGATTGGAGTCCTGGAGCTGCCCGTTCAATTTTGAACTGAATGCATTCCACCGTGCCGTGCAAGCTATTCTGTCAACGAAAACCTTGTGGAGGTCTCGGACTTGAGTCACAGGGTCAAAGAACAGGAGGGGTGCGAGAATGACCATCAATGGTGATCGTTTATACGCCCAACCATGAACTGTCTGTTCAACGACAAGTCTCGCGCAGTCCTCCCCGTGATAATTCACAAAGTGATTGTGACCTTCAAAAGTACCATAAATTGCAGCTAGATAGACAAATGAGAGGACGCTGACTGAATGTGTGCATGATCCGGCCTTGAATCATAATCAACGTTGGGACAAGATGAAGCTCGATTTCAAGCCTCACCGATGACAATGGCAGCGTGACATCGTTGCATACTCTGGTCCGCGGGGAGGTAGACTTTGAGAAATGGGATTAGCGCATGGTTTACGCGAGGAGGTATCGAGGTAGCATACCCTTGATGTTGTCTACCACAGAAAGGTGGTCCCTGAGTTCGACGACATCAAATGCCGCAGAAGACTGCAGTGATGTTAAGTGGTCTGATCGTAGCAACATAATCATTAGATCAAGGTACTAGGCCTCAAAAAACACTAACCACATGTCGCATGCACCAACATATCCTTGACCTCATCCACAAGATTTTGCGTAACTGGGCACAAGCTAGGAAAGCAACCCCAGTGTCTCCTGTGTGATGTTCGTTTACTTGAATACCAACCTAGAATTTTGTTAGGAAATGGGACTGCAAAGTAGATGGTTCGCACAGACCTTCACTGGAACACACCAGTATTGCGCTTGAATAGCAAGCCCTGGAGATGAAAACAAGAAAAAGTCGTCAGATTCAGACCCGCTGTCTCAGAACTATCAATCACCCACGTATGTGTGAAAGATTCTCAACGCCTTTACAATCGGAGAGAATATCTTCCGCATTGAAGTCGTCCAACCAAAAGAGGCATCTGTCGCGGTGATTGGCGAAATAATAGCAACAGACGACAGAGTCGTCATCAAATGTTTTTGGCTCGAGCACAAGGTCAACCTGCTCCATGTCCAGCTCGAGGCTCCCATACTCAACGGCCCGTTGGAGTTCATCCAGCAAGCACTGCATGTAGTATTCGATGTCCTCACATGTTTCTTCGTCACAAATATTCATTTCTGTGAACGTTCTCTGCGGGTTGTAGCCCCAACTTAGACGGTCAGTCTTCAATAATTCGTGGACTTGACGCACCGTTTCTTGGTGCACAAAGTAACGGGATCCTTCTGGATGCACTAGCGTGAACCATCCTTGGGGCATAGCCATACTTGAAAGAGTTTAGATGCAGCAGAAAACGGGTCAAAGCAGACTTACTCATGCGCAGGAAATGTAATTGTCATAGCAGGGATGGTAGTTTTGGAAATGTTAGGGACCCTTTAAACACGGTCAGCTCTCAAGTAAAGGCAGGAGAATAAACTCATGTTCACCGGGGAATACTCCTTTGGTATCGCCTGACGTCAGTTGGAACCATAGGGGCTATCAGCAGGCTGTTATGAATCATGACAACCTCTGGGCCCGGTCGCTCGTCGCTGTCTGGCGAAACAGTGAAATGAACATGACGGTCGATTCTAGGATCTGACATTGGTGCTGCCTGGGTAGGCGAATGCAATGGAACAGAACGCGTATCCGGTGATCTACGGCGCAGAACGCTAACCAGGCGAGGATGGGCACCTGAGTGTCGTTTTGCCGTTATATTAGTCGACAAAGGTACCACTGTATCCTCTCGTAAAGGCCGTGAATATCGTGAATTGGTTCTTGGATAAATATCATCTGGAGGAGATAGTGCCTCCTCTGCAACCCCCAGCCCTATACCGGCAGGCAGAAGACTAGGGCAAATGGGCTCATCATCTCTAGCGATATCACGTTGGAATCGCGGGAGGGCTCCACTAGTAAAGCGAGTCCGAGCGATCAAACTCCACGCTCCGAATTTTGAACGGCCTACTGCAGCACGGCGGAGTAAAGAGAAGAGAAACAAGCAAAAACTAGCAGAGCAGCGTGTCAGTCGTGAAAGCCATTTCTTCAGTATGTTGAGAATGCGGGATAGAACTCGCGCCGTCATCATGAGCAGGATTGTACAGTTGCAAGCAAGAGAAAAGAAGATAGTAGCACTGGCACTCCGCGAAGCACGCGTCAGGTTTATTTCAAGAAAACGGAGATCTTGGTATTGATAAGAGAGAAGAACACAATCGTAGTCCCAGTAGTATGACCTGCTGTGACGAAGGAACCCAAACCAAGCAGAACTGTTTGATCGGTTAGATGCGTACGATAGGGAAGGAGGAATAATACCAACGTATCGGAAGTCCCCCATATGCCCATCGGCGTTAGCAACAAGTTTGATGCATCAATGATAGGATGTTCTCAACTTCTCCGAGTCAAGAATCATCTTACTTTGGATCAAAGTGCCAGAAGATGTGTTCAATGTGATAACATAATGCAATATGGCTGCACAACCAATGTCAGGGAAGGTTTGAATGAGGAGTCTATGTGCAGGCAGCAACAGTACAATTGTGCATATGATACCGTTTCATTTTCATTATGTGGCAGTCCGAAACCAATCAAAAGGCGCATGTTTACCTGTGTTTACCACTACCAGCCACAGACGCGTTGCTTCCACTGACAAAAGTGATATTGACAAGTACTGTCTACAATCAAATCCCAGTCTCGAGTTCGCCATGAACGAACATATATCAATGCGTGTCAATTCCGCTCGTCTTTCCAGCATAAAGGGAAGGACAGTCCGTCTCCCATGCAAAGTCCTTCGGGTCAGCTAGTTCTCATTCACGTCAGTCATGTACGCGTCTGACCCCCCTTACTTTTATCCAGCTATCAGATGACATCGCTATCGTCGAAGCGAGTGATGGCGGCCAGGTAGAGATCCAAAGGAAGGTCAGAACTCGTTTCACTATCACTCTCGACTTTTCACAACTCACATCGTCGATGGTAGAATGTGGATGTGACTGCCACCTATGTCGAGGTTATTGGAAGCGTGGTGGATGCGTCCACAATAAAAGCCATGGCGACCCTCCCGTTAGATTCAGAAGGCGAGCTAGGTATGATTTTTACTAGATGGCGCGACCCTGCTCGTTCTCATTCCAGTAATACAGATATGCAATTGGTCAACGACGTGATTGAGCTCACGTTTGAATCGAGGTTCGATAAGCTCTTCCCTCGATACAAAGAGACAGAGTCCGGCTTTCCTACACATTGATTATCTACCAGCTGCAGCATATAGGCACTTCCTGTTGTATTTTACCGGACATCGCACCACATAAATTGAGAAAGCATCTGCATACATCACCCCTATACATCAGGATGGACCACCGGCTTTGGCCATCTTCTTGTCATGTCCTCTTTTCCGATTGTTGTTCCCTCTGCTAGCTTTGTTCTTGTCTTTCCATGCTCGCTCTTTGGCGTCACCGCCGTCTCCAGACCCTCTGCCGCGCCCCCTTCCTCTCCCTGCCCCGCGCCCACCCCTGCCTCTTCCGTGATCCCCGCCGCGGGACGATGAGCCAGAACCACCTGCGTTTCCAGGGGTTGACAAATCTCCTGGTCTGTTCCCAGAAAACTCGTGTTTTTGTAGGATCTTGTCCTTGTTTGGCTGAGTGATAGAAGTATTAGTATCGACCAGTGACACGGATAATGATAGAATACATTTCGTTCCAGCATGATTTTCCATCCTTCGATTTGCTCATCAGACCAGCCTGTGTGTGAAATCAGCAACGCAGCTAATGAGAATAACAAAGGACTTACCGGACTCTGCTTTAAGCTCACTGCGTGCTTTCGACCTCCGCGTATTAGCATCTCTACCGAACAACTCCGGATCACGGATATATGCAAGTTCCAGAACAGTCTCCGGATTGGGTTTCACCGGCGGTGCCCCATCCTCGTCACCATCGTTTTCGCCCTCGCTACTGGCTTCTCCATCACCGATAACCTTCACCTCGTCCCCAAATTCAAGATCATCCACTTCGGCAGCCTTACCGCCATCATCATCATCATCTCCGTCAGACATGGCCTCCGCACGTCGCAGAATGTCAGCTTTCATTTGCTCGATGGCTGCTCTGTCCCTGAGCACTGATGCTTCATCTTGGCTATAAGGCAGAACAGTGAGTAACCAGATATATAAAGGAATATCCCTCCGTACTTTTTCTTCCCCAGACGAATCTTGCTAACATCCAAGATTTCGTCATCAAACACGTTCCTTCTCTCAATGGGCTCATTGACGACGGCATGGGCACCTTTGCTCACACCTACATCCTCCGCAAGCAAAGGCTCTCGAGGTGCAGTGCCCTCCAATAGCGCCTCGATGACCTTTTCTGCATTTTTTAACACAGATTGCGTAAGCAGCGTCTGGATATACGCGCGCGACTGGTCCGGGAAAATTTCCATGACCTGCAAGATCTCCAAGTCGAGATCGTGTGGCTCAGGTGCAGGGCGAACTTCTTTAGCTTTGCCCTTGTTTGAAGACTGAGCCGCTTTGCTCTTCTGAGAAGCAGAAATGCCAGGCGGGACGCCAGATGACTTGATGATCAGCTTGAGGGCCCCGGGATCTTTAGTCCCAGCGTTCGAAGATTCGATGTCAAAGGAACGAAGGGTGGATTCGAGGAGGTCGACTCGAGCATCCTCACTTGCAGCACGGCGTAGAGCAGTAGTAAGAGTACTAGACAAGTTATACGAGTGTTGATAGTCGGCCATCAACGATCGGCTGAGGAAAGGAGCAGAGGTAGGAGTACCGGTCGCTTGTACTACTGGTGGGGGTGGGAGGTCCAATAATGCGAATACAATGCCGAACGTCCGTTCTGACTCTGCTGCCAACGCTGCGCCGGACGCAACTGATAAGTCTTGCAGCATGACAGTGACAATGATGTGGAAGCTGTCGATGAGGTCGACCTTGGTTTCAAGCCAGATGCGCTCCCAGTCATCCAATTCACGTGCACCGACGTCCGTGCGTAGTCCACCGTACGAACGTGCTAGTGCCGTAAGTCCTTCTTCATATGCTTGTGCCAGTCCTACCATAAAATCCTGGTCCCTCGCGAATGGACGCACAAGCTCGGGGGGACATCCGGAGAGCAGACTGACAAAGCAGCGTGCGGTTTTGCGGAGGCCGTACAAACCCGCGGAGTGGGATGGACTGAGAAGAGTGGTCAGAACAGGCACCATATCTGAGGTGAATACAGCAGCAAGGCTTGGCGTGCTAGTGAGAGCTGCGGCGAAAAGGGCACGGACGCGGGTTGGATAAGGAAAGTAAGCGATGGCGACGTCCAAGAGTGTCTTCACATCGAAGTAAGAAGGTACGATGGCTAGCTTCTCCGCAAGGAGCAGGACGCGTGCGTGTACATGGTTGTCTGAATACGGGGGAGCTTCCCAGATCAGAGATTGCAGGGTTTGATGTGCGATGTCATTAATGTAGCTGGATAAAAAAGCACGGGTGGCAGGGGTGTCTCGTTTCGCAGGAGGTAGGGCAAGGATTTCAGCGAGGGCGCTTGATATGTTCTGATGGAAAGTTGCCAATTGTGAGGCCGATAGCGACTTTCTGGCGCTTGCAGGGGGATATGTTGGAAGCGGTGAAACAGTAGGCATTTTCGAAACGTTTCTCGACCTAGGCCGCGATGTCTATAGATCTAATATCTGTCAGTTTAATTGCAATCAGAAACATAAACACCGACGTATGGCGGATAGGCGACTATCGCTGCCTGGAGCACGACTCGGATGTAGTTTTCTTATATACTGACGATTGTGGTGCTCTCCAGCTGGGACCCAAGTTGAAACGTCAAAAGAAAGTCGATGGAGGTAGGCGCTGCCAGTGGACAACAAGTCACAGCTGTACTTGCCAGATCGGCGCCGCAACACAAGCATCTAAAATTAGACTAAAATGTGTGCTTCCGTCTCATCTAATATTATCGCCTTGTATCAACAGACAGGCGGCCAGTTGAACATTGCGTTTCAATATCGCACCAGGCATTTTATTCAGCCTTAAGTATCCCAAGAGCCTCTCTCACCCATATTTCTGCATCAATGTAAGTTCTGTAACTCCGTTTTTCAGCTGATATACATGTTATAAACAAGCTAGGAGTCGAGCGCAAGGCGAGTTCAAATAATTCCCCTCATGATTCCTCCTGCATTCTAACATGTGTTCAGCCAGGTATCATCATGGACAAGAGTGGAAAGCAAACAAGCGTACCTCTCTAAGGCTCTATCCGAAACGCGATCACTCCTCGCGCTTCACAGAGTACAAATCGCACTTAGAGTCTAGCTCTTCACACTTTCCAGAGTAAAGATTGTACCTGGAGTCTCACTCCTCGCGCTTCCCAGAGTACAGATCGTACCAGGAGTCCTAGCTCCTCGCGCTTCCAGACTACAAGTCATACTTGGAGTCGAGCTCCTCTCGCTTGACTAAAACTGCGGATGGGCTGTTAGTTGAAGACGTAATACGCGAGTGGCGTTGTCTGGACTCACTGACGAGGCGAGGCGACCACTAAAGTCAACCCGATTTTTATGTCAAAAACTGCTAGTGTCATTCTAGATATAATGAAGTCGGTCGCGCAACACCTTGTCAGTAACTGTAACAAGCAACAGCTTTGATACTGCACCAGATAATTTATTCAGCCCTCATTCTCCCTCCGTATAGGACTCCCTCTCCTAACAGGCTGGGCTTTCCCAGTAGTGTTCCGATTCCCTCCTGTATTGCCGTATTCACTGGTCCATAGGCGCTGAGTTGTAGATACGAGGACAGGGCCGTGATAATGGTAGAGGATTCAGCTTTGGGGCTTCTACATCATGTTCGTATCTTGAAGGTTGACGAGCTGAGGTGCACCGCGCTGCCTTCAACCTGTGAAGGACCTGCTCATAAAAATAGATCTCTTCATCGAGATGCTCCTTGGTTATTGTACTGAAGCCCTCTACTCTCTGGTCGTGGTATATGTCCATCTCAGCCCATCGTAGTATTCAAGATGGCGCAGCGTGCGGTCATCTCATCGTTCGACTGAGCATATCATCAAGTCATTATTTTCCGCAAAAATTGCGAGTGTCTGACCTTTCCTATTTTGAGTACATCTATTTATCGCGAAACCGTAGATTGGTGGGTTTCAATTCATTATGATGTGTACTGATTACTGGCTAGAATATGCGACCCAAGTGTCAGCAACAAAAATAACCTGCGAAATAGACGATAAGCATCGAGTTCATAAAAATAAAGAGGTAACGAGAGGATCAGTGGTGCAAATATTTGGCTGTATGCTCTACCGTTCGTCAATGCTTAAAGCTACGACTGGGGCGGCAAGCGAAATCATCATGAAAAAAAAGCCAGAAAATTTCACCCACCATTACTTGGACAACCGACGAAAGCCACCTAGCCGAATCGGCTCTACGACAGTCCAACAGAATACAAGCTTCCCACCTGACTGGCTTGCTCGTGTCTGCTCGACAAGCTGGCCCTTTCTCAAAGCCAACGTTAGATGCCGATTGGTATGGAATCTAGATGAGCGACTCTCTTGAGTGCTTCATGAGTCGCAAGCTGGGTGCGCCGCGCTTTCGTCTGCGATCAGTACAAATTTGCGTAAAGAAAATGATACCAAGCATTAATGCAAAGCATCTCAGGCTGATGTCGCGGTGGCGGTGCTTGCTTGGGTAAGCCTGTGTTGGACATTAATTTCACCTCTCCACAAACTCTAATACGGTAGGCCTACTATACCCTTATCAGTCTCTGGTAAATCCTTATCACTGAGGGAAGAGGTTGGGTTGGTACATGCTGATTGTTCAGCGAACATTGAATATCCAACATCGATCTGTGTGTCGTAATATTGTTGGTTAACAACGATTCGAAAATACCAAACATGACTCGGAGGCAATCCGACTCGGACAAGTGAGGCATCGCCGAATACCATTAATATTGTCACTGATGCTGACGAGCGTGTGCAGTCCCCCGCCTTACCATCCTATGTGTGTGAGCCTTGGTAATACTAGGTTGATACTTATAATAAGCCATGCAGCTTCTCAGAGACAGATCCTCTGATAGGGCCTCGCAAGTCTTCTCGTCGCCATCAATATGTCATCGCTCTCTTGACTGCTGCACTTGTCATTTTTGGATTAGTGGCCCTCCTCATCCCTTCCAACAACCCCTCAGATCCTAATGTTCGAGATCGCATTCGCAAGGAATGGGACATTGAGCTTCGCCAGCACGAGGAAGAAGTTCTCAAGCGCATTAACACCCAAAAACGCTGGCGTCTTGAAGACAGTGACAGAATTAACCTACGCGAACAATGGGGAACGGAAGTGGAAGAGCACAATCGTGAAGTGGAGGCGAGGCAGAAGCGCGACGAAGAAGCAAAGAATCATATTCGTGAACAATGGGAAAGAGAAGTGGAAGAGCACGATAATGAAGTGGAGGAGGGACGTAGGCATGAAGAGCAAGAAAAAATACGTATCCACGAACGATGGAGGAGAGAAGCGGAAGAGCATGGTAAGGAAGTGGACGAGGCACGAAGGCGCGAAGAGCAAGAAAGTGTTCGTCTCCGCGAACAATGGAGAAGAGAAGAGGAGGAGGCACGGAGGCACGAAGAGCAAGAAAATAGTCGTCTCCGCGAACAATGGGAAAGGGAAGTGGACGAACACAAGCGTGAAGTGGAGGAGAGACGGAGGCGCGAAGAGCAAGAAAGAATTCGTCTGCGGGAACAATGGGGCAGGGAAGTGGAAGGGCACAAGCGTGAAGTGGAGAAGAGACAGAAGCACGAAGAAGAAGAACGCTTGAGATTGAATATGTTTTGGACCGACCCGGAGTCCCACACGTGCACATCCTACGCCACTCGAGAGTACACTGCTCGACTGGTGAATGTTCCATCAAATTACAACCGTCGCGTGGAGGCTTGCATGGCCACACCGGTACAGATCCACGGAAATGAATACACACCCAAGTGGTGCGAGGATCATGTGGGTGACCCTACGACACGGTTTTGTGGTAGTAACGAGCCGCTGATTTTCCGCGTCCAGGGTCCAAACAATGTAATAGGTCATTGGGAAGTCGACCAGCATGAGCCGGATTGTGCATCGTACTGGAATTGGTACAAAGATTTTGTTTGTCGATCCATCAATTTCTCGATATTTGCAACTTATTGATTGTCGCAGGGCTGTGTTTCTCCTGGATCTGGTCAGCGAGTGAGTTTCTCAGATACCGTACAGTGAGCGAAGTTGACGGTATGCAGCGTATTGAACACTACCTCGAGAACATCCCGTCGGGAGGTGATTGGAAGGAGTTCTGTGCTACCACTCCTGCAAGCTTCCGCGGGATGCATTTCACGGGGGCGGAATTCTGCTTCCAAAAGGTTCGCTGCTCAGTTATATCAATTGTGGCACGATTTATACATTACTTTCAGAACTACGGCACATATGGTCACTGGGTCTTTGCTGATGACAGCTGCAACTAGTAACGTGACAACGATGGTTTGATGTCGGGCGAGGGAGATATTGTCTTGGAATGTTGATTCGTTGTCTTTGTTGTACTATTCGATGCATATACGTGTACTTGTATTTCTTCATGTTTTGAACGCCCATCTTTAGCTTGGGATTTGTGAAGCCTTGACAGATCTCCGTCAGGAAGAGAGACAGCATGAATCATAAATCACTAGTACTGGACACAAATAAAAACTCAGCTTCGAAAATAAAGCAACGAGACGATCATGTGTCGTAGCACAAGTAGCTGACGAGCCTCGCTCTCTATGGTGTATAACATGCCATTGGATAGTCAATTTGCCCGTGACCGTAATGTCAAATATCCGTACAGGTAACTTCCGAAGGCAGCACGCTAGCTTTGGAATTATGTTCTCCAGAACCTGTCAAAGGTAAGCGCGTGACCTCAGGGTAAGAACTATCTGTAAAGAGTGGAACTACACGCACGCAGGTTGGTGGAGAGCATGTAAACAATAAGGTGTTTGAGCATACACCAGTCAAATCCTGGGCGCTAGTCCTTTGACCGAAACCGCCGCTATTTGCATGCGGGACGTAGATGGTGAATAACAGGCAATAAGGACTTCTTACCTGCGGAACGTTGAACTCCGAACTGGAAGTGGCTCACTTGGCCTACTGAACTCGACATAAAATCCGGCAATTGCTATGGAGGCATGTGGTTACATGACGTTTTGCGAGCATCTTTGCGGTGTAGAGGAATTAATTTCTGTTGTGAGAAGACTAGTAATATTCCGGTAGCTTGTGACTTGCGAGTATATGCGAGTATTTCTGTTCCGTGTTGGTGCGACGCTTTTGTTGACTGCGTGGTTGCCAGATATCTGCTTTGCGGGATTGCATGAGAATCAATGCGATAATTCAACCATGAAATTGGTCGGTAAGCGACCACGTACATGTGTAGACAGAGATCACTTGAGAAGTCATCACAACTAATGTGATTTGGTCGAACTCACACCGCGGATCATTTGACATTGAACGCGAGATTCATGGATCCCACCACATACCTTGTGCCTGAAGCGACTTGCTGAGGATATATAAGAGCGAATGGAACGAGTGTCCCTAGCCAAAGAACTGCTGACCAGTTGCAATAACGACACAGCGTATGTTTTCCTACTACCGTGTAATCCACTTTGCTGCTAGAGCTAACTGTTAAATGTCAGTAACATTTTGTTCGAAACCATGACTCGTCCTATATTAGCCGCGGCCTTGATCATTTACAACCTCCTTGCAGTCAGTACGGGAGTGGGTGCCACCTGCATGGCCTGCCCTAATTGCGATTATGAGCGAATCAGTATTCAACAAGGGGATGCATGCCTCAACTACTGGACATGCTCAGGCGATACCATCACGTGTTATTACCCCTCTGTTGCAAATCCGGGAACGTTCACATCGTGCTCGTACAGTGGATCGAGCGTAAGTAGCTTCGTCTCACAGCAGTACTGTATGCACACTTACCAATTTGTGGAAATTTTCAGAGTTGGGCACTTACAGCTGGCCCCAGCGATATATGTTTCTCGGTTGCGGGAGATAACTCCAAGTGTTTACCTCCTAATGATCCTTACAACAACTTCGTCGGCTGCACCGCTTCATACGGGTACGACGGTGGAGTAAACAGTGGACTGTTGAAAAAAAGGGAACAAACAGATGAGCTGAGCTGAAGGGACTAGCATCAATTGTTATGAAAAAAAATAGACAACTTATTAAATTGATCTTCAACGGACAAAGCGTTGCTTCAATTTATAGCGAAATAATCGTCCGTTCAACGGGTGGCAAAAAACGTAGTGCAACATGATTCGTCGCCTCTGGGCTTATTGAAAGGCAAGCAACCTGAGATGGACCTGCATGACCATACAACTCATAGAAAGCATCATTATACGTAGCTCGTAGTGACGAAGCATGGATCTTGTGACTCTTGTCCGCACCGAGTGTCGGACCAGGCAACTCGCGAGTTTGCTAATCCAGGTTGGTTCCACACCTGCAAGTAACAAATCATGACGCGTCCGGTCATTGCCGGGACAATGCGAAAACGTTTGGCAATTTCCGGCTCCGGTATCAGTAAAGTTACGGTATTTCACTACTCTATGTATAAATAGCATCGACATCTGGAGTCATTCGGAATTCGCTTCTACCCTACGATTAAAATTATGACTGCCCCGCTTTCCGCTAACAACCACCCACTTGGGTCTGCAGTGCCACCCTTCACTCAGCATGCGATATCTGTCTCACTCCCTACATGGGCAGACAATGTGGGATATGAGGAAGGAGAGAAGCGCGTCGTTGATGCAATGGTGTCCGGATACCCAAGGTTCTTTATCCATCTAAGCATCCAAAAGGTATGTGTCCTCCAGGCCACAACCACATCTATCCCTGATCCATTAATCGGAAGCTTGCACGGATATGCGAGCAGAAATTTGGAGTGCCCGATGAAAAGTGCATACTATTCCCATCCAAGAAGATCGCAGATCGGTGTCGATCTTTCGTTCTTGACCGAGCATCATTAGCAGGCACACCAACACACGTGCGGCTCGTGCAGTATCATATTTGCCCCGAGGACACCCTATTACCATTTCCGCAACCCACTGTAGAGCTACACATCGTGCTCTTCCCCTCGGACGCCTGGCCTCTCGCGAAACAGTTCTGGCAGCATACGGGTCTTGGCATCTCCTCCCGCCTCGCCGATTACTGTCTCTCCCTCCTCCAGGCAGAACCACCAAATTCTCCAGTACCCTCCTCCCCAACGTCTCCCCGTGCTCCGTTCAAGGCGCTCAACAAGCACTATAGCGTCAAGCATACCCCGCGATCGCCATCCTTTGGAACGGCTCTTCCACCTAGTCCGAACCCGCAAGAGGTACTCAGTAAAGACCAGAGTACATATCTTGAAGAGCGTTATGGGAGAAACCTCCCAGTCAGCGCGGGTTCTTATGCAAAGCGGGCTTTGCGCAGACGGATTGCTGGTGTGCTCGTCAGAGATAACTGGGAAGACAGTCCGCAGGGTCCATGCGCAGGCGCACACGATGTCGAAGTGGGGCCCAGTCACCGAGGAGTGAGGGATGTGACGGAGGACGACGTGTACTTGTTCTCAACGGGCATGACTGCAATTTGGAGTGCGCATCAATTGATTCTAGGCGCACGGCCACCAGCCAAGAGCGTGTGTTTTGGGTACATTTGTCCAGATCTGCACTGATATGTGTGCTGATAATTTGTTAGATTTCCATACACGGATACCCTAAAAGTCCTTCAAAAATGGGGTCCTGGGTGTCATTTCCTCGGACACGGTCTCGACTCAGACATAGGCGTGCTGGAGACAATTATTAAACAGGAACTTTCCGAGAACCCTTCTGCGCCGCCTATCGCAGCGCTTTTCGCAGAGTTCCCGTCGAATCCTCTCCTTCGCTCCCCTAATATCTCCGTCCTCCGTGCTCTTGCAGACAAATATGATTTTCTCCTCGTCATAGACGAGACCATTGGAAACCTCGTCAATGTCGACGTGCTGCAACATGCAGACATCGTTGTGAGCAGCTTGTCCAAGATCTTTAGCGGTGATGCAAACGCTATGGGCGGAAGGTAGGAGTTTTACTATCCTCGAAACCTCGATCTCATACTCGCTACCTTAGTTTAATTCTCAATCCTCAAAGTCGCCACTACGCGACGCTCAAAGCATACATGTCTTCTACCTATGAAGACACGTACTTCGATGAAGACGCCGTCTTCATGGAGCGCAATTCCCGAAACTTTAAACGGCGCATTCGCATCATCGACGAAAATACGCTCGCCGTCTGCGAGTACCTACGGTCGAGATCCATTTCAGGCGGAACCCTCTCATCCCCTGTTATCAAAGAGGTCTTCTACCCAAAATACATCACGCCTGAAAACTACCTCTCGTGCAAGCTCCCGGAAGGAGGCTACGGAGGGCTCTTTTCACTCACGTTCACCTCGACTGCTGCTTCGCAGGCGTTTTTCGATAACATGCCATTTCAGAAGGGACCGAGTCTGGGAACGAACTTCACGCTCGCGAATCCGTATACCATTCTAGCACATTATTTGGAGCTCGGATGGGCGGCGGAGTACGGCGTAGAAGAGGGCTTGGTCAGGATTAGTGTTGGGATGGAGGAAAGGGAGGGGCTATTGGAGGGTTTCAAAGTGGCTCTGAGAGCTGCAGAGGCTGCGACGTGACATGATGGCGTCTTTTTGGAGTGCTCCAACAGTACTTTGCTTCTTTCTACCGTTCAACTCGGTGCTTGCAATGTAAAGGGTCGTCCAATCCTTTGGCGAGTTAATACCTCTTATGTTTGGCTATCTGGCGTCAGCACACTAACAAAAATTGTCATGTATCGAATACAAACTACTGTCATTTGCGAAAGGGAGTACGAAAACTTCAAATACAACTACAAGGAGAACGGAAGAATACGACAATGAATACATGTGAACCATAGTGCATCGAGGAACGGAATCTCTAATCTATTCGAATTTCTATAAGGCATGACGACAATGAAAGAACGTGATAATGTTAAAGAGAAAGGGAAAGATGAAGTTCGTAACAATTTTGAATCCCGGCGTTTAATGAGTCGGCGCTGGGGAAGGCCCGTTGTTCGCATTCGCCTGAGCGGTGCTTTTGGCCTCTTCCGCCTTCGATCCAAGGACACTGATGATCTCGCCTATCCGCTGTGTGAGCTTCTCAAGCAGCGGAGACACGCGTTCCTTAACCTCTCTGCCTACGCGATTGACCTTCTCGGGGACAGGGAGAGAAGGGTTCGTGATGATATTGTGCAAGTCCACAACGGTTTTGGAGACGTCAGGGTATGTAACCTGCAGGGTGTGGGGGAGCTGAGCGGTGGACTGTTGTATTTTCTTCATCTCAGAGAGCAGGTTTTCAGCAACGCTTTGGACAGCAGTTTGAGCATTATTAATCTGGTTGGAGGCGAGAACAGAGATAGAATTGGCGGTGTCGGTAGCGCGTTGACTGAAGGGCGATTTGTCAGAATCGACGCATATATGCACTAAGAAAGAGTAACTCACACCAGGACGCTTTGCTGCTGTACTTGCTTGAGGTGCTCCGAGGAATAGACGTAGAGATTGTCCTTGAGGTGCTTGGACAAGTTGATCGCGCGCTGATACTGGTATTGGGAGTCAGAAGATGCGGACGAGGGTGACGAAGCACCCGATTCATTGCTCATATTTCCAGCGACTCTCTCGATGAGGTCAACGACAGGTGTAAATTTCTGAAAACTCGGGTGAGTCGTGTGTCAGGGGTTATAGGTCACGTGGCTCTAACCTTGTCAATGCCCTCTGCAACGCCAACTGCAGGGGATTTGACATTCTCGAACGTCTTTTCCGCAGTTTCCCGCACGTAGCTGACCATCTCCTCTGGTTTGGCTTGGAACGGATAAGGATACCTCGACTGAACTACATCGAGACCCTTGTTGGCAATACCGTCTGCACGGACGATGAGAGGGGCAAGACGAATCTGAATGGGCTGCGAGTAGTTATATGCGGTGTTGGTGATTGCTTGAGCAGCGTGGTACGGAGAGCGAGTGAGCATGTTTTTCTCGAGGATGGCATTTATCTGTTCAAGTGAAGACGCAACCAAAGGAATAGAAACAACGCGGTTTAAAACCGTGATTTCAGGGACTTGTGACTGGGACTGTACGGCTGTTGCCATTTTAAAAAATAATTGTGAGGGTAGGCGTGCAAGAAGGGAACGGAAGAGGAATGGAGGCGCAAGGGGTTCATATACGAATCCAAATTGACATGTGATTATACCACTATCGCGTCTTGTCACGCTTATATCATATCCGTCACACATAACTTGAGATCGAGCCTTCACCATGATTGGCAGGCGGTCGTAATCAGACGCGTTATCTATTGCATACGATGATACCCTCGACGTCGGGCTATTGTCTGATTCTTCTTCACCGCTCTAGCAACGCTCATTTGACATATTGTGGTAGCCAGGTATATGACAGCCAAAGTTCCCGGCTCGTGATTGTGCAAGCGAGAGGCTGTAGCCTGCGGAACCCGCTCATGTGAAAAATAACACGAACCTTGGATTAAAACCTTCAAGTGATACTAGTACTAGCCGAACACCCCAATATCCCCCTTGCAGAATTTGTTTGCAAGGGAGTGCTGAATTCTAGTATGTCTTCACGCGAAAGAGCAGGCTGTCTTCAGCCGTCTTGAACAATTATTTACAGGATGGCTTGTCCAGCTCACTCACTGAAATCGCTGAAATTAATCAGCTAATAGCTACAGATACTTTCCAGCGTAACAGGAACAATCGAGACACCAACCTGCACATGGCCACATCTCGAAATTTTTGTGCAATATTCAATGACATGGTTGTCGGTCGCAGACCAACATACACTGATCTTTATAGTACTGGATCCTCACGACTACACTCTACAACAGTTACTACAACAGGTATCTATAGCCTTTGGGAATGCCCAGTTTACGCTCTTGCGCTTCAGCAGCTTCATTCAATTGCTCAAGATGCCGTCTAAACACCCAACACAACGATATACATATGCTGGCCAACGCGACACAAATGCGGTATGAGTTGGTATATGTTGGGCCCCAGCTCGATAACCAGATGTACCTGGTGTTGTATGGCATCAATAGTGACATCCAGGATATGAGAGAAAAAGACTAACGGCGATAGGATGCCCCCCGACATTCCAATGGAGTTGATGAACCCAATCGCAACCGCTCGCTTGGAGCTCGAATGAGCGAATGTGTTGCTGATCCATGTTAACAAGACAACATTTGAGACTTGTGACTGAGCAATGAGAAAGCTGGTTGAATGATAAGAGAGGGCAGGACGAGCAGTATGCGAAGATATTACTGACAATGAGGCGTAGCGAACCGTGATATTCATCGTGGACATAGCCAGAATATATCCAGTGATCAGCATCGACAACGCAAAGACCATATGCCCGAAACGTTCATGTGTCGCATCAGAATGTCTTGAAATGTTAAGTGCTTCCAATTCACTCAGGTATGTGAGAATAAGGCCTACCGTGCGACAGTAAGTCCAGTGATTGTACTCACAATCCACGGCGGTGCACATAGCAGAAGACTGATGGTAGGCGAGTATCCCATTGTAGCCACCAATGTTGGGAAAAACAGGTTGAATGACAAAGATGCATTACAGCAAGCCAATGCTGTGCCAATCAACCACGCTCTCCAATCTGTGACTATTGACAGGAGATCGGAAAAGCTACTGGATGGCTTAGGTTCAGCGGGATCGTGGCCTCTCGAATCCTCTTCCATCCGCGTTTGAGAAAGAGAATGCTCCGCAGGAGTGAGCCAACGCGCAGGGCCAGAAGGGAAATCAGGCAGTATGAACATCCCGCAGATGCCGACAAAAACTGTCAAATAACCCTCTATGAAAAACAGCCACCTGATAGCAGTCAAAATCCACGTCAAACATCTGCTGGTAAACAATATGTTACCAACCTCCAGGCAGCGTAGCCAAGAAATCCCTCCATGGTTGCCAGAATTCCAGAAGCGAACAGCGAACCAAAAGCATTGCTTAAACCAACTGCTGCGGTGAAGAACGCAGTCCTGGACCCAAGCTCTTCTCGCCTATACCTGCATTCATTTAGCAGGCCAATTTGTCATGTGAACTCGGGGGGAGTACCATCTCGAAAGCAGATAAAAAGCACCAGGATAAAACGTAGCCTCCAAAAATCCCACCAGAAATCGTGAGAAAATTGCTTGGTAGTAGCTGCAAAGATGTGTATCAGTGTTTCAATTGTGCATCGCTGTACAAAATACCAACTTCGTGGATATTCCTTCATTACAAGTCGCCGTCCATTTTAAATTCGCCACAACAAACATAGTGAAGACAACAGAACACACCAATGAGAGTGGTGAGGAGGCCCCATAGCGACATACAGCTTGATAAATACAGCGATGGTTTCGATATGCGAGTGAGAATCAAGTTTCTGCCACGGCCCACCATGTATCAGACTCGGAGGGCGTTAGAAAAAACCCAAATTGCTCACGAGGGTGTTTGCATTAGCAAATAGCCGATGTAGAGACTGCTGATCAGCGTATTGAACTGTCTACCCTTCATGCCAAGGTCCTCTTCGAAACCACGAAGCCTCGCGGCGCTGCAGGTGAGAATGGGTATCAGCTAGAATACAGACATCACTTGCAAAATGTCTTACGCAGCGTTATTTCGATCCATCTGGCCATCGTAGCAAGCACTTCAGAGGCGGAGACAGACGGTGACAACTGATGTTACGCACCTGATTCAAGATGTAGATAAGAACAAGATATGCTGTTCTGAAGTCTAGCTTGCGCAGAAGATTTCTCTCCAACACCTTCCTAGATATGGACTCCGGGTCGTCATTACTGTCCAGGGATGCACCGTAGGTAGACGGTGTAGGGTCGGCGAACTCTGGGGGCAACAACGGCCTACTCTCACTGGGAGAAGACATGATCGCTCAGAGCCTGAGAGTCACAACCTTTTGTAGCGATGTCAAAACAACGAGCTACGTATTATCCCCTCTCTCACCTAGATTGATAGCCTCATGACGTTATATATGATAGCAGGAGCATATATTACCCAAAGATAACCTTGACTAAGTGAATTCAATAACACCGCCTCATGGGAACTCAGCATATCCTAGTTTCGCAATCTCAGTGGTCATTGCTGACGCGCGACGCGTCGACGCATAGAGATGGTACAGGAGATGTGCTGTGCCGCGCGGTGGTCCCTGGAGCTGGGAGAGTTCAAGTTGGAGTTGCGGCACAATTACATAAAGCGAAGTTTGATCTCCGAGTTAATTTATAAGGAGCTTACTAAGTTAATAAGTAATGATCCCAATTTCCCATGCATCTTTGGCGCGAATTGGAAGTTGAACTGATTGGCTTCAGTCGCGTAAACGTCAGTGAACTCGACTGCATTTTACATCGTTAGATGCTACAGCAGGTATCTATAACCTTTAGTAAGGTTCAGTTCGCGCTCTTCTGCACCAGCCGCTTCGTTCAATCGCTCAAGATGCTGCCTAAACACCCAGCATAGTGAGATGCATATACTGGCTAGCGCGATGCAAATGAGGCACGAGTTGGTATATGTCGGGCCCCAGCTCGATAACCAGATGTACCTGGTGTTGTATGTCATTAATGGTGACACGCGGGAGATGCTAGAAAGGTACTGACGGGGATAAGGTGTTCCCTGATGTTCCAATGCAGTTCATGAATCCGATCGCAAGCGCTCGCTTGGAGCTGGAACGAGCGAATGTGTTACTGATCCATGTTAATAAGATGACATTTGAGACCTGTGCCTGAGCCATGAAAAAGCTGGCTGAATGATAAGAGGCGGCGAAAATAGCGGTACACGAAATATGACTGACAGTGAGATGTAGCGAACGGTAAAATTCATCGTGGACATAGCCAGAACATATCCAGTAATTAGCATCAACAACGCAAAGACCATATGCCCAAAGCGTTCGCGCGTCGCATCGGAGTGACTTGAAAAAAAATGAGTCTTCGCTGAGGGGTGAGCCAAAATTTCAATAAGGCCTACCGTGCAACAGCAACTGCGGTAATTGTGCTCGCAATCCATGGCGGTACGCACAGCAGAAGACTGATAGTAGGCGAGTACCCCATTGTGGCCGCCAAAGTTGGGAAGAACATATTGAACGACAGAGATGCATTACAACAAGACAATGCTGTGCCAACCAACCACGCTCTCCAATCTGTCATCATCGAAAGGATATCGGAAAAGCCGCCAGATGAAGTCTCAGCGGGACCGTGACCTTCTGAATCCTCCTCCATCCGCTTTCGAGCGAGAGCATGCTCTGCAGGAGTGAGCCAACGCGCAGGGCCAGAAGGAAAGTCAGGAAGAATGAACATCCCGCAGATGCCGACAAAAACTGTCAAATAGCCTTCTATGAAAAATAGCCACCTGAAAGTGAAAGTAGTTAAATTCCGTGCCAAACATCTGCTGGGAAAAAATATGTTCCATACCTCCAGGCAGCATAACCAAGAAATCCCTCCATGGTTGCCAGAATTCCAGAGGCTAACAGCGAACCAAAAGCATTGCTAATTCCAATTCCTGCAGTGAAGAAAGCGGTCCTGTATCCAAGCTCTTCTCGCTTATACCTGCACCCATTCAGCAAGCCGGTCTGTCGTGTGAACTCGGAGAATTACCATCTTGAAAGCAGATACACAGCACCAGGATAAAACGTAGCCTCCAAGAATCCCACCAAAAAGCGAGAGGAAAGTGCTTGGTAGTAGCTGCAAAGATGTATATCAGTGTTTCAACTGTGCATCGTTGTACAAAATACCAACTTCGTGGATATTCCTTCATTATAAGTCGCCATTCATTTTAAATTCGCCACGACAAACATAGTGAAGACAACAGAACACACCGATGAGAGTGGTGAGGAGACCCCATAGTGACATACAGCTCGATAAATATAGCGATGGTTTCGATATGCGAGTGAGAATCAAGTTTCTGCCACCATAGTTCAGACTCGGAGGGGATTGTTGAATGTTCAAATTGCTCACGAGGGTGTTTGCGTGAACACGTAGCCGATGTAGAGACTGCTGATCAACGTGTTGAACTGATTACCCTTCATGCCGAGGTCCTCCTCGAAACCACGAAGCCTCGCGGCGCTGCGGGTGAGAATGGATGTCAGTTAGAACACAGACAACCTTTGCAGAATGTCTTACGCGGCATTATTTCGATCCATCTGCCAGTGGCCATGTAGCAAGCACTTCAGAGGTAGAGACAGACGGGACAACTGATGTTACGCACCTGATTCAAGATGTAGATAAGAACAAGATACGCTGTTCTGAAGTCTAGCTTGCGCAGAAGATTTCTCTCTAACACCTTCCTAGAGATAGATTCCGGGTCGTCATTGCTGTTCAAGGATGTACCGTAGGAAGACGTTGTAGAGTCGCCGATCTCTAAATGCAACAGCGACCTATTCTCACTGGGAGCTCGAGAGGACATGAATGTTCAGAGGCTCACAGCCTGGTATGGTGATGGTACAAGGACAAGCTACTAGTGATGAGTCTCTCACCCGTCCCGAGCTCTGAAAGTTTCATTTTTAGCTAGCATTGCCTCGAGATAAGCCTGAGTCAGTTAATCGTGCAATTTGATGCAATTGACGCATCTGGTTTCTTATTGGCCGTTACTGGCGGGAGATTCGCTACGGCCAGTATGAGTGACGTGTTCATCCACAATGCACATGTGTGCATGCTGCACCGGTCGGCGTCGTTTCTGGCTTAGTGGAGTGTGGGCATCATCAATATAATGCAGTGAGACTATCAAGCCCGCCGGGGCCCGAAGTAGCCCGAAGGGGTATGAGTCGGTCAACTGCGCATTGCGTTGGTTGTAACACCGAGCACTGGCCGCCTGCACTGGCTCCTACATCGAAGACGAAAGATTGGTATCATTATATCACGTCCACGCGTTAAACGAACATGAACCTTCAACATGAAAGCAGCAAGGAGCCTGATATTTCGGATAGCTTAACCAAATATTAGACTTATCACGTCACGCGAATTCAAATCGCGTCCACTTCTAGATCTTATTACGCGGCGTCCGATGGGCTTCCATTAAGATTTTTCGCTGTACAATAGCTGGCGCGGTAGCAAATCGAGCTCAACATATCCTAGGCCACGAAAATTAGACCAGAAACCGAAGAGGCAGAGAGAAACGCGAAAGAAGGATGACACTATCTAACATCTACCTCTTCCACACGAGGACGCACGTCAGCGACACTAGTGTCGCTCGGTTGCTGGTCCTGCAGGTGCAGCGCGATCTTCTCTGCAAGGCCGTCCTTCTCATCGAAGCTCTCGAGATCTCCATCACCATCCTCTTCATCATCTGCCTCCTCTATGATGGCGCCTTGTTCTCGGAACACAAGGTAGGAGCTCTCAAACACCTGCGAAGCACGATCAAGATAGAGCGAGGCTTTGGGGAGTGGCTACACTGACTTTGGAGTTTTGTGCGGCACAGATTGCCTTGATTGTCTGACCCTCATGCTTGGCGTGCAGTGTTCGGCGGAATGAGTGAGTCAGGAAAGAAGAAAGGGAACTAAGTGGCCAGTCTGGTGGTACGAGGGGAATGATCTGTATATGTTTCATATGAGAAATCGTGGCGGTCAGATAGTGCACATTGAGTTCGTATCTGTAAGAAGGAATGCGCTCACATCAACGGCATCTAAATTCGCGGCCTGTGATCTCAGTAGTCTTGTGGTTTGTTGGGGCTCCCTGCGAAACAATCATGTGTGCCAAATCTACTGGTGGGTTATAAACGTACCCGTCTTCCATGTATACTTCTAAAAGCATTCTTACCAACTCTCCCTTCCCCTCTGAAGTCTTCTCTCTCTCCAAGATTCCAGGACCACCTTTGGCTGCGAACAGCGCGCCCCATTCACTCATTCCGCAAGCTTCGACAGCTTTTGAAGGGACGACGATGCCCCCCGTCCGAGCGTATGTCTCTGCCGAGACGGGATCTCGTAATGTGAGGGCTAATGCGCGGAGAGCCATCCTGTGCATGCCCATCTAAAAAGTAGTTTAAAATAACAGGAAACATTGAATGTCAAATCATGCTGACCTTGCCGTTAAGCAAAGCCATCTCCAAGCCAAGGACTTTGTCGAAGCCGCTAGCAACAATTTGTGATTTGACCATTTCAGCGTTATACCCCGATAAAGCCTGCAGAGCGAACAATGCTTTGAGCCTTGCACGTTTCGATGGAGAGTCGGGTGCTGTCGATACAAAATAGGTAAGGAAGGACGATTGAGGACGTTGAAGCTGTGTGGATGGAGGGGAGGTTATATACTTTTGTGAAGATTGCGAGGTGTAGGAAGCAACTGTTGTTTATACACTGGGTTGAGAATGTGAGCGACTAGCGTGAAATTAAACGCACATTTGGCACGCCAGAGCTTTAGAGTGCTTTCGTCCTGCAGGCACTCGAGAAGCTCGTCGATGCATCCTTGCACGAGCTGTGCATGAAGTTCCGCATCCTTAACAAAACATCCACGATAAGCCTTCCGTAATAAATGTGGGGGCACAATGCAACGCGCAACATACATCTCGCCTCCTCACAATGACCAACCACTCCAAGTATTTCCTTGCTGCATTGGGATCTAACTGTTGCAACTCGGAAAGAATGGTGAGATCCTCCTCTCGATCTTTTTCTTTTGTGGGCCTCTTGGTCGACATGAGAAGCTACACCATAACGCGATCAGTCGCGCACAAAGCTGCTGCCGTCTTATGCTTACCATAAGCCCTCGCTCTGAATCTCGTACTGTTAGCCATACGCCCCATTTTCGAAGCATTGCCCTGTCTTTGCCTTGTTTTGATTCCAGCAAGGCAAACATATTACTCAGGGGGTCCGTCACGGAAGGATCACTATATCGTCCCTCTACCAGCCTAAAGCAAGCATCGGCATTATCAATATCTGATGAATAATGCAAGGCAAGGTGAAAACAGTACTCACCCCTTCCAAATTTCCATTACTCGTCCTTCGTCACCTCTGGCCCTGAGTAATGCACATAGAGCGCCTACTTCTCCGGCTTCGAGGAGTACAGGTTCTACAGCTGAAAGGCTCGCAGAATTCGTGCTTTCAAGGTGCGAAATGAGAGACGTAGTGTCACCCGATCGCGCGAATAATATAGCTAGGGCTGTATCTGTCACCTGGCAATTTCCTTTAGCACCATGTAATTCAAACATAAAATTGTATAATAACCTCCTGCTGCTTGTATTTTCCTTGTCCCTTGAAGCCCTGGAGAACAGACTTGATCATCACTATGGCTTCTTCCCGAAGAATCTTGTGAATCTCCTGGGCAGCAGGCGCTTCACGGGTGGAGGGCGGAAGATGAGGGGAGTAATTCCTGACTAGGTTTGCGGCAACTGTCAGTTCCGCCCAGACGGGGGAGAGGGGTGGGTGAGTCGGGTGCCGGGGTGTCGGAAAGAGGTGGTGGTGCATGGTCGGGGAGAGAAGGATGGGAAGGGGAATTTAATAAACTTAAGTACTCACTGAGATCATCAACGTTCGCCTCGATGGGCATTCGCTTTGAAATACCATCGTACACCTCCGCTTCTTCACCATCAGCGAGCAATGGCCGTGATAACTCAGGAAAGTAGGATACAAGGACACGGGGATCGAGTGCGCCTGCAAGAAAGTGCGGGGCCGCCTCCACGAAACGCGTTTGAGAGAACAGAGCAAATGCAATAGATTGATGTATGTATTCGAGTGTTTCTACCTGTTGAACCAGTCAATATTAGTTTGACAAGTAGATGAAACAATTGCACCTCGTCAGAATCTAATGTCTGACCAGATGCGAAGGTTTTTGTGAGGTCAGCGGCATCCTCAATTCGGTTGTTTTCAAGCAGTGCTTCGACTTGAGCAATGACGGTCGATTGAACCAGTGAATGAATAGTGTGCTGTCCGTAAACCAAAATGGAAGAACGAGGGAAAGAACTATGGCGCATCCCCGCTAGAGTTGCCAGTGCTTGCAAATACTGTCGAGCTTTCAGCTCCTCAGTTCCAAAAAACGGAACACAAAGCTAACAGTCGAGTGCGGTCGATATTCAAGATGAAGCCGTCCTGGCAAGCTTACGGTTAGAGTCACTTGTTACCATAAGTTCTAACATGTCGACACATACATAACAGCACTGATTAGTAAGCAATTCTACTGCGAGGAAAACTAGAGTCCACTGTCCGGTGCTCCACGACGTTGACAGTAGGCTCGCTGCCATGCTTGACGAAAATACAATTGATTGGGATGCGCTACGAGCTCAGAGCCTTTGCCCTGGTGGGTTCGGAAAGGAAAGAACACGTGTCTGGTGCGTAGAATTGTAACTGTTTAGTTTCGCTGAGATGCTTAACTTGTCATATGCCAGGCCTGCCCTGCTCGGAGTCCACGTTCCATCAGAGCCTCCTCCGTATACAGAGATCTCTCCAGAACCTTCGGCAGATGATGTGCCCCATCCTGACGAGCGTCAAGTACGTTTGGACACCGACCGGAGCTTTGTGATGTATCCCGTAGGCAATGTATCTCATGCTTCCGTTTCCACAAGTATCCGAACATGTTACAGGCAGACGACAGCGACCAAAGTCGCAGAACTGCATTGCAGTCCTCTCTCAACAGTTTAATTGTTTCCCTCCTCCGAAAGCGTCGGAAGTTGCACTATTTCCAAGGGTATCATGACATTGTCACTGTTGTTTTTCTAACTCTTCCACCAGAGCTTCAGCTCCCTTGTGTAGAAAAGCTTTCCCTCCATCGAGTCAGGGACTCTATGGGACCCACATTAGAGCCTGTATTGGGACTTCTCCGGATCATGCGTAATCTTTTGCGTATTATCGACCCTAAATATGCAATGCTGCTTGAGAGGTACCTTTACACATTTTGTGCCTTGTCACGCCTTGTTCATTCATGCATTATACGTTGCTCCATAGCATTGCACCATTACCGTTCCATGCTCTATCAAACCTTCTCACCCTTTTCTCACACGAGGTACCCACCCTACCCCTTATTCAGCATGTCTGGGATTTTCTGCTCTGCCGAGAACCTTTGGCAGTGGTGTGGTTGGCTGTCGCTGTAAGTGCCTTTTTCTACGACCACTGCTACGATACCATTCCATGGCAAACATTGTTGTTCAACAATTACATCAATGACTCATATGAATCGTGCAGGTCATTCTCGTTCGAAAACCTGATGTTTATCAATTAGCCGTAGAAGACGAGGATGGCATGATACACTCAGTTTTGAATGCTCTGCCACCACTCAGCGATGATTCCGAAACAACGTACGACGTTCCCTCCGATTCCGATCAGCATACTCGAACCGGATCACGGGATGAGGAAGACAAAGTAACCTTCAACACAGAGGAGGCGAAGCGGCTCTCAGATGTACCCGACGAAAACACGAGCGACGGGCCTTCTATAGGACAACATCAGATGATCGAACAGAAACCGATCCCCTGTTTGACGGAGAATGGAGCGTCCCAGAATATCCCTGATGACCAAGTCATCCGTGGAGAGAGTGATATGGCTGCTGATGCCGACTACTCTGCTAAGAATCGGGTCATCCAGCGGTCGGATAATTCATACACCGCGTTATCTTCAGCTCAGCCTCGGGAAACCGAGGAATGTCCGGCCACAATTTCTTCAGAGACTCATATCGATAACACTGCCAAAATTGATACTGATACTGACTTTGTTCAGCTCTCACAGCCACGACTCCCACCGCACCCGCATTTCCCTTCTAGGCCGCCGTCCCCTACATTGCTACGTACATCACGTTCTAGTTCCCGCACTGCGTCCCGTTCGCCCTCACCACCACCTCCAAAATCCTGCCGGCCTCCGATTTCACTTCCGTCTCTTCTAACACATGCCGCACAGCTCCTTGAGGCCTATCCTCCCACCCTTCCCGAGCTTCGCGTTAAGGACATACTTGGGCCCAAGAGCGTCGTACACACATGGAGGCCTCCTCCTCCTCGAGAAGGTTTCTCTATATCATCCGACAACGGATGTGATGACAACGCAGAGAGCTGGGTTGGGAGCCCTGACGTTGTTGTACCATTCATAGAAGATGAGGATATTGAGGAAAGCGAAAATGAGCGAAAGACGAAGTCACGCAAAGGTCCCGTCACAAAGCACCGGAGACTTATTCTCCTTCATCGCTTGCGTCTTCAGTTCGGACTGCTCACGCCTACGGAGAAACGAATCCTTTTGTTAGGTGCAGTAGCAGTAGTTGGCCTTGCCGTTGCCCTTCGGCAGAACAGGGGCTTTGCGGACATGAAGAAAGGGTGGACAGCATGGGCGTGGGCATTTACCGCTAGAATCGGGAATAGAACTGTGGTATGAACCAGACCACGAGTACGTACAAGCACTATCTCAGAAAGCGGTGGACCACTTCAATACTAATTAGTCTTCCTAAAGGTATCAGTGCGTCGCAATCACAAATAGTTATCGGACGGGATCCTTGTAGGACGCTAATCGAGACTTTAAATGTCAGAAAGCTCGATCACAGGCGCATCATTCCGATCGATTTATGTGGGGAAGACTCTGATTTACTTTTGATCCATTCCACGACTACGGACAACATTCACCACTAAATCCTGATGAGGCTGTAACGGTTCGGGATTCCATTTCTGTTGTAGCTTTGTGATTATGAACACAAAGGCCCCCTTCCCAAAAAAACTCAATCAATCATGCATATGATCATATCTTAAAACATACCAAAGTCGTTCCTTCACATATTTATAATAGTCTGTGCAGGAAAGATCGGCGCATTATTGACGGGACGTCGAGATGATACCTAGGCCATCCAGAACGTGGACATTATATCTAATGCTATACCGGCTACCGAACATGGATAAATCAACGTCGAACAGTTGTATGCGTACGTTGATTTGCCGTTGATTGAACTCTGGCCGATCAGACATTGCCAACGTCGATATCTCCATGCGGAACAAGAATTTTGATTGCTTCAGATCGTGGATGCCGGTGCGTTACTACGATTATAATCTTGGTAGACCGAAGACGATTAAAGCTGTTTTCTAGCTTCCGTGATCACATTTCTATCAACCTTGATACGAGACTGCGACCAGTTTTCATAGCACGGTCCACGCTCTCTTAGCAGCACGTTGAAGATCAAGAGCCTCATAATGCTATGCTGTAGTAATGTATAGACTCGGAGTGCTGCCCAGAGTCCAGACCGCATACACGGGAAATATTGTGCAGTCAAGTCACAATGGCTTCAGGCTTAATGCCTCAACGATCCGTCCCAGGCGGCAATCATTATCATAAAAGTGGCGTAGATGTGATAATAGTAGATGGCAAGTGATCAAAAAGGCATCTTGAAATTAAATTAACTATAGTAATCGGCTTTCCACGGCCGCGGCATTTACACTCATCACCCCAGAGTACTAGTGCTAACTAGAACAAAGAGCACTATATGGGGCAGACCTCTGCTTTTTGATAGCAGTAGTACCTGAGGCCTGATCTCCTAAAGGAGATCTAGTGGAGGTCTATGCATGACATTGGTAGGCTGTACTTCGTCAAGAACGTCATATTCTTGGAGGCCATGCACTCCGGAGTCTAACTTTTGCGGCGGCATGAATATCGGCGATCATTAGGCGAGGGTGACTTTCCGTGGTGGCAGCTAAATGAAATCATCAATACCATCACATTAAATTCGACGGAGAGCCGAGGCACGTAGCCTTGGTAATTTTGACACCCGTGCGCAGGCTGATGGCGTGTACTGATAGCAACTGGACCTTGTGCTCAATCCCTGTGCGTTGTGATAGGATAACGCACGGACATCGAGGCTTGAACGTGGAGTAATATGATAACATGATCAACCGGCAAGAGTTTCTTGGAATCGCGCGCCAGTGCAGCGACATCGTCAAAGCCGGTCCTGATCATGGTGAACAACAACAGATAACGTTCAACATACAGCACTGTCGTGGAGACAATGGATAAATAGTTTGCACTCAGAGCTCAGTCAAAGCAAGCCCCAAACCACTTTCAAGATGTCTTCCAACCCAACTGAATCGCACCAGAGCAAGGCAGAGATGCAGCGCCTATACAGAGAGAAGGAGGGGGAGGGATTCACGGAGCTCCAGATGGCAATCCGTGAAGTGACGAGGGGGAATGTTGATCTTGTAAAGCGTCATGAAACACTGACGAAAGGCATGTCAAACCATTCTGTTGATGTCCAATCACCTAACCCACACTCATCAGCGGCACAGAAGATTAGAGAACTTCATCGTCAGAATGATGAGTTGCGCAGACAGCTGAACATGATAGCTGATTCGTCGCGGGGACCGCCAGGTACATTATCTGACTGTTTGACTTATTCTAATGCTAAACAACACACAGGTGGCCAGGCGCTCGGGGCTTGGCCGGGGGGAGCTACCGCTGACCCCTATGCCCCTGATTTTGGCCTCAGTGTTTGGAGGAATGATCTCAGCACTCAGTATTCCGCTCAATATTACCCTGACAATGCTGCGCTATCAGACAGGAACTTGCCGCAAGGGTACACCGGGCAAGGCAGGGGCATGTAATCGACTGACTGCAAGAATGTCGCGCAGCGGGAGCGAGTTGATGTAGCAATATATGTCCCATTCTTAATCATATCTTAGGCCATAAGTAGTTTTCTTGTGCTTTTTTGGAGAATAATTGGATGGTCTTTTTTGAATTAGCAAGAATGTTCAGGATACAACAGTTATTTCCACACATTTTTAAGATGGCTCATCTTTGCTTCCGTCTTCTAGGCTCCGGTAGGCTGCCATACCATCTGATGTACAACGACTGTCTGCATATAGAGGTCAAGTGTGAGATTGAAAATCCGCTGCTATCACATGAGTGCCCACTTGACCACCTATGGTTCGGAATTTGTTGTCCGGAGTCGTCGTCCGACGACAAATCCCGAACCAGCTGTAGTGTAGTGACAACATATTGAAATAAGGGTGTAGAAGTGGCATCCCGATATGACCATGTGCACATAAATTTTCTTCCGTTGATGCCGCAGCGAACTTCAATGAACTCAAAAAATTGAGATGGCCGGTGGGTGGATAAATCCCGACGATGCCCCAACACTGACATAGATCCAAGACAAGATGGTCTGTCTGAGACCGGAGCTGGAAATAAGGTCGACAATACCTTGAGTATGGTGTCCACCGCTGTGTTACTAATGACTGATGGCAGAAGTGAAGACGCGGGTATGTTATTGGACAGTGAGGTTGCTCCTCTTAGGCACCATATTTCATGTATGTGTTGAGCATACATCGCGTATGACTCCATTGTGTATGGCAATGCCTGCTGACCTCTAGGAATCGATACGTGACTCGCCAAGGTTCGGTTTTACTAGTTGAAATCCTGTAAGACATCGAGTTTGGAGAATAGACGTTACGCCGACAACAATCACTATGCGCATAGCCTTCATAAAGTCGCGGACCTGAAGTGATGCGCAGCGCACGGCTAAGGACACAATGAAATTAGGGTTGAGATTGTGCCCCTGGGTTTCTTCGGGTCCGACGTCTTCGGGATGTGTCCATGAGGGTCCTACTTGATTTCTTTTCGCGTAGGGTGTCGAGGATAAACTTGGAGAGACTACATGTTACACCATACTAGAAGCATCGAGGCGGAGAGAGGCCAAACAGAGTTATCAATCAATTGAGTGCACGCACCACCGTCGGCGACACGCGACATATCATTACCCTATCCTGAGCATAGTCACCCCTGGCCTGAGTACGGTCCTGTGCCATACAAGCAACATTGTAACACGGATCAATTCGGAACAATGAAAACAGCGCAACCATGTGGCGTTCAGGCCAATTTTAGAGGTCGGGGAGCGCGAAGCGCGCCAGATGTCATCCTTGTGAGATTGCACAGCCACAAGCGCCCACAGGGGTGTCCAAATTGTGATGCGCGCTTGCATTCCACCATGCATGTTATGTCCCAATACGAAGCGAAATTTTTTCAGTGCTGTGTTTGTCACGTTAACGCAGAAGGAATGCAGCGAGGGGCAATGACTTGAGTATTTAAGATGTTTCATGTGACGGATGATTGAAATGACTCACCAGGATATACTCCGTCGAGCAAGCACACTGTAAATCTTCCTTCTCTCTAATTTCAGAGGCTTTCGACACCATGTGCGACGACACCACAGAGCGTGCATATAAGCAGAACAAGTCCGCGCAGCAAAAGCAATACAGAGACAGGGAGGTCGACAGCTTTGCCGAGCTTCGCGAAGTCATTCGCGAAGTGACAGATGATCAGGAACCCCCTAGGACAAGACATGAGACACTATTGAAAGGTGAGCATATCAAATAAAATGAGCCGACGGGAAAATTCACCACGTGGCTAGCTGCACAACTCATCAAGCAGCTTAAGCTTGACTTGATGAATCTGAAGCTGCACCAGCAGCTTCGCACGCTGAAATCATCTCGAAATGACGAATACTGTATGATGACACACAGTAGGCTTCAGCTTCTGCGGAGTTGTCCCTCAAATGTCTGATCAACAGGCCCTACAGCGCAGATACCCGCTATGTCCTTGCACTGGAACAGTGATGTCAAGTCGGTTGGCACGCGCCGGACGACAGAAATCGTACCGCAAAGCACACCGCGCGACTTTTGCATCGGCGTGAGGTCTGGGGTGTACGATGCCGCCGTGCTGGAGGGTGCGCAGGACCACACAAACATCATTTCACGATGCAATGACAACTTGAGTCAGATCACCCAGTATACGTCCGTCGGACCCCCCTTGAACCAGTCTCGCATCTCCTATGATATATATTCATATTAGAAACATAACTGTATGTCGAATAGCACTCACCAAGTTTTCTGTAGTAACAGCACAGTTGTAATGGATGCGTGATCTCATGGTCATAATGGGTGTACTGTGTGAGATGCACTCAATGAGGGTGTTTCAAAATAGCTGGACATGCCACCAGGCTGCGGCCTTATAAGTAATTGGGACATGGAACGATATGCTTCGGCTCGTGAAACACGCCTGTATCCGGTATCGGGTAGTACTTGGTGAAGATAGCCCGGCAGCCCGGGGAATTTGAGTTCAGGAAATACGTACTAGCTAGGCGTTTATTCATAGAAAGCATTGTCCTTCTTTTTGGCTTTCCTGGAAGTCGGTGCCCCTGGTGTTTATCCGTCGATAATAAGAATCGTGACACACGGCTGAAAAGCCTGGAACGATGAAGATACCACTAATCGAAGGCGCGTGGAACACAACTGGTCAGTGTGTCAAACTTGAAGATATGACAGACCACAGGTTGGTTGGAGCAGAGGATACTTTTTGTGCGTCAGCTGTGCACCGATCAATCCTAAGTCCAGGGAGAAAGTTAACACGAACCACCCCAACTTGTACCAGCGGCAGCTGCAGGGTGCTTTAAGTTGATTTCGGGAATTTCCAACGTTATAGATGGCTTTATAGATGATATATGCGGTTCAAGCGCTCACCGGCACCACTAGTCCTCTGATGGAATAGTCTAGAGTCTAGACGTCTCGAAACAAGCGGAGAAAGCAATCCCGGGCCCGCGCGGCTCTAGGGACCGAACGAATCCAGACTTTCAAGTTGGTCTAGTCCTGCATTTGGGAATTTGCAAATATTTGTCACGTTGGGCGCCAATCTATCATTGGGTAGTCCGCATGACCAGACAGCTGCAGAGTACATACAAGATAATAGCCCGACCGGTTTCAGACTCATCTGAACCTTCTTTATATATATCACTAGCAGCATTCGAAGAATGCTACTCGACCCCGGACATGTCACATCTCCGAGGACAGTGATACTCGTGTCCCCTGCAACCCCCAAGGTTCGGATACTGAAAGGTGGTTGGAGGGAGGCCAGGTCAATGGCGCAGCATTGTATACCTTGACCTCACATAATCAGACCAATGTTTACTAACACTAACGTGCATTTATATTCAACCTTGACAAACACGGCCTCCGCAAACTAGTACTCACGACGATTTCCTTCAATTACAAACACGACGAAATCCAGTATATAGAACAAATTATCCCCAGTTTCCCGACAAGAATATAGATGCCCTTTGCTCATGGGCAGAAGGTGATTGTATACACAGCATTGAGCGAAGAGCTGCAGGTGAACAGAGAGGTCGTGTCATCGTATGCATAAGCGTATGCGTTGGGGCAGTTATCCTCTACATACGGGGAATCGGTCATCTGCAGACAAGCCACAGCGTGATAACACTTACTGAAGTAGCTGTAGTACTCAACGCCTGACGATGGGCATGTAGCAGGCGTATTATACTGCCCAGTGCAGCAGTTGGGAGAGTTTGCTAGATATTCGAATAAGGATCTGCATGATTCGACAGGAGACAACTCTTACATGGATTACCATCGAGGTTGGCCTCGCAAGCACTCTTGCACCCAACAGGGAAGCCTGTGGAGTCGTAAGGGCCTTTGAGTGGTGCTGGACCTGAACGCGGAAGTTTATCAGCAATTTGACCACAGCCGGAGTGCGAGATGCTCACAGTTAGGCCCTAGGTCCACAGGGCAGCTTGGAACCCCACACCCAACATTATTTGTGATACGGACGGGCAAATTATACCCATCGACAAGAGATACTATGATGAAAGTTAGCCTGACTGATGACTTTGGCCTAAATCTTACGCACCGTCATAATAATCAACGCCTCCTGCATCCAAAGTGAACTCTGCAAGAGTGGCAGGAGGGACACCCTGATAGCTGAGCAATCAGAAAACTGGACTGTCTAATAGCAAGCATGTTTACCGTGCCGGTGGTGGGGTTGCACACCAGTCCTCCATTGCAACCACCGTCAAGGCAAGAGTTCGGGCCGGGGTTTGTGCTGAAGTCACAGTCGCGACGTCCCTATCATAAAATGAAGAGGTGAGAAAGGAGGATAGATGGGTATGCAATGAAAACCAACCCAGATTCGTCCAGCCGTCCAGGTGCTTGGGACCTGTTGTGAATCAGTGAGACAAGTCAAACCGATAGATCGTTATATGTACCTGGAAGGTAACTGCAGTATACTGGGTAGCCTCCCAGCTGGTTGGCATTTAGCTCAGGTTCAAGTGGTGGATGCCAAAGTTAAATACCTACCCAGTTGTGTAGCTAGGCAATGTGCCGGAGCCCGTGAACATCTAAATAATTATTAGTGAAAATGCGGTCGTTGGTGCATCGCGGGTGGAAACATACTGCGGGCCTGCAATCTCGTCGTCATCATCAATGCCGACAACAGGAAGGCACATGAACATACCAAATGGTGAAAGGACACGCATTGTACACAGTTATGGTGCGCTGAGCAAGCGCTGTTGACGCCAGAGCGAGAGAAGACGCTGCAAGAAGATACTTCATGATACAATCAGCAATTGAACCAAATTATAAAGATACCTTCACCATGCTCCCAACCACCCCTTTTATACTTTTTAGCTAGTGCTTGTGAATTTCCAAAGACAATGCAAAATATGAGATGATATGGAATGTCAGATGGTCTTCTGTTAGAGTGAGGCACGCCAAGTTGGCCTGTGCTAAAGGGCATGCAACGCCGGTCTTGTGGGCGGAAACCATCGAAATCGAGCGTAGCACGGATCCGGATCTGTTGCGCTCTGTCATACCTCTGCATACTTCGTCAAGGTTTGACTACTGACATCCTAAATTTAGCACGGCATAAAGGAATGGACAAAATATTAACGATATGGCACTAACAGAAGGAGGAGGTTATTGCCGTATACCACACCTGTTTCTGGCTTCCACATCACCAAGTGGTGTGCCAGAAGTATGACAGTAATTTTACGCCCGTAGCACTCGACCTTAGCTGCGGGGTAGAAAATGTGCCTGGAAGTGTAACAGATTTCAGTATTCAAGTGTCCTGAGTCGTGAGGGGCTTTGATCCTCCACACACCTGAACTTCCGAAACTATTCCTGAAAACGTCCGAGATGCACAAGGGTACATGGCGCCCGAGTCTCCATACGGTCGCTGGCGCGTGATACAGTCCAAGATGTCATGCGCATAGCTGTGAAAAGGATGGTTATCATTTCTACGGTGATCAAACACACCAAAAAAAAGTGCTGAGAGGCGGTGTGAAACAGCTACATATGGACAATGCATACTACATACCCACAACATTGTCGGGGTCAAAAATGTATTTCCTAAAGCCATCGGAAAATTGCAAGAGGTTATAATGTACAGTGCAATGGTTAAACGAACCTTGACATATCACACCACTGAAGATGATCTGGAACCGCAGCAAAGGCACAACGAGCGCTGATGCGGATTGATAATTGTGCACATGGTTGTTGAAATGTATTGATCTGAATGATTTGATCAAATCAAGCGATACAAACTCTATGTCAAAGCAAAATATTCTGAGTCTATGTCGAGTTTGCAGACAGTCCAGGCATGACGCAGACTCTGCGACAAGGTCGCGACTGAAGGTGTGAGGGGGTAGTGACCATCGTACAGGGAAAATTAGAAATTGAGGCGCCTGCCAATTTATGTTCTACCTGTGACCGTCGCGACTTGCCAGGGCCCAGCTCGAATCTTGCAAATGGGAATCAGGGAGCTGAGGAAGTCAACCAACAAATAGGAACCGACGTTCGAAGTTGAAGAAAGTCAGAATCGATGCCTATGCCAATGGGGGATGGGCAGCGAGTCCAATTCAACGAGTACTAAGTAGTCAGGATCCGTGCAGCAGCCGCTGCGTCCATGCACACTTTTAGTCTTCAACAACATTATGAAACAATGAATCTCACTGTCGAAATGTTCAAGCGCCGATGAAAAGAGGGTGCACGTGCAAGCCGAGCTTCAGCCGAGCCATTGCTTGCTCCAGTTCTTCACTGCAAGGATCCGTGCTCACGCCATATCCTTCTACTTGATGGGTTTCTTGCTCCTGGTAGTTGCAAGCTAGAGGGCTTGGTAAGTACTTCTGATGAGACAATTAATTGCAGTCACTGATAAGTTCCGAACAGCCAAGTTACGATAAACAATATACCAACGGACGGAGGTGATTCACTCCGTAAGTCTACCCCCAACAGACAAAATGTAACGGTCGCGGGTATAAGCTAATGTACACTATTAGTAAGTGATCCTATTGTCCTATATGTATATTTGTTCATCGTAGTTGCAACACTGGCGTTCCGAGCTCCAATTGTCAGGATTAACCTGATTATATGCCGGAGCGGTTCCTATATTCCCCAATGACATGTTGGCATCGCACAGTTCATAGCCTGTGCTGGTGACAAGTGAATATAATCCGGTTGGCGGTCTGATGTCTGCGGGCTGACAGCCGCTGTTTGGCTGCTCGATGAAATATTCGTAACGCACGGGGGAATATGGGTCCTGCGTACAAGGACCTGCTGATTGTCAACGATATATCGATTGCCTGTGGACGGAACACGCTTACTCATTCCTCCGACATAACTCGGTGGTGTTTCGGAGCCGGGACGGTATTTATAAAGTTGGTGTTGCAACTTTGCATTCAACACAGAAAGCTCCCTAATCAGCCGTGCAGCTGAACAATACACAGTGCTGTCAGCCATTTTCCTGTTTTCACTCACTATATGCACATACCTTTTCTTAGAACATCTTGTCTCGTCTTGGGGTCCAGCTCTCCTCCCGTAGCGTGACGAATCTCCGTCCGTACCAAGGAAAACCCGTCAAGCTCCTTGTTCCTGTACAGTTTTTGCAAGGCCGACTTGTTTTGCTTTGGCATTGCTTCAACGAGGTGTTCGATTGCGGTAAACTTGGAGCAGCTGATACGAAACAGGATACAGTACGCATGAATTTGGTGTCATCCCTTGTCTTCTTATACCAAGGTTTTGCCATCTGATAGGCGCCAGCCTGCTAACTATTGTAGGGCTTACGTCCAGCTCCTAGCCCGGCGGCTCATGAGAACCCTAAAAATTCATCGATATGCTTGGTTGGAAGAGGTAGGATTAATTTAGCGCTTAATCTAGTCGCCCACACGAAGTTGGAGCTTGGGCGCGGCAACATGGGGGCCATGCTTTGCTTCTTCGGCTACCACCCGAAGAATGACATTGACATGGTTTGAATGGGAAGTTTCGGCGGTGTTTTTGGGGATCTTCAATTTGGTACGTGTGAGTGCGTGTGTGATTGCAGTGTCTTTGCTGAGCAGATAATGATTGCATGAAAAGCGCTTGCCTGACGTCACGCGGGTATCGAACACAGACCAGTGCTTGACCCACGCCCAAAGCGCTCTAGTAGTGCGGCTTGCACCTCATGGTGAGGCACAAGCGCCCAGTTAATAGCGTACTTATTACATCTTTCTGGATTGAGTTTCAAGTTGCTAACGGTTATACAGGGAATGATACTGATAAGCATCACCTGACAGGGAAATCTCCGTACATCCCGCTCTTAAATGTCATCTCCAGCTAAGTATAATAGACAAAGTCTGCGAGTGTGCAGAACCCAAATGGGCAGTGGCGCTAAGCGCTTATTGAAGACATTGGGCTTGCCATTATTATTGTGAGGCTCGCCGAGGGTGCTTCTAGCCAGTCGAATTCTTCATTGAGGAGCTAGCCCGCTTCGAACGAAGTGGGACTCCGCATTCAGATCCCATTGGTATGCACTCCCTTTACAATATATATGCGATCCTCTGCGTAGTGGTCGACCCTGCCTGCCACTTACTGCACGTTGACGGCCACAGGAAGTGGGCAGCCGAAATTAACTTTCCCCCATGCCAAAACCATGCCTTGGAAACAGACAATGTCAGACATTGCAACTTTCCGAGACTCATTGAGGGCCCCGACCCGAATCATGTCGTCATCAGAATGGAAGGTAGCGCAGGTGAGAGGTCCACATTAGTGCTACATTCGGTTCGGGGTCGTGTTCGCCTGTCTCAAAATAACAATTGCCGCGAAGCTCGGCAGAAATAGCGCGTCAGACCGAGCGTCGCCGATGATTATCTTCTTGATCTGACGGCTGAAAGCTGTCCGATCGATTGAAAATGATAACTCTATGTCCGAAGTGGGTTCCCATTTCAGAGCTCATCTTGGAATCACTGATTGAGCATTTCCCTTGAAATCATCCAGGATGAGGAAGGGCCGTACTATGTACGTGAAGTATTCGCCGCATCAAATAACCTGGCAAAAGCCGAGTATCTGGCGCTTATGATAGAGAGGTCAAGTTTCGAGCCTAGTGCCAATCTAGCATCCTTATGGTACATAGTGCGCAGACTAATACTACCGCTACATCATCAAGGATGACACTGGCAAATCTACCCAAACCATCATAGCCCACTCTAAATGCGTCTACTCGCTGGAATTTTCTCTAGATGTATCTAGTGCCGCAAGGATCTGTCGCCAGACATCGCGACACCATATAGAGATGTCGGACAACCTGACATCGTTGGTGGGTGCCATGTGTCAGCCGAGTATTGGTGTCTTTCGTCTGCATGGTCATTACCCCACCGCCAGCCAGCAAATGGGTGTTGAACTTGCACTGGGCATGATAGCTCAATGATCCTGCGCTATATGTCGTAAGTGAAGGAAGCTCACCCAGATGGCTGTTAAAGACTGCTGTGGCACCGTGGCCCGGCTCCGGACGCGGCAATTCATGAAGTTCCTGCAACATGGTGTTGCGACGATAAAGGTACTCGATCATTTCGGTGGCTGTCGTGAAGATTTAATGACACCAGAATTAGGGGATAGTCAGCGAAATCACCTTGGACAATGGTCTCAAGTCGAGTCTGATGAGCATCTGCCCCTTGAGATATGCCGCGAAGTAATTCCCGGAGTTGCGCAAGTGCATCCGCTTCCTTTGCTCTGTACTGCCGTTGCAACATGGCCTTGTCCTGAGCTGAACTTGTACGCCCTGAGTCGGACGATTGAGGATGATAAGGTGAGTGCATGACGAAATATGTTTCAATGATTCGTAGTTTACATTCATTGCTGTATTATATATTGGTTGTCCTGCGTCAGTCAGATAATACAAGGAGCGCACCGGGACTTCATGACAAGCTCCAAGGCCCTTCAATCATTGGGTTAACGATCAGTACGACATGGTGTGGCTTGCAGTTCTGAACGCTGAGAAAACGTTAAATTGCCGCTTATGCGCTCATCGTGGCAATCTTTCAATGAAAATCGTAATCAAAAGACAATCGAGGGCACTACCTGCAAAAAACTGTAATGATCATGTTGATCGTCGTGAGAACGACAAACCTTGAGTTGAGCTTCGTAGCACGGGGGACCTGGGGGACAGCATATTCTTCGTCGCATGGGCCCACAGCCATAGTAACCTATAGTAACGCGAGTCACCCGGAGACACCTTGAACCTAGAGTACCGGATGACTTCGTAAGGAGGCGCCCCAAAGGCACCCGCTGAAGCGCTGACAAGCCGCGGACCTGTTAATACTGGAGATCGATCGACAATATTTACAGACGACGCACAAATATTAGAAAATAAATACACACAGTATTCACGTGATTTGGCGACGTGTCTAGTAGGACCTTGCGGTTTAATCTGAGCAGCACACTTGATTTGGTCTACTGACTACGTAGGCTTGTAGGTCCTAGGAGTCAGCAATAATGCGTTCTAGCGCACTTATTGTCCTTGGATGCGGGCTACTTGCTTCCAGCGCGTCGCCCCCGGTCAGCGTGTCTTTGCGTTCCTCTTTCAGTGCTGCAGATCCATTACTTGAGGCGCTGTAAGTTCGAATCATGTACTTGGCCCTCTCGTGCAGCTAATATCATATGTAACTTACCAGAGAAACCCTGGCCCTTACCTCTCCAGAGCACCTGTTTTCACTCCTCAATCATTTCCCCCTCCCACTGAAACCCGCAACGCCGGAAGAATCGCACAACGCCATCTTAGACCTCGCAAAAAATTACCTTCTGCCTCCGGAGACAGCTGCTGTGAATGTTGGGCTAGCTTTACATGCCGCAAGTCCAAAGCTTGCTGCACAGCACATACACGAAAGTGGAAGGGAAGGATGCGAGGATTGGATAGATTGGTATGGAAGTGTTGCATGCAATGCAGAAGAATTCAAGCGCCTGGTCGAGATTTCAGCTGCAGCCTCGGATTCCGAGTCCCAACCAAAAGTGAAGCGCCTCCAAACAGATCATATTCTCCCTCTTCAGCCATCACTCAACGCCCCCAGATGGACAGCAATACACTACGCTGATCTTATGTCACCTGAATTCAATTCACTACACGGCGCACTACTCTCTTTGAGTCTTGACGTGGAGTATGTGTTACGCTGGGCTCGGCCTATCATTGCATCAGATGGCCCGTATTTGTCCGGGTACGGCGTTGCACTGGACTTGAAGAAGATGGATTACCTCGCTGTGGATGACCGGAAGCGAGCTTCCTCTACCTCTCGTGACGATTCCTCTGGCGATGAGGATAAGGAAGGGAATGAAAAGGACGTTCTGAGCTGTATTTTCGAGGCCATGTCATACATTGATACTGAAACGGAGAAGAATGCTGGCACAAATAACCCCTTGAGCAAAGAAGAGATTCAAGGTAATTTGGCATTTATTATGTCACCCAGTGCTCATCCCGCATGACGCAGACCTTGGCCTCAAAGCAGCATCTTTTCTCTCTCTCCTTTCTGAACCCGCTTCCTTCCCCCCAATTATCTCTTCATGCTTATTGGAAAATTCGCTCGCCCCGCTGAGTGTGTTGCACACGCTGTCTACGAATTTCCCTCACTATGCTGCTCCACTTGCGCGCAAAGTCCGTGTGCCGGACACAGTACGAGACGAGGTGCAAGATAACTGGGGGAAGGCGATGATGGGTGTGAACATGGTATGGGTCAATGGGAGGGTGCTGGAGGGTGAAGCTGGGATATTTGGGTGCGTTTTCTGTCTTTACCTTTCTTTCGATCATCTGTACTTTCCTTCAGTGTCTTGTGTTATGTCCGGAAGTTTGTTCAGTTCTGATTCAAGTTCAGGCTCCTGCGTACCTTTGCGCGCGAACGCGCTCTTATTCGCTCACTCGTCAAGCTTGGTCTGTCGAGGTCGCAGGCCATAGAGTTTGTCGTGCACCCAGTGCATTCGGGCCCGTTCGACTCACCTCCGTCGACACTGAAAGTCAAGAAAGGCACACCGTTGGGTTCAGAGAAGCGTTTTGTTCAAGAAGTTCTGCGCACGGATACCGAGAGCAATGCTGAAGCAGCGACTTTGAATGAAGGACAGAGGACATATAATATTCCTCCGAAGTGGAACGACCTCCTAGATGGCTTTGTTGACTCTTCAGATAGGTTAGAGGGCGGCGGCGTCATATTATCGTGGAATGATATTGAGGAGGACACGAAATACTCTGACTGGGGGACGGACTTGACGCAGGTGGGTATATGCACTCATTATGGCTTTGATTGTGACACGCTAACTTGTTTGGTGCGCGTTACATATTTAGCTCCTCCGTACGCATCCCACTCAACTTTTCAGTCCTTATTTGCGTTTGCGGGTCAACATCATTAATGTCGTCCTCGCTCTTGACTTTTCGCAGCCTCGGTTCTTTTCCCTCATTGCAAGTCAAGTGGATGGCATCGTTGCCCGCGGCTTCCCTGTTAGGTGGGGTTTTGTTCCAGTTTCTGCCGACGATGGAGACGGTGCGTGAGGAGACTATTTTTCCTCGACAATAATCCTTATCGTTGTGCGCGGATAGGCCTGAAGATGGCCAGAATTATATACTACGTCGCACAGAAATTCAATCGTCCAGAAGTGGCTTCGTTTTTCCGCTCTGTATGCCCTTCGCTTTGCCCTCATTCTACATTACTTGATTATTCTCTCCCATAGTTATCCACTGCGCACACCCAGCAGCAATTCCCTACTCTGTCTTGGAGTATTGTCCATGCAACTTTCAACGCTCTTGGGACAGCGGATAACTTTGCAGACATAGCTAGCGGGAAGGTCTCTAGCGTTGAAGAAGCTCTTGAGAGCGCAAGGCGGTGGATGAGAAGGCTTGGTGTGAGCGGCAAGGATGGGGAAGGGTTTATCAATGGAAAGTGGTATGAAGTAGGGGATAATTTCTTACGAGACTTGCAGAATGAGGCAGTTGGGCAGATGCAGTTACTACAGGAATTGGTAAGCATTTTAATTCTCTGTATATTCCCTCATCTGTTTCTTCGTCCTGTTGTCTTATTAACTGCCTCGTTTACCTCCCTACGCCATAGGTCTACCTCAGAGAACTAACCGACGTTTCTGTGCCACTCATATCAACGTTCTTTTATGACCTCCCCACGACACTCTCGAGGCGGAATCCGTACATTTTCAGCAAGGCAGCTTCTTCAGTGCATGCTCCTTCGTCGAGTACTGGGAACCTTAAAATGTTTGATCTTGGCGATTTGAGTAAGCGCACGGGATGGGACCCGCTCACATGCGCATGGGTGACATCGGGTGGATATTGACATATTACCTGTCCGGTTTGGGCGATGCTAATTCTGTTTCCCACTGTCAGATGCCGAAAGGACGCCTGTGAGCATGATTGTCATCGCTAATTTGGATTCGGCAGAGGGGCAAGCACTGGTTCGGGAGGCTGTGGCATTCGTTTCTGTAAGTAACCTGTGTCTCTGCGCGCTTTCCTGCTAATACGCACGTAGAGAAAGGAATCGCAATCACGCGTCACATTCCTGCACAATCCCGTTACCGGCTCAGCTGGCTGTAATCTGTCATCCTTCTTTGCGATTGTTGGGTTAACAAGCGACCTTGGGGAGCTCTCTCCAGATGTGTTGAAACGAGCGCTCGATGATTTGGAAACGCAAGATGCTGTACAGGCCCCCATTACCGAAATGATACGGCGCCAATTTGATTCGCCAGTGCACACAGCATTTCTGACTACAAGTCGCCTTCTCGCGCGTGAGGCGGGCCTTCGGCCTGGAGAACAAGGCATCATTGTTAATGGCCGAGTACGCTGCTCATTATAGTTTCAGTCCCACGTGGAAACTGAAAATTCATGCATAGCTCATCGGTCCCATTTCTTCTGCGTCAGAGTTCGTGTCTGAAGACTTTGCGACGTTGGAGACGTATGAAATGAAGAAACGAATCAGACGTGTGGCACAAGCTATTGAGGATGTTCTTGCCGACGACACAGAGCTTGATGCGTGAGCGGCCTTGATCTATGCTGCTTCCGGGTTCTGATATTGGATTTTGTATCCACAGGGTTGCATATGCAAATCTCGTATCGGTGGCGTCATCGATTATCTACGCAGATCAACAGCCAGATCCGAGTGAAGCTGGATTGTTTGACAGCGCACCGAGACCTAGGACCAGCAACTATAGACTCTTATCGGGCAACTCCACGTATGTGTTTCCTCACCTGCATGCAGCGTTGAAGTGATATTGAACGAATTATCCGATTGCAGAAAATTCGAATTCGGTGATCGAGAGAATCCACTGACACACCTTGTACTGCTCCTTGATCCCCTGAGTGAAGGAGCACAAAAGTGGATCACAATCTTAGAGGCGAGTCATAATCAAGACCGTAAAATCGTCGAATTGATGTAGGTGACTATAGAAACACGAGGAGCTCTTCCCAGAGGTGTACTTTGAACTGTACCTCAATCCAGCTCTACATTCCGAAGTCTGCAAAACCCATTCGTACTGCTTGGCCAAACTAATCGGATTCACAGATCCCGCTCAAGCGATTTTATCGGTACAGCGTTGAGCCTCACGTACAATATGACGGCAAAGGGTGGGTGGGTCTGTTTGTCTGCTCGTGATAGCACTGAAGAGCAGCCCAGTAACGAGATTCCGGCGCAAGTAACCTTCAATGGCCTGTCCGTAGACCCGATATATACCCTTGGCATGGATGTTCCCTCCTCGTGGCTCGTTCGCCCACGAGAGGCTCTCTACGACCTCGACAACGTTCAGCCAAGCACACTTCCACCTGACGGTCTCCATGCTCTATTCTCGCTCGACTACCTTGTCGTAGAAGGGCATGCACGGGAGCCGAAGTCCAACAGCCCTCCTCGAGGCGTACAGCTCCAACTTACCACTTCATCTCCATCTACCAATCATACTCCGTCCGTAGTCGATGACACTCAGGTTGTCGCGAATCTTGGCTACCTGCAGTTCAAAGCTCGTCCAGGCACATTTAAACTTGATATTCGCGAAGGAGGAGGCCGTGAGGTGTATGAGATGGCCAGCGTGGGGAGTGAGGGGTGGAATAGTCCTTCTGTGGAAGATTCTGGAGAGGAGTTCACCGTGATGAGCTTTGAAGGGCTGACCCTTTACCCCAGGCTGTCGCGGAAGCCGGGCATGGAGAAGGTGGATGTGCTAGCGGGGTTACAGCAACGCTCAGGCCATTCCCAAACCATCATAGGCGGTATTTTGTCAAAGTGGGTGTTCTTTCATTACCTATTGCTCTTGATGATCCTGAAGTTTTACTTCAGGGTTTCGTCTCTTTTCACATCGAAGAGCGAGAGCACGACTGAAGTCGCAGAGATGGGAGCCGCACAAGCGGACATCAACATCTTCACAGTTGCCTCTGGGCTGCTCTATGAGGTAGGCTCCCTTGCCCGTCTAAAAATGTTCGGTGCCTCCATTAACTCTCCCTTTCCAGCGTTTCGCATCCATCATGATTCTAAGTGTCCTGCGCAACACCAACAGCACTGTGAAGTTCTGGTTCATCGAAAATTTCCTATCGCCTTCTTTCTTGGTCAGTTGACCTGACGTATTGCTTGCAACATGCCTCATTGTCGTATTACAGGAATTCATACCACACATGGCCGAAGAATATGGCTTCCAGTATGAGCTCGTGACTTATAAATGGCCTTCTTGGCTCCGCGCCCAGAAGGAAAAACAACGCATCATTTGGGCATACAAAATTCTTTTCCTTGATGTTCTGTTTCCCATGGACCTCAATAAAGTCATCTTCGTCGACGCGGACCAAATCGTCCGTGCGGATCTGCAAGAACTGGTCGACCTCGACTTGCATGGTGCACCATATGGTTATACACCCATGGGCGATGACAACTATGAGATGGAAGGTTTCCGGTTCTGGAAAACTGGTTATTGGAAAGAGTTCTTGGGTGATCTTCCATATCACATCAGGTGAGTTCATGTGTGGATTGCACGCTTTGGAATCGATCTGATGCTTCCTCAGTGCCCTGTATGTCGTAGATCTCGTCCGTTTCCGCCAGGTACGTAGGCTACTTCTGATGACGATCCCTTACTAATGGATTTTAGATGGCCGCGGGAGTACGTTTGCTCTTCACCGCGTCCGAGGACTTTTAGTGACATGTTGGTTTCAGGACATACTCCGTGGACAATATCAGATGCTTTCGGCTGATCCAAACTCACTTGCTAACTTGGACCAAGGTGAGTTGTGCGAGTCTTCGAGAGGGTACTTGCTAACGTAAGCGAAGATCTGCCAAATAATATACAAAGAGACGTGCCGATAGTGAGTCGAAATAACTGTAAGTGACGCAGGTCATTGATGGCTACTAGTTCTCTCTTCATGAAGACTGGCTTTGGGTATGCAAACTTGAACTCTGGTGGTCTTTTAGGTTTACTGATGACGTGGCTGATGCAGTGTGAAACATGGTGTATGTTGTCAACCTCACTTTAGACCTCTCCCTTATCTATCTAAATGTTATATGCAGGCGGCGCAGATCGCCTTCATCGTGCCAAAACTATCGACTTGTGCCAGAACCCCCTTACGGTCAGCTCTCCTAGACCATATCAGTCATTCATCTGACGTATAATTGGTCTACACAGAAAGAACCAAAATTATCTCGTGCGAGGCGGATCCCTGAGTGGGAGGAATACGACAATGAGATTGCACAATTTGCGGGAAGACTGGCTACAGAAGGCAAGATTCATTCAAGTGTTGCTACCGCTCGTTCGGATGTTCTTGCGAGTGTTGGGTTGGCTCAGCCAGCGAACAACAATGACGTCGAGGGTGCTTCAGGGAGCGAGGACCTCCAGCATCCGCATGACGAATTGTAGATATTTGGGTAGACATCGATCATGGACAGTTTTGCCAATGGACTTTACCGTGTTACTAAGTTAAGACCGTTGATCAATTATGACAGGTCGTGAGTTCTCCGCTACTCAGCCGTTACGCCCGGGTATGTCTTGACCCGGCTAGGATCCAGAACCAATGCGTGCAGTTGATATGATATCAACGCGTATGGCCGTTTGTAAGTTGCATCTTCACCTTATCAGTAGGGGCCTAGTCTCCCCTAGCCAGACCATACAGAAGGAAGTTAGTAGCTTCTTGATATGATACGGCCCGCATTGCATGCACAAACGACAAATTGGTACAAAATATACTTCGCCCCTAAGCCAGGGATGCTCTCCACTTGTCGTATTTACGACTCACTCTAAACTTTCTTCATTACTGGCAAGAGATAACAAGGTAAACCAGGGTCGATGACGCTGTGGCGTCAGGCTCAAAGGAGATGGCATGATCCGGCTCGGTTAAACCTACTTCATGCCTAGTGTGGATGCGAACAATTTGCGTTCCCTCTTAGGACAAGGCGATCACTGCGAGCTATTACGATGACACCTTACAGGGGGACAGAATGCTGAGCTCTGATTGTTGTTAGTGATTCCGCACGCACCTACCGAGTAGAACGCCAAAGCGCATCTCCATGAATTTTCTCGACCTATGTGATCAGAAAAAGGGATGCTGTAAGACAGTACTCATTTTCACAGAGAAAGCATCTTATCGTCGAGTGGAGGCTGATACGAGCTGATAGAAAGGGCGGAAGATGTTGGGCGTAAGTAGGTGTTAAACATTGTAGGGGCAGGCGCAGTAGATAGGTGAGGGCATCGCAGCCTTTGAGCGTGTCGCCTCCGTTCATATGATGTGATGAAATCCGAGCGGTGGGGAAGTACTTACGCTACAGGCTCCACTCATATCAGCAGGTGATGCATGCAGATTTCATAATGAAGGAAGTAAGAATCTAGAAACACTTTTGGGAGACGGATCTGTACAACGAGGCGTCCAAGAAAGGCGAAAACGGCCCCGCACGGGAGACTTGAAAGGAAATGCCGGGTAAGGTGTGTCCGTGAAAGCGATCACGGCTGGCAGCACAGGCACACACTAGAATAGCGGCCGCTGAAGTAGGAAGGTATGATAAGAATGTGATGCAGGTACAGAGTGCACAGGAGGGTACAGCCTACAATGATGTTATTGTTCTTGGGGATAAATCCTCGAGTGAGCAACGTTGTGTTTGCGTCAATAGGCGCGTGAAACGCAATGATAGGGAAGCACGCACGGTAGGGGCGTGCAAGCAGTGATTGTAGTCTAGGAGATCAATGACAAGAGTCACCGTTCACCGCCTCTTCTCCTAGTGCTATAGGTTATTGTACTAGCCTACGAACAGACAATAGAGAGAGAAGCCGTTGAACTGAAGTTCTATTTGTTTTTTTTTGGCCGTGGAGAATGAGTGGAAGATTCCGAATAACGAGCAATACGCCACGGAGGCAAGCGCAGATACAGAGGATCTTCAGTGCAAAGAAGCTGGCCTAATTTGGAAATAAGGCACAAGACCCCAAAACCAGTACAAACAATGTCCAAATGCGGATTTATTCGGACTCAGATATCAAAAATGTCACAAAATACTATACATGGTAATGCGTTACTTACTGCGCGGTGTCGGAGAACAAAAAGAGCTCCATGTGTCATCCGCCGAAGATCAGTCATCCCACGATATCCTCGTTTTTTATTCCTCCCAAACTTTCACATCACCATCAACGTCGTCGTCGTCGTCCTCAACCTCTTCGTCGTCGCTCCGCTCGTCATTTCTCGCTTAACCAAATGCTTCTTGCTCACAAACCACATCCTCCGCCCTTCATGTCGCCTAACATCTCACATCGTCGTCATCCTTCGGCTCCTCCAGCAGTCGTAGTTCAAGCAACGAAAACACCTGGCTTGCTTTTCATCACCAAGCAGCCTTCACGACCTTCAACTCCCCGTATTCATCAACAGCTCCTTCAGAAACAACATCGGTCTCCAAAGCCGAAACAGAAACAGCTCGTCCCTCAGTCCCAGGGCCGTGCAACACAGCCTCCAATTTCAGAGTCATCTGATGAACCTACCAAAGTTTCTACGCAGAAAATTCACTCCGATGCTGTCGACTCCAAGCTCGCAGTTCATCCGGCTACACCATCGCCGGACAAGACTGCACGAGGTAGACAATACAGGGCACCTAAAGATAAGGGAACCACAAGGTGATCAGTGACACCCCATTGTATGCACTCAGCAACATTTCTGAGTACCGTTATTCTTTCGCTTAGAAGCTCTTCTTCGAATGCGCAAGCGCGACGCAACAATATTCGTCAACCTTCACCACCTATTCTCTCGCAGGCTGAGGGTACAACATCTTTGACGCAAACTTTTACCCATCGTAACAACAACCCTGCATCTAACTCTTTTGACCCCTTTGTTGTCAGTTCCGATTCTGATTCGGACAACTCCCCTCAAGCCATGACTTTGACGCCCAAGAATTCTTCTTCTCAGACACCTTCTCTGACCTCTCAGCCGACTGGAAAACTAGCTGCTCGTCGCCGTCGCCCTTTACCGCAGCAACTTACCTCCCCTACCCCCGCCACTCGGGCAGTTCCTGTACCAAGATCTAATACTCAAACCACCCGTCACAATATCTCCCGTTCGGCTCCCAGCCAATCTGCTGTGCCACTCCGTACCGCACGGCGCACTTCCGCCGTCTCCTCCGCAGATTTTCCAGTCTGTGATGACACCACTGATGTTGATGATCATTCTCCTCCATCAACACCCACCCGCGAGAGATCTGCCGGGACTTGGTCACAGCTTGCATTCGAGGGAGGTCCTCGCACAGCGCCACTCAATTTGAGCGCAGGATTTCCATTCGGTGGGCAGCTGAGCTGCAACACTCCGTCTCCATCCCGCAAACATTACAGGACGCCCAGTGACGGTGTATTCCACATGTCCTTTGACGAGGACATGTCATCCACTTCGGACGCTTCTGAAGAGCACAAGAAGTTGTTCGGTTTCATGCCCAGGAAGTCCGGGTCAGTTGGACCTAGCGTCACCCGTGCTGGCAAGGACAAGGCTGGGTTCTTCGCGAGTTCAGTGTTCCAAAATTCGCCGAGCCCCGACGAGTTACCTCCACCCGCTTTTTGAGTGGCACTTTCATTTCTATCACATTCATCAAGTGTAGAGGTGGGTGACTATTATCGTTATTGCGGTAAATCGTCAAATCGTTGAACAGCGATTTAGATTTTTCGTATTGGCAAACAGCCCCTAGACTAATATCACCTCACCACCCGACATAATCTCCCTTTCTTTCGCCGCGGAATTCCTCGAACGTATACTGAACCTAATACACTCTGATCGCGAAAAAGCCGACGTACATCCTGCTTCCGACGACGTGATCTTCCGTGGCGCAGTGTCTTATACCTCTTTTACCGATAACATTATCCTTTCGAAGTTTTCCATCCGGCATCATTTTCACAGTGGTCTTCTCTCTTGGGCTGTTGGCTCCCACGTTTCTATGGCATCACCTGTCTAATGGACTTGCCGCTCCACACTTGTCTTGCTTGTCATATAATCCGGTCTATTTCGGTCACGGTCACCCGCACAGGACACATTCGCGGCTTCTTGCCCCAGATGTATTACATCTGGGTCACCACTCAGCGACGACATTCATACCTCACTCGCTGGCGGTCTATTCTCTATCTATTCTTTCCACCCCTCAATGTGTCACTACCACGGCTCGATCCTCATCATCATGCTTTCGCAACATCGCATTGGCATTTTCTTATTATCTCGGTTGCCCGACGGTACTCGGGCTTGTATAAAAGGCGGCACAAGGCGCAGACTATCACTACATAAACAACAAAATCTTATCATCAAGCCTTGCGTTGTCCGCTGCGTATTGTGTATATGACGCCACGCCCCTCCCCCCTCCCAGCCGATCGTGCTTATTTATCTATCGGCCTCGCGTCCACGCGTGGGGTCCTAGTATATTCACCCTGAGCGTGTTCTTGGATCTTGGGACTCGTCTTGTGATATTTTCATCTTTTTCCTCTACTTTTTATCCACGACAATCTTCCTTTTCTCGTTAGTATCGTATACTTTCCCGGCACCCGTCTGTGTTTTTAGCCCGATTCCTTGGGTGCCCGGGTTATCTATTTCTTTTCAATTCCCATTCCCTATCCTGGTTCCTCTCCCGGCCGCCGTGCTTTTTCTCATTTTGGCGGCAGCTATATTCTTTTTTACAGATAACACAAAGGTGTATCAATATCGACCCGGCCCACACATTATTGGACTATCACGTCGCACCATAACTCTTCTCCACTTCTTTCTTCCAATGTGCTATAGTCACTTTTCATTTTCTCTGTTCATGATGCGACATGATTTTCCGGTGTATAATCCGTCTGGGTGTGGGTTGCTTTTCCCTGAGTTTCGTGACTCTTTTGACTCAAGCCTCGGTTGCAGTTCTATCATACGTTCCCACCCAGTCGCCATGCACAGGCGCGGATACACATACATATTTTGCTTCGTATGCCTTCCTTCCTCCTGCCCGCACGCGCCTGTGCATCTTTCATCCGCCGTTTAGAGCATACTTAAACTTTACACTCGTTATTACATCTACCAACCCGCACACTCCTTATCAATGTGATCTGCAATATAGACTTTATTGACCTTTTGGTACTGGGACGTAAACTGGTGGAAGTGCTATTGCTACAGCGTTGATACTTCTGCGTTACGCTCGAGTGAGTCATGCAATCACGCTGGTCAATTTTGGCAGGCAGAACCAGCAATCGATTTCGAGATCTTATCTTTCCAAGATACCTCCGTGATCGCACACGTATTTCCTACACCACTGACACACAGAACATGGATCCCGGAAAGCAACTGCATGTCGCTGTGGTAGGCGTCGGAGGCGTCGGGACCCAAGTCGTCGAACAGCTGATCGCAAATCCGAACTATGGCTTCCATCTTGTAGCGCTCACCTCCTCCAAGCGCATGCTCAAGTCTACAAAAGATGCCTGCATCAACCCCGTAGCATGGAGGGATGCGCTCGATTCCAGCGAAACGCCCGTCGACCTCTCCGTGGTGAAAAGCACGTTGCAGGAGCTCGTGAAGCAGGGCGAGAAGACTTTGTTCATCGATAATACATCCTCGCAGGACGTTGCGGAGTTGTATCCTGCGTTGTTGAGTGCGGGGATCAACGTGGTTACACCGAATAAGAAGGCGTTTTCGGGTGAAGTGGTGTTGTATCAGGGTATTGTCCAGGCGAGCAGGAGCGGGAGGTATTTGCATGAGTCGACGGTGGGCGCTGGGCTGCCTATCATCTCGACGCTGAGGGATTTGGTAGAGACGGGGGACAAAGTGGGTTTTTGGTTGGCTGGGGTACGATTGATGGAGGCTGACTGCGCGCGATCAGATCGTCAAGATCGAGGGCGTTTTCTCAGGAACCATGAGTTATATCTTCAACAACTATTCTTCCGTGGAGGGAAGCCACGAGAGTTTTTCCTCGATAGTTAAAGGAGCCCGAGCACAAGGATACACGGTATGGCTTACTTACTTCGCCTGGGTTTGTGTAGTTCTCAAATGCAAGTCATCAGGAACCTAACCCCGCAGACGATCTGAATGGCGCAGACGTCGCTCGGAAATTGACCATCCTAGCGCGTATCATTCCAGAGATGAAGGATGAGCAAGGAAATTTCCCGCTTTTGCATGGGTACCAATCGGTGGAGACCACTTCTTTAATCCAGGCTGCTCCTCCGAGCGCTGTTTCCAATGGGGACGAGTTTATGAGGTGGCTTCCCGAGCAAGACGCGCATTTTGCACAGATGCGTGAACAGGCTGCGAATGAGGGCAATGTCCTCCGCTACGTCGGCGTTGTTGACGTCAAAAACAAAGTCGTAAAGGCTGAATTGGCGAAGTAGGTCGACGATGAGTTCACAAGGATCCTTAGTTCTAATCAAATCTACAGATACCCAAAAACTCATCCGTTCGCAACCTCGTTGGGAGGATCTGACAATATCATCATGTTCCACACGGAACGCTACGGCAAAAGACCCCTCATTGTCCAAGGCGCTGGCGCTGGCAATGATGTAACGGCCATGGGAGTCGTGAGCGATGTTCTGAAGTTGATTAGGCCGTAGGATGAAATACAACTAACTGACTGTAACATAACTATCAACAGAATTGACGCTTTCAGCAGTGGAATGAGTAGTTTGTGAGCGAAAGATCGGAATCAAGGGTACTGCAAGATGAATTCCTTCATAGGCTGCTCCCAACTGCACAACGACAGGTTTGACCCCCCGCATGTTTCCAACATGGTCGGTCGCAGTTCCTTCATGATCTTCTTCAGGCCTTGCTGAATGCTGTGAGTGGTTCTTCCCTGTATCGCTGCGCGACTGCGCAATGGCATGATGCGCGACAGGTTCTCCATACGTTTCATCTGTCCTTTGTTGACGTCCGCTATAACCATCTGCTGTATCTGGTTGTACGGTTTACTCCCCGGTGCTGTGAAGCTGGTGAGCATGTCGGTTGTCTCGTTGTATACGATCTCGGTGAGGGTGGAGAAGAAGTGGACCATGGAGCCGGGCGTGCCGCAGACTTTGGGACAGTCGGGGTTTGGGCACCCGGGTGGGTTCACGCCGTTTGCGTCTTGACACTTTCCATGGAAGTAACCCGGGAATATGGCCTTCTCTAGGCTGTTGTAGGCAGTACTGTTGTAGGCTTTCAAGACTGGGGCGAAATACACGATAGAGTTCTCTCTACGGCTTGGAGCGGGGACGAGTTTCTCGCTGATCTGATCCGCCTGTGCGTGTCACCATGATAAGTTTGACTGCAGAACAATGATGAATTGAGATGCACTTTCCAAGTTCTGAAGGGCCGTGAGCAAGATGTTCTCATAGCGGTTTAGGTATTCGTTGGTGATATCGACTATGCAGTCGCCTTCGCATGCAGTTACGGCGACCGGCGCCAGGAGAAGGAAGAGGACGGGAAGAATAAGCTGCATGTTCAAAATAAAAGAGTGTGGTGAGCTTGCTCGGCGAGATGGGTGGTTCGTTAACGATGGTTCGTACTAACCCTTTTCTTGCATTTTAACTCGCGACGCGATCTCGTCACGTGAGTAAAATCAATGCTGATGTTAACAGTGCTAATGATTCTTAAATGAACTTCAACGGACAAGCGGCCGCCCTGGAGAAGTTTACGTTTACCTAAAATCTGTGCGGATTGACTCGGAAGCCTCCAACCTCATGGCATGTGACTGACCGGAGTCACCAGACGGTTGTCATTTTTGTCCTACGCTGCTGCGGGTATGGAGGCTCAGTCTTCCAGCGCACTGAGTGCAGAAAGTCCGAGTCAACGCGAAATCTACTCACATCAACAAGCCCATGATGGACAGTGGGACAGTGATGTTCCGACTTCGTTGTCTGCGCCTACTCGCTGTATGATGATATTTGACCTTCAGTGGAAGGTTTTCCAGCTGGTCCATGACACTTTCAATACGGTGTGCTCAAGAAATCAGACACTCCTTGCACTTGCTTTGACGTGCAAATCATTCACTAAACTTGCATTGGACCTTTTGTGGCAAGACCTACGTGGGCTTGCGCCGCTTGTCAGATGTCTCCCACAAAGCCTATGGAAACATGTTGAGGGAAAACTGGTACGTCAAACTCATTCTCAAAACTCAAGAGATAAACGACTCACTGCATTCTCCAGGAATTTCAAAGACCCATGACTTTCGATGACTGGCTTATTTTTTCCAAATACGCCCATCGTGTCCGTTCACTCAACAACACAACAATCTATGGGATGGATCCGCTAGATATCGAGATTTGGCGTACCCTCAGCTGCCCTCCCTTTTTCCTTCCCTTACTCCCGAACTTGATGTCTCTTATCTGGAGCGAGGCTGCCACCGAGAAATTTATATATATCCGGTTGTTCGTAACCCCAAAATTGAAGACACTCAATATCTCCAACCGTATCGCCTTTGGTCTAACCGAACAGTCCGTCTTGTTATCTATCCCAATGTTGTGCCCTGCTGTCTCAGATCTTAGCCTTTATCCACTCATGAAATCAGGAGACATGTCGTCCTCGCTGCAACGCTGGTCTCATCTATCATATGTGAGCATCGGAGAAGTTTCTGAGGCAGCCATACTACACCTGTCCAATTCGCCCTCGCTTCAATTTCTCAAATTCTACCTATCTTCAATGCCTATATCTGCGGATACACAGAAGCTCTTGCGCTACCCTGCATTCTGCGCATTACAAGAACTGCACATAAAGTGCGTCGCACTGGAGCTCGTGGACGCTTTCATGGAGACACTCTCCATCGCCCCAAAAGTACTATCAATTACCATCAATAATCAACCAGATACTCAACGGGCCCTGCCGATTTCAATCTCCCGTCTATCCAATGCCTGCGTGCACAGCTCACTACAACAAGTGCAACTCCACATCAATGACCGGTCTGATTCCTTTGATGCAATCGGAGCTGCACCTTTTCAACCGCTCTACGCTATGCGCAATCTTCGCAAGCTCGACTTCGAAGTGAACCTTCAGGTCCATTTGGATGAGGCTTCCCTTTTGCAGATGGCTATGGCCTGGCCACTCCTGGAAGAATTATACTTCAACAGAGATGAGAGTGACGATGTCACCCCGCATGCCTTCGTCTTGTTGTTGCAACATTGCCCATGTTTAGTCTCGGTTGGCATTGCCGTAGACTGGTCTACTATAGACGGACATGACATATCCCCCGACGTTCCTTACCAAGGATTTGCACACGAGGCGCTATCTCGAGCATTTTTCGGTGCTCCAAGAATTTATCATCCGGCAAGGATTGCTGCATTTATCTCAGCCATTGCACCCAACATGAAGTCAATTCAGGTATGGGACTTTGAATTCTCTGAGGACGATCCAGACTGCGACACATACACTGCAAGGTGGGATCTCGTCCAGGATTTGATCAAATCCTTCTCCACAGTCCGTGACCAGGGCAGGAGAATGGTGCTGAACGCAGGCGGAGAGGCTAATGGAAAAATACGAAGTCCATATGGCCACTGCGGGGTTATGCAGCCAGCGCAGGAGACAGAAAGTCGGGAAGCGGCTGTTGGTGGTAACGTTGGTTGGGATTGAGCGGCTTCCGAGGAATGCAGCGGAGAGGCCGATGTTTTGACCCAGTCTCGTCGAAGGACGACGAATAATTCAAAACGCAGACAATCGCGCATTGAATTCGCCTAGCCGTTTGCACTTGCTATATTTGTGTTCCTAATCGGAGTAGTACCTCAAGGAAGATTTGGGCGCAGCCATGCTGCCACTCACAATTTTACAGACTTTCCTGTGCATTAAGGGTATGTGTGTCGTATCGTAACCCCTGATAATATGCCATTTAGATCACAGTATATGCATTGAAACGATTGTACAATCGCGCATCCTTTCAGAAGATAGTCACTAGTACTTTTGCTTCCAACCCCACTGTGCTCATCGCCAGCCTCACGTCGCATGAGTTATTCGCTGTTGTAGTTCGGCATTTCGTTCGAAGCGTGCATGCGGTCTGATTGATAAATTTCTAGTTTGCTGATTCACTGGGATGCCGGCTTGATGTGAGCATCGTCGTTGTCTTTGGGAGTAGACCTCGTCGTGTATCCTAGGCAAGCACGCGGGGCCTTTCGGAGCAGGTATGGTCAGAATGTTCATTATGCAGCGCTTCGTTGTGGATCTTCCTTCATCATGAGAACAAAACTGACATTAAAGCTATCAGCTTTGGACTATTGATCGCAGTGTGGTGGCTGATTGAGCACAGTACCAGGAGGTTCTCAAGTAGAGTTTTAATTCCGCTGTCACCTCACCCGAGTTCTTCATATGTGGCAAAGTCGATATCAGGGGTCACATTCGGCAACAAAAGTTTATTACATGGAGCATCATGCGCTGGAAGTGAGAGATGATGCAGATGATACTTAGATAGCACAGAATGAAACTGAGCAGGGAGCAACATCTGATCGTTCGTTGACAGAATTCGCGCACACGAGAAGGTTCTACCAGTATTTTGCGCTGAGCTGGAGTGTATTCAGCAGTCATCCACCGATCCGCGTCTAGCGCACCAAGTCTATCTTCGCACTGCACATAGGCACCACTTTGAGGGTGGCCCGAAAACGAGAAATCCGGGTTGTATTGTAGACATGTGAATATTGTCGAGGCTAATACAACGCAGCGAAAGAAGAATTCGGATCATCCCTTGGGCCTTGATTCTATAAAAAGAGAGGATGCTGACTGTCGCACGGGTCCAAGGCAACATGTGCATTTTAGAGGGGGTGTCAAGCTGGCCCAGGCGGTGCTGTCGAAATATGACAGGGTTTTTAAAACGCCAATCATGCCTGCCCACCTGTCGCTTGTGGGGAGCAGTACGTCTCTGCACCACAGGTCCTTTCGTACTAAGGAGATGCACAGATGTATCCTCCTAGTCATAATCACCTGTCCATGATGTGAGATATCTAGAATACAGGAAAACGGTGTCCAAGGAGTCTTACCTCCGCCGCCGCCGTCATCTCCACCACCGCCGTCTCCAAGACCGTCCATATCATCTCCTTCGCCGTTATCGAAATAATTCTCCGCGTAATCATTGTCATATTCCTCATCGACGTCATAGTCGGAGTCTACTGGCTGTGATCCAGCGTCTGAGCGTTCATCGCCTGACTTCTCCTGAGGGGTTTGTTAATATTTCGAAAATGAACGTATATCTGAAGTCGTGACATACTTGGTCCTCAGCGTCCTCCGCTAAGTCATCAAGATTAAGGCGTTTTGAAGTGGTTTTCTTCTCAACTGTCGATGTTGTCAGTAACGGTATGAAGTGAGCATAAATATGTCAACCTTTGCGTTTTTTTTTGGGATTGAAATAACCCTCGAGTATCTCCGAGGGGAAAAAGGGCGCGTGGAGGTCCTTCCGCTTGAGCGTAGGTTGAGAAGCAGGACTCTGGCGATATTTATCAGAGTAACGCTCCAAGTCTGTAAAGCAAGAGTCATTAAGCTGCTGTTCATGGACTACTTACGATCATTCAAACCGTTTGACTTGGACGTTTCAACTACATAGTATGCCGATTTCCGTAAACGGGTAGCAAATCCTGTTTGCAGATCGCAGATTCGTTTCTCGTCTGCAGAGTAATCGGCGAGGACAGGCAGAGGATCCAATGGCTGTTATAAAAATGAGATTGCACAATATGATGTTACAAGATTAATGCACCGCACTGGGTACAACGCGTCTCCTTCCCTGGACATAGCTTGTATGTCTGCAAAGGTGAGACCCATAGGAGGCATGCTTCCTGCACCGAAGCCACCACCACCGCCTCCTCTAAAGCCACCCCTTCCACCGCCTCGTCCACCGCCGCGTCCTCTGGACATATTTTCGAAACCTTATTACAAGCGATGATCTCCTTGATCAGAAAGAGACAGGTAAGCACGGCCACAGGCAAACATCACGCTGAGTTGAGAAAGTTTAAACTCCGAAGGCTTATATCAACGACTTGCTGTGTTAGGGTCCTCTCGCGTCGCCCCTTTGCCACCACCACCAACCCTCCTACTTTGTTGTCAAGGCTCTCAAACAGCAGTAATTTCACCGGTCAATAATTCACGCGTTCTTTACAAACTTGAAATAATGGACAAATCGCTCGAGGAGGTTGGTGTTGAGTTGCAAAAATTTTCCGCCACGCGTCATACGAACCATAATGTCTAGGTCATTGCCTCTCGCCCCAGGAGCACCCGCCGTGGTGGTGCTGGTCGTCGCGGAGGTGCAGGAGCCAAAGCTCAACTTCTCGGAACCGCTGGTGCCAATCCTGCCACCCGCGCCGCCACTGCCGGCGCTATCAAAGCCACAGCCACCACCGGTGGGCAGCCTGCCGATAAAATTATTGTTTCCAACCTACCAACGGACGTGAATGAAGTACAAATCAAGGTTCGTAGTTTTTCTATCGACGACCTTGAAGATTTTCTAACCATGAATGTAGGAGCTCTTCTCCACTACTGTTGGAGCCCTGCGCGATGTCACTTTGCACTATGACAGCGCTGGACGATCAAAAGGAGTCGCAGCGGTTCATTTCCAACGGAAGGGTGATGGTACACTGGCCTACCAGCAATATAACAACCGATTGATCGATGGGAGTTAGTATCGCCTGCTTTATTATGTCCTTCCTTTGTCTCCCGCAAGAGCCCTTCATCCGTTACGGAGATCCGTTGTCGCTGGTTCTCTGTTTGGCCCTGCCAAACCGACGTGCATGCATGGCAGAAACGCCTATATGCGGGTTCTCAAGACTCTTTTGGTGGCAGAGTCTTGTCCCCGCAGCCTCTACACTCTTGAGGTGCGTACCAGGTTGCGAGCTGGTTTGAAGGCTTGTCGCCCTTCGAGCTTGCAATTCTGGTGCCGTCGCATTGCACGTCATTCCTCATGGTTCGTCTCGGGATTGAGTTCCAGGCCGGTGCAAGCATTATGGAGTGACAGGCGGGGAGGTACTCCAAATCTTCATCCCTTGACCAATCAGGGCGGCCATTCGCGCGCAAGCCTCAGCTATTGCGACATATTGGAGGAGGACAGAGTCGACAATGTTCTTGGTAACGGTTTGGACAGTGGCATGCTCCCCGTATCCGTCCCCTTTTGCCTGCTTCCTTGCTGAAAGCACAGCCGACTAATGAATTGTCTATCTCTTTTCCAAATCGTACCCGCACGTCAACTACAGAACGCCCGATGAAGATCGAAATCGTAGTCGACCCCGCACGTCCAGCCCCGCCCGCTTCGCTCGTGTCGCGCGTTGCTCCTGCCTCTTCCACTGCTGCCGCTCCAGACGCCAGGGGTGCCAGGTGCGTACAGCAAGGTTGCTGATTCCGTTGTCTTACCGATTCATAGGCCTGCTGCACGTGGTGCTCGCCGTGGAAGGGGTCGTGGAAGGAAGGGGAATGAAAGACCTCAGAAGAGCGTTGCCGACCTTGATGCAGAGATGGAGGTTTGTCCTTAAACCTCGTCTCTGGTGCATCGTGTTCATAGATTTCTCAGGATTACACTGCGAGCAATATCGTTGCTCCCGCTGCTGCTTAAGAGTAGCTCGTACTATGTGTATCTGCTAATGCTGACCGCCTGTTGTTTTCCCCTTTGATACCGTTCCGATTTATTCTTAGTAGACCCCTCCTGTATTCTACACGCTTGCTTCCTGGGACTCGAATTTCTATTGAATTATGAGTCTGGCTCGCCTGTCGAGGCCTCGCGATGTTCATCTCGCCCATTGAGTGGTCGATGAGTACTATTCTGTTTCTTTGCTGATGCTATGTACGCGTGCCAGATGATGTAGCCTGCTAGAATGTTTCAGTACATGTCCGCTGTAGCTGGGCGAAGTTTCGCTCTGTTCACTTCCTGCAACTCATTTTTTTTCCTCCACGATATCGAGTTCATCGACCCTTGTACCTACAGACTTCTGTATACCTGCCCACCACTCCCTTGAATTTTCGCACTGCAGTCCACACTCTGTACTAGTTTCCTTTGTGTAATCAGGCATTCATAATTTCATATCGCATGTTATGTCAATTCATGTTCCATTTTATTTATTTGACTCATTGCTACTCCATCTGGTATGGTCCAATTCGTAAGCAGGTGCCCCACCCTTCCAGCGGCTTCGCCTGTCTGCGTCCCAACCCGAGCTAACGCTCGGTCAGCCCAACCTATTAGATTGCGTCAGTGACTCTCGCGCCAAGACGAGGCTGGATTGTTGTGATTCCTCAGAGTTGTCTCAGCTGCACATCATAGAGGCACCCAAATTCCAGTGGTGGGATTTGCCGATGCTTTCATCCTGCAATGGTGCCAATGGAGGACTTTCAGGTTGGGTTGAGAGTTGAAGAAGCAACAGAGTACTGATAATAGAAACTAGCATAAGTCAGCTCGAATAAGCGTCGTCGACCACCCACAGCGTGCCAAGTGTGGCTTCGTCTCCTGAAAGATGATTGGGAGAAATGAGTTTATGGACGAGCTCAAGCTCACTGTCGACAGTGACGAGAAACTCGCCTCGCCTTGCCCTGCGCCCGGTTGACTTTGTCCGATCGCTGCGAAGGTCTGAGTGACACGCGTCGTCATCGCCTGCCGAGCTCTGATCAGGGCCGAAAGTGTAAGAACAGCATCGATATAGATATCCACCAAAAGGCTCATTTCCGTGACCGATCAGCTCGTCCCACAACGTTTGAAGTCCAATAACTTCTCCATTGCCCAGCATTCGATCGAGCTCGAAGGATGCCCTAATTCCAGTGATATTTTGCGCGACGCATCTAATGATCTACAAACATGATATTAGTCCTCAAATCGCGTGCGCAAGTCTCCATGAACACTTTACAGGATCACGGTCGCCCCACACTACTGATTTGCTGGATGATTGATTTACAGCGTCTCCTCCGATTTGATATTGATGGATATGTAAATGCCTGCGGGAATGCGCTGGGAAGGGACGTCGATATCTTTGCCGCTGATGACTGCAGATAGGGCGTAAAGATCACGAAACGAATGCAAAGGTGACATAGAGTGACCGACCTTCAAATCTGATAAATTGGCCTTCCCAGCTCCTAGGCGTGGTGGTGGAATGAAACGAACGACGAACGACACGGAGCGTCGAAAATTGAGTGGTATGCAGGATGTGTGGTAAGAGGAGACGGATATCATAACTGTGGATGAAGTTCAGGTGAGAGGGAGAGAGGCAGTTAAGGATTCAGGTCATGCTGCGCGCGTATTTCCACGTTGGCAGTTCAGCAAGATAGACGCTGGTACCTGATTATACTAAGCGCTGCAACCAACAGATGGTGACCGGCAAGCGACAGCGGGAGAGTCTGTACTAAATAAATACATCAAGGTCAGTCACATCAGCAAAAGTGACACACCGAGGTTGGAGGAGACACACGAGTCTCAGGACTCCTGTGGTGCTGACCCAACCTTGCTACTATCGAGCTTAGGTTGTACTTGGCTCTTATCACCGAGTCGTACAACTCATCAATCAAATGTAGAATCCAGTGTATTTCATACAAACCGATGAAGCCGATCCATTCTTTGCTGGTCTGATTGAGCCTAGGGGTGATCGAGAGCGTTGTGGAAACGATTCATGGGACTATGACAGGTCGAATGTATGACGAACGCGGCGGGACGCAATCTAGCTCGGTCTTGAGATGACTTAAATTTTGAGTCTGCATAGTCCCATGGAAGATTTTGAGAGTGTTCCGAATTGGTTCCGAACTGAAGCAAGGCATGGAGCGGACTTTAAACCCTTCCTTTCTTCAACCAGCTCGAAAGCCACGAATGCTCATCACGCATAGGATCGCAACACGCATCCAACTTCCTGAGCGGGCTAAGGTCTGAGTATTCTAATCCCCCTCGATCGGCTTTAGCAGAACCCGGCTGTAATTAGCTGCGCGACGTACCAGAAAAGCAGCTTTGTTTTTGATATCCCAAAGATTCTGTTTATCGCAGAGGAGGGTGAGAATGAAACCTTTGAGAAGCGTCGCGGGAATCGGGCGAACTTGTATCTATCGTCGGGTCGTCGCTATCGCGCGTGCGTCTCTGAAGAAGACGCTCATGATCGCGTAGCGGTGCACCAGACTGTAAGTCAGCCTGGTCTCCATCGCTAGATTATGAACCTCACCACCTCCTTGCGTATGAGGCGGGCCTGCGATGGACTTCTTTGTCCTTGAGTTCACTTCGTGGCTCATGTATCCTTCGTGGATCGTGAAACTCGATTCAGACTACTCTCGGACTGGTTGATGTAATTTTTTCCTCGTTGCTCCTTTGTGGAGTGTCGTTTTTTTCGCGATGGATATTGGAACTGCTGTGGACGTTGCTGGAAGAAGGTAACGATGGGTGTGTATCATTCATCGACCCTCTTTCAGCAACGCCGGTATTGGAAATAAAAGTATCAATATACATGTATGCTACTTGCTGTAATACTACCTGATTTCTTTCTCGCCATTGCCGGGAGCTTACAATGACCCTAACTCTATGGATTGAGTCCGAAACTTTGAAAGAGGTCCAGTTAGGCCGAACCGTTGCCATTTCTGGCCATTCGTCCCTTTGTCTTCAAATCGATACTTGAAACCTCACCATAATCTAAAATCTGGCCATGGATATCCCTGCAGAAGAGGAGACGCTGTTGTATTCTCAGCGACCTGAGTGGGCCGATATCATTCCCTTAGAGCAGTACGAGAGTGTCACCCCTCTCGCCCCCATCTTTTATACGGATGAATGTTCGTGAGCAAACCGGCTCGTCTGCAGACCCTCACTCAATCCAATGATCGGCTTGTACCCATTAGACAAAGATGCCACCAACTACTTCAGAGGGATCGTCAAGAGCGGTGAGATGAGTCCCAGAGTGTTGGAGCTCACAGAGAATATAATCCGGCAGAATCCTGGACACTACTCTGCATGGTGAGTCTCTCACTTGCTTCATCACGTACGTTCAGTCGAACACAGATGGCGTTTCCATGCACGATCAGGCAGTACAGGTACAAAACGCTCATGTCATTGAAGTCTCCCCTCGACGACGAGCTTCAGCTGATGGATGAACTTGCAATCAAGCATCTGAAGACATATCAAGTCTGGCATCACCGCAGGCTGCTCGTGCAACAGACTCGCAACCCCGGTCCTGAGCTCGAGTTCATCGCCAACTCGCTGCAAGTTGATATGAAGAACTATCACACGTGGTCGTACAGACAATGGATCCTCGCTTACTTCAATGACGACGAGCTCTGGAGTCATGAATTGGACTTCGTGGAGAGCATGCTTGAAATTGATGTGCGGAATAACTCTGCATGGCATCACAGATTCTTCGTCGCCTTTCAATCTGGAGTACGGAACGGGGATCAGGACAGAGACGCGATCGTTCGGCGGGAGCTTGCGTAAGTCCTGATTTCAGAGATCGTATAGCGGTAACGAAGCCGTTCAAACAGGTTCGTAAAGGAGCGGATTGCGGTTGCGCCGAATAACGCATCTGCATGGAATTATCTGCGCGGGGTGCTTGATCATTCCAAAATTCCTTATTCCGAGCTTCAATCATTCGTGCTGCCTTATTCTCTGCCCCAGCCCTTTTTAGGTACACCCCCTGAAGTCGTTGATCTTGAGAGTCCCCTTCCTTCGAAGGATGCACAACTGCCCTGCGTCGCTGCTGTTGAATTCATGGCTGATATTCACGAGGCGGCGGCGGGGGGTGGTGATTTGGTGAAAGCCACTGAGGTGGGATACGCACTTCACGAACGCGACAAACAGCTGACCTATCGTAGCTTTGGAAATCCCTGGCAAACGAGCACGATACTATACGCAAAAGGTTGGTCACTAACCGAGCACTCTGGAGTACATACCTCACTGATTGTTTTGCAGATACTGGGAATACAGGATCACGGAATTGTTAAAGACCAAGTCGGCTGGTGACGGCTGACTTAGCACATCATCAGAATTCCATTCCTTTACGTCGATCAGGTAAACAGAGTATCATCAGTATTAATGTCTGGTTATTGTTGGTTTTGTATCTCTTCCGCTGATCAAGAAAACCTAAATCTCCCAATCTAAAGTATTTGAAGGAGCCTGTACGATTTTTCGAGCAGCACTCTTAATAAATGCGAGTGGATTTCAAGCTGAGCGCTAGTCTATACATTCTATTTCAGGAGTTCGGCGCTCTTCCTCTACCGTGATCGAGAACCCCCGCTTCTCATCCTACAGCAATTAATTCGTCACTGCGCACCTTCTTTGCACTGCTCGAACGTACCACCGGGGGGCGTATCGGCAGCAGGACGGGCTCATCGCTGTTGAATCCGCTCTACCTCCCTTTAGGATTACGGCCGACTTATGAGGCTTTGGATGGATGTTCAAGGGCTGCGGTACTTCGTTCGCTAATGTCATGTTTTCAAATCTAATATTTTAACAAGTGGGAAATGCTCACACTAGAAACAAAGGAAAAGCTACGTATCGTTAGGTACATGTATGCAGACGTGGTAGTAAGTATGCCCAGTGAAACAATATCGTACAGAGACTCTGGATTTGTAGAAAGGATGAGACAGAGAACAAAAGGTGGGCAAAATCTGTAGATACATACATATATCAAAGACATAGCGAAACTTGTACAAGAGCAATCGTATCCAAGTTGACCAACTCAGCAATCAACTAAAAATTGTGCCATGAACGACAGCATCAAGGCGAAGGCAGACACATGACTCACTATAAGAACGTGCCAGCTGCTCGATATCCAGTAGATCGTCGTCAGCAACACAATGTTTATCACTGCAATCCTATTACAAACCGCAAAGGGTGAGTTCAATCCTACATGCGTGCAAAGGAAACCCACAGTTTTCCATGCACACACATCAGAGCAGCACTGGGAGTTTTCATCGCAACAATCGCCAACGGCAAGACACGTATCGTTGGAAGTAGCTAGTGTTGTACTGACAGACATAAATGCTGTCAAAGCAGCCACGACGGCGAGCAAGGATAGATGCATGAGCTATAGGAGGTCCGAGGGGCTTTCGAATAATTCCGAGTCTAAGATGGGGAGGAAGACGGCATGCTTTTATGTCCCGGAAAATGGTCGGGGAATAAGCAATAGACAGGATGTGGTAGCGATCGTTCGTCTAGATCTGCGGCTTGCACATATACGGTTAGGGCTCGTAGTTTATGACATATGACAGTGTGAGCTCACCGATGGTGGTTCGAAAGCTGGATTGACATAGCTTTAGACAATAAAGTTCGGCCGAGCCCGATTACTGATTTCCAGCCTCACTGTCATAGTTGTAAGTTTGCAAATCGCAACATATATAAGTTGGACTCTTCAAGTTTGGTCAAATGGATCGGAAAAAATGATCCACGTCATGGCGCGCGAGTCGACGCGCGATGAGTTTTCCGTCCAGTTTCCACATGCTGGACTTGGTTGGTCTCCCTAGTCAGACCATAAGATAAGGAAGACAATCGTTCCTCCTATATTATGGGACTTGGTGCCCTGTAAAGTTTGTGAATTGTAATTTGCAATAGTGTTCCGTGAAAAACTCCAGAGTTTTTGACACTATTAGTTTTTGACATGTTTTTAACGTGTTCATGACGTGTCGAAAACTCGAGGGCGTTTTGAGGGTGTCGAAAACTGTCAAAAACTCTAAATATACCATAGCGTTAATAGAACATTGTTGAGCGTCGGAGTTGACTATACAGAGACAAGAGAAGAGCCGAATAGTCTCTAGAACAACGGTCCTGCTACCTCTCCTCGACTATGGACTTCTTTGAGACACAACAGCGCGCCTTCAGATACATTTATAGTTGCATTTTTCTTGATACCTCGTACGTGTAATCCATCCAAACCTATGGTGTCATTGTTTGCTCACTCAGACGGTGGCAATAAAGGTTATCGAGATGCGGCCATTCTCAAGAACATCAACCCCCTCGCTCTTGCACCTATTCGCATTCATCGTTCTGATCTATCAGCTTCTGTTGCTCAAGATGACAACGTCATTCTGCAGCGCATCGGCAATTTTCTCGTATCACAGCTACAGGTCGAATACGAATCAAAGGAGGATACCATCCATGGCCTAGATGGTAACATTGCTCTCGCGAAGCTCAATGAGCAAATTCTTGCATATTCAAAAGGAGCCTGGCCTTTCAACCATCCGCTTACCGACGATACAAACATTCTCAAGTATTGGACAAGCTTCCTGGATCACGACAACGCTGATATTCTCGCGGTACGTGATTTGCAAGTGTAAGCGCGGGGGTGTTTTGACTCGTCTCGCGTCTTGTCAAGTTCTTTGCGGTCAAGGTTTTCTCAATCACAGTCAACTCGATGGCTGATGAACGAACAGCATCGACTATGACCTGGTTGAACTCTGCTCTCCGCAATCGTCAGAAGAGCACTACACTTATCAATCAAGTCCAAATACGACAGTGGCATTTCATGAATGCTGAAAACGTGCGTCAGACTCAATCTTTTTCACGCAGAGTGTTTTTCTAATTGTGGACACTGGCAGAACAAGAGCCCGCGGCCGAAACCAACCGTCAAGTTTCGTGACCTCGATGAAACCATTTTCGGCCAGGAAGTTGATGAAAATGAGAGCTCGGATGCAGGTGACGCTTACGAGGATTCAGATGCATGGCTTGATGGTAGCGTGAATCTCGTTGATGAGGATGACCCCGGATATCTGCGCTGCAGTAACCGGGTGTTCGTCGGTAGTGAAGATGCTCGTTTAGACGGTCCCGAGCTCCTGGACCTTCTCTCCGACAAGCCGATTGAGACGGAGGCTCAAGATCGGTCACAAACACCTGGGCCATCTTCACAAGCAGCTGGTGGTGGTCCTGTAGCCTGGAAGTTCAATTTTTCTCAAATTCTGTAGCACAAAAATTACAATATAGCCGGTGTCAATAACTCGTCAAAAACTAGTTAAAAACACGCGTCAATAACTGGCCTGGGGATGCCCAATGTTATAAACATGTCCAAAACTCGGCGTGGAGTTTTTCACGGAACACTAATTTGCAAGTACCAAGTACCGTATTTACAACCGGCGTGACCAAATATGCGTGACTGGTCACACCGCTTCCGTTCATAGAATGCAGACGTAAGTATGCTCAGTCTTAGTTGGAAAGATTGAGGGGGGACAATAAAGTACGGGAAGTTGGAAAGGATTAAGAGAAATGTAGTACGTGGTCGAAATGTATTTCAAGAAGTGATTGCATGTGCAAAATATATACGTGTGTGTATCTCTTGTTTTATGGGTTCCAGGGTATCTCAAGAGGTAGTAAGTTTTGTCCAAGAGTAACACTGGTTAAACTCAGCAATCAACTAAGAATCGTGTCATGAGCGACATCATCAATACGAAGGCAGAAACATGACTTACCCTCGAGGCGACGTGCCAGCCTCTTGGATTGTTCCGGGGCTTCTTCGTCAACATAGCAAAATTTGCTACTGCAATCCTATTACAACATGCAAAGGGTGAGTCACAAGGTTGAGTCCTGGACGAAAAGCAAACTCACAGCTTTATACACGCACACATCAGAGCAGCAGTCAGAGTCTTCATCGCAAAGTTTGCCAACAAGACGGCATGTCGTGGTGAAAACAGCTGGTGTTGCACTGACGGATATAGATGCTGTCCAAGCAGCTACGATGGCGAACAATGCTAAACGCATTAGTTGTAGGTGATATAAGATAGGTCCCTCGGAGGGGCGCTCAAATAAGTCTGAGGTGGGGAGAAAGACGGCATGCTTTTATGTCCTAAAAACCTTGATAAACATTCGATAAAGGATGGGTAATAGGAATCGGCTGTGACTGGCACGTATGGGTAGATTCAGATTGTCGGGGCTACGTATTTTATGAAAGTGTGAGCTCACCGATGGTGGTTCGACTGGTATGGCTTCTGAGACAAGCAGCTCGGGTCCGATTATTAGGTACATACTTATGCAACCAAGTTGAACTCGAAGTTAACGTTCAGGATTCATCAACTTGAAGTTGCCACCGCGAAGGGATCGAGAAAACGATACGCGACCGTCGCAAAGTGCTGCAAGTCGACGTGAATAGTACAGACAGTGGATCTTTGCTCACTTCCGGGTCGACGACGACGCGATCTGAAGTCACTGTGAACTGGACTTCGTGGATAGCATGGTTGAAAGTGATGTCTGCAGAAAAGCTCTCCGTGGCATCACACATTCGTCGTCGTTTGAATCTTTCAATTTAGAGTACGGAATGGGAACAAGGGCAGAGACTCGATCGTCCGGCAGGCTTGCTAAGTCTTGATTCGATGTATACTAAGTAAGGCACTCAACCTCCTGCTGTTTGTCCGCATTTGGTCTCGCATGGCATCATCACATGCTCGTGAACTTACCGTACCGCCAAATCCATACGCTCATCCACTTTAGTCGTTGTCCGATTCTCTGTGAGTGTTGCTGTCTACCTTGACGGCCTTCCACGGATGATGGCGATCGGTACTTTTCAAGCTCGTTATGCACCGCCTACTATCATGCAGCGGGTGATCCAGTCGGTGAACACATTCCGCTACACTAGCTAGTCTAACCATGCTACATGTTTTCAAATCAATATTTTGACGAGTTAGAAAGGCTCGTGCTAAAGGGAGAACCATGCATCGTTAGGTGCCAATGCTGTGCAGATGTAGTAGTAAGTATACTCAGTAATGAGCATCAGTCTTAGTTGGAAAGACGGAGGCGAAACAATATCGTACGGAAGGAACTATTTGTTAGAAATGTAGGTTGAGACCGGGAGCGAAATGGGGGCGGGGACGATATGGGTATTGACAAGTGATTGTGTGTAAGAAAGATACGTATGTGTATCAATCTCGTTCTATTGAGGGGTATCTCAAGAGGCAGTGAAACTTGTCCGAGAGCCACCATATTAATCAACTCAACAATCAACTAAGAGTCATGTCATGAACACCAGCATCAATACGAAGGCAGAAGCATGACTCACTCTCACGACGTGCCAACTCCTGGGCACCCAGTATGGAGTCGTCATCAATACATTCTTTCCCACTGCAATCCTATTATAAACCACAAAGGGTGAGTCATGGGCTGAATCTTGGATGCAAAGCAAACCCACAGATTTATATGCGCACGCATCAGAGCAGCAGTCAGAGCCTTGTTCGCAAGACTTGCCAACGGCACGACATGACTCGGACGTAGTGAAAATGGATGGTGTTGCACTGACAGACATAGATACTGTCAAAGCAGCCAAAACGGTGAGGAAGGAAAAGCGCATTGCTCGTAGGAGATGATGTGAGGTCTGGCTGAGGGCTCTTGGATAACTCTGAGATGGAGAGAAAGACGGCATGCTTTTATGTCCTGAAAACCTTGATAAACATTCTGGAAAAGAACCAAGGATGGGGTAATAGTAGTCATCATTCGTCGGCTCTGTGACTAGCACATATGGATAGTTTCTGATAGTTTCTGATTGTCGGGGCCAAGTATTTATGAAAGCGTGAGCTCACTGACAGTTATTCGAAGGTTAAATTGATTTGGCTTTAGACAAGTAGTTCGGGTCCGATGACGGCTCGGCATTATAGTCGCAATGCATACGCAACTAAGTTGAACTCTTCAACATTCGTCAAGTTGCCGCTGTACGCAGGGATCGGGGTAAAATGATTCCCGCCGCTGTGCGGGACGCGCATCGAGTGTTTCCACATGCTTGATTTGTTGGCCTTTAATGTTGGTGACTGTAAACGTCAACGTACCTCTCGTGTTCGCTTTTTCGCGGAAGGTTGTTCCAAACCACCCCAAACACCTTCGTGTTGATTATGACTGATGCTGTGATCCGTTACGATTTCGAAGTTCATCGTGTCAGCTTGCGAGAAGTTTGCCTAGAATGCGAAGTGCTTGGCAGTTTGAGATTCTTGTCTCGTAAGCATCTGCGACTCTCCTCGTCAGCGCTGCAGACATTACGAGACTCCCGCATCTGTGGAGCGGCATGAACTCACCATCATCCCTCGAAGAAGAGGCTAAACATCGTTATTGCAGTGTCAATCCGGGGCACCCATCTCAGTTTCACGGGCCTCGCGTTTCTCACCCCCGACCAATGTGAAAACGCGGGGATCCACCTCATATAATCCATGCTATTGATGTGGACAAACACCTGTGATCACGTCTTTTACGAGATCATCAAGGTTAAGGGCTTCGATGCTGACATGACGAATGCACTTCGAAGAAGACGAGGCGAAGAATTTTACGGAAGGTGATACACGTTCTGTATGACTAAATCATTTGGATTGGCAAGTCAAAATCAGAAAGATCGAAGACACTTACTGAACACAGGTATTGATGTCGCTGATGAGTCCGTATCACGGTTTGCCATTCAGCGGCGGGCAACATGATGCTTACTGTCCGTTCTTTGTTCGAGATATGTCATTGGCGGGACTGCGATATCATTTGCCGAGAAGGAATATCTTGATGTGTAGAAGTTGGAGAAAGAGATGAAGACGGACGATGCCTCCAACCTCAAAGAAACGATATACTGCTACCGTCACTAACAATACACCCCGAGGATTCTCACCGGATATGAAAGATCTGATTGTACATTCGGACGACGGGCCATCCGACGACGAGATAGTTGTCGGTAGTGTGTGGTCGAAGTGAAGTGACCTCACCGTGTCGGCAACATTCACGTTCGACAAGGTCATGAGAACTTCGTTAGGATTGCCTAGAAGGAACAAATTTCAACCAGCCTCCGGACATCCCGAGTTCAACCGACTAAACTTAAACGTGTCTTGACTTTTAGCATCGCGAAACTTAACTTTGATGTTGAATTTTCAATCACCGCGTCATTCCACGACTCCGTCGATTTTGGTATATGATCCTCTGCAATGAAGGAACATCCGCTGATACCGTGGAATAAAAGAATGGACTGTGGTATCATTTAGATTCTAGCCGATTCGTCCTGTAACAATGATTTACCTGGTAGTCATTCTTGGATTTCCAGTCCCACATTTGCAAGTAGTCCCCGAGCCTCTGTTTTCCGTAACTTGAAGGACGCGACGTAGCACACTAATGTAGTTCCAGAGAATTTGAATTTTGGACCTTAACAGCGTATAGCAATCTTGCGTGATCGATTTCATCCTTCTCGAGTGCCTTCAATATCGATTGTGCTGCGTCGGGGTGAGAATCGTTCCTTGTAAACGACCTCAGATAGATATCTCTTCATGACTCTGACTGCCTGTGTAGTTTAGCTTTAGAATGTGCTGAGTAAAAATGTAAACGCTCTCATGCTTAGTGGGGGTGTTACTACAATGAGTAGATCTTGTGCAGGGCAGCAAGCGAAGTCCACCAAGTGCGACATGTTGACGGGGTGACTCCAGCAATATTAGATCAGCAGAATCAGACGCGGATAGCAGTTGGACAAAGTGGATGCAATCGTCTCCACCCGAACCGTATATACCACCTACAGGCCAACGAATCCTAACATCGATATAGGGAGCGTTAAACGTTTGCTTCTGCTTGTATTCAAGGCGTGGCCATGCGGCGTCCATGCTGTTCAGCTTGTCTTCGACGTGTAGCTATGTCCGTTTCCAAGGGTCCCACTGCGATCATTTGTTGAAGTAACCGAGGTCGACAATATATTGCAGCATCTTCGAAGTGTCGACTAAGGCGGTGACCGGCGGTGAGCAGTGAGCACATTGTGGTACCAAAAGGTGTTACCGTAATACTTCGAACTTCAGCCTGAGATTACTAGTACTTCACTGTGAAAACTGTACAAGTTATTCTCGGACTTATACGGACGGCACGTGACCCATATGCATCGCAGTACTTTTTGACTTCAAGTTCACACCATGTGGCATGCAACAAAGGTGACCGAACAAGGTCTTACGCCTGATCAGTGACATCCAGCCTGAGAGCATGTTACAAAGTCGTTCCCATGCACGGCCAATGGCACTGTGCATTCTGCACCCTGGCGGAAATCACGACTCTCTTCACCAACATGCGATTGCAAAGAGGATTCAGAAGATTCTTGAAATTCGCGCTTCCACTGGTGTTCATCATAGGTTCCACGGTATACTATCTCTACGAGCCGCACGGGAGCATCGGCCTCGTGCTCCATCGACGAGATTGGATACAGCGCGAACTACTCCCACTGTCCCCACTTGCAGGATGCTTCGAGCCCGAGCGGGTCAGCCCACTGTACAATGTCAGTGACGCCGTGTATGGCGGGAAACGGTTTGAGGTTCAGGCAGGTGTACCAATGCGGATGGGTATGGACTGTTACGAATTAGCAGGGATAGTGAGATTTGCGGAAGGGGAGCGGAAGGAACAGGAACAGTATATCCTACCAGAGGAACGAGCACAGTTCCACACATATTGGCGCGACGATCTTGTTCTCCTCGGTGAGAGACAAGAGTACATGTTAAAGTCATTCTTCGCTACCCAAGACCTGCCCCGCTCTCGTCTGGTACTTTGGTCAAATGGTGACCTATCACTCAATTCGGTGGTGCAAAAGTACCTCGAGCTCTTTCCTGGCTCGTTCACACTTCAGATAGTGAACATACCTGGATTAGCCAAGGGTACGGCAATGGAGAATCACCGCTTGCTCAATCTTGAGGATAAGAAAGCATGGGTGGACGGCGACCTCGTCCGCTTACTTGTCATCTGGACATATGGCGGCGCTTGGATAGACATGGATATGCTCTTAACCCGAGATCTCTCGCCATTGCTTGAGCATGAGTTCGTGACGCAATGGGACTGCTATGGTAATTCAGTTATCAATCCTCTCTTGCCCGCTAATTCGCAATATTCCACAGACAAAATTTACCAACCGTTCAACGGTGCGCTCATGCACTTCCGCAAGCACTCACCTTATCTCTGCGAAGCCTTCCATCTCATGGCACACAGTACTCCTCCGCGCTCTCCAAGCACTGATTGGGGTTCAGTTCTTTACCATAGGCTATGGCGGCGCCTCCTCAATGAATCAATACCCCCCTTCAAAATTTTGCCGTTCTGCTTCTCCGACCCTCTAGTGTGTCGTCTTGATAACAGAGCGCCAGAGCCATTTGAACCTGATCGTGTAGATGGGAAGTGGACCGGCAGATCTGGGGAGGGGCTTGAGGAGGGTGGAGCACTGGATAGGGCACTAGGAAAGATATTTGCCGTCCATTTGCATAATCGATGGGATAAAGCGTTTCCTAAGGGCGGTTGGGTGGATCGGCTTTTGTTGAAGAGACACGAGGAGGAGATGGAGAGGAAGGTGAGAATGAATGGCGAGTTCTGATGTTGTGTCCTGCTGTGAGTGCCTCGTTTCTGGGCTGGAGGCATACATTATCCACATGGACATGAACCCCAGCACTCAGATGAACTCTGTTAATGATGCAACATGGACACATATCTTATGTTCGTTCCACAATGTGCGGAGATGGCCTCGCCAATCAAACATCTTATGCTTAGGTGGGGGTTCTTCCAGAAGTTTACAGTATAATCGTTATTCAATGACGCACCTCAGATCATCGTGTAGATGCTTGAATGACACTCGCGCTCTGTTGGAACTTTATGACGAGTGGCAGTGTTGTTGTTGGATGACTGATCACAACCATATTCTACGCAAAGGGGGTATCCGCATTAAGATGCGGAAGCCCGTAATTATGACATTGCAAAGAACGGGAGGCAACCCTCGTGGATATGAAAAGGTAGCATACATTACATGCATGTCAAATGTCTTTCAATTTGGCAGAGAGGAAAAGGAAGAGAGATGCAGCCGCATCGGATGAGAAACTGAAACAAGAAAAATGTTAGAGATGCTTAGTTAACTATATAGCAGCGATGGGTATCAAGGCACGGGTCAAGCGTAGCGCGATGCCTGGGGATCGTGAAGATCGTGATCGATGAATGAAAGTAAGAAATAACTATTGAAACACCAGACGCTCCACCTTGGTTATGCACCCAATGCAAGCAATGCGCTGTACGAGGCCATACGGGCTATTACGGGCGAAACGCGCCTATACAAAAAGACCATTCTTCTAAAGCGAAAATTCTCATTGGTGGTCAGAATACCAATACATCAATTTTTTGTGAATCGTCGTCGTCATCGTCATCGCCGTCGTCATCGTCGTCGTATTTCTACCTCAATTCGTTGTCACCAGGGGGAACCAAGATTAAGTTGCGACTCACTCTAATCAGCAGAATCCTACTTTCGTCTGACAAAATCTCGCTCACATCAAACAGCTCCTCGCTAGAACTCTCGCGATACGCCAGTGCACACCCCAGCGGTTCTGTAAATGGGTATGAGATCGTCCCGTGCACCTCGCGGGCTGGTATAATTTCACTGCGCCATCCTGATTTGTCTACCGCGCTATAATTCCAAGCGATGTGTGGATTAAAATCCCTGATATATAGCCGACGAGGGTCGTCCGAAAAGTGGTCAGGGCTAGATTCATTGACGGACTCCACAGTACGGAAACCATTGAGCGAAGTATGCCAGTCCTCGTTATCATGAACATGGAACCACGAAGTATTCTGCGGTCCCCACATCGACCATCGCAACCTGGGACTATTTGATCCTAATTGGCCGGGAATCCTGACAAACGAACTTTCGAATTCTAGAATGGCACTACGCCGGACAACAAAGCGATAGTGGAGTGATTGGTCCAAGAGCGAATGGTCCTCACGCATTGGACCGACCCAGACAAGGATGACTATGAGTCCATCATCTCCACTTGGATGAAATGAGCATGAAGGTTGCTGGTGGGACTTTCGAGAATAGAGAAAGTTGTCACTAGGAGTCGGATTTTGGCTCATGAACACATCTGTGTATTCAAAGCTGTCCACGAGAGTAGGTAAGGAGATTGATGCGGTGCGTTGCGGGTGCTTTGACTTGTCAACAATGGAATATATTTCCATAGCCCCAGAGGTAACAAAGACGAGAAACCTATCCTCTGTAATGAAGGAGTAGTCACTGATATCATAGGCAAAAAAGAAAGTGAACTGTCATATCCTTCAATTTCTAGTCGAGTTGACTTGTGAAAGTGATTTACCTGGTAGCCGTTTTTGGATTTCCAGTCCCACAGTTGCATAGCATCCAAGTAGTCGTCCCCGTTGCTGATAACAGCCCGACATAGCATACAAACGTAATTTCCGATAATTTGAAGCTTCATATGACTCCTGGGATGTAATGATCGGTGGTCAACGTTATACTGGTCGAGTACTTTCAGGAACGGTTGCGCTGCATCGGGGTGAGTTTGGTACGTTGTTAGCGACTTCAGATGGATCTCGTATGCATGACTCCGCCTGCCCACGCAATCCAGCCTGAGAATTGACAGAGCAAACATAATGTAGACACTCACAAGTTTAGTGAACGTGTTGATAAAATGAGTAGGTCTTGCGCAACACAGAAAGTGAAGTTCAGGAAGGTCGTTGAATCGACAGGGTAACTCCAACTATATATATCACCAGAATCAGACGCAGATGGCAGTCGTGTGAAGTGGATCAAATCCTCCGCAGCTGAACCGTATATGCCGCCCCCAAACGCATATACATGTTCTAATCCTTGTTTTGATGAGGAGAGCGTGTACTTCACTTTGTAATCAACGCGTTGCCGTGCAGCGTCATACAGTCTAAGTTGTTTGCGACGCGTAGCCGTTGGCACGTCCGTTTCCGAGGAACCTGGAATCATTTGGAAGTAACCGAGGTCAATGGCGTATTGCAACATCTCCGAATTGTCTATAATTCCTTTCAACGCTCTGCAAGTCTATGGCGAGCGAGTAGTGAGCACAGTGAGATGAATGGCGTCTATTCACTTACCTTTCGTACCCGCACTAGGTCGTACGCGTCGAGAAATGACAGTGTGTGGCACAAGAGCTCTGATGGGAGCTGCTGCAGTGTTTTGGCCCTCATGATCTGATACTAATCCGAAATTCATGTTACCCAATTAATGAGTCGAGCTTTTAAGAAACTCGAAATAAAGGGTAACTCCTACAAAGGCATGATGGCATTGGTTAAAGGGCCTTTCATGCCTTCAATGAAAGCGCACGTGGGATTCCATTTTTGGTGTGTGAAGTGGCTTATGCTCTGAGAGCTGAGTAGACCTGAATGTCAAGAACAAGATCGATGTCTTCCAACGGCGCAGCCATCACCCGGAATGACTCGAGGTCCCCAGTCCATGCCAGACCCTTTTCTCCTTTCAATCCCGCCGCAAATGTGGATGGTCGTTCATCTTTAGATAGTGAACGCAGCTCCACGTCTTCACCCATAGTTGGCGTCAATGGACATTCCCGTGTCCCCGTGGACGAGGAGGGCTTGGAACCGATTGAGAAGCTGAAGAGAGAACTCGAACGCGAGAGAGATGAGAAAGAGAATCTCGCTGCACAGTATCGCAACCTCCTAGCCAAACTCACGACAATGCGTACAAGCCTAGGCAATAAACTGCAACAGGACGCTGTACGTTTCTATTGGAGTGTTTATTATTATCAACACCCTAACGAACTATGCATAGGAAGAACTTGATAGGAGGGAACAACTCGTTCAGCATCTTACGGCTCAGAATGACGATCTGGTTTCCACAGTCGAGACTCTGAAAGCCGAGCTCATCGCATCTCATGAAGAAGCAGAACGCAATTCAAAGGAGCTAGATACAATTCGAAGCCAGGTCCTGAACGAGAATGCGCAGGAAAGTCTTCTACGCGAACGCGAGCTTCGGGAGACCTTGAGTGAGCTTGAGCGGTGCCGCCTTGAGCGTGGCGAATGGGAACGCGCCTCAATGCAGGATAAGATGTTGGGTGATGAAGCAAGATTGAACCTGGAGACATTGAGGCGTGATCTGGAGGTGGAACGCGAAGCTCGAGATCGAGAGTCAGTTGAGTTGGTCGCAGCACGGGAGACTGCGACTAACTTACAGTCAGTGCTAGAGGATTTCCAAGCATGTAAGCAATGTTGCGCGTATTTTATATCCAAGCCCTCCATGCTGAAACATCGGCAGCCAAAGAACACGAACTTGCACAAGCTGTGAAGGACTACAGATCTCAACTCGATGATGTCACCATGTCATTAGCCGAATTCAAGCGACGAGCTATGGACGCAGAGGTCTGCCTCGTGTTGTGGCCGATCATTTAACCAAGCTGAAATATCAGACAGGCCCAGCTTGATGAACTGAAAATCCATGCCTCGCGAACACAAGAGCTAGAACAGGACGTCAAGGAGAAGAATCTATTAATCGGCAAGCTGCGACACGAAGGTCTATTTTCATCACCGCACATGTTGCCTAATATCAATCTTCTTTTCAGCCGTAATCATCAATGAGCACTTGATGGAAGCCCTCCGTAGACTTCGGCGCAACTCATCTGACACGAATGTAGATCGGAGACTGGTTAACAACGTTCTTCTATCGTTTCTTTCTACACCACGTGCCGATGCAAAGCGCTTCGAAATGCTCACACTCCTTGCATCTGTTCTGTCATGGACGGACGCAGAACGTGAAAGAGCAGGCCTTCAGCGCTCCTCGATAATGACCTCATCTGGCAATTCATTTTGGGGACGTTCTTCAAATATCGGGTCGCCAAGCCAAAAGACAGTCGATTTGGAAAAGACAGATGAGACCGAGGTAACACCACGAATTTTATTGTTGTAACCGCAAGCTCACCGCTGTTTCCATCCTAGTCTTTTTCCCGGCTCTGGGTGGAATATTTACTCACCGAAGCAAATCAGGGCGAAACGCCCACTAGATCGACACGCTCGAACGCCTCGGTTCCAAGCAGTCCTTTACACTCACCAAATACTCTCTCCTCACCAACGGGGCTCAAGGGGACGCGACGCCTCGCATCGTTCGCGAGCGCCGCAGGCATGGCAAGCTCACCAAGCTTGGCGCTGCCGCCATCCCGAAAGGGGAAGGAAAAGGAGGTTGTACCGTGACGTCTGCTGGTTGGACGTGCCGATGGATGGTCGTTGTTATCTGACATCATTTCGTTTTTGCACGCTCGGACACGTAGTATAGTTTTTTGTATCTCATGTTATTCAGGGCACTCGCTGCTGTAAGCCAAACGCCTTGTGGGAGATTATACTATGGCTGCCCCAGCCTGAAGAAGAACAATGGGCTGGAAGTCGATACGAGGGTGGATTAAGCATGCTCATTGTCCCGCAAGATGATGTCATCCATGAGTGGTAATGTGAGAACGACAATGACAACTATATACCAAGGAATTTATCACTGAAATACTAACTGCGAAATTACTGTAACTTATAAGAGCAAGTGCACCTAACCGCGGGTCTCTCGCCATCAGAATTCGCCAAGGCAAGCTCAGTTCAATGCAAGAAGCATTTTGCGGGGGTCCTCGATGTAGTCGCGAACCTTCACTGCAAACGCCGTCAACGCGTCAGATGAGACCAAATGACAGGAAGAGGACAAACCTAAGAAGGTAACTGCCTCCCGACCATCGAGTAGTCTGTGGTCGTAAGTGAGGGCGACAACCATGATGGGTCGGATGACTATCTGGCCGTTGACTACAACGGGTTTGTCCTTGATTGCATGCATGCCGAGCACAGCAGACTGAGGCAAGTTAATAATGGGCGTTCCATACAATGAGCCGAAGACGCCGCCATTGGAACTAGGGGCATGAAATTAGTCTTGGTTTGCAATGAGGACCAGAAAAGCTTACATGGTGAAGGTACCTCCTGCCATGTCCTCGAGAGTCAACTTACCATCCCTGGCCTTGGTGCCGAGGGCGGCAATTTCCTTCTCGATCTCAACAAAACCCATGCCCTCGGCATTCCTCACTACGGGAGTGACCAAGCCCTTTGGAGTCGCGACAGCGACACTGAGGTCGACGAAATCATGGTAGACAATCTCGTCACCCTCAATGGACGCGTTTGCAGCAGGAATTTCCTTCAGTGCCAGCGCGCATGCACGAGCGAATGCGCTCATGAAACCAAGCTTGACGTCATGTTCCTTGAGCACCTCATCCTTATACTTCTTTCGCATCTCCATGAGAGACGACATGTCGATCTCATTGAATGTCGTGAGTGAAGCGGCAGCGTTTTGAGACTCCTTGAGACGCTCAGCAATGCGCAGGCGCATACGGTTCATCTTGACCTAAGTAAAAGAGGCACGTCGGTATCTTCGAAGGAGGTACAACGATGTCATGCTTACTCTTGTCTCACCCCGATTGCCTGGTGCCTTTGACGTGGCCGGAGGTGCTTTTGACTTGTCCTCCTTTGGTTTTGAGACCTGCTTCACTTCCTTCTTGGACTCTTTAGGTCCTTCGGAAGGAATAACACCACTCTGCTTGTCTGCTCCTGAAGGTGCGGAAGACTCCGACGTTGTCTTGTCCAGTTTTTGGTCCTTAGGCTCTTCAGGGTCTACCTTCTTCTGTTCTTGAGGAGCGGGAGATGCTAGAACCACATGAAAAAATAGTGTATTTTATCAGAGACGTGGGACCTACCACCACCTTCACCAGGTTCAATTCTGAAGAGGTCCTGACCGACACTGACAGTGTCATCCTCCTTTGCTAGCAGCTCCACAATCTTCCCTGCTTTAGGCGCGTTAACGGAAACATCAATCTGCAGGAGAAGACATTAGTATGCGTTTTCCGTCCGATAAAGGTACAAATCAGCCGATACTAGCCTTATCCGTCTCGATCGTCGCGACTTCCTCATCAGCCTCTACGCTATCCCCAACCTGTTTTGACCATGACCGAAGAGTACCTTCGGAGATGGACTCTGCCATCTGTGGGACTTTTACAGTCTCAGCTGTGGGTCAGCAAGACCAACAAAATTGTCATGTTCCGTTGTTTAGATACGTCATAGCACTAACCTTGGAGGAGATGCGATGAATGGAACTGTGCACGTCTCATTTGCGAGCCGGCCATTTTCCTATACAGACAACAAAGTAACCATCCGTAAGCTATGCTGCCAACAGAGAGAAGAACACCCAGAGTTGGCAACGCGCACCATCCTTTCGACAACGATACAGCAGTGTCACGGTATTGGGCACTGTTTCTGCCTGCGAGAAAGGCACGACTGCGTGCTGCAGCGATGACCCGATTTGATAGCATGTTCTATGGGTCGAATTAATGTAATGGAAGGTGTCCAGGAAATAAAAGAGGTATGTTCCATGGAGCCTGAGGTCCAATCGGTCACAGTGGGTACGGAACAAATTGATGTATAATAAGATAGCCACGGTGACCACGCCGGGGCGCCGACCGCGTCTGCGATTCTCCTCTCAACTCACACATCCACATCCTTTTTTTTCAAAAGCTATCCAAAGTCTCCTTGTTTTCGCACCAATGATGAGAAACAGTTCACTTCGGCGCCCTGCCCGGCGTGACATTCATGGTGCCTGAAAAAAGGCAGTACCTCCATCCGAGTCGTTGACCGGCGGCGGCAACAGTCTCGGGAGTCGGGACAGCTCAAAGACAACTTTAACAAATGGAATCTTGGGGCTATCATATTGCTATTGGCGCACGCCAGCCGCAGTGCCCAGATCCACTCCAGTCCAGCGCAAATTATCCCAGACGCCCACGCATGCGCAGTCACACCTGCTACCGACATTTCTGTCTCCAAACCAAACGTTCTCCCAACCGAGTGTTGTGATTAGTGTGGTACAAAGTGCAGACTGGTAAGTATAGACTATGGCGCTTGCGAAGAGTTGAAGTGGCCTGGTTGAAAAACATGTAAGATGAACGGGTGCAAAATACCGAGTAGAATTCAGAACGTTCATTCCTCCGACATGACTTGTTCTTCCCCACTTCCGCTATCTGCCTCAGAATTCTCCTCGCCTCCACCAACGTCACCACCAGCGGTGGCTTTCCCAATTTCGGTTACCTGTGCTGGCCACACAACCCGGTGGTAGTCATATGAACCTCGAAATCCTTCGTCAGTCCATGCACCCCCATTCAACTTCGTTCTCCACTCCTGCTCGCGGACCTAATAGTTGTGTGGGCAATTGCTAGAAGGAGACCGATATGATTGCACCTGCCAGGACCGTGATACACGTCTATAAACATCTAAAAGGGCTACAATTGTAATAACAAGCACGCTATCGATACACACCGTACAATATAAAACACGGCTCTAAAAAGAAAGGCGGGGTTGGTTCATAATCGGAACCTATGAATGACCCAGATAAGGCATTGAAAACGACATGAGACCCGAAACGAAAGATGAGAACATTCGACGAGAAGACGTAACACCGACCACGTATGCATGGCTGTTATGCCTAAACGCCGCATGGCTGAACTCGAAGACCTGCGAACCCACGCTAGCAGGCTCGGGTACCGCGAATAAGCAGCTCGGACTGCACGGATGTCTTGGCGCGAAACGATACTTGTTTCGAGCCTAAACTTCACGCCCGCTTATGAAGATGTCCCGATTCCCTGCTGCTGTTGGTCATCCAGTTGTTCCTTCATCGCCAGCCAACCAAAGGCTCCAGATATGCCTAGAGCAAGGCAAATATATGGCCGTGATGAAGACTAAGAGGAGGTATGTGTGAGTGAGTGCAGCCTCAGTTAGAATGGTATAAAGTACCTGTGAGGATGACGTTGGGTATTTATAGCGGTTTATCCGCGAAGGTCCATCAAAGATTTCATACACAGGCTCTGATGTTGACATGAAGGGGGATGAAGGGGTGTGTGCCTGCCTGTTAGGCGAGGGAGATAGGCGTTGCCGTATTTTGCGACGATTTTCAAGGGCTCGCGGGAATAAATGTGTTGGGCGAGCTGGGCCATCGAACACGACGGGGGGAGGTAGTGAGGAAAAATGGTGAACTCGGGTGAAGATGGTAGCGGCATTTCGCAATTTTTCACCGTCGCGTTCGTGTGCAACGACACGAGCGGTTGTGGCTGTTCGTCCAACAAGTGCGGAAGACTCTCCAAGGCGCACTGGAGCGTCAAATATGTCGAATATTGGTGGAATAGTGAGTGCCTCGTATTCTTGCGCGGTGACCGCACCTGACATCGTTGAAGACAGTCGCGCAGGTAAGGATTGCGCGACTCTTCTGGACGATGCGCCTTGTAGTGCAGTGACGAGTGGGCGACGCAGCGAAGACATGGCTGGATGATATGTGGGACGCTCAACACTTGAAACCCGCCTTTATATACCAGATAGGGTGTGAGCATCTTGATCTGAAAATATAGGGGGTAAGGCTCAGGGAATAATCTCTGAGAACAGTGAGAACAATCAGAAAAAGTGCGCATCGCCATCTTGTGGCGGAATTGAAGCGGCTATAGTGAATTGTAGTCCATCTGTTCAATCGCAAAACAGCGCCGACATCGGTGGAAAGCATAGAAATTGCGATTTCTGATGAGCTGCCAAGGACTCTATAATTGAGTACAAGTTTACCGGGCCACTCTACTCTTCCTTGGACAAGCGGTAATAGAGTTATGCCAAGAGCATATCTCCGTCAGCGGTTTGCCCATTCTTGACTTCTTTCGTTATAGGCGCAGGCAACATTGAGACGAACGTTGCTTGGCCGCCGAGATGAAAGGATCCGGACGCCGGACGACTACTACTCGTTGATAGTAGTTAACTCACGATCCGTCACTAATGGGGAGCTGTGGAAAAGATTTGCATGCAAAGAAGGGTGTACGACTGCCGCATAAACGCCACCCCTGTCAGCCATGGAGATTGCCCAATCGCAGATCTACTGGGCATAGGCTGCAGTCGTGGTCTCATTTTCGGCATGCAAGGTGGCGAAGTGGACCGCCAAGATGACGAGATTATCAAGATGGATGATTGCCTGTTGAGGTACATCTGTGATAATCTGATATAGTTCCTGTTAGCACCAGCGATATTGAAGACTCACTTTTGGACAAATAAGAGCTTGCCAAGGAGGACGGACACACGTTAACCCGTTAGGAACGTTGTCGGGCGCACCATGACACTTCGACAGAGGCATTTACTTGGTCGTCCGTCCGCATCATTCCCCACAAGCTTGGAGATGATGATAGATCAGTCACCAATTGGGACACCGCATACAGAAGCAGCGTCAAGCAGTAAGATACGTATTGAATCTCACATATAATCTGAGTCTTCTCCGAGATGGAATGAAGGCTGTATCGCATCGAATCGTGCAGCTTCCATGCTGCCAAGAATCTTACTAAGCACACCGGATGAGGTGTGCTAGTGGTGCTGTGCAGAAACGACGAATCCTCGTTGGGTTCTTCTTGGGTTCTTCGGCGAAACGTTGCAGAATCATGGCGCAACCCGTGGCGCAACCCGCTTTAGGAATTGAAGCTCAGCGGCTCGAGCGCTCACGGTTTCAAGGTCAACGGTGTTGGACCAATGTTGGACCATGCTCGACGCCGTTGACGCGATATCTGACGGAATACAAAAGGCTCACTCAAGAATACCCACTCAACATCTGTCTGTAAGTTTATGCTATCTGCATTCAGGCATCAACGCGACGTAGGGAATGATATTTATACAACCGCCGTCCGCCCCAAGTCCGCTCCCAGTCAAGAACGTTGACGAATGCCGACTCATGCGCAGCTGTCACTCTGGTGAGCGGAAAGCTCAGGTAGGTGGGGCCTTTACTTTCCATTTCAGACCTGTCCATGTCCATGCAATTAAAAGCCTCGTTGAGTCCATGTGTTTGTCTTCATCTCCATGACTCGGATCGATCATCGATAGGGCTGGATAACACGAGGACGATTCCAATTTCTAGAAAAGCATTTCCTTCAGCCCAAGCTGATCCATATCCTCTGGTCTCTCGACGTTACATACCATGACCATCATTACATCCCCACCTCAGAGCCCAATTTCGGGTGGTCCGCTACCTCAATACGGGTATGGCTCTGATCATACTTTTGATCGCCTTATCCAGGACAACCATTTCTTGTTTCGTGTATATACTCCGAAGCAACGCTCTCCATTCTTTGATTCTACTGAGCCCTACTTTGTAGGCCAGAAGTACAACGAGCAATTTAGAGAGGCTGCAGAGCGGCTTCGACAGCCGTTTACAGGCAAGCCAGTAGCTTCAACGAGCAGTTATGCAGATGTTGCCCAGCACATGGACTGGACGCAGAGACACATGTCCCCTTACATCTCGACTACGTTCAGCTTTGCCTGGGCTATTTGGGAGGCTACCCGTAGGTACCGGGTTGGTCTCAAGCACGACATTGAAATCGCCATTATCGATGCACGTCAGCTCGCCGGTCGAGCTGCGACCGCCCTGGAGCTACTACGAAAGGGCACACCCAATGAGTCAGTATTTTTCGATCGGACTCCTGGTTGCTCTGATAAGCTGATTTCATTACTTAGAAGGCATCTGGACTACTGGAAGTGGTACAGATTCGCATTGGAGTCGCAAGACGTCCTTGTTCATGGATCTATCCCCGGTTCGGCTGTTCTAGCCTCAGTCCCCCTTCTAAGCATCATCGACAAACTCCCGTCATACTTCCTCCGCCAAGACACCATGGTTGATAAGAGGTCGTCTTCGTCGCAGTTTAATATCCTATCATGGGATACAATGGATCGCAAGCCTAGTTTCCGCCAGTTCTGCCAAGATATGTCGGATCAGTTCTTGCACCTTCCCACTGAGCATCGTCTTCGCGATGCAACTGGAAGCTCCGTTCGCTTGGCAATGGCATTTCTGCGTCCCTGGTTCCATAGCGTTGTCGTGGACGATTTCACCGAAGCTACCGAGACAGTATGCAGCCTTGCATTCATAATCGCACAATGGCCAGCCCAGTGGTGGTCACGAGACCACGTCGAGATGTGGGACGTCATTCGCTCCCTCGTCCAATCAGTTGGTGAAGAAGTTCGAGAGAAGCAGAAGGGGATAGCGATCGAAGAGGTCCGGAGATTGCAAGGGGTAGTCTCCGACCTCGAACGTGTTGTACAGGACTACGAAGAGGCCGAAGTTGCTTCATCAGTCGATCTCAAGAACGACGTGATGGAAGCCGAGGTCGAAGGATCCGTTGTTATGCCTCCCTCACCCCCCGCGTCTATCGTCGATTTCCCAGCCGACGAAGACACCCTTGTCTTAGCGCTACCACCATTTACTGTCCCGACATCTATTTCGCAGGCTGCTGTTGCTGTTGCAGCTACACCTGGTTCCGAGAGTTCGGATAGCAATCAGTCGAAGACACCCACCCTCATTTTTGCCCCTACGATTGTCATCCACCAAGAACAACAGCGGTCCGTCGCGGAGCAGACTCAGCTTATACCACAATTGGAACCACCGCATGGAGAACCGCAGCGACACCCAAAGCGCCGGCCGCATTCGTTGGCCGAGACCGCGACATGCATCGTCACGGGGCTACTTGTTGGCGCTTTCATAACTATTTGTATAGTCAACTCTCAAAGACGTACCCTCATCTATGTTACGTAGGGCTCAGGGCCAATTGGACGAGATGGGAATAGCGCAAGGGAGAAGAAGTGTTGTAAGATGTGACCCGTGAAGTAAAGAAGATTGTATCGTTACAGTATAACCTATTAGATATCTATGCGCCGCAGTTATAATTCTATCAGAAAACGAGGCTTTCTGATATGATCGATATACTCGATCCATAGTGATTTTCCAGATGCTGACCGTGTGTGCTACTCAAGGCTCTTGTTATAGCCCAACCCACGCTCTGTATTTTGCCACGTCGGCTGCATGACGTTCCACAACAGCCTGAACTTCGTCTCCCCACACATCTCTCGGGGTTTTTCTCGGATGCGCTTCCTCGGTCCGCGGTGCCAAGCACTCTCTTACGTGCTTCTCCACCTCCGTAGAATCAAAAACCACACAGTTTTCTGGGGTAAGTGGTTTAGCTGGATCCCACCGCAGAAGTGCCGGGTGTGCAGGGACAGCGTGTGGAGGCACGACGGAACGACCGAGATGCAGGTCCTCAAATATCAATGCGACGTCATCTTCGTCGATAGGTAATTTACTGCATGAAGTGTAAGGCTTGTCGGAAGTAGTGAAGTGTGAACTCACTTGATCGGCTCCCCAACAAACTTCGATTCACGATGCAATAGATCACGAAGGAGGCGCTCGTAGAGCTTCTTGCGATTCTTTATGGGCAAAGGGTTCAGAATTGGGTTTCCGGCCATCTCACAGAGGATGAAGGTTGCTATGTGCAGCCCGAAAAGAGATGGCAAGGGGCCTGCCCCGCGGAAGAACAATAAGATACCAGGACGCCAATTTGAAAGAATCAAGGACATACCGAGGACTGGTAATATTCGCACCCTGAAATCATCGAATACTCCAAGTTCTTTGACGTCACCTTTCTGGAATTCTTCTTCGGGCAGGGGGAGTAGCTTCACATCTCCTGGGACTTCTGTAGAATAAACCACAGGAATTCCTGAGGATACACCCTGCAGCCGTAACCTGCGCCGAACAGAACGTGCGAGAGGGTCGTACATCGTGTACGAGATGTCACTAATCTGAATTCGTGTAGGATCTGCCTTTGCGCTAGCACCCATAGACGAGAACACCTACAATAGCATGAGTTGGATAGGATTGGGTAGCAGCCAGCAGCAAGGACGAACTTTGATATTATGCTCATGACAATACTTCAGCAAGTCGACTTTGGTGGTGATGTTATCTATTGCGTCTTTTCAAAACAAGCTGAGCAATGGTGAACAAGACCGAAGGGCACATTCACATACCGATGACCCAATCTGCTCCCTCCAGCAACCTCCCTCCGTCTTCCTTCCTCCAAATCTCAACGCGGCTGTCCACATCCACCCATGTGGAGATCTGCTTGAGCGTCCGCTCAATACATCCCACCTTAGGCGTTCCTACATCTGCAAGCACAGCCGTAGCATGTCGGTTCAACGAGGAAAGCGTCACATAGTCAAAGTCCACCAGTCGGATCTTCGACACGCCTCTGCACGTAATTCGTGAATCACAATAACACGTATAGTAGACGGTAATAAGCACGTACGACCTGACCAACATGACTGCCGCCCAGCTACCGACACCACCACAGCCAACGACCACAACAGACTTTTCCCGAACGCGTGCCATGCCCTCATCCCCGAAAAATGCATAGCACCGCGCGAGCTGCTCCCTGACCAACTCTTCGTTGTGCCCGTTAACACCAATGCGGAGAATTTGTTCATCCAATGGCTCGTCGTCCTTTGGTCTCAAGCGTTGTTTTGAGCCTTCATCCTGATCTGTTATTGACCTGAGGATGTCTCGATCGAGACTGCGTCTCCGTTCGCGTCGAATATAAGCATTATATGCAGTAAACAGGCCCGACGTCAGTAAAGATGCTGATACAGCTGCTAGAATTAGCTGTGTCCTGTGTGAGTGCGCAGAAAAGACGTTCATGAATGAGAGATCGTGATCACTGATCAAAGACAAGTCAAGTGTAAATCAGCAACGCGAAATGTCCGAGTCAGTGCCAGTGGCCACATTGTTCCTTGGTAGAGGCAACTACTAAGCTTCGAGGTAGCTTTTATTCTATGACATATACAATGGTCATACATAGTAACATTTATCATGCACATAGTCGTCGTAAATGTGCTTAGACGTTCAGGGCAGAGAGCGTCCTGACAACATCAACGATACACCCATTTTCATATTGCCCGTCCGTCAAACCTATGCTTTCCTGGAATTTCCTTTCTGCTTCTAACCATTCGGCAACGGCACCACCCTTGCTTGCCCAATCGAACTGAGCTAAGACCTTCTCTTTTTGAGTATCCAGGTTTGCTTGTACATGTGCATTGTCTTCATCCGTACTAGGCGGTTCAATGTCGACCATATGTCCTGCACGTTGCGATTCACGTGCTAAAAATTGAACGAATGGCAAGCGAACGTCCTGGTATGCTTTCAGCGCGGCGGGCACGTTATCCAATGTTGTGAGTGGGTGGGCAAGAAGGCGGCCGAGCACAAAAGCATCCTTTGTACAAGGTAAGATCACAGAGTCTGGTTAAAGATCAACCTTACCTCCATTGCTTGACCAGCTCCTGCACCAAAGTAGGGTGTCATGGCATGGCACTACACAATTTCGTCAAAGGATCTTCGACTCAGCAAGGAGAAGCGTACCGCATCACCTATCAGGGCAACTCTGCCGTTAGCGGATAACGGCAATTCATTTACTACATGAAGTGCCCATCTTGAGGTGGTTTCGGAACACTGAAGAAATGTGGTCGGTCGAGGACGATGTGAGCGACCCAGCCCAAGACTTACCTTCAACAGATTTCTAACATCAGGCTCGAAATCCTGATATAACTCCTGGAGCTCTTTACAGGACACATCTGTAACCCAATGGCCCTCGAAAGGTGTGCCAGCTTTTTGATCATCACGAACAAATGCCGCTACATTGATCTGTGTTCCTTGTGCAACCGGATACGTGATGATGTTCTAGAAGTCATAGTGGATCATCAGCAAGCGGAGACCAGTGGTCGCAATAATCTACCTTTCCCATCCCACAGAACTGCAAAATGGAAGTCAATCGCGACGATCATGACCGCATTTCTGAGGGCTTACTACTGTAAAATCCTTCAAGGCTATGTTGTTTGGATCTATTTCCGAGACCTTCTTCGCTGGTATAATAGCACGATAGACAAGCGTTCCAGTCCAGGATGGATCAATGTAGTGTCCTATCTTAGTTGGGTCTACAACGTCTCGGTTTAATGTTTCGAAGAGCGTCTTCCGTGCTGATGAGCGGATGCCGTCTGCCCCTATCAACAAATCCGTAGTTGCGGTACCGTCATCAGCGAAGTGGAGGATAAGTGATCCTGATGGCTGCTCGTCATATCGAGTGAGGCGTTTCTTGAAATGGAGTGTGCATGATGAGGGAAGGAATTGTTCGAGAATTTCTACGAGATGCTGGCGATGGATATGTGATGGTGCGTTAGTCAGTTTCTGACGGAACCATTCGACACCACCCTGTGGGGCATTAGACCTCCTGAGTGTTGGCCCTGTCGGTACGAATCACGTTACACCCAGAGTTGATAAACAAACCATTTAACATACCAAGACTGGAAGAAGAGGGCTTGTTCGCAACACGGGAGTACTCTTCGTATATGCCGAGTTCTTTTATGACCTCTAATGTGCGCGGCGAGATTCCGACCCCAGCCCCAGCAGTTGTGATAGCTTCATGCGCTTCATACAAGTCTATGTGGATACTGTGACCTGCAAACTTCCCAATTGTGATAGCAAGGACAAGCCCTCCTATCCCTGCACCGCTGCACAGGAGATTCAGTCCGCACCATGTTCATAAGGGGCTATTTGACTCACCAGATTGCTACTCGAAATTTGGGAGTGCTTGATGAGAGCGACATTGATCGTATGTTGAATTTTACAAATTGCTGAAGGATTGGTACAGCAGCTAGATTTTATAGGCCATCTCGAAATATTGTTGGGCAACCTGCCAGAAATCATGTGTTCCAGAAAAGGCGGCAAGCGCCCAAAGAACCGTATGTTGGCACCCGCTGGCACGTGCCGGACTACCGATATTTGAATACTGAGTCCGTGTGCGACGCTTTCGCAATAGTTTAGACTGTAGATACACGACCATCGGGTGACCGTGGACAATGGGGTTGTCTCCGCCGGTGGGGCATGCGCGGCAGCCGGCAGGCCGTAGACATGTTACCATTTGCATGATGATTGCGATTCCGTCACCCGATCAACGGGCTAGATAGCAGTCCTGTGATGGCAAAGGTCCAAAGGGTTGACTGCTCCTGAGAGTTGTTGAATCAGTCTAAATAAGTAGTTGACAAGTTATACAGGTAATGACTTCTGACCTTTCATGACATGCTATACTGAAGTCACTGGACTGGACATCGGGAGTTTCGAGTCAATGGTGCCCACGGCGAAATAGGCTTTAACATTAACATTGAATTCTTTGTGAACTTAGTGCATAGCATAATCGGTGACTGCCCATGGCAAGACGGAGGCCGATATCACGGATGGTAATAATACCACGTACTTCTGATATTCTTCTGCTGCGACCATTCGACAAATATATTTGTCATAAGCACGCTTCGGAGTTCGAAATACAGGGGGTATGCGTTGGTGACTTGACATTAAGCATACGCGAATTCGGAGTCAACACGCACGCTCCACGTCGTAGCGGGAATATACGAAGGGAGAATCAAGACACTGCCGCCGCTGTAACTCTGTTAGAACAGAGGCTAGCCCTCGCTTGCCTATCCGTCACGGTGCGATGGCACCCATCCCGATACTCGGAAATTCTAAAAGTGATGGATATCAGTCTTTGATTTGAGTCTTGGTTCGCGCTTGCCAGATCATTCGACTACTCGTTTTTCTTCTTTAACTGCCACAATTCCGATATCCCTGTTGCTGGCCGGCCGTGTTAGTAGCTTGGCTGTGAAAACTAAAGCTCAAATGCGCGACACTTCGGAAAATTTCCCCAGAACTCAATTCAAAATCAATATATGACACAAAGACAGCTCACAGCACAAAAATGACCGAACCTTGTAAGTCTCGACCCTAGGAGATGAGACACATCCGCATTCAACGAAAGATAGTTAGCGAGGTCAGATTCAGAACTGACAAGAACATCACCAGTGGAACATCATCACTGATGTGGACACCGCACACGGCTGTCTTGACCTCGATTCCACAAAGAGCGTCAAAATGACCATTCACAGCAACGAGACGAGAGTGAGAAACATGACCATTATCAGTGTTGGACAAAGAACCAAAGAAAGGGGCGCACCCCTTCGAAAGATGCAGAAAGACGCTGAATCAAAACACATTTGTCGTTGATATCTAACTGTCGAAGCTGAGTAACATAAACACGAGAGCGCACCGAATTTCGTCACGAAACCACGAAAACCAATTGACCACCCACCAAATCACTCAAGCCAACGCGCATTCGGCGCGACAATGTCACGTTTAACATCACACGAGAAGTGTGCTTGACGTCATGAACGACAAACGCTGATCGTCCTCAAGGACAAAGATGTAGATAAACTGATAAGCAACGTCAACGAAGAGTAGACAACACGAAAGATAACTGGACCACTGACCAATCCTTTAGCCACATACAGCTGTTCAGAAAGTTAGACACAAAAACAAGATCCAATCCATACACTACAAAAGCAGAACATCCGATGCCGAAAAGCTACGGGGTATAGACTCTGCACGACAATCTTAATCTGATCTACCCCGCAAAAGTGCTACTAGCTTGCGAGTCGAGGATGTGATACAGTGAGCATTCAACCCACTATTTGCGGAGTAACCCGATTTCCAAAGTAGGTAATTCCTACGTTCGGTCAGTGGGGACAGTTAACCAGTGACAGACCTTTTGTTGTTGCAGCTTGTCATGACGAAGCACAGTAAAAATAATACCGCATCTTCGGTATTCTCTTACGCTGAGAGACAGAAGGCGGAGTATGGTACGAAACGGGTGCGTCTGCTTAGCTGCATCATCCAAGGCTTTCACTAAGTACCGAAACAGCAACGCCTGGGTAATGAATCGATGCGAAATTTTGATGCGTGCGCTTTGTGCTTACAACGAGCGAGAGAGCCAATAGCATGCGATCAAGGCCATTTATTCTGCAAGGAGTGCGCGTACACCGACCTATGTGAGTTCACAATGACATACGCAGTTTCATATGAATTGAGTATTCAGTGACACAGAAGAAGGATATCAAGCGGCAGAAGGAGCGCCTTGAGCAGCTCAAGAAAGAAACTGAAGAGGAGAAACAGAGAGCTAGAGAGGCAGCCAGGGAACGTGTACTGCGTGATTTCGAGAAAGGTCAACTAGGATTGTCTGCAAACCTGCCGTCTGTTGCGTCTGCGTCTGGTGCTGAAGCGAAAGATTGTACGTACCTCGTCCATTCACTTCTCCTAGTGTACTCAATAGTTTTCAGCCCGAACATCGAAGCGGAAGCTTGACTTCGACTCTTCAACAGTTGAATCTCTTACCCGTGAAGCTGAAGAGGCAGCCCTTAGACAGATCGAACGAGAGCAGGCGGAGTCATTACGACACAAATTACCGGACTTTTGGCTGCCTTCCCTAACTCCTACATACACCTCAAGCGGCTTGCCGAGCTCCCTCAAGGATGTTAAGGTTCAAACAACGTGCCGTGGAGGGAATCCACCCCACCCAATAACGTTGGTGCATATCATTCGTCATAGTAAACAACCCCTCATGACATCTTCAGTCTGAAGGCATTGGTCCCTGTGAAGTTTACGTTGCTACCCACTGCGTCGGCGTCACAATCATCAGAATCTACCCCCGCGGAGAGCGACAAGGGAAAATCCAAGTTAGAGGATGATGGAGTTGCTATTTGCCCCGCCTGCAAAAGTAATCTTCACAATAATAGGATGATGTTCCGTAAGTCCATGTCTCTGACATCAGTTGCAGGATTTGACCATTCATAGTCATGAAACCATGTTCCCATGTTGTGTGCAAAGTATGTGTTGATAAGCTGGTGCGGGTGGCCAAGCAGTGCATCGTATGTGATCACACACTTGGCGATAAAGACATGATCGAATTGAAGAGAGAAGGTGTGTATTTGTCAATTTGGGGAGCAAAGGACTACGTTTCGTTTCACCGCATTCTGATTCATTGAATTGTCAGGTACTGGGTTTGCTGGAGGCGGCATTGCAGAAGCAAAGAAGACAGGTGTCGCGTTCCAGGGTTGAAAGTACTCATCTATATCAGGATCGGCTTGATATGTTTTGAGTTGGCTTTCACAGTTCGGTTGCTAAATATTGCCCTCAGCTCATCGAATGTGCGCTGTTTTTGAAAATTCTTCCACAATGACTTCCGACTTACCCATCCATGTTTCTTTGACATATTGCCGCCAGACCGTTTGGACCGCCAAATTAACGATTGACAATTCATCCTGTTCAGCAAGCTCTTTCACCCCACCCGGGTTGAAATATCGAGCTTTACTGTTGTACTTGTGCTTGCGTTGTTCGCCTGCTGGACTATCGATTTATTTTTGGCTGGATTTCACTGGTACATATTGAGCGCCACGATGGTTTTGGACACGTATGAGCAACCTGCAGCCTCGTTTTCTTGGGGAAATCTTCGCAGGTGACAATATCACTGCTGGTATCTAATACGTATGGAGTACCAACAAGTCTCCAGATTCGATGTTCTTTCGCGACAGTTTGCTTATAGCTGGCGCTGCATCGGACATGCATATTTTATTGACACTGCAATCATCCAGGGACAACACTTCTCATTTTCTCATTTCCGACTATAGCAATATCTCTCGGATCTCAGCGTCTCTCTCTGCGCCCGGGACCAGCTTGCGCGTCATCCCAAGAGGCCCTTTGAAGTGCTATGAACGTGATGCGCCCTCATTAGAGACTTATCCCATTCGGATCACGTATCGAAGAGTCCACTAGTCAGGCGTCGATTCGCGTCAGGTACTATGTTTGTTGAACACAATTTGCAATTAGTATTGCTTTTCACCGGTGCACTCTTAGGTGCCCGAATTCTCGCATCCCGGGCCAGTCGGAGTCGAGAACGCCACAATTTATGAAACACCTCGAATTGCCACACCTCGAGTTCCCAGCTGCAGCGCTATCCCGCCCAATGGTAAACCAATTACTCCACAATTTTCGATTGCTGAATTTGTGTAGGTGGACCGAGAAGGACCAAGGCTAGGTTAGTGCACCACCAAGCAAGATCCCAGTGGTTTGTTTGGGCACCAAGTCAGGTATGTTCTCTTGAAGCATCTAAAGAACAGTAAGATCCTCGGATTTAGAATTCAAGCGCCCTCAATGAAACATATGTCTTTGTCGTTTCGCTCGGTCCAATCTGCTTGAAGGTCAAATCAGTGGCGCACCGGTGGGTTTCAGTGTAGTCAGTGCACCGTGACCATGACATTGCGTTGTGTGGCGTGAGTTGATCTCTCCTTCCACAGCAGCATGAGTTGCCACTGCGCTAAGCATTGTGTGCGAGCTGAGCGCTGTGTCACAAACCAAGCAATGTTGCTGTATCCTATTCTCACTGCCACTGCCAGCTTTGACCATAGCAGTTCACCTCGTGTTTGTATTCCTTACACGACCACTGAAGTTTGGGTCCACAACCGACCAATCCACATATCCACACCCACACATTCCAGACATATAAACTGTGATGCAGCCCATACCCATGGTCCCTCCAACATCTCTCCCACTCTCAACTGTCAGGCCAAATCATGCTGCCTAACACGCTACCAGATCATATTTCGTCCCAAATCTTAGAACAGCTGGAGAAGAAGTCTCAGCAGCACATTCTTGCAAGTGACCTGGAGATCAGGACACGCAACATGATGAAGTGCTTTGCGAATACTCCTGGCACTCTCCCCTTGCCAAGCCCTATTACGCGCAACGCTTGGACTCTTCTGCCTAATGAGATGGCCCACCCGATGACTATGCCCCTGAAGGCGGGCGTTATTTCCCCTCGTGCGCCACCAACCACTCCCATGGATGATACTTTCGCTGTCGCTGATGAATCTTCATCTACCATATATGAGACTTGCACTCCTACTTCGGACACTGTAGCGTTGGGAGGAGTTGCCTCGGACACATGCAGCACGGTCGATGTTTCTGAAGGCCGTCAGCCTAATGCGGATGAAAAGTCCTCACACGAAACCAACGATCCCGAGGAAACCGCTTTGCCGCTGAGCGACCAGGACCATTCATATCCCTCAGACACCAAGAGCATGTTTGTCATGCAACCCGGCGAATCCCCGGTTTTGGCGGCACCATTCGAAGAAATTGTCGATGCCAAAATGAAAGAACTCCGAATTTATGGCTTGGGTTTCGTTACCGAATGTCTGCTGGCCGCTGGATTGCAGAGCGTTGAGTCAGGGCCTCTTATTTCGAAGTTAGTGCAAAGCATATTACAAAGGATAAAGAAGGAATCGCGGACACAAGCCAAACGTTTGGAGATGCTCTTGCGCCTAGGCTCTATGGAGATGTTTCGCCGACACTGGAAATCAGTTGAGTCCTTCTCCGCTGTTTGGGAAAACACGAGTACTAAACGTTACTCTCAGAATGGCCACTGGAGGCACATAAGCTCTACATCTGGTCGACATTCTGATTACACCCTGATGGGAGTGAACAAGGCTGGCCTTGTGGGATCGCTCTTCTCTGCTAAAGTCATGATGGCCGAAGACATCTCCCTTTGCTTGTCCATGCTGTTGGAGGAGATACACTTTGACCGTCTGTGCGCTATGCACGCCCTCCTCCTATACGCAGACGACAGATTGTGCAAAACCGCGAATTTACCAGCATTGATGCAGTTCCAAACACGGCTGCGCCTTGTCGATCCAAGAACTGACATGTATCTTTGGGGTCCTGTCCCAGATGCCCAAGCCATGATGCAGGTAGGCATTAGAACTTGCTGTGGTTGCAGCTATCTCTAAGCATATCTTTTTCAGGACATTTTTGATACTATTGAAGGTTGGATGGCCATTCAGGCACACAGGCGCGAGCAACTTCAATATCGTACTTTTTTAGCATCTTGCTCGGGTCGGAAGCCTCCCTTGAAGACTGTAGGACCACGGATGCGTGTAGGCAGGATGAGAAACAAAGCCTAACGCTTGAGGTCATCACACATGTTGCACTAAAGTATCGTATATAATATACCCGCACGTCCTCGGAAATCAATAAAGTTCATATTTGTACACAGATGTGTGAATTCGAAATCTGTCAAGGAACGTCCCTAACATGTAGGTAGTCGATCTACGCCCCTCGAGCGACAAGAAATTGCTCCGGGATGTCCGGATTCTCATACCTAGAGAGGATAGGTACAGTGTATAATTCAGCCATGTCGTTCATCCGCACCTCGCGTCGTACCTTCATGCTCTAGTTTAGAACGAAACATATTGTTTTGATGAGAATTCGACTTACATGCCAGACTCTTGTGTCGCATCCAATCTGCGACACTGTGGCAGGACAGTGTCGGACGATGCGTAGAGCATCATTCATCATGGACCGCTCTTCCGTTTCATTCACTTCACAATAAAAGTTGACATGGATCGCGCGGAGGCTTTGAGCAGCAGCAAAGCATCGTATCACATCATCCTGTCAGGCGTGGATGAACACCTCAACTCACAAAAACACAAGCCGCGCACCAAATTAATCCGCGCAGTGACGATAAACAGTTGCTCTAAAGCGGAGCACTGGGAACATATGCCACGTAACGCATCCAGACTGATTGACATCCGGTCAATAGAAATTCGCTTGAGACGCGACCCGTGCATCGTGACAATGGATGTCCAAAATTCGTCTGTGATAACCACTTTGACAGTTGGCGTCGTAGCATAAATTTGGAATATTTCTAAAGGCGCGGTGGATAGTAGTTCCGTGACATGACTCGTCCATGTCAGAAGGGGCGTCTCAATATGAACCGCCAAAGTAATTGATCTAAGACGTCTAAACGCCTGGTGCTCTTTGCAAATGTTGTTAAACAAGGTCATATCCTACCCAATACAGTCAATAGATGCGTAGTGACGATGAAAGGTTCAAGACTCACAAATGCTGGGGAAAGCCTCTCGAGTCCGATAGCCGTGAGGCCATTGCGATTGGTTGACACGATTTCACCAATGCCTCTATGTGTCACCTTTGGGCATCCCATAATAAATAATTGATCCAGTTCAGTCATACTAGGAGCGAGAGATTCCAGTAAGATATCGGTGATTAGACTCGATGTCTACCAAGGAGAACGATAAAAATGAGTTCGTATCGTTCCAGTACTTGTCATACCTGGCAGATCATAGTAAGGTTGCGAAGGGTTGGACCTGTAGCGGATATCCAGGAGGGAAGAACTTCAATGACTTGCGCGCTCGGCATTATGAGTGATATTCTGGACAGTTTAGAAAACTGTGCGAGTATGTTAGGATTATAGTATCCGCTGTCGTGTCCGTTGATCTCGAGCTCCGTAAGTTGGGAGCATTGCTGGAGAGCCAGGAGAATCGGTGATTCCAGCGAACCATCTCGAGTCCAGGCACACGATCTTAAGTTGACGCAATTCCGTATCCCTCGTATGCAAAGATTTAGGAGGTTACTGTAGGACGAAGAAGAGAGTGCCTTGGGAAAGTCTCTTATCTCTATATAACACCAATTAGCTTCTGCACTGGTTGGTGCCATTAAGCGATCCGGGCTCACCAAGGCGTGAAACGTAATGTGCAAGACGAGGACAGCTGGAAAGAGTTTGGAACAGCAAAACGACCTATTCCGAATGTGATCAATGACGATGAGATGATATTAAAGATCGCAATAGGATATCCACCTTTGACTTAGCCTCTGTATGCCATGCGTAGATATAAACGCGCTGGTAGAGCCTTGGGATCGCAAATTCGTTGAATGACTTATTGACCAAAGATAAGAATGCAAGATGTTGAGCTCTGACTACGGAATCAAAGATTAAAGGCAATAATTCGAGAGGGATGTCCACAAATCTGACCATGGTTCGTCGCTGCGGTGGCGGTGCACCGGTACTTGCCAACGTTGTCGTTAAGTAATAATTTGGACACGCCAGAGCGGTCAACGTGGGTCAGGGGCAATTGGAACGCGACAAACGATCACGACAAGCTGATTGATGCGACGGCCCATCGTGCATCATGGGCTGGCCTTTAAATTGACCTCCCGTACGCACTGTTCCCTCACTTCGCCGTTGATAAGCCCGGGAGCTCGAAGTTTAAACGTGAACGCCAAGTACAGTACGGCACTGCAGGGAAGCATTAATATATAATTACTTAATTTTTGATTTGGGATCAAAATGTCGTAAAGAAGTTCTTTCTTTCTTCAAGTTGTCACCGCTTGCCACACCTATCCTATATGAGACTGAGTAGGGCAGAATTTACAGCCACCCCACGCAAATTGGGACTCTTGTTTTATTGCACGCGTTCTCCTGCTCACAAGCGCGTCTGTCCAGGCAAGTCACTTCTCTGATTTCTCAACTACAATCAGAGTGAACCGTCACTGAAGCCAAATAGGAGACCTGAGGCTACTCTTCAATTTCTTACTGTAAACACGATGCAGCTGAACTCTGGAAAGGAAAACATATCAATCGGACCTCCACATTCCAGTGGAAACTCGTCATCTCGTACGAATGGTGAGTATTTGGCGCCGACAGTCGTTTGAGCCACCTCACTGACAGCAGCAAGACTCCCCAACAAAATGTGGCTCGCTCTTTTCCAATCCCCTCTCGGTTTCTAATAATTCTCAGTTTGACATTATTCTTCGGCGACAGCGTTCTCGTAAAGATGGAAAGCCCAAATTTACAGCTGTTCCCTCGAGATTCCTGAACCTCACCAATGACTTCGAGTTCGCTGGCTGGGGTTCTATCTTTCATCTCACCCTTGCACCTGAAGATATATGTCAAGGTGAAGTTGAACGCAAATTTTTCCGAGAGCAGCAAGTCCTTGGGCAGTTCACAGCCAGCGCGCTTGCAGCCAATGACATTCTTGGTGGTGTATTCTACACTCTGCCAAGCGTTGTCGCTGTCGCTGGTGTCTAGTGAGCTAATTTCCCAGCCAACATAAGTTAAACACGTTTAACCACTTCCAGTTCTCCTATTTCGCTCTTTGTGGCAGCTCTAACTTTATTTCTCTGGCGTCCTGTCATGGAAGAAATGGCTTCTGCTCTTCCGATTAGTGGGGCTTCTTATACCTACCTGTGTGTTGTCTGTGCTTCTGAACAAAAAATCATTTCGTGACAAAATCATTGCCAGACTTAACGTATCAACAAAATCTGTGGCTCTTCTCGGGGCAGCGCTCCTGCTTCTCGATTTCTCAGCCACAGCAGTAGTTTCGGCTGCGACTGCGGCATCATATCTTGCAGGCGAAGTCTCGCTACCATTCCCAGTCTATGTTGGCGCTGGCCTTGTTTTTGTGCTGTTCACTTTCGTCAGCCTTTCAGGCTTGCGAGAAAGTTCCCGCGTAGCAACTGGTGTACTGGTGATGCACGTGAGTTCTGCTATTTCTTACTTTTTTCCTACTTCTAATATTATGGTGGGAGCAAGGCTGCGGTGATGCTCATGCTTACTGTGGCTTCTGTCATTGCTTGGGGACGAGGCGGGACAGCTCAGCTAAGTTCCAACTGGTCTTTGGGGCACGTTGGATTGTCTCCAGCAGCTATAGCCCGACAGGTGTTCAATGGCGTATGCATAGGGATGCTTGGACTGACTGGATTTGAATGTGGGTTTTCTACCTGCAACCTACAGTCTTGCAGCGCATGTAATACCATATAGGCGCACCCGCATATACAGCAAAGATGAAGCAGAACTGTTATCCCAAGGTTCTGCGCAACTTGCATTTATCTGCGCTTGTCCTAAATAGCGGGATGATGCTCCTTGTTGTGGCATTATTGCCCCTCGACGTGGTCGGAAGTGGCAACAATATCCTCAGTTTGCTGGCTCAAAGGGTGCGTACGCTCGCCATTTTCGATGACTATGCAAGACGCTGAGGTACATGACCAGGTTGCTGGACGGTGGTTACGAATAATAGTCGTAGTGGACGCCGTTGTTGTGCTTTGTGCGGGTGTGCTCACAGGTTCGTGAATCAGACTTATGCGTCGTATTACATACTCATGTCGTATCTTAAGGAATCTTGAGCGCCTGTGAGCTATTTGTTAAGCTGTCATGTGATCGCGTCATTCCTCGCGTATTTCTTGCTACGATGCCGGTAACAGGCGCTCCTTATGTCACAGTCTTTTCATTCATTGCATTCAGTGCATTAATATATGCAAGCACGGGCGCCGACCTGATTGTGGTATCCCAGATGTGTGTCTCATATTCAGCAGTATCGGTGGTTTCTGATGTTTAACAGGTTTACGATGGTGTGGTTGGCCGTCATGGCGCTCTTCCCCATCTCTCTCATACTCCTCCGTTTCTCACGACCTCGACTTCCTCGTGCATCGCAATGCTCACTGTTTGTTGTTGCTGGTGCTATTGGTGTCACTGTAACTGTAGTTGGAGGCAACGTGGCCATCGATCCTACTATAGCAGGGTAAGGCACCTACCTCTCGTTGCGATATTTCGCTAAGCTACTGCTTTAGATGGTTTGCTCTGTACCTTACGATTCTTCTCATCTTGTTCTACCTGTCGCAGAATAAGGTAACTATGCTGCGGTGGATATACTGGGCGTATGACCAGCTTCCCTGGCTGCATAGACTGCGGCTTACTAAAGGGTGGGGTGACGGTCTGATCCGGTGTATGAGAAGCCTGCGTAGGCAGGAGGTTTGTTTGCTAGTTAAAACCGATGAGGTACGTGCATCGAAGTTGAGGTTGAATTTTACTAAAATAAGTACTGAAGATTAACAATTTGTTCAACATGATTCTTTACGTCCGGCATAATGAAGAAACGTCATGTCTGAAGATAGTGCATTTTCATAGCGGGGATATCCCTTCCGAGATGGAGGCCAATGCGAAAAGCAAGCCTATATTGATACCTTTCTGTTCGCGATACTGACAGTGTGGTTTCTTAGTTCTTGACGAAGCCTTTCCTGAAATCACTGTAGACCTGGTGCGCAAAAGAAAATATTTCCAAGTTCTTAATGTTTAACTTCCTGCAGATGCTTGTTAAGGGTCGATTTGATCCAAAAAATCTGGCCGCCCTAGCACACCATTTGAAGATTCCGCGGTCTCTCATGTTCATGAGCAGCCCAGGCCCGAACTTCCAGTACCCTGTGGCGGAGCTTGGAACGCGCATCATTTCGATCTAAACATCACTTGCATTGCATTGACGATGCTACAGTAGGGCGCCGTTCTTTGATATAGAGATGAACTATTCATGATTCTGTAGAGCGTTATTGCATTCTTGACTGCTCGTTAAGTACACACCAATTTCATTTACGCTTCTCCTGGGCTCCTTGCTTCCTCATCTCGAACGTCGCAATTGTTAATAGGATCGCTGATACCTGTATGTAGAACATCTCTCTTTTACTGCTACCACCCTCGAATGTATACTTAACAGTCCTCGGAACGCCGTGGTTCGGTATTACGGTGATAGGGTCATAAATCACTGGCATCACAAAATTGAGCTCGATAGGAGGACTCCGAGGAAGTAGAAGTGAGATTGGCAGCGATGGGTCTGTATCAATACACGGATCTGGGTATCGCACCGTAGTTACGGTAGTGTTGTGGGCAGAACTCCACAAAATTTGGCTGGCAGAACGTGGCAGAATTCTGAAGTTAGAAACTAGGGTTGGCAGAGAACTCCGCCTAGTGCCATAGAGTGCCATCCCTAATCAACAATAACTCCGAGTGGCTCGACTCTCGACAAAGTTGCCGATATCTCTGGCCCCTACTTCTGTAAATGCAAGCGCTGGCAATGGTCACTTCGGCAACTCCCAGCCTGGTGCCAAAACCTGATGTCGCGATAATAATCTGCCTAGACATATCATCCGCCACTGCAAGGTACTCCCGAGCTTCGCTGACAAGCCGGGTCATTTATTATGAACGAGACAGGTGATGAAGGTGATCGAGTTTTCTCTCACACACTTGCTTCGTCCAGTTCTCGCCCGGGATCTGGATGCCAATTTTGCATGGGTGCCTCCACTTGCAGCAGAACCACAAGATATAGAAGACCTCCTTGCAGGCTCCAAGACCATATCAGCTGATGAAATCGCCTAAACGTTTGTTGCTCTCGAAGCACAGGAGAAACTGAAAGAATCTGGGAGTATTGACGACGCGGAGGTCCTTGGAGGAAAGGCATTTGATTTTGCCAATTGGAGCAGGTTGACCAGGAATAGTACCCCAAGTCGTGGGTCATGACGGCGAAGATGATGGATGGAACGAGGTGTCGTTGATGATAGGAAAATCGGTTGTGGCAAAACTGACCTCGAGTAGTTCTGCCCACAACACTAAACTGTTGCACCGCGCTAGGATTGTTCGATGCAATATAACGAACACAGCTTAAAGGGTAGCATCGGGAGGATATGTTAGAGGGGCTCATGGCGGGAGAGAGGGAAGCCGACATTCGCAATCCATCATTGTACCGCCGGCGATATCATCTTCGAATTGACACCCTTTGGAAAATGTCAACAGTCCTTTATTGTAATGGGACAGACGCGGCGGGTCTATCGTGAAATACCTTGAGAGCTGCTCTGCAAGGGGGAAAAAAACGCCGGATTTCCTCAGTGGTATTGCGACTGCGCTTCTCGAGAAGTACATGCCTCTTGGTAGCGAGAGCCTCTATCATGATGTAAATCATCAGGCAGCTAACAGGTCTTCAATGACAGCGACTTCGGGAGTTGTAGACAAACGTCTATTGCATAGTCATCGAGAAGTTCTGTCATGAAGCAGTGAATGCGAAAGATGTCACCGCAAACTTTGTACGTAGTGGTGACCGAGCCATCTTGTTTTTCATGAACTGTCTCCTCGAATATGCTGCTGTTCCTGAGACGATGTCGCGCTTAAGCGTAATGGACGAGAGGTAGGTCGGGGACGTCCGAGTCGTTGTCGTGACGTATTTGGCTTTGACCAAGCCAGCCACTGACTCGGACGCTCAGCGGAGTCAGCGCTCAGCGCTCAGGCTGCAAACACATACTACAGAGCAACTTAACTTTCATAACAGGGATGTCGTTCGTGGCTGGCTCACTCGCTGGTGCACTTGTAATGGGTGGCGTAAGTATCATCGCCGAAAGCAGGATTCGTCTAATTGTTTGAATCACTTTAGATTTACCATGGGTTTTCGAACTTGATGCAAACCAGGTGAGCAACCATCCGTTTGCAAGAACTCAAGACAAACCGGCTCATCATTCATCTTGCAGGACTGCCCAGCACCGTGCCGAGTTCGTCCATACCCCTCCTCCTCACCTCTATAACGCCAACTGAACATGTTCTACAGTATTCATATACTCTCGGAGCGTATCGCTAACGCCTCGACCACAATTCCCTCCCCTCCGCCTGCGTCCACGCGCATAGCGCATCATCCGCTTACATCGCTCATTCAATCCAAGTGGAACGATGAGGTCGCTGGTTTATTCGGATCCGCCTGGCGGTGGGAGCAGCGTGCAGTAGAGATGGGGAAGAAAGTTCTGTATGGCGACTCATAATACCAACTGCCATCAGGCTAGGCATTGTTACACTAATCGAAGGATTGATGTTGTCGGTCGCCCCTTCTAAGAATTGACGCCAACAATCTGCTATGCACCACAAACTACATAACAGCAACGCCCTGCACTCCATTACATTGCATCCTTATCACACTTGTTTCCTTACAAACGTACACATTTCGGTTTTATTGGAATCTACGTAAATTATCATCTTCCATAACCTTGGTAATATTGTTGAGTATTATGGCCTTGTGAAGGTGGCGGGGGCGGAGGCACAGTCTGGTACTGTGAACCCTGCCGGGTCGGCTGTGTCTGTGGGGGATATTGCCCCCACGAAGATGGTTGCGGCGGAACTTGTTGGCCGTATGTCTGTGGATTTGCAGCGTACTGCGGTCGCGACGGAGGTGGCGGTGGCAAGGAAAAGGAAGACTGCCTTTGTGGCGAAGCAGAATACGTTTGCTGCTGTGGAACTGGCGGGGGGGCACGTGGTGCAGAAAACTGAGACCCGAATGCCCCCAGGCTTGCATATGGGTCGGGTGGCGGGTTTGGCGATACTGGGTTTGTATATGCTGGGCGTGCGGGTTGTGGAGGCGGAGGTGGTGGGAGATTCGAATATGCCCTGGTTGACTGAGGTGGTGGAGGCGGGAAAACGGAGTATGACGCCTGTGGTGGTGGAGGCGGGGGGGATGCTGGATTCTTACTTCCTTGCAGATTCATAGACGCGAAGGATGAGTCCAGAGATGGGGGAGAACGTGGTGGTGGTGGCAAGGGAGGTTTCTCGGCAGGCGTTGGTGGTACCGCAAGCCGCTGCTGGAGGTCCGCTTGCCCAACAAGTCTGTCGCGTTCCGAACGACGGTCAGTGATAAAAGACTTGACACTAAGAGTGAGTGTAGCACTCAGGTCAGTGAGTTGTTGGTAGAACTGCAGTCCTTTCCTGAACCGGATTTCAGCAATGATGAAACGGGGAAAAATTTACACATACGTCAACCCATCCCTGACCTCCATATATCCGTCTCTCGCATTCGAGAACCTGCGTACGGTGTCCTTCTTCCGCCGCTCGCGTTCATCCCACTTCTTTGCACCGGGTCCACGCCCAGCAAGGTCTCGTAAGCTTTTCCATAGCCCCTGGATTTCCTGCAATACGGCTTGCTGATTGTGCACAGTGGCTCCAAGACGCTGTTGGTAAGTCCGGAACTTCTCAAGTTCTGCAGCGAACAGAGATTGTTCAGCGCCAGGGTTACGGCGGTTCAAAAGCAGCAGGTGCGAGACGTCGTCAGCCTGAATCTATGTGGCAATGATATTAGTTAAATGCAAATCATATTATCACGCATGTTACCTTGTCTTTCAGCTCTTTGAGTACTTCTCCTCGCTCGTAAGCAACTTTCTTCAACCGTCCCAGGCGCTCATCAATTTCGGTAGTATACTGTCTGATTCTGGCTTGTTCTTTTTCATCGTGCGCCTCGGTACCGATGTCGAGATCAAGCAGGCTTTCCGAAGGGGCATCACGCTGGGCACTAGCACGGAAGACATCCTCGACGTCAGGCGAGAGCAGTAGTCGAATATCAGATTTGACTGATTCCCAGAGTGTCGACACTTGTTGGTCAGACGCGGCAGCCGCGTCTAAGGCGCCTGTATGAGACTTTAAGTCTTCCCGGATTGACTTCGTATGAGACGCAGATGGCTCCTGTGTCCACAGGTGGTCGTATTTGACCCGCATCGTCTCGCACTCTCTGGATTCAACTTCCAGGTCCCGAATAATACCGTCCAGTTCTGCTTTGACAGCCCCCTTGAGACGAGCCATCTGTTGCAAGAGTGTTTCGATACCCTCCCTGTCCTCCATGACGTTGATATCCTCTCTCCAACGGCGTACATCCAGGGGGATCTCTTCCTCCCCGCCCAAGCTACCCTCAGCCATTGCCTTAAACCTCGCGAGTCCCCCCTGCACTCCCATCGCTTCCAGTGCGCTGCGCGCCTCGACGTCTGCGCTTTCTGCGTTCTCGACCTCTTTGCGCACCAACTTCGCCTTCTCCTCCGAGTACACGCTAGCGCTCTCGTGCACGCTCAGCGGGATCAACTTAACGAAGATATCCGTGCCTATCACGTTCTGGACGTCTGGGGCACGATACACCTCTTGAATTGAAATAGGCGTGGCGACAACCGCCTTTTCGATGGCAGGCAGCGCGTCGGCAGATGGAAGGACAGCATTGTAGATGAGATCATTATCGCGCTGCGCTTCTGTCTTGCGGTCTGTGCTTAGTTGAAGTTGCACCTTTGTGCGTTCGGAGATGGAAGGCCCGGCATCTGCGGGAAGCGTAGGTGATACGTGGGCGAATAAAGCAGAGAATGATGCGGCAGCTCGATTGGCTTCTTTTGCTAGAGATTCAGCGAGGGTGAATCGTACGAGGGCATCGCCGTGGACCCCAGCTTTATTGTCAACTTGACCGCGATAGTATTGTGAGATAGAACCAAAGTGTTTGGATTTTATCTGCGCAATATGTCGATGCTAATCTCGTGTTTCAGAATATGAACATACCTGGATAAGAGTGACCCAGTTGCGATCGAATATGCCCTTGCCCATGAAATCTTTTACCTCCTCGCTCAGGGAGGTGTACATGAATGCAGACTGGGAAGCAATCTTGGCCACCAAAGCAGGCGCCTTCTTCTCGTCGATACACTTTTCTAAAAATACTTCTGTAGCCTGCGCCATGATGACTCCCACCAGAAACTTGATCACCTCCCGGCTGAGGTCAGTCGAGGGGGCATGCAAGAAGTTCTCATTAATATAGGTGAGCATGCCTGCACATGTTCTGAAGTAGTAGAAGGCGAGTTTGAGCCCCTCAGGATCGGACCTGTTCTGGGAGGCAGCAATGGCGGAATGCGTAGCAGCGATCTGAAACAGAACGGAGGCCTTCTCGTACGCAATAGCTGTCTGCGTAGTCAGCTTGGTCGTGAAAGCGTCATGCCATGGGAAGTTGACGCGGATCTCTGGGAAGCGCATCTCGAGGATCTCGAGTTGCCCAAAGTACTTGTAGAGCAGATCGCGACCTGGGAAGCGGGGTAGTGAGCACCCTGAGATCGTGATTGCTTGAGTGACGAACCTGTCATATCGCTTCCTGCGCCTTTGACAGCGTCTTGCCTGCAGCGTTGCAGCGCTTGGCACTCCTGTGCATAATTGTCTGGGCTCTCGCCGAAGGACTTGGCAATAAGATTGCGTATGGGACTTGTCCAATCGACATCCTCTGTCGTCTTCTTGGGGATCGCTATCATGGGTGACTGGTGCGCCATGTTTGAACACTTTACCTCGGAGTTGCCTAGATGTGTACTCAGTGCCTGCTGTAGACCACGGCTGTGTTCCAGTAGGCTATGATTCCATGAAACTGCGCTCGCGGGAACCGGAAGATGTGTCCGATTCCGTGCAAGTTGACCCCCACGAGAGGGGTTTATTCTTTGCCGTGTCCGTCCGTGGCAAGCTGGGCTCAGATCTCAGACCCGTCAATCTCATACCAGAGCCATGTCATCTGAAAAAGCGTCATCGAGCGAGAACATTGTTAGCCTAAAGGTGAGTTTTTTAGTCAAACGCAATGTTCAAAGCTAACCGTCTTTCAAGTATGACAGGTGTCGTATGTACTTTCATTCTCTGAGTTGCAAGTCGACTGACTATGTCCGCAAGTGGCCGATTTCTTGGTGAAGGCGTGAGTCTTGGCTTGCATTATTAGCTGATATGAATATCTGAGCATTGTGCAGTGGTGTAGGCTTCAGCGTAGGAGTTGTTGCATCCGTCATTCTTTTCCGAAGTCCGTGTCTTGCCTTATTTTCTCCACGCATTCTAACCAACCCGGCATGTTACAGGACGAACATGGCCTATTGCCCTTTCAACGGGCTTTGGTATGGGTGCAGCATACGCAGACTGTGATCGCTCATTCAACCCCGCACGCGTTTCCGGAACACGCATAATATCTCAGACAGACGAGAGCAAATGATGTCCCTCGACGTATCACTAGGTAGTATCGCGGATGGCGCTGGACAGAGGCACCATCGCGAGCCTCGAGGACCTAGCATTGTTTTACATAGAGCGCCTTCCCACTTCCACCTTCCGCCTTCCATAGATCACAACGCAAATGTTTATTCTCCTTTTGACCAGTGTTCACTCCCGGCATTGGAGCTTTCGGGTAGTAATTCATTGGTTGTAGAAAGGGGTTGTGGTGTCTCCCTAGGCAATGTTCTTTGAGGTTTTCCGAGCACAAGACGCTCGTAGAGCACGTCTGCAGGCAATTCAAGGTGAGCTGAGGGACCGAAATATGTGCAAGACGACAAACATGCTGTTGCTGCCATGATGGGAACTGTGACAATGATGGTGCGGAGCCTGCGAGCTTGAGGAGGTAGCTTCTGTGCCATTGCTAACTCAGACTGCAGCAGGGTACCACTTGAGTACTTAGTTGTGAAGCACCAGCTTGTCCAGGAGGAAACGTTAACTTTGTCATGCCACGAGGAGATCTCCGGGGTCCTCGTCGATTCGAACAGGGTATCAAGAGTCCCAGACCCGCCAACCCTCTGTCATCGACACCTCATTCGTTCTGCACTGAAATCTTTGCGTGAGGTACCATGGCTTATGTCGCTGTCGATGCGGACGATGTGAGTGGCACGGTTCTTTCAATGTTATGTCCAATAGGATGTCTAATTGTATCAATGGTTCTTAGCGACTAGAAGAAGGACCAGAGGGTCTCGAGTTCAAATGTGAGCACGTTTGCCTTCGCGTGCACAATCAAACATTGAACCCAAACAGCTTTCCTTGGAGCAGACGCGAGAGCAGACCAAAGAACACAGTCCGCAGCGTCAAACCTTGACCGAGGTACGTCGAAAACTCCGCCCTATCATCTCCCCTGACACGTACCCAATACAGGATATCTCACAGACCACACCACGCACAAAGGTCCATCTGGATTCTGGACAGTCGATTACTATCAGCCATATTTTGACGTTGATACAACAACCGTCTTGAAGCGATGCTACACGACACTCCTCCCTACTTCACCCTCGTACCTGTCGATTCTTAGCCCCAGTGCCGATCTATATGGCCCTTTCTGGATCCCAACCACGCTTATACTGGCGCTGTTCCTTTCTTCATCCCTTGCAGCAAGCATCGCGTCTTACCTTTCTGACCCAGGAGTTGCGTATGAATATGACTTTGGCCTACTAGGTCTTGCAGCAACAATCGTGTATATATACGCATTTGCAGTACCCATTCTTCTGTGGCTCGCACTACGCTACCTCGGCGTTGGCGAATGGGGCGTAGCGGAAGCGCTCGGGGTCTGGGGTTACTCATTATTCGTCTGGGTACCTGTTTCGGTAAGTACATGAACTTCACAACTTAGATGCACCTTTCATGAATATCCGCCGTTCTGTAGATACTATGCGTGGTGCCTATACCTATTTTGCGTTGGGTATTGGTGGGCGTTGCGTTCGGCTTATCAGGGTACTTTTTGGTGACGAACGTGTACCCAATATTGGCAATGGTATGGTCATGTTCCTCGTTTGATCTAGTTTCGTAGAGATTATTGATGACCTTCTTAGGCCGACGCGAAAGCCACTCGCTTACTAATAATCGTGGTCGGCGCGCTACATGCTGGGTTGGCGTTGACGTTCAAAGTGTTGTTCTTCAGCTACTACGCTATCCACGAAATCGGGCCTGGAGCCGATCCAATACGGATGTAGCTCTCAAATGCTCCTGCGCTGGTCGTTGATTAGTTTCGTTGTAATGCGCATTTTCTATTTTCACGTATATCTAACGGCGCGCGAAACGACAAAGAGCAGACCACAAGAGCAATGACAGTCATCATTCAATATCCAATATATTCAATGTCAACCCTGCCGCGTGCGCATCAGCTCAAGATTACGATGAATACATTGCAAACGCCGTCATTCTTGTCGTCGCACAGACGTGTGTAAGCACACGGGAGTATACGAGGGGAGTTTCGAAGTTCCGAGATACATAGTTAGGGGTTTGCAACTTCAAAGGGCAGGTAAAGTTTGATCTTACCCCAGACATTTTCCGTATTCTACGAGAATTTCGACGGCTTCACCTCAAGCTATGGTATTTTTTGGGTGATACCTGCTCACATGGACGCCGTCATGCTGCTCCCGCACTGATGTTCACGCAAATGCATTCAACACTATGATCTGTGCCTTCACAGCTTGTTCCCGAGGTATCCGAAGTTCATTGTCAGGCATGTATACAGATACAGACCGATGCTAGAAACACAACGTTAACACTAGTCACCCAATATAAGTACATGTAGAAAGCCATGAACGCATCGTAATGTAAAGTGGCGAGATTTAGTTTTAGCATGAGGGCAGACATCTGGTTGGATATTTTCAAACAGGAGTAACACGACTGCGTGCTGCATCCTGTGCCACTTCCTCCCAATCCTTCTCGCGCACACCGAGTTCAACTGTCAGTACAGTTTTGTTGAAGTTTGTCATAGTCAGTCCGTAGGGTTGGCGGATGCGCGACTCCCAGCCTTCTGGGATCCGCTCATGAAGAACAATGCTGCGCAGGTCATCCACACGACCCCCGAAGATTGTGAGTAGTGTCGAGGAACTGATATAAACGTTCAGAGTGTGCTTGAAAACGGATGACGTATGAACATACTTGGAGCTACCAAACACCTTGTGGAAGAAGCTGAGCGAGAACTCGCTGTTTGTTGCACGCGCCACTGCACGACGCTTGCCAAGAATCCTGGAGAGATCTTTGGTGGTAAGGATATCGTTGCCTTTCTCGTCCTTGCCAGTAGCTGACTCAAGCAACTCCTCGATGAAAGGTATATGCTTCGCCGATTGGTCTGGTTCAAGGGCAGTGTCAAGGCCTGCAAACAAATTGTTCGACATGTAAGAATCAGACAAGTGTGGTAAATCACTCACGGAAGAGAGATGCGTCATGTTCAATACCATTGTGCAGATCGAGGTCTGCCAAATTAAAGGTGTCCATGTTGTAATTTCTCTTCAGCATGCGAGCGGCATAATGTGGCACGAAAGAGCAGAAGGAAGGACCGAAGTTGTAAGTTGCCCGGATGTGGTGGTTAAGCTCGACAAATGAGATGTCGCGGCCGCTGCGCGGGAGGATGCCTGCATGTCAACGCCAGCGCGGTATATCACGTAAATAATGGTATGGTTTGCAGGATCCAAGACTAACCGTGATTGGCCATCGCGTTGAGTGCGGGGCATGAGCAGCGGGAGTCACCCTCCTGAGGAGGCCTAAACTCGGGCCAGTGCCCTCCATAGCCTGGGTGGCCCTCGGGCGTGACGTGTCCGATGCGGCGCTTCCTCCTTACGAGATTGAGCAATGTGAGGAGCACATCCCAAGGCAAGATCCCACAATCGAAGAAAAAGTTGGACACGCTGGAGAAAAAACCCATTTTGTTCCACGTGCGTCAAGGACACAGATAAGGTCGGAGAAGGGAATTGATACTTAGCGTCTTTGCGAGCACGCCCAAGCATGATAACCTTTAATATATAGCGTTCGGTTACGTATGCCTCGGGGACTGTGATGCACCTTGTACCGATTAATCGTGGAGTGTAATATGAACACAGTCATATGCATTCGGTTCGAAGGTTACCGATAGGGAGCCTCGAGGCACTTTGAGGCTCGTTCCATTTAATGGAAGAAAATTCATTGACAAGCTCCTGATACTAGGCCTGATATATCAACTGCCGCCCGTCCGGTAGTTGATCAGGAGGCTTACCGTGTTCTCAAGAAGAGATCATGTGAGTCCGAGTCCCTTGCCTTTTACACAGCCAATGGTGCTTATAGCCATTCCGATTTCAATTAACTTCTGCGAACCGAGGAAGCCTGAGAAGTACCAATAAAACATCCGAGTCATTCCCGGGCGACAGAAGATTGACAATGATCCATGCGACAGAGCAACATCCGAACTGCCCCCCGGCCGGTCAAAGGCGTCTCCACCTTGTCCTTGTCCTTCGTGTTGACAGTGTGCCACAGTGTGCACAGCATACTTGGGTTCTTCCCGAAAGTTTGCTCGAAGTAACGTAATTTTTGGGAACCGAGTTTGTCACTAGCTATATAGTAAGTGCTCTTCCATAGGAATACTGCTGCACTAAGTACTGGGTTTGGCTCGTAAGTGTCAATTGAATTCTGACTTCTAGTGCTCAATTGCAACGTTGCGTGACTTGCGTCCAACGTCACAATGAATCATGCTCGGGGACTCGGGGTTCTGCTATCTAATACAATACTCGCCCGGGCCGTACTAGTAGTACTATTATTGTCTTTAACACTTCGGCCCATCGGACAAAGCCGGCTGGGTGCAGGACAAGGCGGGGTGCTCGTCGCTGTCGACAGCGAACATGAGCTTGTTCATACACTTGTTCCCCAGCAGGTCAATTTCACCGATCTTCCTGGCGACGAAGCTACACAGGCCGGTGGACTCGATACTTTGCGATGCAACAACTGGGTGCAATGTACCTTGTTTGTCACGGCAAGCAAGACCGCGAGCAGCCTTACAACTCACGTTTCTCTATGATACACAAACCTCTCACGCTGCTTGATGCCATGGAGAATGATGCTCCCAAAGCTGAATTTGCATTCCTGTCTGCATGTCATACAGCTGTTGGCGATGAGGAAACGCCTGACGAAGTCATCTGTCTCGCAGCTGGTTTGCAGTTTTCTTCAACGTTCAAGAGCGCCATTGGCACTCTGGGTGGTCGACGACGCTGTTGCAAAATACTCTGAAGTTTTTTACGAGAAGATGTTCAATGTTTTGAAGGAGAGTGCTATGGACTGTACGAAGGCGGCCTCGGCACTCAACCATGCTGCGTACTCCGCTCGAGTCGAGAATTGTTTTCATTCATATCGGTGTGTAATTCGTGTCGTGTCGGTTTGTGGTACGGCTTTACTATTGATAATGGATCATCTTGATTATTGATTATTCGCTGTACTTGCCTTAGGAATCGCCCTGATACCGTTGCTTTTGGTGTCTCAATCACAGATAACCACTGTGTCAAATGGTCAACCTTGTCAGTAAGTACCTATGTAGTATGCACATGTGGATATCTTTGTTTCTCTCATTTGAAAAGTCGTATCGCAGGACCAGCTCTGGCACTCGTGATATCATTTAAACTGACTAATTTGACAGGACCTCTAATAAAGCTATGCTTTCCCCACCAAAACTTGTTGATCGTGATTATGACCAAGACCGCCCACAGCAACAATCGCGTAGTTCATGTTGAGGTCGTTTACTGGGTATGCCGTTGGTAGGACGAATAAAACGCAGATGAAAACGCAGAACTACACAGATAATCAACGGCTATGCACGACAAACACCGAATGTACGTACTACGCACCGAGAAACTTGCGAAAGCCAATCACTTTCAGAAATAAGTTGTTCGGCCATTGCCGGCCAGTGGTACAAGTTGCCAACCACGAGGTGTCATGGATCAAATGATCAATGCATCTCCCAGGACAATCATCAACTCGAAAGCAAAGTACAGGTGACCTGATATCGGCTCTGGTACAGGCTATCGCGTATCAAGGTCTAAAATGTGTTTATTGGCATGATGGACTTAGAATGTCGACAGTTTTTTAATATTTCACTGGCGATTGCAGACACTTATCTTTGAGACTTTGACCGTCTCCCCGCATGAACCTGATTCTTACCTTGCCTCTACTGGAATCTACAGCATGACTCGCAGGGCTTCTAGTTGCGCTTTGCCTGATCTTTACGAGGCTTCAATTGCAGAACTTCAAGATGGCCTAATTGAAGGACACTTCAGTAGTGTTCAGCTTGTGAAGGTGAGTTGCTGCTTCAGCGCATATCTCATACAGCCCTTACTCGAGCGATCGCAGGCCTACCTGAGCAGAATTGAAGAAGTTAATTTGAAAGGCCCTGAATTACATGCAGTTATCGAGACCAATCCGATAGCCTTATCACAAGCTGCAGCTCTTGATAACGAACGGAAAGACAAAGGCGGCCGTGGGCCATTGCACGGAATACCGTTATTGTTGAAAGATAACATTGCTACGCTGCACGAAGAAGGTGAAATTTGCTGCGATATGTGTACATGCAATACCAATAAATTGATATCTGGATAAGGCATGAATACAACTGCAGGTACATTCTGTCCTACTAGCTGCTCTCTTGCACATCACAATTTCTGACTCTATCCTAGGTTCCTACGCACTGCTTGGTTCTGTTGTTCCTCGAGATGCATGTGTTGCAGCAAAATTACGCGAAGCTGGAGCTATATTCATAGGCAAAGCGAACCTCTCCGAGTGGTCTGGTATGAGGGGCAAGTGGGGTGAACTTAAAGGACAAGTTCCCAACGCCTTGTCGGAGCGTGGAGGACAAACTCTTTCCCCCTACTACCCAAATGCACATCCATCTGGTTCGAGTTCCGGAAGTGGCGTTGCGACGGCCGTTGGTCTAGCAGCGGGGTCCCTTGGTTCAGAAACCCATGGCTCTATTGTCTCTCCAAGTAGCAGGAACAATGTTGTTGGGATCAAGCCCACTATAGGGCTGGTATCTCGCTCAGGCGGTAAGGTTTCCTGCGATACTTAATGGTTCTCTATCTGATGATGAACACTAGTAATACCTATCTCATCCCATCAAGATACTGCTGGTCCGATGTGTCGCTCTGTCACTGATGCTGCCCTGTTGTTAAACTTCATCGCTGGGCCTGATCCTCGAGATGAAGTTACTTTACATCAGCCCGGACTAGTCCCAGACTATATGAGAGCGCTCGACAAGAACGCCCTTAAAGGCGCCCGTCTTGGGGTGCCTCGTTCCTTCATTCGCAATATCAAGACAATCGAGGAGACGTTCAACTTATCTCTTGACGTCTTCCGAGCTTTGGGTGCCGAAATTGTTGACCCCGCAGATTTCCCAGATACAGAAGAACTACTGAACTCGAAAGCGGAGAAGCGGGTACTGGACGTGGACTTCAAAGTCTGTCTTAACAGATACTTATCGGAACTTGTCGACGTTCCGACAGGCGTCAAGACTCTCGCTGCTCTGATAGAATTCAACGAGGGACGCGCGGAACTAAATCTTCCACCACCATTCTACAAAGACCAATCGCAGTACGTCAGCTCAAATCTTATCCCCGATGTGCTTTGACACAACATATCTAGATTCATCCAATCGGAAGCCGCACAAGTCGATGACGCCTACCTCGCAGCACTAGCTGAAGATTTCGATTTGGGACGCACAAGGGGAATTGACGCCACTTTGACCCAGTTCGATCTCGATGCCATAATTCTACCGACCGACGCACTGGCGTGGAAACCCGCAGCGATTGCAGGATATCCGTTGATTTCAGGCTAGTACTTCATACTGCGATATTAACGCTGCTTAATGCTATCCAATATTTAGTGCCCCTCGGCTTTCAGCCAGACGACACTGAAGTGCTGCCCGGTGCACCATCCTCACTTCACACGCAAGCCCCAGGACTTCCTTTTGGAATTGCTTTTATGGGAACTGCATATAGCGAGTTTAAGCTCATCGGTTATGCGTATGCGTTTGAGCAGGCTACCCACGCGAGACTTCAGCGAAGGGCCTTTGACGATGCGATTCCTAGAACCCAATTAACAGATGTCATACCCCAGTGAAGGTGGCTTTCATTGTACACTGTCATACACATCAAATAAGCGAGTTACTTTGCATGCATGTTTATTACCCGGAGTGTATGCGATCATCGCAATGACGGGCAAGGTCAACCAGCTGCCGAAGTCCATCGAGGAATCCCTCCATCAAGATTCGTGGCTATTTTGATGACCTTGCCTTAGCGAGACCAACTCGTCCCTAAGCAAGTATACCCCTCGATCTATCCTTGCAACACACGATGACCACATACGCCAGAAAAATGTTGGTATGAAGATCTTGCACATGTAGATGGCAATTTGTACAAAAAAACCATTCGAACTTTTGTTGGTATATGCTCGAATGTTAGATCGACATGCGGTGTTGATGGTGCTTTCTCGAGGACTAACAAAAGCAGCTAAGCACTGGTTCGAAATGCAATATGAAGTGAGTGCTTTCACTGATTTCCCATAATGATAGTCTCCCAGGGTATACTTGTGGCCGTGGACCAGAGATATCTATATATGTGGGACTCGGAAATTGGCCCTCGATATTAAATCTTGCTTTTGTATTGGCACTTATCTGGGATGAAGAGCTTTCAGCATCTCTCCGCTCTGCCAACTCTTGATTCCCTGGGCGCCACCAAAGCCATCGCCGAGGCAGCTTCTCCTATAGACGAGGCCAACAAGTGGTTCTATGCCTTTGTCGAGGCTGTTCGCACGAGCGATATAGCTTCAATTGTCGACCTCTTCCACGAAACCGGTTCCTGGAGAGATGTCGTTGCCCTTACTTGGAGTCTTCGCACACTAGGAGGCAAACATGATATCAAACGCCTTCTTGACGCACGACTCGAGGCGACTGGCCTCACATCTCTCCATTTGAGCGAGGGGTCACGTAAAACGCCTGTTCATGTCGCGCCACTGCCAGACCTGGCGTTTATTCGTTTTTGCTTCACCTTCGAGACACTTCATGGGAAAGGTAGCGGCATTTGCCATCTAATCCCCAGCGGCCCGAGCCCCGAAGTGACCTGGAAAGCACATGCTCTGTTAACACATCTTGATACGCTGAAAGTATTTCCGGTTCAGGTACCTATTCAAATGTATTGCCCCCTGTATGCATGCCTGTGGGTTGACATCCTTTCAAGGCTGGCATCTTCCGCAGTCACACGATTTTCAACGGAATTTGGGAAGAGAAACGAAGACGTGAGTTAGAGTTTCCCGACGGTGATCCGGAGGTGCTTGTCGTTGGAGCTGGCCAATGCGGCTTGCAAGTCGCTGCACATTTGAAGTACATGGGTGTGTCTACCTTGGTGATCGAACGTAACGCGCGGGTGGGAGACAGCGTATGTTTTTTTTTTTTTTCATTCTCGATATCATTTAACCTAATGCGTCCCTTTCAGTGGAGAACTCGATACAAATCATTGTTCCTGCACAATTCAATCCGTAAGTCCTTCGTTAGATTTGAGTCCATTTACGTTCACACTCGGGTACAGATTTTAATCAGACGTCTTATCTGAGGCAATATTCTGAGTCTTTCGCTAACTCATTCTTGCTGATTTTTAGCACAGATTCCCCTCCACTTGGCCATATTTCAGCCCTGCACCTAAAGTGAGTCTCTGAGCGAGCTTTATCAAACTTCACCCAAATTCCATTCTCAATTCAGCTTGGCGACTGGTTTGAAGCCTACGCTAATTTCTTGGACCTAAACGTCTGGACATCATCTAGTGTTGTGGAAACAGTCTGGGATGACACCGCAAAATATTGGAATGTGCTCATCGATCGTGGAGACATGCCACATCGCTTGAAGGTCAAGCACATTGTCCTTGCGCCTGGCCACGGTGGCAGCATCCCTCTATCCCCAGATTTTGGTGGCAAGGTAGCGATACTTTATTTCTATTGAAAAATTTTCCACTGCCGAACCAAACATCATGCAGAACTTCTATCGCGGTAGGGTGCTTCATTCGTCAGAATACAAGGCAGGCTCTGGCTATGTTGGCTCAAAGGTTGTTGTTGTAGGGGCATGCAACTCAGGTAGGATTTTGATGACATCGGAGACGCCGTATAAATAATAATTCCATATGATGACCCTGTTTTCAGCGCATGATATCGCGCTGGATCTATTTAACCATGGTGTCGACGTGACTATGTAAGATTTGGCGAAATTTCGGTATTTCCTCACCTTCACCGCAAGCAGTATACAAAGATCTTCCACATTTGTTATATCACATCAGGCCCTGGCAGCTGGACATGCAGGTAGCCAACTATTACATTCTCAACTAATCGCGATTATTCACTGCGAGATTAGTCACATACAATGACGACTTCCCGACCGAGCTTGCTGATCTTCTCGGGTCCGCATTGCCTTGGTCAACGCAAAAATTGATCACCCAACGCAATATTCTTCGGGTAGCCGGAGCAATCGATAGGTGAGTCATATTTCGTCCTTTGGAAGAAAGATCGCGTGCTTCCACGTAATGAAGGGATTTACTCGAGGGGCTCAAACGTGTTGGATTCCAGACGAACCTGGGCCCTGAGGGAGCCGGTCTCAGTGCCTTGGTTTATGAACGCGGGGGAGGTTTCTATATCAGTACGTTCTCGTGCACCTAAAGCGGCAGGAAAAATTTGAATATTTCCCCGCAGACACTGGTGCAAGTGATAGAATCATAGATGGTAGCATCAAGCTAAAGAGTGGCTGTTCGGTTGGGCACTTCACCACACATGGCCTAGCATTGGATGATGGGACGGAGCTACAAGCGGATGTAGTCATTTTTGCCACGGGGTATGTGCGCCGTTCTACCGCAGAGGCGGAGGTTCTTGAGCGTAATTTGCAGCTTTGGCAACCTGCATGATAGCGTGAGGTTGGTGTGTGGCGAGGAAGTTGCGCAAAAGGTCGGGCCCTTATTTGGGTTGGACAATGAAGGTGAAGTGCGTGGTGTCTGGAAGGATAGCGGACACGAGGGTCTTTGGATTGCGGCCGGTGCGCGACCTCATTAATAACAAATCGATCTAGGCATGCTAACGGACGCCAGGAAACCTATCACGAGCACGCATTCACAGCATGCACCTAGCCTTACGTGAGACACACTCTGAGCATTATATGATTTCTCGCTCACGATCTAACAGAGATTAAAGCGAGTTTGAGGGGCTTGTTCAGGCGCGAAGAACTCACATTTTAGGTTAAGTTCGTGGGATAATCATCGGGGGCAAGCGCAATTGGGGGGAGGGCAACACCTGGATCCCCCGAACCCTATGATACTTTCACATCCCAAGTTAACATTGCTCCACGTCGTGTGTTGCACCTGGCATCTGCTCGCGATTCATCGCGTCCATTCCGCAGTCAACCGTATTGGACACGAATTAGGTCGCGGACTAGTCTCGATGTTCTAATTTCCTATTTAGACACTACTACTAATTCTCATGACGGTTGCGGACTTGAAGGAGACTAGACGACGTCAGGGAACCAGGGATTCTCGTGACCTATAAACGTGTCGCGGCGGCAACATCCATGATAAGGGCTGATAAGACAGCGTACCTACGCACATAATGTGACAGAACGAGCCTTAACGTGTTCTTAAAATTCATTTCCTACAGGCGTACGCGCGCGTTGAGGTCATGGTGTCGATCGGAAAGGTGGGAGCGAACAAGATGCCGTGGGAATGAAAAAAAATTATATATATATATCCGAAATGAATTACGTCAAAAAAGTAAATTGCGAAATATTATTATAAGAAACCCAAGTGTGCGATTTCCATGTTGGATATCAATTTGAGCTGTGCTCGTTCCTGTTAGCCAGCCAGTGCCTCGTCCAGGTCGCCCATTTCTTCTCTTTAAACTTCGTGGTCTCAATTTCCGTTCTTCTCCTTTAACAAACTAGGGTCTACTCCCTCGACTTCGTCATGAGCGTCCTTGTACCCACCAAGTTTCCCAGCGTTGCTGCTGTCATGCTTGCCTGTGTTGCATCTCTGTTTTGCCTGCTTCTTGCACGCATATTGTACAGCTTTATGCGCTTCTGGTCTTGTTCTTCTTTATCAACAGCGTCTGACCAGAAGACGCCTGCTTGGTCGTCTTTGTTGTCGCTGCCCAACTTGTGGAGTCGGTCTTTGCAGCATGCTCTCCCAGCATCACTACCCTTTTCATTCACCATCCCGGAGAAACCCTCACCTGAGGTTGGTACAGGAGCCGGTGTAGGACTTTCACCTCAACGTCTCGAATCTCTCCCCGGTAACTGGCGGTTGTGTCGACGGCCATTCCAGCCATCACGTGAGCCAAGAATTTCCATCGATTTCTGTGTTGCAATGCTAACTTCTTACATTTTAGCACCGGCCGTGTACCAAAATCCCGCGCCTCTCTCCATGGCAAAGCTCATCATGTCACGCCACGTATGTAGTGCTTCATCGCCTCTTAGTTACGATCACTGACGCCTTGTGCACCACTCACAGACATTTCGCCGCCCAAATCCAAACCGTCCACGAAGATCTTCTACTGCATCCTCATCCCGTCCCCCACAGCCGACCTCTCAGCTGTTCCACTCCATAGCATAAACACCAATAATATTTCATTCCCGCGCCAAAATAACACCGCATTTCAGGGTGTGTGGATGGGCTACCCTGGCCGGATATAGCTTATACCTCACCCACGCTAATGACGAACAAATCACAACGGACTGGTCACTCATAGTCCACTGACATGAGCCCTGATGATATACCACGGAATCTTTGTGATTATTTATGATTGGACTTACGTAGCCCTCAAGGCAAAGAAGACGAAGACAGGGGGACGAAGGACTGACAAACGGCTTTTCGCTTCTATGTACACACTGGACGTGCTTTCGAACTTTTACTTTGCTTATATTTTTTTATACACTTTCGATCCTTTTACCTTTTACTATCATTTAGTCCTTGTTCCATGAACATACTGTTGACATCCATAGACGGCCCGCCGTTTGTCGAGGACTCGTAGCTCACATGCACATGCACATGCAAAACACAATCACATCTTCGCGTTTTCCGAGCCACGTTGAAGTGATGGTATCAGATGTCCTACGCCTTGAAATTTGAAAGCTTTTTTTTTACCTTCTGGTTCGTTGGCCTACCCTGGATCTGGGCAGATGATTGATACGCGCGCTCAAACGGCTCAACCGTCTACCGCCAATGTCGAATTCCTTGCACAGGCCGCACCAAGATCAATGTTGACCCGAGGACCAAGGTTCACGCAAGCCGGATCATGCTGAATGCATCGAATGTGTCGACCGTGTCTATCATGATGGTACAACGAAGGACCGTTGAAAGACCGACTATTTTCCTTCGTCTATAGAGGAAGTGACCGTGATGGCAACTCTAGCCTCCCAATGCCCTTTCTTATAAGACTTCTGGCCTCGGCACTGGGCGCCTCACCGAATCTCGGACTCGTGACTATACGATTCTTATCTCTAGTCCCACGTCCAGGGCCCGTCACGGTATAGTGAGAGACTCAGAAGTGGTTTATCAATGGACAACAGTAGGAACTGTGTGTTTGACCCCAACCCATTCATTACCTCTCTGGATCTCAAGTTGGCGCCTACCGTACACGATGCCTGGAGACATGCCCAATCGCGATGTGTTCTCGGAGAATGTGTTCCCTGATTTATACGAATCCGGAATTTCCGACCTTCAGAAGGGGCTTGAGAAGGGGCATTTTACGAGCGTTGATCTCGTCAAGGTTCTTATTAAACAAATAATAGTTTATTTCATAACGATTCACGCAACTACAGGCTTATCTTGCAAGGATTGATGAGGTCAATCTGAAGGGCGCAGCTCTCCATGCGGTTATCGAGACGAACCCGAGTGCGTTATCTCAGGCCGCAGAACTTGATGCCGAGCGCAAGTCCAAAGGGGGCAGAGGCCCACTGCACGGCATACCTTTGCTACTGAAAGACAACATCGCTACGCTGCATGAAGAAGGTACATAATTGTCAATGATGCGCGTTCATTATGCTGATCCTCCTGTAGGGATGAATACTACCGCTGGTACGATATCCAAGAATGTCTAGTTCTGGGTTAAATATTTGGCGAGATTAGGCTCCTATGCTCTCCTGGGTTCCGTCGTCCCCGGGGATGCATTCGTCGCAGCTAGGCTCCGCGAAGCCGGCGCCATCCTTCTTGGCAAGGCGAATCTCTCTGAATGGGCAAACTATCGTGGTAAGGTTCCAAACGGCTTCTCAGGTCGCGGAGGCCAGACTCTTTGCCCCTATTACCCGAATGGTGATGCATCTGGGTCGAGCTCTGGGAGTGGGGTTGCAATGGCCATCGGACTCGCTGCAGGTTCTCTGGGTTCAGAAACGGATGGTTCTATTGTTTCGCCAAGCAGCAAAAACAATGTGGTGGGCATTAAGCCCACTGTAGGGTTGGTTTCTCGAGCTGGAGGTATTTACTTTTCCAATCCTATCTTGACATTTGATTGAGTCTCTTTAGTGATACCTATTTCATCACATCAAGATACAACTGGGCCTATGTGTCGGTCAGTTACAGATGCAGCGCTTCTCCTCTCCGTTATTGCAGGACCAGATCCTCGAGACGAAGCCACGTTGCACCAACCTGGTATTCTCCCTGACTACATGAAAGCGCTTGATCCAAACGCTCTGAAAGGCAAGCGGCTGGGAGTGCCGCGGATGTTCTTCCGCGACGGTGAAGCGATTCTGGAAGCCTTCAACGCTTCGTTAGACACCTTCCGGGCGCTCGGCGCAGAGATCGTAGATCCAGCTGATTTCCCATGTGCCGAGGAGATGAAGGAGTCGCAAGCAGAAACGCTCGTGCTGATGGCAGACTTCAAGGTTGATGTGACGAAGTATATTTCGGGGTTACTCAAGGTCCCCACTGGCGTAAAGAACCTCGCGGATTTGATCGAGTTCAACAAGACCCATGCGGATTTAGAACTTATACCACCATACCACGACAATCAGTCTAGGTGGGTTTTACGTATAAGTGGTGCTATGGAGTTGCTTACTTTCGTGCAAGGTTTATCCAGGCTGAAGCATCGGAACAGAATGATGCATATTATGCAGCTCTAGCTGAAAATTTCGATTTAGGCCGGAGACGAGGTGTTGATGCAACTCTTCAGAAATTCAAATTGGATGCAATCATTCTTCCTACTGATGGTACGTACGATGATATGCTTGCGTCAATTTCGGAATCTCAAATTTCCTCAGGCCTAGCCTCAAAACCTGCCGCAATTTCCGGGTACCCTATAATCTCAGGTGCGAATACCGATATTCATGACAGTTCGTTTGACTAAGTCAGACCCTTAGTTCCGCTGGGCTTCCAGCCAGATTCCGTTGAGGTATTGCCATTACCCGCTGCGCCACTGCACACACAAGCTCCAGGGCTTCCTTTTGGGATAGCCTTTATAGGCACCGCATACAGCGAATTCAATCTCATTAGCTTCGCTTATGCGTTTGAGCAGGCTACGCATGTCCGTTTGAAGAGGAGGGCCTACGCTGAAGCAATTCCTACGACGCAGATCAAGGACGTGCTTTCGACTTGAACGGAGATGTAGAAGACTGGCGCGTACAACAGTACTACGTACAATCCTTTTCTCAAGATAGTTTCATCGTGATATAGTGACAGGTCTTGGATATGTATGCATGTCGAATGAACGCAGGGCATCACATCCGAGTCAGCGGCAGAACAAACCTAAAAGTAAGCGTAAACATCATGCATCACAGGATACATCAAGCCGAGGAGAAGCCTGAAATTAGCCATCCGAGTCCCGTGCCAATTTGTATTGTACATGGGGAGATGCTTTGACGGGGCCCGTAAAGCAATCACCTGATCAGTGATCGAAACTTACGGATGCCTTGCGATCGAGGATTCAAATACTAGTACTAGTACTCATCTTTGGCTTCCAGAATCTAGATCACTTCATGCTGAAGTATCACTGGAGACCAGGGGCGTCCCCCGAACTGTGCTACTATGTAGCCATGCAGGCCATAATGGATAATTGAGCAGGCTCGTTCGGTTATCCGTCCATGCCGCCGATCTAGTCTAGCACTAATTTAGATTTGTCTGGGTTGTGGTGTGACATGACGCGACACCTCGACGGTCACACGTCACAGTTGCTGTACTGGCGCGTACAACTATGCGCAAATCCTTTTCTGAGCATACATCATGGTAGAGTGCTAGGTCTTGGATATGCGTGCAATCGAATGAACTCAGGCCATTCATTCCCCACATTCGTAGTGGAACAAAAATGGGCGTGAAGCATCATTCATCATACGATTCACCAAGACCGCGTTGGCGAAAACGGAAGGTATAGAGGGCAATTGCGAGGTTTGAATAGACTAAATCGCTATCATGCTTGTCTTGAAGAACGATGAGGTATGTGCTGTCTTAGAAACTTTTCTAAACAGCACTTACCAGTATAAAAGGGATAAATATAATATCGGTAACCTGATGCCAGAGCATTTATGCATTGCAGCCCTACGTCTGCCCAACTTCTCCGATGCATCGCCCGAAAGCAATGTACAGGTCAGCTGATATCGACTCTGTGATCACCAGGCTCGCACAATCAATGGTTTAAAAATATGGCTTATCAGAATTATGAACTGCGAGCTGGTGACCTCAGACGGACGAGTTCGCGTCCACGAAAGGGTTTCAGCTCCCACTAGTATCGCGGACCCTTATCTTTGATCGTCTTCCCGCTATGAACCTAGGCCCAACTGTTATCTTCCTTCTCTAACTACCGATATCTGCAACATGAGTTCCAATTCTTCCAGTACTTTACCTGATCTTTATGAGGCATCAATCGCAGAACTCCAAGATGGTCTAGTCAATGGACTGTTCAGTAGCGTTCAGCTTGTCAAAGTAAGTTGCTACTTCAGCACATACCTGATGCAAGCCTGACTACCGAGTGATCGCAGGCCTACCTTGACAGAATCGAAGAAGTTAACTTCAAAGGTCCTGCACTGCATGCAGTCATAGAGACCAATCCGAAAGCCTTGACCCAAGCTGCCACCCTTGACGATGAACGGAAAGAAAAAGGCAGCCGTGGGCCATTGCACGGAATACCATTATTGTTGAAAGACAACATTGCTACGTTGTACGAAGAAGGTGAGATCCTCCGCATTACATACATGCAACACCAGTTAATATCCCGATCAGGAATGAATACTACTGCAGGTACATCCTGTGCTACTGGCTGTCATCTAGTAAATCCCAAATATTTTGCTCGTGCTAGGTTCATACGCACTGTTGGGTTCTGTCGTTCCTCGAGACGCATTTGTTGCAGCAAAGTTACGTGAAGCTGGTGCTATATTTATAGGCAAAACGAATCTATCTGAATGGGCTGGTGCGAGGTCTATTCCACTTCCTCGCGGATTCTCGGGGCGTGGGGGGCAGACTCTTTGTCCGTACTATCCAAACACCGATCCATTTGCTTCGAGCTCCGGAAGTGGCGTTGCGACGGCTATTGGTCTGGCAGCCGGGTCCCTTGGCACAGAAACTCGTGCCTCTATCGTAGCCCCAAGTAGCAGGAATAATATTGTGGGCATCAAGCCTACTGTCGGGCTGGTATCTCGCTCAGGCGGTAAGACTTCCAGAGATAGTTATCAGTCGCCCTTCTGATGATGACGAATGCTAGTGGTACCTTACTCATCTAACCAAGATACTCCTGGCCCGATGTGTCGCTCTGTCACTGACGCCGCCCTGTTGTTGACTTTCATCGCTGGTCCTGATCCTCGGGACGAAGCCACCTTGCATCAGCCTGGAATAGTCCCAGACTACATGAAAGCGCTTGACAAAAACGCCCTCAAGGGCACTCGTCTTGGAGTGCCTCGTGCCTTCATCCGCAATATGAAGGCAATCGAGGAGACATTCAACTCCTCTCTTGACATATTTCGAGCTTTAGGCGCGGAGATAGTCGACCCTGCAGATTTTCCGAATGGAGAGGAACTATTGGCGTCACAAGCGGAGAAGCTGGTGATGGCTGTCGACTTCAAAGTTGGTATCAGCAAGTACCTATCAGAATTGGTCGAAGTCCCCACAGGCGTCAAGACTCTCGCCGATCTCATAGAATTCAACAATATCAATCCGGACCTAGAACTTCCAGCGCCGTTTTACACAGATCAGTCTCGGTATGTCAGCTCTAATCATATGCAATGTGCTCTCACAGAAGACATGCAGATTTACGGACGCGGAAGATAAACAGGTTGATGACGCCTACTTTGCAGCACTAGCGCAAAATTTCAACCTGGGACGCACGAAGGGAATTGACGCCACCCTGGCCAAGTTCAATCTTGATGCCATAATTCTACCGACCGATGTACTGGAGCCCAAACCCACAGCAATTGCAGGATATCCTTTGATTTCAGGTGAGCACTTCGTGCAGCGATGCTAACTCCACTTATACCATCCGGCGTTTAGTGCCCCTCGGCTTTCAGCCAGATGGCGTTGAATTACTGCCTGCGACGCCATCTCCACTTCATAGTCAAGCCCCGGGAGTTCCTTTTGGAATCGCTTTCATGGGAACTGCGTACAGCGAGTTCAAGCTCATCAGCTATGCCTATGCATTTGAGCAGGCTACGCACGCGAGACTTCAGAGAAGGGCGTATAACGATGCGATTCCGAGAGCGCAGCTAACAAGTGTTATGTGAACGTGAAATGAAGGGAGATTAATTTTGTAATTATACACGAGGAAGGAGCGAATTACTTTGTGTGTATGTATAACCTGACTCGAGTGAACTGTTTTTCGCGGTAGATATCCTAGCCACTGGCAGGTGTAAGTGCGGATGTTAGGATGATAGCCAACACATGCACACCCTGGCCAAGCAAGCCAAGTGAGTTACGGGCCGTAGGCTACTCAGCGGACGCTGCCAAAGATATCAACATTTCCTGGATTTTGCCAAGCCTTACCAGATTTGGGCAATGCTGATCGTGTCCCAATTGAGTACTAGGTCCTTCGAGTCAAAGTTTGTCCTTCAACAAGCATGCAACGAGGTGTGCTGTCTCCGAATGTTTCAATGCTGACCAGAACTGATGGAGTCGGGGCAGTAACTCAAATGTACTCCCGTTCGTTTCTGCCACCCACCTTGTATCGGCCATCGCCAGTCACAAGTTGCCCACCACGTGTGCTACTAAATGATCAATGCATTACCCCAACATTACCCAGGGTTGACTTCGAAAACAAAGTACAGGTGAACTGATATCGATTCTATGGCACAGGCTAGCAGATATTAATATCTAAAAATATGTTTATCGGCGTGGTCACTGGTGATCTTAGAATTCGCATGTACGACAGGATTTAGGTTCCACTGGTGATACAGAACTCTTATCTTTGAGACCTTGACCGTCTCCCCGCAACAGAAAACATGGACCTGATTCTTACCTTGCCTCTACTTGTCGCGGCCCGGATTTACAACATGACTCGCAAGGCTTTCAGTCGCTCCGACTCTTTGCCTGATCTTTACGAGGCTTCAATCGCGGAACTCCAACATGGCCTGGTCGAAGGACACTTCAATAGTGTTCAGCTTGTGAAGGTAAGTTTCTACTTCAGCACGTATCTCATACAGCCCTTAATCGAGCGATTGCAGGCCTACCTGAGCAGAATTGAAGAAGTTAATTTGAAAGGCCCTGCATTACATGCAATCATCGAGACCAATCCAAAAGTCTTATCGCAAGCTGCTGCCCTTGACGAGGAACGTAAATTAAAAGGCAGCCGTGGGCCGTTGCACGGGATACCTTTGCTGTTGAAAGATAACATTGCTACGCTGCATGAGGAAGGTGAGATTCGCGGCGTTCAATGAATATAAGACCAGTAAATTGAGCTCGAGTTAGGGATGGATACGACTGCAGGTATAGACATGCTGAGCTACTGCTGGCCGTCTTGCACATCGTAATTCTTACTCTATCCTAGGTTCCTACGCCCTGCTGGGTTCTGTTGTTCCTCGAGACTCGTTTGCTGCAGCGAAATTACGTGAAGCCGGAGCTATATTCATAGGCAAAGCGAACCTCTCCGAGTGGGCTGGTATGAGGGGAAAGGTTCCCTGTGGATTCTCGGGGCGTGGAGGGCAAACCCTTTGTCCCTACTACCCGAATACCAATCCACTTGGTTCGAGCTCCGGAAGTGGCGTTGCGATGGCTGTTGGTCTAGCAGCCGGGTCTCTTGGCTCAGAAACCAATGGCTCTATTGTTTCCCCGAGCAGCAGGAACAATATCGTGGGCATCAAACCAACTATTGGGCTGGTATCTCGTTCAGGCGGTAAAGTTTCTAGCGATGAACAATAATTGTCTCTCTGATGACGAACGTCAGTGGTACCCATCTCTTCCCATCAAGATACTGCTGGCCCGATGTGTCGCTCTGTCACTGATGCTGCCTTGTTGTTAAACTTCATTGCTGGACCCGATCCTCGAGATGACGCTACTTTGCATCAGCCCGCAATAATCCCAGACTACATGAAAGCGCTTGACAAAAATGCCCTCAAAGGCGCTCGTCTTGGAGTGCCTAGGTCCTTCATCCGCGATGTCAAGACACTTGAAGATACATTCAATTCATCTCTTGACATTTTACGGGCCCTGGGTGCGGAAATCGTTGACCCTGCAAATTTCCCAGCCACAGAAGAACTATTAACGTCGAAAGCGGAGGAACTGGTGTCGAGTGTGGATTTCAAAATTGGTGTCAACAAGTACATCTCTGAATTGGTCGAAGTCCCCACAGGCGTGAAGGCACTTGCTGATCTGATAGAATTCAACAAGACTCATGCGGATCAGGAGCTTCCAGCGCCATTTTATACAGATCAATCCCAGTATGTCAGCTCGCATGTTTGATTCATTTTAACAGGAGAAATACAGATTCATCGAATCGGAAGCTACACAGGTTGATGACGCCTACTTCGCAGCACTAGCGGAGGATTTCGACTTGGGGCGCACGAGAGGAATTGACGCCGCCCTAACCCAGTTCAATCTCGATGCCATAATTTTACCGACCGATGCCATGGCGTCCCAACCCGCGGCAATTGCAGGATATCCGTTGATTTCAGGTGAGTACTTCGTGTAGCGATGCTAGCGCCACTTATACCATCCGGCGTTTAGTGCCCCTCGGCTTTCAGCCAGATGACGTCGAAGTACTGCCTGCGGTGCCATCTCCACTTCATACTCAAGCCCCGGGTGTTCCTTTTGGAATCGCTTTTATGGGCACTGCGTATAGCGAATTCAAGCTCATCGGCTATGCCTATGCGTTTGAGCAAGCTACCCACGTTAGGCTTCAGAGAAGGGCATATGACGATGCGATTCCTAAGACCCAGTTAACAGATATTATGCTTTAGTGAGAGTGGTTTGTGGGTTACGCACAGGGAATAAGCCAGTATGCACATATGATATATTGCCTCGAATCGATTGTTTTTTGGTAATGCAAGCAACTCGTATAAGGGATGAATACGACTACAGGTACGTCCTGGGCCCGCGGCTCTCTAGCTGATCCCAGGTTCCTAGTAGGCTCCGAAATTAGCCTTGACACGGCCAAGTACTGTTATTCGCCAGTGAAAGTTACATGCTCAAGCGCTCATTCCTTCGCAAGGCCATGCATGTAACTAGCATAAGTCAAGCTGTTTACGCGTCAATTTCATTCGACCAAAGCTTGATGACTCATCAAGGCTATTTTTACTTCCGCCATGGCAGACAAGTGTCCAGTCGACCACGGCAGTCATTCTTCATACCAGCCCTGTCCTGTCGACCACAAATCTCGTACAACATGGTCCTCTATCTTGCCAGGGAGCAGCTCTTCACACCCAGTCAACGCATCTTCGCTCTCGACTGAACGGGAGGTCTCTTCGATACCCCGAACAGACAATGGTAATTGGGTATACCCGTCAGAGGCCCAGTTTTTTGCTGCCATGGTGCGCAAAAATCATAATCCCCATGCTCCAGATATGAAGACTATCATTCCTATTCATAACGCTGTAAATGAACGCGCTTGGTCGGAGCTAATGAAATGGGAATCCGGGAAAGGTGGTGAAAAGTGCGGAGGAGTAAAGCTTGTAAACTTCAAGGGCAGACCTAATGACCTGACCCCAAAAGCTCGACTCATGACCTTGCTCGGGTATGTGATTCAGCCACAGTTCACGCAAAGCACGCTGATTTTCGTTTTGTAGGTACTCTGCTCCCTTCGATCGTCACGACTGGGTGGTCGAACGATGCGGAACCCGAATTAGATATGTGATCGACTTCTATACTGGACGGGGCGGAGGACCGTCATCGTCAAATAATGTCTCTTTCTATCTCGATGTTCGGCCTGCCTTAGACAACTGGGAAGGAGTGAAAATGAGAGCTGAGAACATTTGGCAGGACTGGTTTGGAAGTGTTCACAGTAGCAGCACCCCATCTCAGTCATGAGTATTATCCATAGACGCATACTTGATCCCCTACTTGCATGGTTTTACTAATTGTGAATACATATAGGATTTATACCTATGGTATGTGGAACGGCGGGGTTGATCACGACCATTGTCAGTCATCATATATCGATCCAGCTTCCTCTTGACGAAGTACCAAGCCGAATCTAAATCATGCCCAACTTGTCTTTGGTATGTAGTCTAATCCTATCATGTTGGCGGGGGGATACTTACTAGGATGTTCATCGCAGTGCCCCGAACTTATATAGGGTTGATTTCTGAACACGTGACTAACGCGTCGCGATCGACTTTGTTGACAGTGCGTCGGCGTACAAATAAGGTTCAAACTGGGAGTATAAGTACTGCGTGTTTGTCGCTGCAATAGCCCTCAGTCAGTCCCGCCATTACCGTCATCAGCATATCTTCACGACCCCTCCATTTACTCGCCATTATGATCTCTACTTCTACCATGACCCGCGCCGCGCGCGTTGTTATGCAAGGCTATCTTACAGCCTCGTTTTTCAAAGAAATCGTCATCGACCACACTTTTCAGGTCGTGTCCGAATCAGAGGAGGTCTCCGTCAGCCTTGTTACATTCACCGTCTGCTTCTCGACAGGCGTCCTTCTTCAAGCCTCTGCCAAAGCTGCTCGACAATTCCTCAGCGATGATTTTCAACGCGTCCCCGCTCCCAAGGACTATACCGCTGGGTTCAACGCACCTTTTGCTGGAGGCAACATTTCGGACGCTATCTCAACAACCAAGGCTTTCGGAACACCAGCTCGGCCATCCTCTTCGCGTGCAGTGATTGAATCAACCGAACCCACCTTTGAGGCTCCCACCAAAGGCTTATCGACGGCTGATTCTGACACGACGCTCATAGCCCATGATGAGGAGTTAGCTGTCTCAGACGTCGAGTCGCTTGCTGACGAAAGCACTTTCTACGAGGTAGGAAGCAGCGTGATTTTTCTGACTTCCGTCTACTAATGCTTAGGTCTATAGGACGACTGCCAGGCTACAGCACGCTGCCTCGCAGACGATGAACCGGACCACACCTTGCACGTCGGATACGACCCACAATCTATCGACAATCTAATCAGAAGATTTTCAGCTATTTCTCTCGACGATATACCCGCCCATTTATCAGCGATTTCTCTCGACAATGTATCTCCTCATTTATCATCCACCTCTCTCGACGATGTATCTTCTCATTTATCTACTCTTTCCCTCGACAATGTACCCACGAACTTATCAGTCAATTCTCTCGACAATGTATCCTCCAATTTATCCATTTCTTCTCTCGACGATGTACCGTCTCATTTATCAACTCTTTCCCCGGACGATGTGTCCTATCATTTATCCATTTCTTCTCTCGACGACGTGTCTCCTCTCCTCGACAATGTATCTCCTTCTCTCGACAATGTACCTTCTCAAATTTCTCTCGATAATGTACCCTCCCAACTTTCAACTATTGGACGACATCACACTCTACAAGACCACACTATCGACATCCTACCTGATTCATCTCAGCCTCCGAAGCTTCGGCCAACCATACCTGTAATTCTTCCTCTCGACGGTTCCCCTCAGTCATCGATTTGTCAGCCCCAACGCACTCTAGTACACGACCACTCTATCGACAATCTAATCAGAAAAATAGCAGCTCTTTCCCTTGATGAGGTCCCTTCTCAATTATCGACACTTCGCCCGCATCACGCTCTACACGACCACACTATCGACGCTCTACCCAATAACACAAAAGCTCTTGCCCTCGACGACAACCACGCTATCGACGCTGTACTGCCAACATCAGAAGCTCTTACTCTCGACAACGACCACACTATCGACAACACAGAAGTTCTTGCTCTCGACGACCACCACGCTTTTGACGCTCTACTGCAAAAATCAGAAGCTCTTCCTCTCGACGACAATCACGCTATCGACAACACAGAAGCTCTTACTCTCGACAACAATCACGCTTTCGACGCTCTATTGCAAAGCCCAGACGCTCTCACTACCCTACACGACGACACTATCTACGATTTACTTCAAAAGATGGAAGCGCTTACTCTCGACGAAAACCCCCATTATACTCTCAGTCCTCGACACTTACTCCGCTATGCATCTCACACGACGATAGCCGTTCTTGATCCTCGGAATTTCAACTACGAATCACCATACACGACGATGCTATCAACGCCATACTTCGACATGTGGAACCTCTTATTCTCCACGATAGTCCCTCGCAATCGTCAAAACTTCAACTACTAACACATTATCGACATCCTACTAGCCGCTAAACTCCACGCGACGTCCACGAATGGTGAGTAGCCCACCCATATATTCTCGCCTTCATTACTGATGTTTCGTTGTTAGAGTCCCCTACGACCAAACGTGTCAGACATCGTCGCATCCAACACGTCTTCGGTATCAGAGGTCCCCTACGACCAATCCGATGACGCCTGCTAATGGCCTCCCTCACCGTCCCCTACGACATGGAGTCATTATCCATGAGGTCGAAGGCCCCACATTCTACACACCCAACCTATCGCAAGTCTTCGATGAGTCAAAGGTCCCCTACGACCGAATCTCGACGACTCGCCAAACGACAAAGCGGCCTCCTTCACTGTCTACTGCGACCTGGAAGTCGAAGGCCACCGCCACTGTCTCAAAATCCCGCATATAGTCCGCCTAGTTGACCAACCTTGGTCCCTTCGGATTTCCTTCACTATCCATCAATTACCCATACTACACATTTCTTTTGATTTGTTTTCTCCTTCATTGGTACGATCATGGACTGTACATTTAGTTTATTTACGGACGCATTTCTGCGATTTATGTTTATTTCATTGATATGTTTAATTACCCTTCATTCATTTTCGTTTATTGAGCCTGTACGCATAGTGAATACAATCTTCTTGCATATCCTCTAAAAGCAAGACGCTCTTCAAGTTGAGGCTCAGAACATTTAACCATTACCAAGGCAGTAGCTATTGTATCGCCAGATTGCTCTGCTGCGAGCGGGAGGGGTGATTGCCCTGATTCTTCTAGGAAATGCCGCTCTCCAAGCTTACATTGTATTCTCCCACTCGTAATTTTTAAGCGTGAATATTACATCCGACATGACGAGAAACCTGTTTCACAGTCCACCGTTTCCCTCGTATTCGAACATTCTTGTGCCAACAACACTAGCGTACGCACTGTTTGGTTCTGTAGTTCCTCAAGACGCGCTTGTCGCAGGGCCAAGTGAGACAAGTGGGCTACCAATGTATAGGTTCGGGATGTGATGGGGAAGCTACGTGTGAAATAACGATTCGATATTGGAAGAAACACATGTAACAAAGATAACGTCCTACATATCGTTCAGCCGATCGTCCATAATCGATCATCATTGGAAGAGTCCGCAGTAGTTAAACTGACAACAACAGCACATGACACAAATCGTCGTTCACCCGTAGATCAACCAATAAAATGAAGCAAGAATTTCCGCTTTCCAATGGGAGACACGGGTATGTGAAGCCCCGTTGCGTCGTCACGCAGTAATAATGGCGCAAATACAGCCGCTACAGTCCTCATTCAGTAGATACCCCAATAAACTCTGCATAATGAATAATGGACGCACCCAACCTTTCTGCCATGTCCGCTTGATCCGTTGATGATTGTGATGGCAGTTTTTGCAGGGACATATAATGGAGGAATGCAGTAAGCGAGATCCATACCTAGGAAGAGTTAACAAAAGGCGTGTGCACCATGAGTGGGATCTTACATTAACTGATTCAGGAGGAAATTCGTCCAGTAGCTAGGACATGCATCAATACCACCCAGGATACTCGATTTTTGTTGACCCACCTCGAATGCTTCGTCTCTGCTTGTCATTTGCAGACACCGCGCATGAAGGTATGGGGGGACCACAGGATCTACCAACGAGTCTAACAACTGCACTAGTGTAGAAGTAATAGCAGTCGCAAGTGGACCGTGTTCCTCTCCAGACTTGAGGGATGGAAATTGATCTCCTGTGTCAAGACACTACGAACAATTATTAACGCATGCATAGATGCCGAAGATAACTTGTAAACACCTCTCTAATGTTCATGCATATGCTCTCTTCAGGAGGACCGTTGAATAAATTCTAAGCGGCGTTAGGACATGCCGTCAGAATATTCATGGCACGAACCAGATCAGTGACATGGGTCATCAACCAATTGATCAACTGCATGATCTCCCTCGGGGCGTTCACTGACTGCCGTTCAGATACCCGATCGTTTGGAGACATCACAGTTCGCGCGGGACCGGGAAGTCGTGTAAGTCTGGAAAGCTTGTTTGCGAAGCAAGTATATTCTGTATCCGTCATCTCCAGTCAATTATCTCAAGGTGAATAAGAACGGACGTACGATATTCACCAGCGACCGAGATGAAATGATCTTTTCCGAGAGCAGTGTGCAGTATGAGGGTAAAATCCAACCGGGGCGGTGCGAGATTCAGCCGTGACCCAGACGAGTTGTCGACAAACACTGTGACAGTGGTGGTCAATGATTCACCCGGACGAAGTAGGCCCTGCAAAGAAAGAAGTTTGCAGGTTAGCCCCAGCGTGATGGCACGAGGTGCTTCGCACCGCCACAGGATTAATCTTAAGCCATTGTGGACCTTCAATTCAAGACATCGGTTGGGAATATAAAAGCTAACGTATCGCTTACAAATTGGCTGTTCAGCATCTGCAGCAACAAATCGGTAAACACAGGGGATCTGGAAATCCTAATTAGCAATGGCTGTGCAATTTACTGATTCAACTTGCCTGTCCATCATTCTGAATGGATAGCGTTTGCCGGACTAGACGCCTGTAGCTTTGACCCAAACTTCAGTCAATACCAAACAGGAGGCGCAAGGACCTACTAGACTTTTCCGAAGTCCAATGCCATTGGCTGTAGCTTAATTTTCGGTGTCTTTGAGGATTGTTCCACGCCCCATAACTCCCGGTACAGCTTAGAGGCGGCGATCTCACGTCTCTCCTTGTCAATAGTTGATACCTGACAAACTTTGAGTGGATCAACGTGGCATTGTGAAACAAACAAAACACACATTTAACTCAAAATCAGCTGACACTGGACGATGATCACTCATCGTTATTTGAGGGTGGCTGCGATATGAACGTTGGGTGACTGGAACATTGGGAGCTGACATATGTAAAATGCGGTCCGTCCATGCGGGTTTGCGCCTAGCAGGATGAGACAATGGTTCTAATAGTAAATTAAGTTGCAAACACCACTCACTTTCGGTCATATCCCAGGGAATCTTGCGGCGTATTTGACGCATATCTGTACGAACTGCCACACCCACCGATTCAGTGTAGATCATTATTCGAGAGGAAACTACGCACGGCATATGTGTAATTGCATGCTCCGAAAACCCATTAAATGCTTTCCCGCTTGCGATAGCCATCTTCAACTAAGTATTCAAACAGTCAGCACAATAGTCACTTATGCCAGTCATCGACTGACCTGATCATACTTTAGCAAAAGTGGAATGTTGCCCGTGCCTGGAGAAGGTGATAACAATTCTCTGACGTCCCCGTCAGCAAGATCGATCCTGTAATTCAAATCTTTGACGACAGAATTGGTCATTCGTCTCGTCGAGTGATAATCAACCAACCTCCCTAAAATTCCAAAAGGGTGAGTAAAGTAATCGAGAAGCAAGTTGCAGCGCACCATCCAGAATAATACGTCACTTTCAAATAACCCAGCAACCTTTCTCGGAGTCTCCAGTGCTGTATTCGCATCAGAATCAAGTCCGTCAGTCTGATCAAAGACTAGGCGCTTGGAAAGCTCGTGGAAGTCGAAGTTTCGCCTCTCGACCATTTCGTCAAATGCTGCGAGATGTGCGTTGACGAAAGTGAGCACTATGGGACTCGGCGAGAATTCTTGAGCGAAAGGTGTGTATGACATCCGTATCGCTGTTGCACCTTTATTGCCCTGCAGGATAGATGTTGATAGATACCCCGAAAAGCATGTTCAGGACTGTACCATAATACCCATGATTCCTGCACCAGCGGCGCTAAATCTGATGTCGCCAAAACATGACAGACACGACTTCTTTGCAATTGCGACGATCAACATGCCGACCAGTTGTTTGGAGGCGAGCTGACAAACATTACACATCGTATCGCAATAGATAAATGAGTGAAACGCGATACCTTCTCATAGAGAATGCCTCTCTCACCCAACCCAGCAAATATGGCTTCCACCCATGTATCTTCCTTGACGGTACTGGTGCCATATAAGAGGGCTTCGGTTGAAAGGTCTAGTTCTTGGAAACCTAGTACAAAGAGATCTGGATCAGAGGCCAATGCTTCGTTGTTCAAGCTTTCATGAGCCAATCTGACAGAAGAAGCTCCTAGGCTGCTGGCCACCTCTAAATCAAGGTGTGAGGAGTGTCATCAATGACAAATTGACATGGCGACCAAACGCCACTGACGTTCATCAATCGGGTCTGAAAGCATGTTGAGCGGCGAAATTGATTTCAAAGGTGAGATCCATCCAGATATCTCTGAATTGCGCTTCGTCGGTCTGAGCCAGGGAGAGAGGTCCTGAGACGGCGTCTTTCCATTGATATTGAATGTCCCTGTGCGGATGCTGTTCATGAGTAAAGTTGCCCATTAAAGTATTTCAAGAGTAATATTAGCAAGCATACAGCAGGCGTGCCGACGACCCAGTGGAAGCCTCTTCGATAGCTTTGTTATAGATCCAATGTTCGCGGACAATGTCGATATCGGCCGCGTCGTCTCCTGGAAGCCCTGCACTAGCCGGCGAAAGTCGCGTATGCAACGGTGTATTAATCGTGCGCAAATCTATAGGGGATGAAAGGGCTGGTATTAAGTCAGCTTGTGTATCTAAACTTACGTGATGGGAAGCGGCGTACATTTCAAAGAGCTCTGTTGTGTGTAAAGTGACAGCCAAGAGAAGTCAGCAGCAAATTCATTTCTAGCTACAATTAGTATATGCAATGGTAAGTCGATGTGGGGGACGTAAAAGAAGAACGGCTGACTGAATATGTCCTTCAAACGTCTGCATTCTGCAGTGAAACACTGCAATTTCCGCGTATCTCGTGCGATCAAAGTATGACTTCGTGTTTCGGTAGCCAGCTCATACTTGATAGTCAATGTGAGTTCTGTCGATGCGATGAGAATGCAACTTATTTCGTCCGCATTTACGCACCTGATCTCGACTGATCCAGAGTAGCACCAGTCTCTCCCACAGATGCGCGAAGGTCTAAAGTTGTTCGCCTTGCCTGCGCAACAGAGAACGAAAAACTTCCAGAGATTGGGTACGCAACTTCAATACTCAGGTCCTCGACGGAGCGACCCGGCGTGCGCTTGAGAATTAGAACACTTCTCAGAGTCAGTTAAACGTCAAACGAGTGGAGCTTAACAGGAGTATATGTACGCCAGGAAAAAGACCCTGGCGTATTCCGCTTCTGGCACGAAAGCAACAGATCCTGGGCGAGGACCATTGACACAGAAAGCAGGTTACACACCTGCCTTCTTCGTCTCCCACGTAATCCCCTCTGTGCGACACCACGGCCAGAACGCGCCTGGATCGTTCAGCTGCGGAAGAGCTTGGAAGGTCACCGAGTTCTTGTGCGACCTCGACTTCGAGTGCTGCCTTGAGATCCTCAGATGACCGCAGAAGAGATCGGACTGCGGTTTCCATTATCTGCAGGTAGTCTAGACGACTTCCCAAAGAACTATCCTGTTGCCAAAGAGTTATTGTAAGTACAAAGGTGTGATTAAACTAAGCTTTGTTTCCGCGCTAGCGTGTGGTGCCATTAGTTGCCACGTGCGTCAATGATGTTCCCACGCTTCCCCACATTCTTTCTTTGGAACTGGGGATAGCCAACCTGTCAATGAGCGTCAGATCGTCCGTCAGACGACCATGAAGTCTGTCAAAAGCAACGGGGTTAGTACGAACGACCGCAGCAAAGGTGAAACAAGTAAGGAACAAGTAAATCCACAAAATCACTTGACATGCCCTGGTTGGAACAAAAACTAACAAAAAGGTCGTTGTTCTGATCACGAGTCCTAGAATTATCTCGAATCTTTACCTTTGTAAGTCATAGTCACAAAGTGGCGTGGCAGGCAAAGCACTGCAGCAGGTTATAAAAGCGTACTACTACGCCTTCCATTTTCTTACATCCAATTTTATTTTCCTTCCCAACACACGAACACAACTTTCATCCTCACCACCAGACCTCACTATCACACAGGCCCATCATGACTCGCACAGAGCGCGCTGGCTTCCCTCGTGCTTTATTACGGGATCGCTCTGAGTCCAAGTCTGGCCTTGACAAGTCCGTCCGCAAAAACGGCAGTGGCCAGCACAACTGGGGTAGCATCAATGATGAACGCTACCTTGAGGCCGCCGCACTCGCAGACGAAGAAGAGGAGTTCGAGGGAGACACCACAGACCAGCAACTCAACAACTGTACGTATTGACTCCATCATCAAGCCACACACTCATCACACCACGGTGCTCCAGCCGTTCACAAGAAACCCAAACTTGAAAAGCGGGCCAACTCCTTCACGGAGGAAGAAAGGGAGAGTGCTAGGCAGATCAGGAAGAACGCACTCAAGGCACAAGGTCAGTCACTGTTTGAAGTATAGCACATCCAACGACTAATTGTTACCTTGTCTATAGACATCGATTTGTCTATGATTGCGCGCACTTCTTCTGCTGCGTCTACATCTCCGCCCAGCAGGTCGCCTCCGCTCATTATCACTGGCAATGTGGAGGTACGTCGTTTCCTTGACACGAGACAGGAGACTCAACATCACTGTACCAGACCGCCAGCATAAGGTCGGCATAAAGCGGATGTGAATGTATCTGTTTGCCATTTTACTTCGTTCTTGACGATTTACGTCGGAATCACCGCAAAACAACATACAGAACACACTTGCTCCTGTAATTGTACTCAATTGTATTGTCATCATTAAATCGTATTATGTCAACCTTGGCACACTGCACTCCACGTCGCTCCACGTTACGTATCCAAGCGCCTGAAACCTCTTCATCTGCCGAATATGTCAGAAACGACGTCCGTCATAAATTCTTCATAGCTCAGTCGTTGCCTTGTGTCCTCGAATTCTCTCAGAGTATTAGGGTCCCTCACGGACTCTCTTCCCATCGCTATCAGAACCATGGTCTCCAACCCGAGTTCGACAGCCTCGAGCACATTCAAAGGCTGCCGCCTTAGACACAACGCTACGTAAGAGGGCAACAGCCACTCCTGCACGTCGTGCTTCCGCGCCAGGATGATCTTCTGGATGGGATCAAGCGGTGGGAGGCACTCTAGTTCATGCAACGCTCTCGCACGGATACGCTCCATTCCATAGCGGGTCGCAATCGACAGCAGTCTGACCCAGTCTTCTGCTGTTGAGAAAGGAGATGGCGAGGTGCCCCTGAGAGGTAGTTAGTTGATACGATGTACGGTGAGATGTATGGGAAGCATACCCATCGTATAGGAACTTGAGCAAGCACTCAAATTCGGCAACTGTGACTTCAGGCAAGACGATGGGCCTGTCATCACTTTGTCCTTCAGGCCCGTCTTGCGTCGGAGGGCACACAAACATAGTGCGGAACACATCCGACTCGCGCTGCAAAAAAAAGCGGTGTACACGGAATAACACCCCGTCTACCTATTAAACCACAAAGTTCTTTATCGTAGATTTTCAAAAAGGTATAGACTCGAACCACCTACAAGGAAAACAGATAGCTCATCCTGCAAATAAAACTCGGAGTGTCTCGGTTGAGAGGAAACAGACCGCATCTTTGTAAAGAATGAGGTAATGCTTTTTACAGACTCCACCGGGCTTGCGACCACAGATGACTGGGCGAGGAGTCCAGGAAGTCTTGTGTTCGCCGATGGCGAGCGTGAAGACCGGGAAGCGGGCGAGCTAAACGATAGCTGAGAGCCTGAGAGAGCGCTCATCGGACGCGAGGCAAAGCCTTCCGACGACGGAAGACGATACGGGACTGTCAATACTGGATGAGAAAGTTCCGGAGTACTGTCAAGACTCCTCCAGCTCATGCTGACGTCGGGATGGTTGAATTGAATTAGCAGTAGTCGAGCGACTTGCTTATACCCTCGAGCTGCGGTACACTGCGCACGATGCTATGGCGAGGCATGCTTTATCCGCGTGCTTGGACGATGTCACTGAATGTGCAGCATGCAGCCTCAGTGAGGCATGCTGATATAGAACAAGGTTGACCAATGCATCATTGGAAGGCGTCGCGGCACGCAAGTTCTCAGAAGCAAAAAGTAGCACATACTAGGAAGTCCGATCACAAATTGAATACTACCTGTGTCACGGTTCTGGTGTGAAATAGCCACTAACCCGGTGTTTAGGGCCTCTGACAGTCCTGGCGTTTGATTATGAACATGGATGCTTTGACTCGAAGAAGGATACAAAAGTCAATGTCAAAGTTTCGCTGGAAAAAAAAAAGCACATATTGGTCCAGGTTTGAAGAAGATGAAAGCTAACTCGAAGTCTCACCAAAAATATGTCACATACATATATCAATCATATTTATACCACGAGTTTGAAGATGATCAGTTTTAACGCGGATATGAACGAACTTCTCCGAGTCAATTTCTCGCTGGCACTGGTTCGGAGAGTCGCGGCTTGGGGGCGCGCGGACCTACAAACTTAGCATTAGTCACGTGTTATTTGAAACTCTCCTATTCCCCGAATTCACTCAGTGAAAGTCATTCGGTGAGAAGAACATGAAGCCCGTAAACAGGATCAGCGCATTTCCCTTCACTCATTCACACAGCAATTGCATCACCCTCCCCCCATTCATCGGCTGCCTTAGAACTTCTGCAGGAAGTATTTTTGCTCATCGTCAACGACTCGGATCTGCCAGATTGCCCCACTGAGTATTCGCTCAGTTAGATCAACCATCATCTTAGCCAAATTTTTCAGCCCGACCCTACCCCTCACTCGGGTGTGCTGCTGATGGCGATATGTTGCCAATTTCTCAACGACAGGCATCTGGTCGCGCATTAAGGTTGCGCTTCCCTTGAGATTCGCCGAAGCATTTAAGCTATTCCTTCCATCTCTACTCCAGTTTTGGCTTGCCCGGTCTGGCAGTCGATATCTTACCTTCCACATTGCACGCTCTTCCCCCGAAGATGAATTGAGGTAGAACACGCGTCTTAACAGTTTCCTTTGTTTGTTGCGGTATAGAAATCTAGAAATTCTCTCTCTCTTGAAATAGAACACTCCACTACATACATACGAATGTTGCGTTCCGTTCAGGTTGGTCCTCGCTTGATCAAGATCTTTTTGCTGAGAGGAGGCGCTAGAAAACGGTAGTTGGTGCGTCAAGCGGTTGGCTTATATCTTACCTTCTCCCAATATACGTCATCTCTACCTCCAAAGCACTTCCCCCAGATCATACGCTCCATTTCAGCAATTTCACCTCATCTGAGGACTATCGTAGTAACTTCCTTTTGATCGGTACAAGTTTTTCGACCTATTCGACGGAGTTTTTCTTCCTGTGTTGCAGAAATTGATGGTCGGGAAACCAAGAATTGCTGGAAATTATCAGTCTCATGACGCCGCTTGCAGCCACTGCCTTTGCAATTTGCGAGCGGTAGGCTTTCAGCCGGCCACACCACCTGACAAAATCGATATGGGTATCGTTCAGCCGTTGTTCTCAGTAGTGCCAGAGGCCACTGTCCGTGGATAAGTGATATGTAGGGAACTGGCCACTGGAACTCACGAGAAAAAAAAATCGAAGCTCCATATTTGTCACGTATTTCGTCACTCGTCGAGCCTTTGCAGATACACCTGTCAGTAGAAGCCGAGTCAGCATTCAAATATTCTAGTCTCAGGTCGTGACATGATTGAATTATTCTATCACACGACGGCACGATGTTACGCTCGCCGGTTCACGACTGGCCAAAAACGATTACGCTTGGATCGCGCTGGTGGAAACAATGATCAGCCATCTCAGTATCACCGCTCCATGAATTCGCTAAAGCATCAGTAGTTCAAACAAAATCACAGGCAGGCGACAAAATATACACTCCTAAACGAAGGCCATCAAGCAAGCCTGTATCCACGCTCTCCGAAATGTGGTCAAGATCGAGGTGCGGAAAAATGGACTTGTCTAGCTCCATACAGTCCGTAATTGCAGGGGGTAGTGTGTGTTGCATGGCCACGGGGGTCACAATGAATGTTCTGTCGTAGCCACCAGCACTGAGGGACACAGTAAAATCATGTTGGGACGCCCCAGCGAGATCAACGAAAGAAATCATGCCAGATGAGATATCTGAGTAAGACTACGTTAGCTAAGTCCGCTTGCATAGAAAGAACTGAAGCCACCTTGTTCTCTAACGCCAAGGAAGTGGGGCGGGGGCATGTACGTCTTCCAGTAGACTATGTTTGTCCGTGTACCAAGGGAAGCATTAGCAACCACGGAGTGGAGGTGGAATAGGGAGGGCACTACGCCTCCTTGATGCAAAACTCCAAATAGAACCGCGAGCACGAGGTTGAAGATGGAGCAAGATACCTACAAAGTCATTAGCAGCCTTATTGGCCAACTTCAATGTGTCAACATACCCAGAACGCCTTGCCAACATGGGCCAATCGTCCGGTGTTTGCTATCAAAACAATGATAGGCAGCAAAAGAGGCACCAAGAAGCGAGGTTCTTGATGAGGTTGCACAGACAGGACAGTCAATGACAAAATAATCATTTGTATGATTGCTGTGAGTGGATAAAACTTGAGTCGTTGCGAGCGCTGTCAATGCAAGCCCTTACTCGGACAAAGAACATTGACTTCAAATGATTTGTCATTTTTTTCGTTGAACGAAATGGCACAGTCTACGATTGCGCGCACCCCTAGCCAAAGGACCCAGGGGCCGAACAACATAGGAAGGTTCACAAAAACATGCAGCCAACGTGGATGGAGTCCATGCCCTGCCAGATTATGGGACGAAAAATTATACTTGAGGAAATTGAAAGGTGTCACCACGAGATCGTCAAGGGCGCCTCGAAAATAGAGGGTATCCGCCACCAGGAATGCGGTACATGCAGCTGCTGAAGTGGATAACGGGGGCACAACAAGCCGCAGCCACCTGGCTGCAGTTCCAGCACGTGTAAACGTTCCAAGTGCGACCTGATATGCGATGGGCGCTCCGAATATCAAGAAGGTTGGGCGAGTGAATATACCAGTCACGAAGGTTATGGCTAGTAAGTGGAGATAATATCGCTGCCGATGAATTAGGATCAAGAATTTCAAGAAGGAATGAGCAGCCAAGACTGACCTTATCCAGCGCTTTAACTGAGTTTATCTTACGCAAGAGCGCAAGACTCAAACCAACAAGAACTGCCTCGATAGAATTCGAGAAGGGTCGAACCTGAAACGTGTTCATAACATGAGACGATGCCAGAAGCAGAAGACCTAGGAGTCGATTCCTCGGCCGAGGTACCAAACTCGTCAAGCTGTAATCTAATGCTTGTTGAGTTTGATGAGCTGCAGACATGCATTCCAATGATTTACCGATCAGCCCAGATATGACCAAGAAGGCGAACCGTTCTAATCGAAAAAGCAACACTGGCTGCACTCCCCATGTCAAGTATTTCTCTAAACAGACCGTATAAGACATCAATTTAGTTCTAGCATAAAAATCCTCACTGCTTAAGAACTCAGCAAACCATACGGGGATTCCAGTTGTCGCAAATGCTGGGACTATGGAGCGGACAGGACAAGCAGTGGACCATTCCCAAGTACGGACGGTATGGTATGCCAGGAGATCGCCTTCCATAATTGAAATTCCGCAGTTAGAGTAGCAAGAGATACACGAGGCTGAGACCTACCTGAGGTCACCTCTCCGTTTTGCATATGCTCATCTGGATGAATGTACCCAGTTCCGAAAAGTGCGAAGCATGTCCGTAATATCCATAGACCCGCATAGATCCATTTGAATGTACGTGTTGCTAACACCACGTTTCAATAATCAAAGCTATGAAGAACTTGTCGAGCACCTAACAAATCATTAACCGTTAGCCAAGTATTGCACTTGGAATTTCTTGAGTTTGAACTTTGGAAACAAGTAGACACGACGCGCTGTCGGAGATTGAAATTCATCTTGCCTCGATCTTACTCAGGTCAATACTTCAGCACACCTGTGATGGTCTGTCTTTTACCTCTCTTGCTGCAATTCCCTGCTAAACGCTTCTAATCGTCTCCCATGTATCTCTGCTGTTTTTCTATAACCGTTCTTATGCTCTGGTCGTCCTTGCTACATGCAGGCATCACTCCACTTCTGCTCAGAGTGCAATAATTTGCTTTACCCCAAGGCTGACACGGGGCGTCGCATTATGGTTTACGCCTGCAGAATATGTAGGGAAGAGGAGATCGGCGAGAACAAGTGTGTTTATAGGAATGATTTACTAACTGTCACCAAGTAAGCCTTTTAGTTGCTTCTCGCTGAAATATTTTTCTGATCTTGAAATCCAACTAGGGAACAAGTAGGAATCACTACAGACCTCGGATCAGATCCCACATTGGTTCGTTTCGCACCTCAGAATTATTTATATTATCCCATCTGATTTCTGATATATCAGGCACACTCAAATATTACATGTCCGCATTGTGGCCAAGACGAGTGCGCGATTTCGACACAATTTAGCTTACCATTTACTAACGACACCTTCTGCTCCACTCTAGCGCCGTTTTCTACCAGGATCAGTCGAAACGAAAAGAGACCCGTATGATTCTGTTCTTCGTGTGTACCAAGTGCAACCACAGTTTCACGGATCCTTCGCTCCCGCAAGATAATCGACCTGATACTTGACTGTTATCAGTGACATCCATTTCGCGATTCGTAATTTACCTCTTACCTCCATTCATAATTGGTTCCTTTCTAGCATTACACACCGAGCATCGTGACGCTATAACATAGGCCCAGGGGCCTAGTCCTCTGCAAATCAAATGTCGTACTGCCCCCATAGTGTGCCCTGGTTCCTCGTTTATTTCGACCATCCAACAATCGCTGAGGGATGTTAGATGGATGACCTAGTACGGACCTTGCGGGCGCCGTGCGGTCTTCTACACATCATCATTTACCGTCACCATGCGGCCTTCCTAACTTTCTGCAATCGTCATGCGGTCGGAACTTTGGAGCAGGCAGCCCGGCTGGTGGATATATCCTATCGCTAACTTAGTTCGGTTCCGCAATCCCGATTGTGATCTCCCTCAGCTAGCGAGTTACGGTGCATCATCGCGCTGTCATATCTTCACCTCGTTCAACCACTTAGAGCCATTTCTTGTACTTGTAGGGGTGTTTCATCGCCCAGCGAAGAGACTAACCTACCATCGATTGATTTGAGGATGCTTTCCCTGAATCACCAATGACGTCCACGATATTCCTATCAGCGGGAAGGCGTTTGATTAGATAGCACCGTCCTCGAGGCTTGTTGTTGCAGTCTTCGTGGCACACTAACTGCAATTAACATGGGGGCGTATTCGCTCCCCATTGTCATTGCCCGTTTCATATCAGCTGGATGATAACGCCGTCCTCGAGGCTCGTAAGTACCCGTAGAAATCTTTTTGTGAAGAGAATATACTAGACACTCAACATGAGGGCGTACTCGCTGAATTGCGACACTTAACTGAGGTTTATATTCGCTTGTCGTTTCATGTCAGCCGGTAAAGGTGATGATGAGATAACATAGTCTTGGAGGCTCTCAAAGAAGTCACGATGGGCGAAATTACAGATTTAATGTGCCAGTCGTCGTCAACCAGTGAGATGGCACCCACCTTCGATTTTCACGCGGTCTGATCTGCGTGAGGAGTTAGGGATTCATCGAAGAGACGTTACGTGTCCTGTCTTCGTTTTTCGACTTCTTTCATTTTCCCCGCCAACGTCGTTGACGACATTACGCCCTGTGTGCAAACAATGTTTGCGGGGACTATGGCCCTGACCTAGTGCCATCCTAGTGAGCCAGAGTTAGCAAGCAGCTACGTACCTGAGCTGTCAATGTTGACTCTTGACCTGTTAGCTGCGGCATCCAGGACTCGCACCCAGTGACCCACGGGAAAAAACAAGACCAGTGGGCTGTGTGATTTGAACCTGATAGATGTCACAGAAGGCTGTGAACTGCAAAGGAAATCGGCTTAGCTGACCAAGGGACGCCAGCCGGACATCAATACCGACGGGGGATATCAGACCAATTTTAGGACGATAAGACTTCAACATCCTCAAGGTATGTGCCCTTATGTGCCCTTCATCTCTCGTCCACTACGGCACTCTGAAATTTTGCCCTGGTTTTGGTAAGTAGGCGTCAGTTTCGGACGTCATATATATGCTCAAACCATGTTGGCAATAATGTTACTTCAAGTAGGCCAAGTACCATAAACCATGAACTCAGCAGGGCAAGGTACTTATGACTCGAAGCCCTGCCTAGTGATTGATGAATCCATCGTTAAGGGAAGGAATGGCCTGTAAGGTCCAAGATTATAATAGTACTGCGACACGGACGGAGACCTGTAATCCCGTGGTCAACAGTCTAGAAAACGTAAACGTGGGCCACTCCTGACAACCGACGGGCACTTACATCATTAATCCGACAAACTCAGATCAGATTGACCTGAGCATATCAGAAACGCGTGTGATGCTGCATGCAGAAGAGTAGCAGAAGTTCATGCCTGCCGCTGCGTGTGCCGTGCGCATCCACCATAACGTATCACAAGAATAGATTGCCGAATATCCGCCATCCCCCTCGACATTACAAATCGATGTGTCTCGGTGCAAGTGCGCCACGGACCTTGCCGCTGGCCAGAGCCAGGACTCACGAGAGTTCTATCTTGCCAGTGACATCAGACAGACACGCCACTAAGGGGCATCCCTGGAATCTGCTGGACTTCTGCACGGGCACCATTTCAAAGACGTCGTGAGCAGGAGACCAGCTTACCTGACTGTTACGACATGTATGTCACTAAATCTCTGAAAATTTCGAAGGAGATAGAACGCGTCCAGACCACAGTAGCCTGGCAGATTATCGGGTAATTATTCGAACAAAATTGATTTTCAATATATACTTACTCGTATGTATTATCGGAAAAAAAACAGCGCGAGGGAGTGATTTTTGCCCTTGCTTTTACTGCATTTTTGCCCCGATTTTGTTGTTATCTTATGAAAAAAGACATTTTGTTCATTAAATATATGTTGATCGGAGATTCAAAATTGGCGGTGCTAAATTCGGTAACCGACGCTTCTTTTCATGCACAATTCATTCTTCTACTTAGTTGACCGCCCGCCTATAAAATTCTCTTATTCTCAAACCATCCAGTCCTTCCTCAACTCTCCTTAAGTTCCCTTTGTCTTCTTGTCTAGATCCCCCGTCCCCTAGTACACTCCAGAAACAAATAGCATAATGAAGTTCGCGTCAGTCCTTGCTCTCGCCGCAGCCGCCTCTGTAGTAAGCGCGGAGACTAACGGTGAAAGAATGGCGCGTGGCCTCCCCCCCATGGCCCCCGCTCGTCGCGCTACACCAGTTGCCGGTAAACTTTTTTTTTCTTTGTAGTTTGACGCGCTCTAATTCATCCCGAAGCCGCCAAGCGCACCTCTCCTTCGGGCTCTGGCCAGTGCAACACTGGCTCTATCCAGTGTTGCGAGTCCACCGCAAAGTCTGGCCACAGTAACATCCTCGATGAGCTGTTGGAACTCTTGCACATCCACATCCCTGTCGGTACCACTTGTGGTATGAGTTGCTCCCCCATCAGCGTTGTTGGGGGTGGCTCCGGCGCCCACTGGTGAGTTTTCAGAATGCATGTTTCGTCGTGCAATAATTGACTTTCTTTTACCACCAGCAACCAAGAACCTGTTTGTTGCGAGAACAACTCTTACAACGGCCTCGTGAACATCGGTTGCTCTCCCAGTACGTTTGTTCTGTGATTTTCTTGTATTCATGGGCTTACAGCGCGCAACAATTAGTCAACATCTAGGGAACAATCACCTCGCTCAGTGTTCGGCTCCATTCCTGCACTCGTTCCGCTCTTTTTATTATCCCGTTAGATACGCACAGAAGTCGTTAATTCTACCTTGTCCGCGGCTTTGGACCTTGTTGATCTTCACCAGGCAGAAAGCCTACGTTTATTGTTTTGTTGCGTTGTTTCCTCGTGCATATGGCTATGCTTTTCCTTTAATGGAATAGAATGGACTACTGGAGTGACTGGGTTTAAGCGCCAACTGGTGTGGTGGATGTCGAGACTGCATAATATTATTATTTCTTCCGCCATTTTTGCTGATTGACGGTGATCGTGATCCTCGATCATGACAGATGCCAGTTGAAACGCGCAAGTAAATTGGGGGTCGATCATACTAAATTTGCCAAGCGCTCTCAAGGACTTAGCCGGTCCCACTCCCCGAACCGAACAGCTAGTAAACATTGGTTTCTTTGTGCTCAAACTTGTGTGGGTTAGCGCGAGAATCATGGAAGCGTCACACCTAGCACGGTACGTTATGGTCTTACCCGTCAAGATATCATACCCATTTCGACTTATAGCTGATTGGTATCGACGAGAGGAGCTTTGAAGGGCTCAGCCGACCTGCAACGACTCATCACGGAGTATATAGTGCGTTGCCGACTATGTAGTAAACTGAGCACAGCTGAATCATATAAAGCAATATGCCAAGGCGGCCTGCGGGCCTGGAATCTAGTCTGACTCGGCCCATATGGTAAAGAATCCACTAAGAGCTACGTCTATCCATCGCTACTTGGTTACCTCATTACTGACAGTGTGCAGTTCAGCGAGGTGGTCAGTACCATGAAACCGCGTATTCTGAGAATCAAACAGGAACATAATCAAGATAGATAGATATATATGGTTGCTAAACTCAACTGAAACGAGAACGCTCGGGCATGTCGCCGAGCGGTTGCATTTGTTGGTACGGCGTTCCGGCCTAGCCGAACCGTTTCACTGGCCCGCATCAGCGTGTTAGCTTCTGTTCATCATGATCTACTCGGTCATGACTGTCATCGACTCAACTTATCGTCAGAAAAACCGTGTGACAGATCGACGAGATCAGATGACCGCACCTAATTAGTCTCCCGTAGGCAGACCCGTGCTGGCACCCGCCGCGCAAGCCGCGCGAAATTCGAATTGTTCACATCACCGCCTGAGCCAGAAGTTCCTGCCGCACTCGAAGGCCCTGTTCCCGACACACAGAGGTTTCATGTCTGCATGTATTGTCACTTAGTACTTATCCATCATTCATTCCGTGCGGACCTCCGATTATCGCATGGGGCCATCAAAGATCGCCGCCGATCCGTGGAAGGTGTTGCGCAGCCCTGCGCCGAGCCACGCTTGTATTTGATTATGCGGGATCTTGCGCAGAAGTCAGGGACGGCCATGAATCCATTCAGAATGTGCTGTTCTGCAGTCACATCGACAGGTCAGAAATTCCAAGTCTCGAACCTCTCATTTTTGCTGTATAAATTAAATATTGATGTAGGTCCTCGGTGTGGGCGTGCAAGACATAGTCTAGTGACGACTCTGAGAAAATCGCCCAGCTAAATTAAAAACCTTCAAACTCTTCTGATCTCGTCAGGGGGATAAGATCATGGATGGGTGTCATATATTCACCAGATTAATTGGGGTTTATCAATTAGAATGTATCGCCTGCTTGTGCCAACGTCGATGTCATGACCAACTACATGATCATCAACTGCATGGTGGATTCTATACAGCGCATTTCACGTTGCGATGCCCTTATATTCCTTTGCATCCTGCTGACTTGGAGGATTCGGTGGTACTGATCAGCATCAAGGGGTATGCTTGAGGCGTCGTGGAGGGGTGTTGGCAGCTGGGTGGAAGGTGAGTTATTAATATCTCAAACTGTTTGCTGGTTCTTCAGAGGATTTCTGATATTTCTGACTCTTCTGGTGTCATGCGGTGACTCATGCCTCCACGCCGTCAGATTGTGGATGTGCATGTTGGGTGATGATACTTATTTCTAGCACGAACATCATCGTTGTACGTTCACCACATTCGCCACTCACAACCACCAATTCATTGAACATGACCCTAGTCTCAAATGATCCCAGGTACCGTGGCGGACGCAAATAAATTCGTATGGTATTCTCAACTATTCATAGGTGCGTAGAGAGGACGATGCCGGCGATGTCTCGATCTAATCTTAACTTTAGTTTCGCAGTTGCTTCCTTTGCTCCAGCAAGATAGTATCAAAGAATCTTCCATATTCTTGCAGACAAGAGGTACCCGTTGAATCAGCGCTCAGTACCGGACCGGCCTTGTCACTAAGCATAGTTGTATGAGTTGAACTGATCTGGGTGAGCAGAGTTCGAATTCTATATCAGAAGAATGATGTGACGATACGAGTGATTCAAGGCAGGGGCAACGCTGATCCCTCGTGACTATTTATGATCTCAGTGTGCGCATCTCATGTTATAAGTGAAGTGGCAATGCGTGCTGACTGCAAAATATTCTAGATGCGATATGTTGGAATACCGTATGCTGTGTACGTTCGCAAGGTTAATGTGCTTGGACATCTCGCAATCAGCATTTACGTGTTACGTATGTCTCCTGAGTCCTCACATGTACTGTTTGTTTCTTCTCACCGGTAGCATACAGCGAGCGAGTCTTCCGTCAGGTTCGGTGACAGATGATGTGGGTATTCTGTATTGACACCTGCCATTGCCGTCCAATTGGCTACATTCATATGTAGGGCTCGACCCAGCTTGTCGGTTCAATATAATGGCCCACGCAGCTGTGAGTTTTTTTTTTAACTTATGCAAGTCTCCGCAGCCTGAACCCTGTTGATTCCCTTGTTGATGCATTGATAGGTGCCGGGGCACGAACCCCTTTAGTATTCATCTCGTGAGCCTGATGATGCTTGGATTTTTATTATTGATATCAAAGCTTACCCCCGTGAAATATAGCGGCTCTGTATTGCAACAACCCCTGTGCTTGCGATCGTGAGAGTCAAAAGATTACAACGAGAAGACCAGGATCTTTCTGAACCGCTGATATGTGCCATGTGATCATAATGACATGCATCATGTTGACGTTGTCATCAAGCCAATAGGTCCTCGCCCCGCCCTGTGTCTTGCAGTCTGGATTGCTGTAAAACACTTCTGTGAAATGCCACGATCATATCCGCAGGACGGACCACCGGGATTGGTTCACGGTGTTAGTAAAAACTCGTATACTTTTACTTTGCCAGATGAGCTCGTAATGTGAATCTTCTTATTCCGCTGATTTTTTCGTGTCCTAGCTTTGCTGCTGTTTCTTGTTTCAACCTCGGTTCTTTCCCCCACAAATCTTGGTGTGGTGACCTATCACACACGTGCATGTATATATTTCAGTTCGTCCATCCTGTAGACTCATCTTCTGTGGGAACTAAGATTTATTATGAGCCTCTTCAATTCTCGCTGCAGAGAAGTTTGTACTCAGACCACGCCTCATCCTTACCGTTCGAGGATTTCGCGCTAAGCTCGGAGTCGTGGCCGACTTTGACGCAGAAACCAATCATGACTTCAATTGTTTCCCAGGAGCACATGCATATTAATTGTCAACTGGTGGTGTTTAGCAGGGAAATGACTTGTCGGGTGCTGTGACCCGTCTGAGCTCGGAGTACGGCTTTTTTTGGCATCATGATTGGTACTGATCTTGTGTTCCGATGTTCAAAGCAGTATCATGTTGCACCACTACTGAAACTAGTTGCCTCCCCACATTTGCATCGCACCAAGCTTGCTTAACTCACGCAGAGCCTCATCGATCATCTCGCAACTATGTCGAAGGTACGCATTGCATTATACGGAGTAGATGTCTCGTAACCCCGCGGTGCTCAAATTTGAATTTGGGTTGTGGCTTCGTTTTCCATTGGTGAACAACTCGCCGTCTGTGATATACCTGCAGGGAAACTCGTTACACTCGGTGGCGATGCTTGCTGCTTTGTTGGCCGCCGCAATTTCCGACAACCGTTCAACATAAATATGAGTCTTCCCTCGCCGCGCACGACAGGCCTTTAATGATCAATCGATCAGGGACGCCATACGAAATCACTTATAAAATCCGGAGCTCGGGGCTTGTCATAATACGGCGTGCGGCGAGTCGAGCCCCGATGAGGTGATTCATCTCATGGCGGCAATGCACTTCGAATTCTCCGAGTAACATCCTATAGTGTAATAGGTTCTATATGCGTTTTATTTTACGACAACCTGGTTGATGACTCCGAGAGACTGAACTGCCAACGTGCTGCTGGAGCTGGTCTCCCCTAGGCGGACTGTAGACGGAGGCGATAATTTTTGTGCTATACTACGCAGGAGCATTGTACAACATTGGTGAAGATCTTGATTCTGTTCGAACAGCATCATGTACAGTTTGAGATCCATTGCAATGTCAAGCGTGTGTAGGGATTGTGTTACAAAAAAATACATACACGCGTTTGTGCCAATACTAGAAATACACGTGCAAATAACTCTCCATTCAAAACTCTAAGCTTTGCAAATCATATCTGCTTGATAGGGAACCTGTAAGTACTTATAGAAAGCAAGCGGGCGATTGACTGACAAATTTATCTCGCTCCACCCGAATTGATGGGGAAGGTGCGAGACAGCTGTCGTTCTGCTTCTCGTTCGAATATGTCCGACATCTCCACAAGCGCCTGATGGATTTCGCGCATGTCCTGCCCAGCCTTCCTCAAGCGCCACAACGCCTCCATTGCGGTGGCAGAGGTGTCTTCCATCTCTTTGAAGTCATCCCTCGCCTTTTGCACGGCTTTTAGTGCGATCTCCATGCTCTCATTTGCTTGATTCAATAAAACATGCTGGAAGACCGGTCAGGAATGAGGAACGATCTGGAGAGATAAGTTTACAGGTGGTGGTGCGCGTTTTGCAGGGACTTCTTTCCGCGGCAACATAGATCCCACGAAGGTTGACCAGACAAGCAGTGTGCAGATAGACATCACGATATCGACGACGATGTTTCGCCCCAACGCTGGATGGTACGTTGTAGCATCGATGGCACACCTCAACCCGAGCCCGAGAATTGACCACACAGGAGAGATAAAAGTGAATAGATGTCCAAGGGAGTAGGCGAGCGCGTGATAAAGGATGAAGAGCGTCACGAACATTATTAAAACTGTGCAGGCGCGTAAGAGGACGAGATTCTCGTCTGGTTGAAATTCCAACGTTTGCGCATGTTATAAATGTCTTGAATGCTATATTTGTGGAAGGCGCACAGCTAGTGGCAATGGCAGCTAGGAGAAACAAAGGACAATAGTTAATTCCAGTGAGACCGGAACCTTAAATTAGAACTGTACAGCACATCCGGAAATCTCCGGATGGCTTGCCTCGCCTAAATCTATTCAGCATAGTCAATACTCACCGTGCCGCCCAACGTCAAGATGCCCAAAGGTCGGAATGCGTATCGTTTATGAGTGTCCAAGGCTGACCGTTCATACCAGTTTACAAGCCCGGAAAAGTGCTTCCATCATACATGTGATCGGTGTGATTGTGATTCTAACCTTCCTGTCTAGGTCGCCATCGTCCTGCAGGGCCGCCAGGCAGGCAAGAAGGTCGTCGTTATTAAACAACTCGATGAGGGAACCAAGGAGCGACCATACCCCCATGCCATCGTTGCCGGCATCGAACGCTACCCGCGAAAAGTTACCCGTACTATGGGCGCCAAGAAACTGAAGCGGAGAAGCCGCGTTAAGCCTTTCATCAAGGTGAGCACACATGGGCCACGACACGGAGATTCGAACCGATATTTACTGTATGTCTTAGGTGATTAACTACTCGCATCTGTTTCCCACGCGTTATGCTCTGGAGTTGGAGAGCTTGAAGAACTCTGTGGCTGCCGAGCACTTCAAGGAGCCATCACAACGGGAGGATGCACGGAAGAACATCAAAAAGTTGTTCGAGGAGCGTTACCAGACTGGAAAGAACAAGTGGTTCTTCCAGGCCCTTCGTGTATGTTCCTTCATGATACCCCTTGCGTTTAGGGCTGATTGTCTGCGACATAGTTCTGATCGCTTATCTTTTTATCTGTGGTGCTTGGGAGACGACTTCGCAAAACTACATGTACACCACATGTCCATACATGACGCATGCTTTTATGCACCATCCATTGCATGATATTTCTACGTGGATGTGATGCTTCCCGGTATACACGTAACTTGCAAGCTCAACTCGTGCAAGTCGCTAGCTGGTCACTGAATGCAGCTACAACTGCCTGCTTGTACGATTCATGTCGGACTTTGTGATCGTTCGCCATCGACTCGGAGTACTTGAGTCTGATTGAGCCCCTCGTCATTGAATATTGAGGTTGTAGTCACAAGTAGTCATGCGAGTTGAGGAGCCTTTCTAAGACTTGAGTTGATCGTAGACAGCTTTCTTGTGCTTTGTGCATGCACCTCCCACAAGTTGTATTACTTTTGTCCTGCACCAATCCTGCACATTAATCCCAGTATTTGTTATCAAACTGTTCACCACCTGTTTTCCTCTGCTGCCAGATCAGGATCGCACAATCTCGGGTGTAATTCTTGTATTAGAAGCAAGGTGAGTCTGCATCGGCCCTGATCGAACTACATACCAGGCGCTCGAACTACTTCCTGTTTTATAGCTCACAAAAAGGCTGCAAAAATGTCGCTCTTTGGTGGTGCATCAACGCAACCCTCAACGAATCTCTTCGGTACTACGAACGCCCAGCAACAGCCTGGGCAGACAACGAGTACCACAAACGCCCAGCAGCAGCCGGGGCAGACCCTCGGTGCCCAAACCCCAAGCATCTTCGGTAGCACGAACACCCAACAGCAGCCTGGACAGGCAACGGGCGGCAGCATCTTCGGTAACACGAGCACCCAACAGCAACCTGGGCAGACAACGGGTGGCGACATGTTTGGTAACACGTCCACCCAGCCATCTACCTCCGGCACAACCCTCTTCGGAACACCCAGTACGGCGATAAGCACTACTGCAGGTGCGGGTAGCGGGGGCTTGTTTGGGGGTACCACGACGCAGCAACAGCCTGCAGGGACTGGCTCATCTGGGACTACCGTGACCGGTACTCAGCCACAACAACAACCTGCAGCTAGTAATTTGTTTGGTAATATCACAACCAGTACAACCCTGCAGCCTGCCACGAGTAGTCTGTTTGGGAGTACGAACGCGAACACGCAGGCACAAACGCAGACGCAACCTGCGGGCACAAGTCTGTTCGGGAACACATCAACTCAACCTGCTGGGAATTTGTTTGGGAATGCAGGTACCCAACAGCAGCAGCCGCAACAACCACAGCAGGGTGGGGGTCTCTTCGGAGGTACCACGACCCAGCAGCAGCCGCAACCGCAGAGTAGTGGTCTGTTTGGAAATACTACAACCCAACAGCCCGCTACCGGTACTGGCGGGCTGTTTGGAACGTCGACTACTCAGCCAAGCACTGGCGGAAACCTGTTTGGCGGCGCAAGTACCCAAGCGCCAGCGTCAGGCGGGAGTACCCAACAACAGCAACCTGCAACCGGTGGTCTGTTTGGTAACACGACAGCTGCCCAGCAGCCTGCCTCGGGAAATGTGTTTGGGAGTACGAACACGCAGACGCAACCTGCAGGAACAGGATTATTTGGAAACACGACAACTCAACCTCAACCTGCGGGAGGCTTGTTTGGGAATGCAGGTACCCAGCAGCAACAGCCGCAGCAACCACAGCAGGGTGGCGGGCTCTTCGGAAATACTACGACCCAGCAGCAGCAGCCACAGAGTGGTGGCCTCTTCGGAGGTACTACGACCCAACAGCCCGCTACCGGGACTGGCGGGCTGTTCTCAAGCACTGGCCCAGTCATGTTTGGCGGCAGTACGCAAGCGCCAACTTCAGGGGGACTATTTGGTGGCACGACCACCCAAGCTCCAGCTACTGGAGGAAGCCTTTTCGGGAGTACGACAACGGGATCAAACCCATTGTTTGGAAATAAAAATCCTGCAAGTATCTTTGGTACTGCGCCGGCCACCTCTTCGACCACCCCAAGTCTATTTGGCCAATCCCAGTCCCAATCTGCGCAACCTATCGCTACCCCTTCGCTATTCGGCCAGTCCCAGCAGCCAAAACCAGCTAGCTCCCTGTTTGGTTCAATGAATCAACCTGCGCAGAGCACAGCCACTGGAGGCCTTTTTGGCAGTACGCTAGGTTTTCCACTATCCAATTCACTTCTCGCATCAAGGAATACTGCCCCTGCGCAACAGCAGGATCCTCAGTCGCAATATGCAGCGCTCGAGCAGAAAATCCAGGCAATTGTACAGGCCTGGGATCCTGCTTCGCCAGCATGTCGCTTCCAGGTTGGTCCCATGCAATTTATAGTTTATCGTGGACTTATCCGCAGGACAGCATTATTTCTATAATCTAGTTCCACCGACACAAGTGAGCGCTTTCGGCAGGCCTGCAAATGCCACGAACGAGGCTCTTTGGCAACGCGCGGTGCACGATAACCCTGATCCTAGTTGGTAAGTTCAACGACTCGACCATCACCCAACGTGCTCATGTTTTCTTTAGTATGGTACCTGTTCTGGCAATTGGCTTTGATGATCTGCGTCAGCGCGTAGATGGACAAATGAAGCAAGCCACAGAACAGCAGAAAGCTTTGATGGTTTGTAGCGATTTCTCACACTTTAGAAAGCTTCCTTACTCAGTTGTATTTCAGGAGCTGAAAAAGCGGCTGGAATCATTGTCCGCGAGACATAACGACAGTAACGCATCACGTTTGCAGCGCGCAAAGTTAATTCAATCACAAACACAACACCGCCTGCTGTGCCTGATTCAGCACATGCATTTGATGCTACCTACTGTCCGGTCTACGGCGATTCGCCCCGAAGAAGAGGCTCTGCGTATGGCACTCGAGGAGATCGAAGAAGAAATCAGAAGACCAGGTGGTATGAGTAAGATGCGAGGAAAGCTGAATGAACTGTGGGCGCTCGTAGGGGCTATCAACGCCGCCCGCGAGAGAGGCAGAAGGGTGGGGCTCGATGGTCATTCTGAATGGACGGTCGTCGATGAAGATGGTTTAAAGCAGATCGCTCAGGTTGGTTTCATCCGTGAATTCTGAGCGTCGACTCTGACATGCACGTTGCAGATTTTGTCCAATCAGCAAGCCGGTTTGCAGCATTTGACGAAGGTGCTGCAGCACGATCTGAGGGATCTGGAAGTGATCTATGGAAGAGAGAGCTGATCGGGGGCTTCGAGATTCGCTTGAGCATGCTGCATTGTTATTGTGATGATGGGGTTCACATTATTTTTGTAATAGATAGGTAGACAACAATCGATCATGAGCGTGCGAGTTGGCCACACTTTGGTCTATTTTGTACATAAGGAGCCTTTCATTCCGATCCGTATTACTGTTAGTTCGTGAACGAATGTTCTTCCTCCTGTAGCGCCTAGGATCCTTCATCCTGCTACCATACAGTCTCCATAGAATTCTCAACAATGCGTTACCGCACCCTCGAGATTCGATGGCATGATTCAAAGCCCATATCCACCTGCGACTTTCAACCTATCCCATTCAAAAAAGCGCGTCCAACACAGGAGAAGAATTTTGCTGCGCAGTCCTATAGGCTGGCTACAGGAGGCGAGGACAACCATGTCAGAGTGAGTGAGCCCACGATAGTACCTCCAACGCGCTGACCAACACGGATTCGAAAGATATGGATGGTGCATCCGAACATCCTCCCGCCGTCTCTTGCAGAAGGTGCAGACGGCGCTGCTCCACGCCCTGCTCGGGTGGAATATCTCGCCACACTTAGCAGACACTCGGCTGCTGTAAATGTCGTTCGGTTCTCCCCTAACGGTACGCGTTTTGCACACGCGCTTTGCCACTTTATTAACGCGACTTTAGGGGAGTTTATCGCCTCCGCTGGGGATGGTATGAATCTAAAATATCTTGTTGATTGTATTTGACGCGAATTTATTGAAAGACGGTATGATCATCATTTGGGCACCTTCCAGCACGCCTCAGACAGCCACGTATGGCAGTGATCTGACTGCGGACGAATTGCAATATGAAAAGGAGTACTGGAAGCCCCGTACAACGTTCAGGTGAGATCACTTTCATGCGCGTTTTCAGATCGATGTAAAATAAAAATTGTACAGGTGTACGACGATGCAGGTATATGACCTTGCTTGGAGTCCAACTGGGGAATACATTTTAGCTGGCAGCACGGACAACTGCGCGCGCGTGTTCTCTCCCAGTGATGGTGGGTTCTTGCGTTATTATTGCGAGGAATACAAGCTCATTGGCTTAGGCAAATGCGTCTGTGAGATCGCTGAGCACAACCACTATGTCCAAGGTGTAGCATGGGACCCCCTCAACGAATACATCGCCACCCAGAGCAGTGACCGTTCGATGCACGTGTATCGGATCTCGACCAAGCAGGGCACATTCGAAGCGCATGCTGTGGGCAAGAACACACGAATGTCTTACACCCACAATCACAGTCGCACCCCTAGCTCGCACAGCCGTTCAAGGTCCTACAGACATGAGTCTGCTGTTAGTGATGTAGAGTCTACTGTCAGCGACCAGCACAGAGATGATGTTCTTTTCTCTGGTAACTACGCTCCCCCAACACCGACCGCGTCAGTAGTCAGTACCCCATCCACGTCGATGTTCCCTCCTCCGCCGATTGAGAGACCTTCTTCGAGGCGGTCTTCATTCAGTGGATCTAATGCCCCCGGCTCTCCTGGGCAATATTCACGATATGGGAGATCCCCTTCACCTATGCCACCCCTTCCTGCAATCCGTGCGCTTCCTTCGCCCGCATGGTCTACTATTAAACTCTATGGAGATGAAAGTTTCTCGAACTTCTTCCGCCGCTTAACGTTTAGCCCTGATGGGGGCCTCTTGCTAACCCCTGCAGGGCAATTTGAGGACCCCAGCATCATTACCAACAAGCCCAAGGCCGAGGAAACTCCTACTCGGGGACGTAAATCCAAACTTGCAATTACCACAAGCGAAATCAACCCTTCATCGGCATCGTCGGTGTTCATCTACTCAAGGGCGAACTTTGCCCGCCCTCCTATAGCTCAGTTACCAGGGCATAAAAAGGCCAGCGTGGCTGTCAAGTTCTCCCCTGTGCTTTATGAATTGAGACAAGATGTAATTGGCGCAGAGGGGCACAACGAGTCTAAGACAGGAACACTGGAAAAGGGCAGGGACGGGTCAATCTCTGTTGATATTGCTGGGCCTTCTGCAACTCACAAGGACGTATTTGCACCTTCTCCAAAGGTGGAAAAGAACTTACTCCTTCATGTCGAAGCTCCTACGCCTCATGTTGTGGCTCCCGAATCAGTTATGCCCCCATCTTCGATGAAGCCTCCTACGCCATCACCATCAAAGCCCTCTACCCCAGCGATCATGCCACCTAACACTGGTTCCGTTTTTGCGCTACCTTACCGCATGCTCTACGCTGTTCTGACCATGGATGCCGTTGCCATCTATGACACCCAACAGTCTGGTCCTGTTTGCATGCTTACGAAGTTGCACTATGATGAATTCACGGACGCTTCGTGGTATGTGATAGCCCTTTTCGCTGTTGGTATCTATATTAAACTACCTAATAGGTCTCCTGATGGACAGTGCCTTATCCTCTCATCGCGAGATGGATACTGCACGATCGTGATCTTTGATGAAATTTTACCTGCACATCACACTCAACAATATGCCTTACAACTCCAGTCCATCGCGCAACATAATTTTGTGCCCCTCACGTACACGATGACACCTTCGTCTTCGTCGGTTCCATTGCCTGCCATTGTGACACCTACCGTTCCTGCGAAGAGGACCGAGCCGCCTCTTACACCTGCCACTAGCATTGACGACAATGCCCCTGCAGGCAGTAGTGCACCAGAAGTCACGCCTGCGAAGTTGGCGCAGCCCCCAAAGAAGAAACGCCGTCTAGTATTGACGAAGGTTGGGGATCTCGATTCATGAAGGATTGTTTGCGTCCCTCACGATGACGATATTGCGTAACGTTTCTACGGGTCTATGATACATTATGATTTTTTAGTGATTTCTTGTCTTTCTTGTCCTCCCCATTTGGGTTTGTATGGAATATTCACCCCATGCTTCTACAATCAGACCATGTATTGAGGGTTCGATGTGCGTGATGATGATAATGAATGTAACAATGAACGTAGTAAACCACTTCCTGGTAACACAACGACAAATCATTGCGCTGTTGCTTTCCTTCTGCCAACCTGGGCCTGGAAACCACTTTTGATCGTGTTGACAGACCGGCGTGAGCCGCAGGACTCACAGGACATGAAGAAAATACGGTTCTCCTTTGTGAGGAGTGTGTCGGGTGATTTACATGTTTTGCATGTTACATACTCGACTTTGACAATATTAGCGCTAATCATAGAAAGTACAGAAGCTGTTAAGCTTACCGATATAACGACGCAAAACATTCTCGACTTGTTTAGGTTGGAAACGACCTTTGATGACCAAACGCCCTGAACCGTCCACCGAACCGGTGGTACCCATTTCAGCGAAGAGGAACTGGATGACGTGCTCTGGTTGTCTGTGCATCCGCTTGCAGATATCTGCAACGTTTGCAAAGATCGATTTTCGGACACCTTCGCGGAGAATTTGGGGAGGTGCGATCGTGTATCGTTTACCGGTAGAAGTGAGTAATGATGGATTTGCGGCATGGAGGGAGGCGTAAAATCGTGTTAGGAGCTGATGATATAGGTTAATATGGGTCGGGGAAGATGTGACTGTATATGCACACACCTCTGGGTAGGTATAATCTCGGTCACTCCCAAGCCATGGCTCTGTGCCAGAGTCAATGCCTGCAGGTGCTTCATTTCGTGCGAATGGGTCGTCCCCAAGATCTGCCTCATCTACGTCATTGAGGTGCTCTCCATCGTCGACTTCAGCCTCATCAGCCTCGTCTTTTGCCTTTGCCTCATTTAGTTCCTTCTCGAAGTCCTCCATCGCCTTCTTCTTTGTTGATTTCTTCTTCTTCTTGATGTCAGAGAAGTCGAGATCTTCCGTAGCGGTGGGTGCAGCTGCTGCAGGCGATGCTCCTGAGGCATCTTCACCCTGGTAAGACACGCAATGTAAAATCGCGAAAGAATGGGTTCAGAATAAAACACTCACGAGGTCCATAGGGATGTCCTTTTTCTTCTTTTTCTTCTTGAGACCGTCTGGAAACATGGCCTTGAAATCATCATCTTCCTTGACTTCATCTACGACAACATCAGCAATCTCTGGTACGTCATTTTGACTTCGCTTCATCTGCTCATGGGCGGTAGTAGGGCCGAGATCAACGACATCTCCGTTGGTAGTTGTATTCTCGATAGTAGTCGGAGCAGGTGTAGTAGGATCTGCTTCAGGACCTAAAGGGTCCTCAGTAAAAGCTACGGCTTTCTTCTTGCGCTTCTTGAGCGAAGGATCGAACAATGGCTGTTCTGCTGCCATGGTGGTCGACGTGTAAGATGTGCTTGCTCGCTGATGAGTACGGTGAGCAAGATATGACTCCTTCGATGCCGAGATCCGGCAATAACAATTAAACCTCCGATCGGAAATCGCCGGAAGTCGGTGACCTGTTGGATGCTCGGAATTCGGTTGCGCACCAGTTTGACCACTTTTCAATGTTAGCAAGGCGTTCACTTGCCCGTATCGCGTCCCAGCCCTCCCCGCTGGGAGCTGCTCCCAAAACTGCCCGCAACATGGCCACGTTGCGTGAAATAGAGCTGCGGTTGAAGTCGGTCAAGAATATCGAGAAAATTACCAAGGTACGCGGACTTCCTGTTTTCGTATTCTTTCTGAGGTTGACCACGGATACTCGTTGCGATGTGCAGTCAATGAAGATGATTGCTTCCACCAAGCTCGCAAAGGCGCAGCGCGCTATGCAGAGCGGCAAGGAGTATGGTCTTGCTAACTCCGGTGCGTCCCGTAGACCGTACATCCGCTTCCGCATTCTCAAATCAGTCCAGAGATATTCCAGCATACTTCTTCAGAAGCCCCTGCGAAGCGCAAGCTTTTCATCGTCGTCTCCTCCGACAAGGGTCTCTGCGGTGGTATCCATTCTTCCGTGTCCAAGGCCACTCGTCGTGCCATTGCTGACACTGAAACACCTGTCGAATCCGACTCCCCCATCATGGTTATCGGTGACAAGTCCAAAATGCAACTGTCGCGTGTACTTGCCAGCAATTTGGCCATGTCCTTCAACCAAATTGGTCGTGACATCCCCACCTTTGCTGATGCTGCAGGTGTTGCCGACTTGATTGTGAAGAGCGACGTCACGTACGACGGCATTTCTATTGTTTACAACAAATTTATCTCTGCTGTCGCCTACGAGCCTGCTATCGTTGAAGTCGCGGGCGAGAAAGCATTGAAGGAGTCTGGTAAGAAATGATATAACCAAGTCTCTGTTTCGCGACTCATACGCGTCCAGCTGGTTTCCGGGCATACGAAATGGAGGATGACGTTACCAAGGACCTCGCCGAATTCTCGCTTGCAAACGCCATCTATGCTGCTCTTGTCGAGGCCCACGCATGCGAGCAGAGTGCCCGGTACGTTTCATAAGGCAAATTTTCCCATCCTCTCGCTCAATATTTTTGGATACAGTCGCAACGCCATGGACAATGCATCAAAAAATGCAAAAGACATGATTGACCGGCTAACGATGCAATACAACCGTGGTCGCCAAGCCGCCATTACCAACGAGCTGGTCGACATCATTACCGGTACACTGAGTTTCTTCCTCAATATGATGCATTTACTCACGGTGAATTTACAGGTGCCAGTGCACTGTAAGCGGGTGCCGTGGTTGTTTTATATACACCAAGTCATTACCCCTGTCTACATCGATAGTGAGACAAACTTGGATTTTTCTGCTCTGAACTTACGTGTAAGTGATCAATGTGAGATGCACAGCAAACCCAGGAGGGCAAAGGTAATATGACGGATGGGTTTGTTCATGACTATACGAATGCCTGTGTCTTGAGACAATTTTGAGCCACTTACCTTGGCTCAGTGCCTGTTCTGTTGTCATGTATTATCACGACTGTTGGGTCATGAGGCAGATATTCCAAGGGCTTCCTCGGGTCACATGTGAGTACACACGTAGGTATTTCTAACAGAGACCCTTCGTTGGTTCGACAATGGTTCTACCATTGGTTATATGTATTGTCGGGTGATGCAGGAGATAACGTTAAGACACGAAAATGTGGTCGCGCTACGTTCACAATGGAGTGGATATGGTCAAGATATAATACAACAGTGACAGCAATGGCCCCGCATTCATAAAACACATAATGAGCCGTAAAACCATTAATGCTTGCATTGTTTTGACTTCTTATCTATCTTGTCTGGGTACAACTGTTTGTTCGGCATTAGCACCAAGCTCCTGCAACGCGGCTCTGACTCACCTTTCCAGGGTTAAACAGACCCAGCGGGTCAAGGGTCCTTTTCACAGATCGCATTAACTCCACTGTTCCCTCGCCGAGTTCTTCGTAAAGATATTCCCGCTTCCCAATCCCAATCCCGTGTTCGCCAGTGCCTGTAGACGTAAGATCATCACCTGAGCTCCAAAACTCGTGCATGTACTTAGAAGCGAAGACGTACAAGTGCCTTCAAGCTTTATCGCACGCTCCACCATCATATGCACAGCTTCGCGAACGGTCTCGAGCTCTTTGTCATTACGGAAGAGAAGCAGGCTGTGGAAATTGCCTAAATGTTATGTCGTGAGAGAGGCGAGAGAGTGGGAAGGGTGCGGGTACTGACCGTCGCCGGCGTGTCCTACAACTATTGATACAATGCCTAGTCGTTCCAAGTCTTTCTTAGTTTCATACACAAGCTGCGGTAGTTTCGAAATTGGCACGCTACAACAAGAAAGCATGAGCCACGTCCAAACCTGCAGTGGCTTGGGCTTACCAAACATCAGTGCTCCACCCCCGACTCCCTTCCAGGAGGGCCAAACCAGAAAAAAGTGCATTTTTCCTGTCTGCCCATAAGTCATACGCTTCCTTCTCGGTACGCGCCAGTTCAAAACCAGTGCCACCGTGCTTCTGCACAATTTCCTTCACGATCTTAGCGGTCTCCGCGATCGAAGCAGACGTTGGACCTTGGAATTTGAAGAAAATGGAGTCCTGTTCAGGGTATTTGCGCTGAGAAGCACCAAACAAATTCACAGAGCGCATGAATTCGGAGTCGCAGAGTTCGGCACATTCTGGATCTTGGGTGAGAACGTTGCTTTATCTGGAAGGGGGTGACCTACGGATGCCAACACCACGGTTGAGCACATCGATGACGGCCTCCGTTGCGCGTTTCACATCAGGGAAGTGCACGACGGCGACTGTTGTTGGGAGGACAGGAGCTAACCGGATGGTGACTAGAGAAGTGTCAACAGCAATCGACAAAAGTAACATACGTGATATCACCTTCTGTGATGATACCAAGAGTGCCCTCGGCACCAATGAACAACTTCGTGGTGTCGAACCCAGCTGAAGATTTCCGAGCACGTTGGCGAGTTTTGATAACTTCTCCAGAAGGAAGAACAACCGTCTATGGGGATACCCAATCAGCCAACTCGAATATCGTCAAGAGAATCGATCCATACCGCGTTCAAGAACCATTCGCCTTTCGCAGTACCGTAGCGGACGGCATTCGCTGCCGAGGCCAACGCGTAAACATTCGTACCACCGATTTAAGACAATCGGATAGTACGTACTGCCTGAACAACCAGTACTCATCATGCCACCGATGGTTGCGCCTGGGCCGGGATCCAACTAAGCAACAAATTGTCAAATAACGATATAATGCCAAATGCCCGACCGTACGGGAAAGAATAATGGTATGCCTTCCAAGAATGTAAGTAACATGACGAGGATTGATTTGTGGTCTTACCTTTATTCCGCAAAATCTCGTTGACTTCCATCCATCCGACACCGGGTTGACAAACGAGGTCCGAGTCTGCTTCTATTTTGAGAAAATATGGAATGGTTCAGCGACGCTAAGAAAGATGTGTGACACACTGACCATGAATTTCGATAATCTTGTTCATGCCGGACATATCAACACAAATGCCACCGACAGGGCTCTGGAGGGGGACGACCGTCGTCAGCACAAGTGGCTTTGAAGAGCAATAGACTTACACCACGATAGCTTCCCTCTAAACTTGTACCACCAGAGAAAGGCGTGACGGGCATACGGTACTTGACGGCAGTCTTGACAATTTTGACTACATCTTCTGTACTCCTTGGAAATACGACGACAGTATGCGGTGCATCTGGAAGGCTGACATGAGGAGAGGAATTCGAAACTCGGCTGAACGGAAGTCCTCACTTGGGTGATAGTCATTCTCCGAGTATCCGTGAATGCGAAGGTCCTCCGGATGGGTGGAGACAACGTCGTCTGAGTCGAATAAAGCACGAAGCTCCTTGATAGCCTGTTCAAAGTCCTTCGGAGTGCCATATGTGGGTTCCGCCTCCTCCTGGGCCTGAGATGTCAGAGAAGGCTTTCCAAAAGCGCTGAGGGAATATCCGATAAGTCCGCTGGCGATAGAGCCAATGATGATTGGGGACCAAGAACGTGTACTCCTCAAGGGCACACTAGAGCTCTGTCGACGGGCGAAGGTCAGTGCATGTTGCTTGACGGATCTGGAACGAGCCAAGCTTGTCCACAGGCCGGTGGAAGACTGCAGCCGCTGGAAGCAGTTGGCTGGGAACATGTGAGAGGAAGTATATACAGCGGTACCCTATGGGCTGCAAAGATCCAACGATCTTGAAATTCGTGAAGAACAACGTTGGAAGGGTGGGGAAATCAGAACTGCTTCGGCCAGCACATAAGACCTAGGGGACGGGAATTAGACCACTATAATTAGGCGATTCAGTAGATTGCATATTGGATCGCCTGGGAAGTGCAGGCGCCTGATTAGCACGCTGAGATCAAACATGTCTCTGTTCAGAAACATGATGCTACAACGTGGTGTAGGCCAAACTGCGGCTACACGGACATCTGTTCATCACGTGAAGGGCACTTCGATGGAACGGTGCACGCGCGTGCGGATAACATGTCTGGATAGTTGAAAATCGGAATAAGTACGGAAGACTCTCTGGGAAAGTAGTCGTCGCGTAGGAAGAAACGAGCGACGTTGGACCGAAGACTAGCCACGGACCAATCGAGTGACATAGCTGTCAAACCCCTTCTTTCTACTTGAGTAGTCTAGAGCGGTCATAGTACAACTAGACGCGCATTTGGCAATACAAGCCATTTCAAAGTTTGTCGCCGACAGAACCCCAGGAGGACAATAACAATCGAGCAGCGCACCAGAGACATTTTCTCCCTGCACAAATTCTGTCACTTGGGTGGGAGCATGAGGTGCAAAACTTACGGAGCTCATGATGGTGCATGATGTTAAGCTCTTCAACTTCAATTTGACATCTAAGTTCTATGTAGATCGCAATGTCACAAATGCTTACACCATGAAAGAATCATCAAATTGACCAGATCTTATCTTATCTCCGTTGGGCGACGCCTGCTAGAGTACTGTCAGTCAAGATTCGTTTATCAGGCGATATCATTTTTGACATCATATTCAACGTACACATATCGCATCCAGAGCTGATCATGACCTATATCCACGCTCCAACTTCCTATCTTCCACCGTTCTTTACATCTTGCATGCACGCCGCCGTCGCAATGTAAGATGTCTTGCAAGACTTGAAAGAGTTTTACTTCCCCGCCAAACCATTTCCTGCGAATAGGATGTCGTCAATAAATGCTGCACCTGCGCTGAAGCAGAACATCTCTAACACGGTACACGTGCTTCTCACTGACCTGCTGCATCAGGTTTCTACATCGTTCGCATCTGTTTCTCCCTGGCTGAAAATATACTACGCATAGAGCATAGGAATTGTTCAGGATGGCTGTTGCGAGGCATACAACATCGTCAGATGCCACGAGATATCCGTATGTAAACTTGAAGGACCAACATTGCAACACCCGTTGTAAACTGCGGCTCGACGCCAATGTCCTTGCCATCCATGTCATCCGCCTTTGCAATCTCGATCGTTGATACAATTGACACGATAGAGGCCCGAGCTGTTTGCGAAGAAACGACCAGCGCAAAATCTCTTTGAGGTGTTGTTAGTTGCATTTTCAAACCCAAGAAGACATCGTGAACCTTCCAAAGCCAAAACTGGAATGACTGTACAATGGTTCATCTTTCAGCTTTCTGTCCAGTAAAATGACGATTGGGATCAAAATGCGACGGATTGGATGTTTTTCCTCATCATGACCCATGGCCCTATGGAAGGTATTAGCAACTACAATGGCCATAAGGGTAAGACGACGACGATACGTACCATGCATTCAACAACACCACGGAACCTAACAATTTTTTAGAGAAATATGATCAGGAGCTTGAGGCACAGGTAGTCAAACACTATAAACATCATCGCACGAGGTTGCACATGTTATGGAAGGCCTGCAGCACGTGTCAGATTGACTTCAACATCTCCCCTGAGGCTTACCAAGAGGTGCAGAAGGCTTCCATCTGAGAAGTTCACGACAGATAGCCTTGATGTACGGCAGTGACACTATCCTTGAAAGTGGGATTTTTGTCGCGCCCACACGCTGCGTCGATTGTTGCTCTAGCACGACTCTGGACTTGCGAGTAAAGAAGTATCACCGATAGGAATACATGAAGAGATGATGATGTCTGCAATTTCCATCTGTAAGAAAGCTTAGGGATAACATGACGCCTCACCAATGTATGTGGTTGCAGCAACATCCTTCATCAACTGTTCATGTGCACGAACTTGACTTTCGTCACCCTGGGTCAGGAAGTCTGATACCATAGATGGACGTGCTACACCCTCTGCCTGGCAGAGAAACCAGCAAACCATTATCGTAAGAGTTGAGGTATCTCTGAAATGCTCACCAATTGTTTTTTCATATATTCCAAGGGTGTCCCTTATCATACTCTTTCAGGAGATAGGACTTGATTAACGATCTGAATGACCCTATGAATAGAGGTTACGGAGGGATCATCCCTTGGCCTGGTCTCGTATCCATACGCGACTGCCAAAATGAGGGACGAAGCAGATCTGTTTCATATTAGAATCGGAGTAAACACAGGGAATCGTAGTTTGGGACCAACGTGTTGAGGTGCCGTTCCATTTCCTTGGGGGGATCCAAAAGATTAACGATCTCATGAGCCTTGCGAAGATACAAATCCTGGTACGAGTTCGATGCTTCGACGCGGAGTACCTGATGAATTTTTTGCGGTGCGTATGGAATGTATCACCGTGTGGCAGGAGCCCATTTCATACGACATTCCAACACTGTCCTCGGTCGGTCAAGGTGTTGGTTGAAAGACGTAGCAATGAAAGGACAATCAGAATATAACGCCGAGCGTCAATCTACAATGGTCCTGGCAACTTTCTCGGAGTTCATGATGATGAAGTGCCGACCAAAAAGACGCAAGTATACAATATCACTTGGGATTTGAGACTGAGCCACAGAGCATCAGGATGGCAAAGGCGGATCAACCAACCATATTGCTTTCCCCACTTGGCATAAGATAGTCAAGGACGAGCTGCATCAATGTCGAGGGCATTTCCTACGAAAGGAAGCAAGCGCAGTCCGTGTGGGAGTGTCATACCATTCGCCTTTTGTCATGTTGTACGTTCTGCAACTTGTGACTGCGCAGCCGATAGCTGAGAAAATGATATAGCTTTCGACCATGATGGGGATGATGATGGAATGCAGGTCCCAACAGGCACATCTCTTATCTCTTCGTTACAACATTGGTAGGGTCGTGGGGTGCCCTGTTACCGTTCCGACGTACTTCGGCTCTTAAGTCTCGAGAAGAACATGACAGGTATGTGCATTACCTCACTTACAGCAGAGGTTGAGACCTCCAAATGATGATAGAAGAGACGGTGGCAAGGATGGTGGCGACACCGTGTGCGAATCTTTGTTGAATGATCACAGTCCTTTAAGCTTCAAGAACGTAATACTCCATATGCGGCTGCCTAACCTAAACAATTGCATATGAATTTTCAGTTCGTGGGTCAGATACAGGGAGACGCACGAAAGAGGTAAATCTTTGCAGCAAGAATGGGCTTGTGAGGGATGAGTACCGCACAAGTTGTGCGGTCACAACCGTGACGGCAGCTCGCGATGGTGCCCCAGGAAGAGCACCGTTGGCTCCCAGCATCCACCTCTCGCCCTCACGTAGATCAGCGGCGGTTCGCAGCTGCCGGAAATTCGAAAAGTTGGTTAAAAGTTGGTGCATCGTCCTGCTATATGCAAGAAGCATGGCTCGAACTCTACGAACATCAAGTCAAACGTGGTCATAGGACGCGCTGGAGCCGCGAAAAATCAATAGTAGGTTTTAAGACGGGTATGTAATATACATCTATATCAAACGACCTTGACGAAAATCAGTCAAGTTCTCTCCAACATGTTGCAGAGCTACACACCTTTGGTGCTAAGCTGACAATCTTCCCCCAACCTTTCATGCGCAAGTCAGCGCTCACAACGCCACCAATACGGGTCCCCAGCATCTCCCTCTTGTTATTCAAAAGGACTGCCGCATTATCATCGAACCTGATGAAACGTCCGTCTGGTCTTCGAACTGACTTCTTGGTCCGCACGATTACTGCTCGGCGTACATCTCCACGTCGGACTTTGACCGCGGTGGTAGATGCCTGAGTTGCTGCTGACACTGGGCGCGCGCGTTTGACGACACAAACTATTTCATCACCGACAGAGCCCCAGCCGTTATTGACCTTCTGTTTGAGGACATTGACGCACTCGATGAGTAGTGCGCCGGAGTTGTCTATTACCTGGATGAATGTTGTGAGCTGAGTGAGGACATACAAAACTTCACTGACATTAAGTGTAGACTTGAGCCCAATCATCACCCTCAAATGACAAACGAAAAAGTCGCGAGAATTGAAAGAAGAATGTGGGACTGGTAGTGTGACCGTCGTGTGGTGTGTGGGAATTTATATACATATATGTATTCGATAACCCTTAGGTGTGGGGTGTTAGTACACTGTCATTATGTTCCTCAACTGCGTATTGTAAGCTTCCAGTCTTGAGAAATCGGCGTTTACAAGGTCAGCGATCTTAACGCTAGTACTAGTTGTGTGAGGCTCACCCAAGTACGCGTGTTGCATTCGGTGTTTCCTGGACCAAAGTCCATTTGGTCGGGCATACCGTACGTTTATGGAGATGTATTTTCCACGCGAAGTAGGTACCGATGAAGGACTGCCATGGTCGTGAACTCAAACTCCACTCGCTGTCTTTCTTTCTCCCTCCATCATCTCCCCACATAATACGTCAGTTTTCGATCAAGAATGCCTGCCTCGCGTCGCGGAAGTGGTAGCTTCACGCTAACTACAGGTCAGACAATCGCAATCCATACCCGGACGCAAGATGAGGAAGACCTTCCCCATGCAACTAAAAAGTATGCAGTATCACGCGATAATATTTCATCCAGTCTGCTCACGTTTATTATCTTGCGAACCGCAGGACAATGGCTGACCACTTGAGAAAATACGAGAGTCTGTCAGTCACCCTATCAGGGGCTCCGACGATGGATCTACTGAATCCTCGTTGCACAGGTTCACACTCACCCCGCAGAGGATGCGCATGATTGTCGAGGCCTTTACCGAGACGCTTGAACTTGGCCTGAACAAACCCAACCAGATTGTAGTGCGTATGTACTCCCACACGTCAATACCGAATGAGATCACCTTGCGTTTGTTGTTCCAACTCCATTGATTGCAGTTGGTCATGAGATGAGACGATTCAATCACTGCATCTCGCGATGCTGGTGATTCTTGATGCTCTTCACATTTGTTTTATGGGGAATTTCCTACTCTGTGCTGAATTAGTACTTGTAGCCTATGATTCCGACATTCGTGTTTGGATGGCCAACAGGTCAGGAGAAAGGAGATTTCCTTGCTCTTGATCTTGGTGAGTGATTTGCCATTTATGCCATGTTTCCATGCTCTAAATATACACATGCGAATGCATTTCGTCATATATAGGTGGAACGAATCTGCGTGTTTGTCTTGTGACCCTTCAGGGAGAGGGAAAATTCGAGATTTCCCAAACCAAATATCGTTTGACTGAGGAGCAAAAGCAAGAAGATGGCCAGAAATTGTTTGATTTCTGCGCTGAATGCCTAAACACCTTTGTTGAAACCAACACGGGCGAGGGCGAGGGCCAACTGAAGCCTGGTCAATCCCTACCGCTTGGCTTTACCGTAAGTCATAGCCTAGCCTAACGTCATCATGCTGACTATGAAGTGTTCAGTTTTCCTACCCTTGCTCGTAAGCGCATGATGCAATTGTCAGTATGTGCAAGATCGATTTGGTTTCGGTATACAGGCAGGAACGCATTGACCACGGCGAGCTCATCCGCTGGACCAAGGGTTTTGGAGCGGGAAACACGGAGGGCAGGGACGTTGCGGAGATGTTCAAGAAGTCCCTCGAGAAATACGTACGTTCTGTCAAGCCCAAGTTTCTATCCACACTGACTCGCAGACGAGCAGCAATTGCCCATCAAACTAACCGCTCTTATCAATGATACAACTGGCACATTGATCGCATCACACTATGTGAATCCTAAGACGAAGATCGCGGTTATCTTCGGAACTGGTTGTAATGCGGCTTACATGGAGCACGTCAAGGACATCCCCAAAATAGGGCATTTGGGTATCGATTCTGGAGCTGAGATGGGGATTAATTGTGAATGGGTCTGTCGGCTTTTTTCCCGATCCCAGCACCAGATTGACGGGCATGACAGGGTGCCTTTGATTCATTTGAACACGAACATCTGCCGCGAACGAAATACGACACAATCGTTGATGATACTTCAAATAAGCCTGGGGAACAGGCATTCGAAGTGAGTACCTCCGTGCTATGTTACATCATTAGCGTGACATCTCAACCATCCAGAAACTCATTTCTGGCCGGTATTTGGGCGAGATTCTTAGACTGGTTATTTGTGAACTCATCGACGAAGGTGTACTTTTCCTCGGACAAAACACTTACAAACTCGAGAAACCCTACTGTTTTGACACCGCATTCTTGTCTCTGATGGAGAGGTATCATATTTCCCGTCTTATATCAAATGCACAGAAGCTCATCGTCGTATTCTTAGCGACCCAACAGACGAACTTCTTATGGTTATCGGAATCTTCACACATTTCTTTGCGCTTGAGACAACACTCGCGGAACGGCAGTTCTTCCGGGCTCTTGCAAAACTCATTGGAAGGCGTGCGGCTCGGTTGAGTGCTTGTGGCATTGCCGCAATCGTCAGCAAGATGGGTTATCTCGAGGAAGGCTGCTCTGTCGGGGCCGATGGATCGTTGTACAACGTAAACCCCCTTTTTGTCTGCTTGCCACAGGATGTTTACCCATCTGCAGAAATACCCCGGGTTCGCTGATCGCGTGCATGAAGGTTTGCAGGACATTTTCGGCGATAAGGGACGGTGAGCAGTTCTTGTTTGATATCCTCTTTCTCTACCGATCTGAGTGCCATGTAATCACAGCAACATTGTCACACACCATGCCGAGGACGGCAGCGGTGTGGGTAGTGCGATTATTGCAGGTCAGTGTCGTGATCTGTTATCGTATCAGTTTCTCCGTAAACTTATGCTCATGTCATTTTTTAGCCATGACGAAGGACAGGAAGGATGCTGGATTGTACCTTAATGTCTGATCATACTATTACGGTCATAAGAGGGGAAACACGGAAGTCTATGCGTATATGTACTTTGTTAACTGCCGTCGCCATTAGAGTTTGGGTTCTTGATTTTTTTTGTAAACGTCCCGTATGGGCAATGGACTACCTAAGTCGGCAGTCGTTTTTGCTGTGTCAAAAAAACTCTTCCATTATGTCGAAGACGCCCCGAATTAGAGTGGAGTGGGGGGAGAGTGGGTATACAAGATGCTAACTATGAACTCCAAGACAACCAGATCTTGTGAAAGCGTTGCGACGAAAGCATTGTCAAGATAGCGTAACTGCACGTATAATTTAGGCCACCCCCGCGGGTCTCATACCGCTCTGCCAAAAGGATCGTGATTCGCGTGAGCTTCGGTAGGCTCCATCGGGTGTGACGACTTGGGAGAGCGTATTGAGTCGTCGCGGGTGATTTCTTGGTGAAAGGAAATCTCAACATTCAATGGAGCGGACGGGGGCGAGGGCTTGGGGAAGTCCGACGGCCGCCGCAACCGGATGGCGCTTTCTTCCATTAGGGTGGTGGAGTGATTCGTCCAGGCCTTGCCCTCTGAGACGCGGTAGATAATAAGGAGCGGGGCAATGACCTAGAATATACACGTGAATCATAACTCGTTCCGACTTCTGCGGACACCTACCTGCGCCTCGCCCAGTAATTGCATGAATGCATATGAGATCGGGTTGTTGAGGGTATACGGTATGAGGTAAAGGAGCGAGCATATCGAGTAGATGGCGGCGGATTCGATAATGATGGATGCGAAACTGGCGTAGATCGCGCCGTGGCCTAAGCCTAGGACTCTGGATATTCGGCGACGGTGGTATAGGAGGCGCAGGACAGTGAGGAGGCTGATGAAGATATTGATAACGAGGGAGAAGCAGAGATATGGAAAGAGCAAGCTGAAGGACATCCAACCGCTTTCGGATTGTGCTGGTGTTGAGACAATGACTAGCCAGAGAGTTCCAGTGACTGTGAGAAGGGTCAGGGTGGATTGCGAACGTCAGATGTAAGTTTGACACATACCGAGAGCTCCGAGGAACAGGGTAGATCCAAGTCCAACGATAACGTAGTAGATTCTGGTATTTTTGTACACTACCGTACACCGCCAGATCTATGGTGCGTGGTCAAATGATAGTGATGGGGGATACAATTGGACACTTACCATCAATAAGTCTGCACACCAATCCGAAACCACGAAAGCAGTGTTAAGTGGAGGTGAGGAGGTCGCCTCCTCGTATGCACCAGGACCTGGGCAAACGATAAGTACGAGATGCAATCTATTTCAAAGGTTGCAAATACCTCCGGGATATAAACGATTGTCGATGAATCCCATCTGCGTTATCTGCGAGTTGAACGCCACATATATCGTACCAACCACAAAGAGGAAAGCGACATAGAATAAAAAGAATCTGTTTTTCTTGTAGCCAGTGCCATGGGATTGAGCGCGGGGCCAGAGGGAGCGCCAACACATGGCAGACAAGACGATCACCACGCCGTAAAGGACGCCAGTAACGATAGCGCCCTGTAGCCATGCGCCCTCAGCATAGATCTGGTCATTGGATTCATCAGGGCGGTAAGACATAGCAGCAGAGTGCCGATCTAAAAAATGAGGCTATATGCTGCTTTTTGAGAGCCTGACCTTTTTGGAATAGCAGTACACGGCTGTACAACGCATATCAACCGCATCACTTTAATCACGGCGTGATTGCTGATAGGCTAGCCCTGCCCGTTGTGCTGGCACATGAATCCTTCTTTGTTTATTCTATTTTTCGGAGGTTGCGCTCGTTGGTGTTCGCTGACGGCAGTGACGGCAAAGTCGTGGGATATGAACATTGTGCAGCCCGACGAATCGCCATTTTGACGGAGCTTGACAGAGCTTAACCTGTATATGTGCAACTGGAGGGAAGAAATTCGGATAAAACCCGCATAGCGTGAGTAAATGGAATGACCGTGAGTTGCCGTGAGTGGAGGGCGCTGAGACTGTGACACGGCAGCGCCCATCGGTACTAGGCCAACCTACTGTCCTAGTAGCTGGGATTCTAAAGGAGGATGGCATAAAGCGCCATGGATTCCGGAGCGTTGCCCTCCGACTCCAATAAAAGGAATCGCTGTCGGTCTTCCTTCTATAGGTCTGAAGGCCAGGTACCCCCAGAGTGCGTGTCACCAGCTAAGGTTTGAACTTGAATGGGAACATAGTTTTGTGAATTGTGGAGTAGTACGTTCTGGGGAGTCGGTTGATGCGCAGAATGTACCAGTCATTTCGTGACCAAAAGGTGTAACCGCGGCAGCAAATGATGGATCCAGATTAGTACTTGCGCGGCATGACCCATCAAATCAACGTTAACGTATAGTACCCTCGTAGCGGGTGTTGGCGCCTGTCAGGAACTTAGACTCAGATGAGGCTATTCGTATCAATATATATGTAGCTGCCTTGGGTGAGAAGAAATACTGTCTTGCGTATTCCATCAAACATGCATAGTGACAGTTCTTATGTAGAAAGACGTCAACTGTCATGATAGTATTGGGAGCACCACAAGCCCTTTTATTTCACTAACAACGTATCATCTGCGGCCGTGTCACAACGGGTTGATTAGGGGGATGTAGGATAGTAGTTTCGTCGCCGGTGGAATTGATCCGCATTAAACCAGTGACTGTTGCGTAAAAAACTGTCAAAAGCCGGCTGATGGATTACGAGTTGCTGTCTTTCCGCTTGGAGTTGAATGTGTGAGTACTAGTAGAGTTGGGGCTAGGTTGGGTCACCAGATATCCGCGAATGGCTACGGGCTGCATGTCAGAAAGTCATCGGCAAATACCGTCGTAAACTCTCGCGTTGAGATCTCGGCCGGAAGTTCCTCGGGCGACTGCATCAGACGAATGTCAGCGATGACCAACAAATCGGCAAATGCTGGCGAAATCCGTCTGGCAGGTAGTGGACTAGCATTGACCGCGCGATTCGTACCGGTCCCCGCCCCTGTATCGTGATTGGAACACTGACATACTGGCGTTGATCGTACCGGTCCCTGCTTCTGCATCGTGATTGGAATGATTGAGATACTGGCGTGGTTGGTTGGTACGGAATCGGTGATGAGTCTAGGAATTTGGAAATGCCAGCAGTGGCTCAGCAGTAATCAAGAAGGAAAGACTAGAGGAGACTAGCCCAGCAGGCACCCAGTCAAGATCGATTCGTCTCTACAATTTGTTTCTCTTCGAAAAGTCGGGAACAGTATCAAGATCGTGATACACATGGAGGGATTGATCATCGATTGTGCGTTTTAGTACTTGAGGAATGGATGTGCACGTCGGCCGCTGCATCCGGCACAGGAACAAGATGTAGGAATTTCACTAAAACGTAGCAGAGACGAAGGCACCGGAAGGACGGTCCACGCGTAGATATATGAATCAGTTGGTTCTGACACTGGAGACTATATGTCAACGCACGAGGGGAACGACATTCATGCAGATGACACAAAAGGTACATCACGCGCGAACGAATGATATCGCACAACGAAGAAATTTTCGCCGGGACTGTGATAAGTAGAGATCTGAAAGGATTGCCAACGGACATGCCTCCACGCTTCGTGGAAGTCGCGCACGCATGCCACAGTTAGTTCGGTTGAGAAGCCTTATCAGAAGCGCCTGCTGTGATCAAGAGTGAGCGATAGCCTATAGGAACCGATAGGATGAACATTGTCAAAAGAATTTCATTTTTATGCAACGACTTAACAACTTGAAACGAGCATCCGGAGTGCTATGCATCGCAGCAGCTGATCATTTTATGTAGTAATAGCTTGAACGTGCGTGATCTCATGCTACCGCGCGGCTTCCCGTATGTACGCGAAGAGACAAATCCTAAGGTTCAGACGGCATCAATGAAAGTTCTCTGACGGCTAATTAGGCCGACGTACCAATTATGTATTCGATGAGCAACGTTTGCAATAGTCGAGATAAGGCTGGCACCAGTCATGATGTGAGAAAAGGCGGGGCTGGCTCGTAATAAAGTGTCCCGTGGGTCGAGGCAAAGCTGAGGCGAGCGGACATTGCCGCGACGATCTGAAACATCTGATGATCAGTTTTGAAATAGCCCAAGGGAACATGCCATTGTCAAGCACTTCCTGGCTTCGAGCATAAACGTAAAAGTGAGCTTGAGCAGATTGGCGCCATAATAGTAGTCAAAGTTAATTCGATACCTTCGCGAAGCTCTGGGAGTGGACTACGGCACCATGATGATCTATGTCGTCGCTGGCTATGAGAGTAAGGTAGTGCCACTGTGCCAAGGGTGGAGCTAAAGCCTGGAACGATGGCGATGGAGCAGTCGTTGACCGCAACTGCGGATTAGGTAGGAAATATTAATGTAGTCTAGTCCAGGCTTGTTTGCAATGCCGTGGCTGCTGTGAGACAAAATCTTGATCGTGTCACTTTCCCCGCATATTTATTACACTTGGTAACCAAACTGTTTAAATATCTTTTCTCTCTGCCCCCCTTTATAATCAACCTCGTCCACCTTTATTTTTCTTCACACCCCTTACTAGTTCAGAAGTTCTTATGATCTTGCTATGAAGATACCGAGAAGCCCTGCGTCTCTACGAATCGTTAGGCCTGTTACCCCCGTCCTCAAATCCACAAATGTTTCTCGACAGTTAGCTACCGCAGTCATAACCCCCCCTTCCTACCTCTCTCTACCACCCCCTGGTCCACCCCACCCTCTTATTCCTGGCCCGCCTGGTAAGTAAAGAGCCATTTTCGCCGTCATTTTTACTAATTTGTCCTCAGTTGTCACCTCTTTGGGAGCCGAATACAACGAGAATCTCTTCCGGTACACCTCTGGCAGGTGGTTGTACAACGAACCCCAGCAGATGGCTCAGCGTTACATCAAGTTTGATGTCGCTGCTCTCTATCGTGTCATTGCCTCTGTCTGCTCTTCCCCTGTAGTGTCTATGGAGAAAAAGGAGGGTCTGTTTAACAAGACCTTGATGGTCACTCTCGCAAATGGTCAAAAAGTTGCTGCTCGCATTAAGGCAAGGCATATTTCATCTACACGGCGCTATTCATACTGATCTCCATTCATAGAATCCAATTGCCGGTCCAGACCATCTCATGACTTCCAGCGAGGTTGCAACCATGGATTTCGTCCGCCACAACCTCGGAATTCCCGTGCCTAAGATCCTTGCCTGGAGTTCTCACGCCGCCAATAATGGCGTCGGAGCGGAATACATCATCATGGAGTCCGCTCCGGGCGTCCAGCTTAGCACCGTCTGGCACACCATGGACTCACGCCAGAAAAAGAACGTCGTCAATTCGCTTGTAGCACTCGAGCAGAACATGCTGAACGCAAAGTTTGCCCAGTATGGTAGCTTGTACTACAGGGATGATATTCCCGAGTCGAAGCGAGCTCCTAGCCTGTATGCCCATGGGTCACGTAGGTTCGGTTCTGAGGACAAGTTCTGCATAGGTCCCATAGCCCATCGCAACTTCTATGAAGATGAACGCGCAACTATGGACCTTGACAGAGGACCGTGTGCGTATCTCTGACACTCTGTAATTGTAGCATGTTGCTAATGCTTGTCAAGGGTCATCGCCGGAGGACTACCTTCGCTCCCTCGCCTTGCGCGAGGAGGCATGGATATCACGCTTTGCGAAGCCCAACATTCATGATGACCCTTTCCGTAATGTCTCAGGTCCTCAGCTCAAGGAAGAGCATCTACAGTGCTTGGAACAGTATCGCTCAATTGTTCCCGCCCTCGTGCCGACCTCACGAAAGGTCCTTTCATCTAACCTGTGGCATCCTGACCTCAACCCTGGCAATATCTTTGTATCCGATGACCAGGAGCGACGTGTGGTTAGCATCATTGACTGGCAAGGCTGTTGGGCTGGTCCGGCGTACCTCCAAATGACGAGTCCATCCTTCCTGGCTTGCGGTGGCGCTGGACTTGATTCGGGCCTCGATTTCCCTAAACTTCCTCCCGAGTACGACGTCATGAGTCAGGACACCAAGGCTATGATGCGCGAAGATCACAAATCACAGATCCTTTACAAGCTCTATGAAATTAAACAGCTCTACCCTTATCGTATTAGCGATCGTGAGGCGCGAACAATGCCTGTCCGCGCAGCAGGCCGGACATGGAAAGACGGCATTCTTCCAATGCGCCTCGCGCTGCTTGACATCTTCAGCCGGTGGGCAGAACTCTCTCGTAGTGACGAGCCTTGCCCACTGCGCTTCACGCGGGAGGAAGTACAAGAGTTGAAGCGTCAACGAGACCGGTATGTAGATTGGCATGACTTCCTGGACGACGTGCGTACGACGTTCGGCATGCGGTTATATGGATGGGTGTCACCGCATGAGTACCCATCGAAGCGGGCGTTGCTTGAGGGCACGCGCAGTCGTCTTCCTGTCGCGCTCACCAGTCAGCTGGAAGAGATTCTTCCCCAGGATTGGTGGCCGTTTAGGGACACGGTCCCCCTACCCTCTGCGCCTGAGGTGCGGGTGTGAGGCGGTTTCAACATTACTTTCTTTGATTTCCCTTAGTCTCATTAGAACTACTGCTATAGTTTTTCATGGTTTTATCTTTGTTGTGTGTAGGGGACACGGACCTTCATCATTATTATTTTATGACTCATGGTTAATTAGTTTGTTGCTATTAGATGGTTTATCGTTTAGACGTTTGCTTTTGAGCTTTGGGCTATCTTTCCTTGTATTTACATTAACGTGTTTAGGGCTACTTTGCTTTGCTTGGGGTTTGAGAAATACATAGAGTACTAGTGCACCACCACCAAAAAAAGAAAAAAGGCAGAAAGGGAAACGTGACCGTGCGAATTTCTGCGTAGAGACTTCTTCACCGCTGCGGCGGCGGCGCAACTTGTTTTCACTTTCTGTTTATCGAGATTCGACAAACCACTCAGAGTCACGGTGTACTCAGTAACAGCACACTAAGATTCTCCCTTCGACAGGCCTGACTAGCCTAGGGAGACTACAGATCGACGCGGGCTGTCACGCCGTCACTGCCTACAAACGCATCAGAGAGTACTTGGGGCAACGGGTTTGTCAACGTCCGAACATCCATTATGTTCCTGATTTGTGGGAAAGCATCCTGCACATCAGTGATCATAACGAGTGTTCAAACGATTCCTGCACCCAGTGTCGCCCATCTTGTTGGCTAATCAGTTCACCCTATCGTAGGAGAAACGACGCCCATCAGGCCTTGAGGCTAAAGTTTACTGGCGATGTCTAGCCTTCCTGCTTCGCCAGGGAATGGAGCACTCGTCGCAGGAGAAACGAGACCTATCAGGCCTCCAGGGTGAACGGTTATTGGTGACGTCTGTGATACCTGCTTAGCGCTGCATAACCTTGACACTATTTGACGCTAGTAATGTATTCCACGTCCCTTCTAAAAGTTCCGTGTGTCTTATCTCACGACAAAGCTTCTGTGCATCCAGGCGGAAACACAGTTACTTAAACGACACGACTTCACATCGATGTACATGTGATGGCGCCTTCTTTCAAGGTCGATGAGATATGCCCAGTGGAACATCCTTGAACGTGATTATTCTAACATTTACGATAAGGAGTCAGGTGGCACATGTGAAGTTCAACCTGCTCATGGTTTCGAAGCTTTCTACATACGCGGAGATCACAAGATACTCCTCACTCACACCGATACATACATTTGACAGACCGGGACGGTCGGTAACTCTGGCCACCGGTCAATTGTCAATTTTAAGGTAGGTTTCAAACACTGTCGCATGCGGTCATTCAGAGCCTATTGTGATTTGTACTATCCAAAGTGATACTGCTTATCTGGATGCGAGTGCGTTGTTTGGTATATCTTATCTTTCGTTGCTCTTATATTTACTCTACTAGTTACCGTCTAACATTTGTCCCCTCATCTAATCACGCCCACTAGTGTTCCATCATGGTCAAGTCAGAAGGTTCCAGTGCAGGAGATGACAAGGAAGAGGCACGCGATGTTGCTGTATCTGACCAACGCCTCCAGGACCTGGGGTATAAGGCTGAATTCCGCCGCGAGATGTCTCTCTTTGGAGTGCTTGGGATATCGTTCTGCGCCATCGGCATTCTGACTGGAATGAGCAGCGCGTTTCAGACGGGGTTATTCTCTGGAGGCCCGGTTGGCCTGTTCTGGGGATGGAATGTGAGTTTTCGCGCTTCGGTCTGCTTGAAAACGATGCAAACTGCTGTTTAATATAGATATGCAGTTTCTTTATGTTTCTGATCGCTTTAAGTCTTGCAGAGATCTGCAGTACATAGTAAGCAAGTCGTTATACCATACCAGAGCCTACGTCTTAGGTTGTCACGTAGCCCAACAATGGGAGGACTATACTTTTGGGTTTGTAAAATGAAACCAGACGTACCCATCCTTGGCTGTGAGTCTCATCGTTCATTCTCCACGCAGTGACTCATAAATTAGTCTTCACTGGCTGGCTCTATTCCATGGCTATGGTGTTTACTGGCGCTTCCGGTAATTTGAGGTAAGTTGCTTTCGCACCATATGATCCGAAGCCTACGATTCGTCATATAGCGTCGCTCTATACCTTGCATCAATGGCAGAGGTTGGACAAGGAAGGACTTTAACGCGTGTAGAAATCACTGCGATCGCATGGGCTATGAACATATTCTCTGGCATTATCAACACCATCGGAACGAAGGCTATTGGACGAATGAGCACGTTAAATGTCTGGTGGACGCTCGGAGGGACGTTTGTGCTGGCCGTCACCCTGCTTGTGAAAGCACCTGTGAAGGTAAAATTCTTCTAACCCGCATGATTTATTTTCTTCACGCGAAACCTGATCATGTCTGATAGAATTCTCCCGATTTCGTGTTTACGAATTTTCAGAAGTAAGCCTTTCACTTTGCACAAAGAACAGAGTTAGTGACTGGCCGACTAGTTTCACCGGTTGGGAATCCAGAGGCTTTGTCGTGCTTCTCGGGTTTCTTCAGGTCAGGTTCAATTCTGTACGGATGATGCACAATCTGACCCACAGCGCTACCTTTCTATAGGCTGTATACACGCTCGAAGGATGTGAAACAGCGGCTCAAGTAGCGGAAGAAGCTGTACGCGCGGAAATTCTGGCCCCACTCGCTGTAGTAGGCAGCATTGCAGGCTCTTGGTTGATCGGTCTCGCGTACATGCTTTCACTTCTCTTCGCAGTCCAGAATATCGCGTCCGTTCAGGCCACCACATTCGCCATTCCAATTGCTCAACTCTTCTATGATGCAGTGGGGCCCCAGCTGGCGCAAATGTGTTTGGTTGTAGTAACGCTTGCCCAAGTGATGGCTGCGATTACAAATTTTACCGCAAGTTCGAGGCTGTTCTATGCGCTCGCAAGAGATAATGCGTTCCCGATGAAAAAGCAATTTTTGACCTTGAACCGATTCCAAGCGCCATACTGGGGTGTATGGACCAGTGTCTTGATAGGATGCATTATATCATGCGCCTACATTGGGTCTGCGGTTGCAGTCAGTCAACCCAGTTTCTTCAGAGATACTTTGTTCTGATAGCATTTCCGCATTCGCAGTTTAACGCCATCTTATCCTCAGCAGCCATATCGGTGATGTTGAGCTACTTGCAACCCATTGTTATTCGTGTGTTCTGGTCTGACTCGTTCGTTGTTCAAACGATGTATCCGAGCCTCGTTTGACTTGTTTGTTGGATTTAGCATTCAAGACTTTGGACCTTTTTGCCTTGGAAAATGGTCATGGCCAGTGAACTTTGCAAGTTTTTCGGTGCGTACCTTCGATATTTATCATACATAGCCATTGATTATCTGTGTAGTTCTGCGTTTTCATCTGCATTTTATTCGTCCTACCTACGGCATACCCAGTGAACGACCTCAACATGAACTACGCGATTGTTGCTGTGGGCGGTCTTTTGGTCATAATCACCATCAACTGGTTTTGGTGGGGAAGGCATAGCTTTAAAGGTCCTGTCAAAACAGTCACCTTTCAATGATATCACGAGTGCCAGAGCTGGCCTTGCGATACGACTTTTTAAATGAGAAACAAAGATATCCACATGCGCATACTACACTTCATCATGCAGGTACCTGCTGACAAGGCTGACCAGTTGACATAGTAGTTATCTATGATTGAGACACCATAAAGCAACGGTATCAGGGTAATTCCTACAGCAAGTACAATGTCGAATCAAGAATCAAGATGATCCATCATCAACAGTAAAACTGTACCACAAACCGACACGACACGAATTACACACCGATATGAATGAAAACAATTTTTTACTCCAGCAGAGTACGTAGCATGGTTGAGTGCCGAGGCCGCCTTCGTACAGTCCATAGCACCCTCCTTCAAAACATTGAACATCTTCTCATAAAACAACTTTAACGTGTTTTGCAACAGCGTCATCGACCACCCAGAGTGCCAATGACGCTCTTGAACCTTGAAGAAAACTGCAAACTAGCTGTGAGATGGACGACTTCGTCAGGAGTTTCCTCATCGCCAACAGCTGTATGACACACAAACAGGAATGCAAATTCAGCTTGGGGAGCATCATTCTCCATGGGTATCAAGCAGCGCGAGAGGTTTGTCTCTCATAGAGAAACGTGAGTTGTAAGGCTGCTCGCGGTCTTACTTGCCACGGGTGATAACAACACATTGTATTTGCCTACCAAAACACAACACAGCTAAACGACAGTGACCCACACCAAGGAATCTCTAATATGTCCCCGGCTGCGGGAACGTAGTCGGGTATACAAACGCGGGTTGTACAGGCGTATACCCGTATGGGAACTGTGGATAAACCATCCCTGGTTGCGAGTAACCCTTTTGCATCTGTGGTGGCCATCCATACAACAACGAGGCGTTGCTGGGCCCTATCCCCATCCCCATCCCCATCGGGAGGGAATCATGCCGCTTGTTATACCACGATGCTGCAGGTTTCCCGTCATCCACCGGTGAATCTGGGTGACGGCGGTGGCGGGAGGAACGGCCAGGGAAGTAGGCATCGACGATTTGCTCGCTCTCAACCCAGGGGAGTTGGTCGAGGGTGTGTAGAAAGCGCTTGATGCGCGTAGCTGGAGGAGGAGAGGGCCAGGGCGGGGGAACAGTGACATAGTCGGTCACGGTGACAGTTGTATTGGGGATGGCAGGGTGAACAGTTGATTGAGATTGCGAATGTGAATCATGATGCGAGCGTGAGTGTGAGTGTGAGTGTGAGTGTGAGTGTGGGTGTGAGTGTGAGTGTGAATGTGAATGGGATTGGGTATGAGTACGGGGAGAATGAGCATGCTCAGTGGAGGAGTGTGGGCGCGGATGTGTCTCCTGTGTTCCAGTCTGCTCGCTCGAGCGCTCATCAACTGTCGAGAGTACTTGAGGGACAGCATCTACACCGGGAGCATACACTGGCGACGATGGTGCTGGGGGAGGTGGTCTATGCGGATGAGGCTGCGGATATGCATAACGCTGTGGCGATGGTTGTGGGTGCAACTGGGACTGGGGCATGTCCATCAACTCTGCAGTTTGCGCTATTCTGGTGGGCGTGAGCGGGCGCAAATTCAAGCTCGATATGGTTGGAAATTGTGGATCATTCTCATGATGAGCACTAAGTGACGATGGGAAATCGCTCGACGGTGATGGTCGATGCGGGGACTTGCGCAAGCCGGAGAACTTGCGCAGACCTTTGACGAAGCCCCCAACCCAGCGTCGTGCACCTTTCCGCCCACCTGTATGTTGAGGAGCGTTGGAGAAATCAAAGTCAACCTCCCCATTGTCCTCCGGTAGTTCCAGCACTTCATCCTCCTCGTAATCAGGGTCCTCCACAGTCATGTATTCTCCGATCATTGGGGAGGGCATTCGCATGGCAGGCGACGGAGTACGCCGCATCATGGGCGAGGAGTGTGCCACGGGGAGTGGTTGACCCGGAAATACAGGTGTGGGGAAGTCTTCGGGGTCGAGTGGAGGTGGTTGCCATCGCTCATACGGATCATGAACTGGGGATGGAGGCTGTTGGTTAGTAGAGACCCATGATACGTCTCGCAGTCGCCTGGAACTGTCGTATCTGTTTCTGCGTACGGGGCTGGAAGAGTGCTCCCCGGGATCGACGTAGTCACGGTAGTGGGTTTCTGGATGACCGTGGTAGTCGTGATGGTATGAACTGGCCACGGACATGTGCGTTGATCACGAGAAGTCAACGATATCACTGTCAACGTGAGTCGTGACTGCGTAGAACACGATGTTGCGTTGTACGATTCAGACGTACTATGTATGTATAAGAACACGAGGCAAAGACACTGCCAGTGCAGCTGTTGCTGGCTGGCCTAAGGAAGCCAAACGCAGTACTATCTGCGCAGTTGTGATCTACGAAACAGGAGGAATGTTCAATGGGAGCAGCACGGACGTGTGGCTACGTATGGTCGATCTCCGGAATGCGATGTTCACACCTTGAAGCCCATCTCAGAGAGCCAATTCAGTTGATCTTCTGCTGCTTCTCCGAATTGACTTACAGTTCAATTATAGTAGGCCAAGGTTTACCCATTCATCCATAGATAGTGGATGACCCTGCATTGCATGTAATACTACTGTAATGATATGTCCATCTCCACCGTGACCGCGCGCGAACATGTATCCTAGGCAGACCGTCACCGAATAGAAGGAAGTGACAGCGTTCTTTCATGGTGTGACTTATACCGATGGCGGTGACATCCTCGAGCCGCCCATATGCATGGCTCAACATATGACAGAGCTTTGGGATAGCATGTGCTAGAAATCAAGTAGGCGGCTTGACGCCAACGCCAATGAGCTTCAACGGTGTCACTTCAGCACATTTACTGTACATCACTGTTCTGGCGGCTAGTGACGTCCCTCGGGCATGAACAACTCACCCCGGGTTGTATATTTTTAGCGCCGGCGGTCTTCTTTGAACTGATCTTCAAGTTGTTACTTACCTAACTATGTCTGCTGTTGCCCAGAAAATCCTTGTCGTGGGTGGAAATGGGTTCGTCGGTGAGGTTTCTGAGACGCTGATTTCGTCTGGCGATTGAATCTCATCCAGTGGCACTCTAGGTTCTGCAGTGTGCAAGGCTGCGATTGTGCGGGGCATGGGGGTCACCAGTGTTAGGTATATCTGAACTTCTTTTCTGTATGCCGAGACTATAGTGCATGTTCAGTTCGTCTGGGAAGCCTTATCGTACCCCAAAGGGCCATACCCCAGACTGGGCAGAGAAGGTACGTCAACAACCCCTGTTCAACGTGTAAAACGCTTAGAGACCACCAGGTAGAATGGCGAAAAGCCGACGCCATGAATCCTGACACATATGCTGATATTCTACCTGGCGTCAACGCGGTCGTGCACACCATAGGCACCCTCCTTGATAATACACAGCGTAATAAACAGTTCCACGACAAGGACTTCGTGGGCTTGCTGAAGTCCATTACGGGTATCACTCCGGTTGAGGCGCGCCATCTAGGAGCCTACGAGAAACTTAATCGTGATACAGGTGAGCTTCACCCGCCTTCACGTCAGCAGCGCATCATTATATGTTGTATTAGCCATCCGTATGTGTGAGGCCTTCACCGCCAGTAAACCTGCCCAAGGAATTACGCAAGTTCGCCCGTTTGTGTACGTTTCTGCGGAAGATTTTCACAGGCCTGCTATATCTGTGCGATACATAGAGACCAAACTGGAGGCCGAGGGAAAAATCGATGAAATCATGAAAGAACATCCACAGTATCGAGCGGTACACGTTCGGCCTTGTGAGAATGCATTTTCACTCATACTTGAAAGACATTAGACACTAACTTATATTCTCTAGCTATGATATACGACCCTGAGACTAGGCCGATGACTATCCCAGCCAACTTCTTTACCTTTGCGGCGTGGGTGCACGCAGGTATGCCGTCATTTGTACCGATGCCAGCATCCATCCTCCGCTGGTTCGGCACGAGGTTCCCGAAGGCGACTGAGCAGACACCTTCGGCGTTGGTATCTGTGGCCACCCTGCTGAGCGTCCCTCCAATTCGTGTCGACCACTTGGCCGAAGCTATCTGCGCTTCCCTGGATCCTGCTAAAAATATTGAGGGACCCATTGGTGTACGTGCCATGAGGGAGCTAATCGGATGGTCGAAAGGAGGGCCTACTCCGTCGGACTCCTGATCGTTTGCTGGCGGTTAACCGCTGTTTACTCTTTTATTTAAATGAAGACTTTTAGTGTGTCTAGAGTCCTATCATATTACTGATTGTCGAGCAGACTTCAATGACACAATAAAATCAATGGTTTGGGCTCCTCACAAGATGGCACCATTTCCCTGTGGTTCCTGCCTTTATTTCATGCTTGGCATCAGCGGCTCGGCCTCCAAAGCAAGCGCTCTTATCGATAGAGAGGACACAATTGTCACCAGAAATAACATGAGCCGTGGCTTGTCATATTGCGTATTGTGGGACTGATATAGTGATCAATGAAACTTTTGTAGATTGGCTATACAATGTACTAAAACATTCAGCAGACGGTGGGACACAGTCCCCTGATTTATTTATAATTTGTACAGAACTTCATATCGCTCGTACGCGTGAAATTCATTGTATCATTGCGTAATGAGGAGTGGAAAATCAAGATAACGCCGTGAGAGGGGAAAAAAAAACAGAAGTCAAAGAAGAGATTCGAGACAGGTTGTTAATCTAGCCCTGTGTCTTTATAACAAAGTCGGCCATGGCTCCGGCCCAAACCCAGAAGCCGAACCAAGCGTTGCTGAGGAGAGTAGCATCGCAGCTCTCCTTATTTTCAAAGTCAGTCCTGGTGAGGAGTCGGGCAAGGTGAAGTGCCCCCAGGGCCACACCGACAAAAAATGGGAGGCCATGTCCATTGCGAATTCCGGCGTACGAAACCAGAGAACAGACAACGACGGAAAAGATCGCGAGAATAGGCCGGATCTGATCTCCGAAGATAATCGTAGTCGAACGCACACCATATTCGGCATCTTCATCTCTGTCCTATTTGTTGGTTGATTCAGCCGAAGATCGCGGATTAAAAGAAGATCCTTACTTGACGGGCGTAAGCAGTGTCGTACACGATTGTCCAGCACGCAGCCCCAATGTAAAGGGGAATATACACGTGCCAATCAACTGCTCCAGCAACTGAAGCCGCTCCTAGAAGCGCCCCCCAATTGAAGCACATGCCTATCCGATGATATCAATAACTGCGGTCTTGGAACATTGTAAAACGTACCAAGCACTGCTTGCGGCCAGTTTGTTACACGCTTCATGGCTGGATACAACACAACCAAGCCCAAGGACGAGAGGCCAAGCCGTAAGCTTTTGAATAGGAGCAATGATGATGAGACTCGACGAAAAAGGCAAAATAAACGCACCTGTATTCATTCAACTGCATCAATAGCCAGACGCCAAGGGCAAGCTGTGGGATAAGGAAAATAAACGCCTGGAACATGGAGACATCACCCGCAGCCAAGGGTCGTGTGCGTGTTCGCGCTTAAAGTGAAAGCGTCACAAGGGACCACCACTTTACTGAATGTGAAACACTCACGAACGGCAGCGTCGACGTCCTTGTCCCACATGTCATTGATCACACACCCAGCGGCGTGGAACACTTGGGAGGCAGCAAGGAACAATCCAACATAGGTCCACACTGTCGATATCGGTGTACCGTGTGCGTAGCAGGCCATGGTGACCGACCATGCTAGAATATTTAAATCAACAAGAGACAATAAAATCACAAAAAGCTACCCACAGCATGGATAGAATAGCAAGAGTGTTCCAGCGGGGTTGTGAACTCGCGCTAGATAGAGGTAAGGACGTATGTTGGAAGGACAATAATCCACCCAAGTTTTGGCCGAAGCCGGGTGAAAATGTTGCTCGATCGCTGTTGATTTAACCTCCATGGTAGAGTGTGCAGATATGCAGATGTGGAGGGGGGGCGACGACGAGTTTTTATACCTGCATCTTTTCGCTTCAATGACAAAAAATATTTCGCATATGATATCATTTGGATGCGATTGTGATCATTCTAATCAGTGAACCAAAGAATATTCGACAGCCCTTCTGAATCAGCTCCCAGGCTTCGAGACACAGCCAAGGCCGTCGTCATCCAGGCCCCAACGTGTGTTCGCTGCCCGAATAACGATAGTGCAAGCTTCTATCTCAAGAGATCTTGAGAATCTTGTCGATGTGCCTACCGGGGTGGTATACCAAAGATAGCCACGGTAGTGGATATAAATGATTATTCTGGCCCACTTGAGAACAAAGTCCTCGCCAAGGAATTCTTGAGCCTATTACATCCTGATCAGTCGGTTTGGAATGAAAGTCTCGATGCCACTCACCACCCGAGCTCCTCCACACTGACAGAGCTCCAATTGCTAGACTAGGTACAATATCATTAAAAGTATGTAATATTTGTTAAAAGCACCGTGAGACTCAGAGACGCCAGGTGATTAGTAGTGGGGATTTCCCGGGGATGCCCATGTCGTAATTTGAACTCGTACAATATTAATGGGGGGGTGCTTAGCGGGAATGACTGTCCAGCAGAAGGGTCGACTGGTAGTATCACTTCACGACGATGACAGGATAAAATCGAAGCTTCTGTCTGTGCATATGCGTACGGCTTGGACGGCTTCGTTGTCATGAAATATCGGGCAATGCGAAGTCAGGCATTGACTCAAAGGGACCCAGATCGGCGGCAGGGCACCGATGTCGAAGCGGAATCGTCGCCTGCATATGATAGTCCCCTAGCTAGTAGACAAAACAAATATGAGGAACAGTGGATATTCCTTCTTGATTATGTTCTCACCATACCTTCATAAAAGTTCCCAGCTGCTCTCTGGCCTTACTGGATACATACAAGCCGAAGACGAAAAGACAAACGAAGAAAAGTAGAACCGAGCATGGTATGTCAATATGTCACTATCATGGGTCCTATTCGGTTGTAGTCACCACGAGTACGCCAAGACCTCTGACACTCTATATCATGTGATGTGCTACTCCCCGGTAGTGTTCAAACTTCAACTATGTACTCCGAAGGTGCAAGACCCCAACTCAGCAGGCAGCACATATACTACCTACTAGTAAGCTGCGTCCACACCATCATGGCCTCTGTTTGGATTCACAGATTTTTCGGGAAGCTGGCGCCCACCACCGTGACCGTGACGACTGTGATCTGCCAAGCGTGAATTTATTCTGGGAGGTCCAACCATTCAAATACCAAGAACTGAGGCCTGAGGAGCTAGACCCGGTGGTGAGGAGTTACACAATATAGCCCAGCCTGGATAGCCTAGTCCACGTGCTGGATCAGTTTGTGCGTGATATCCGCGGCAGGGCTGCTGTACAGTTTAAACCCTGTGCCGTTACTGCTCGTCTTCATGATCATCACTTGTACACCTGTAGTCTGGACCATGCCCGCAGAGTCACCCTGAATTCATGCACTCGTTCGGTCACGGCTCATGGAGAGTCACTAAAGTCTGACTTTCTCAAGGGAAGAGCTGCCAATAGTACGCTTCGGTAGGGACACTGAAAAGCCTTCTTCATCCACAGCTGCAAGCTGTGACAGAATCAATAAATTTCAATGTTACTGCACCAACGATGCTGCCAGTGTTACCCACGTGTATGATGGCAAGTGCAGACTACCGTCACCGTTACAAGGATGATTGATGGAGTGTCAGGCTACGGACTATGCAGGCCTGCCACTACAGAGTTGTGACTGGTCCGGATCTATCGTCCCAATTAGCTGCTCGTTGATCAGTTCATTGAGAGCTCAATTGAGGATGGTTTACGAGAACACTCCGTTCCGGGTCACAGTCCATGCCTCTCCGTTATTAGGAGCGATCGTTTCGGTGCTGTGAAACACCTCAAGTGTGGGCGTAAGAAGCAAGAGCTCGCAGCAGTGGCCGCCGTGAGTTACGCTTGTCTGCCTCTGACATACCCCACAAGACTAAGCAGCCTATATAGGCCACATAGGCCCAGGTAGGCACCGCGCTTTCTCCTAATATGATACAACTACCTTATAGCCTTAACAGGGCGACTTTGATCGCCATACGGTTGCACTGATAGGCCACTTTTCAATTTCGATTTGGGCCCACCCCCGTCGTACGACATCACACTCCTAACATGCTTCCGCCTCGTTCCAAAAAGACCCTGGTTGATGCCAAGACAGAATGTGTTGGCTTCACTTGGAGGTAGCCTGCCCAGGCTGGCGCTAATAGATGGGTATAATGCGTACGCCAACAGGTAGATACACCTCCAGCCCAGAAGACACAACCCAAGTAGACCTATGCAATCTGTTCCCTAGCATGTTATCCAGAAACACATCAAGCACGGCGGTAGGCACGCAGACTTCTTCGATCCCAGCACCAATGTGACAATTCTCACTTTTTTTCGCATTTCAATATTTATTTACTTGCAAGACGTGTCATCTTGTTTTCGTTCAGATATCGTCATGCAGCACCCTCGGGGCCATGGCCTTGGGTCGATTTTAACACCGACCTTCCACTCCGTGAGCGGTCATTGCATGAGGGCGAACATAAATGGCACGGATACCCGCAAAAGCTCTTCGGCAACTGGACTTCAATACCAGTGGAACGAAGCAAGATGTTTATCAAGTGTGCGGAAAGGGGACCGTGCGTCATACATGGCATTGACGTAATGGACAACGACGGGAAATTCAAAACACTGTGCGCGCAACGACTGGACGACGTTGCAGAGGAAGAAAATAAATTCTGGTCAAAATTACATGAGAAGGAAAGTATTGCTTTTACCCTGTTTCATCAGTGAGTGATTAACAAATAATCACAATCAGGTGGAGAACGTCCGTGTTCGGGCGTTGTTCGTGGATAACCTGACTGTACCCGTTTTGAAGATGTTGGGGACGAGGTTCGCAAGTTGCTCTGAGTCTAGCTTGATTGTTCTCCAACCACGAACGGCATTTTCCTTTTAGGTTTAACATTGAGCCATTCTTCTTCTCATCCTCCACAAACTGGATTCCTTCGCGATATCGGGAAGAGGTTCGACATGGAAAGGGGGATCGTGCGTCTAATCACTACCTTTCGGTCCAGAGATTTTTAATCCATTTTTCCGAGTAGATATCACAGTTATCCTTCCTTTCATTCGAACCACGGAGAAGCCAATTCACAGGGTTCCTTCGTCTTCTAGCTCATCAGGCGCAAGTTCGTTGCTTTTTCGACGGTTGACTGCTTCTCATCGTAACGCATACAGAAAGAAAGAACTCTATAGACGTTCTGGCACCACTTCACCTGCACGGTAATTCGCAATTGCTTTTTGCCCCAATCTTTGTCTGAGGCCGTTCATAGGCGAACATGTACTTCTCATTGACCTCATGGCAGTCCATATGATCCGTGAGAGTAATTCCTCCACAATCATAACGTATCATCCTTCGCTGCCTGGCCGCACGACCGCCGAGCGCTTGCATCAGGTTATGGAGCTCGCAGGTGGAAGTGTTTACTGGAATAAAATATTCGAGGCATCCAAAGATCCAACTTTTTTCTTCCTGGCAATTTTGTGGTACGCGCTGTATGCGTGGGATGAGGCATTTGAAGTGTTGTATTTGCGCATCAAGGAGTTGGTGTGTACGCAGTCTGTGAGTGTTGTGGTGAAGGCTCATCATCTTCAGGAGGCAATCTTGAATGAGTCCGACTTCACTCGTATGGCCGATCGGAACCACAGCCTCCACAGCCTTCAGGCTCACTTACTCCATTACCAAACCCTCCTTCATGATTTTCAGATATCTGTCGAATTCGTCAAGGACTCTCCTAACCCTGCAATGGAGCCTAGCGATAATCAAAGCACTTCAAAGGAGTTTATCGATAATCAAAACACTACAAAGGAGTTGATGGAGCGAGAATGCAAGAACCTTCTTTCTGAAATCGACAGGTTAGAAAGGAAATGTTTGATGTTCATTAGTCGATTGAAGAATGCTACGGACTTGGCATTCGCGTCTATCAATATCGAGGACAGTCGTCAGACACAGAGATTAACAGAGGCAACCCTTCGAGACTCTGCGGTGATGAAGCAGGTGCGCTGACAGCCACGTATCTACCGAGAGAGCTCATCCCTTTTGTAGATTTCATACCTGACCATGGTCTTCTTGCCCGCCAGTTTTACTGCTGTATGTCTTTGAACGTACAACATGAACAAAAGTGCTCACTGATACAACAGTCGGTCTTTGGGATGAACGTGGTCGAAATGAATCCCGGTTCCCTAGAGACAGTCGCGCGCTATGTCGAGGTGTCTTTCGTGCTGACTTTTGCCACGACGTGGGTTGTTATCGCTTTACAACCATACAGTACAATCCACAAGTCTGATGCGGGTATCTGGCGGAGGGCTGTTTGGCCTGCATTTTTTCTCTCCCATATATTTATGGCGTACTTCAGGAAGACCTCGTCGCAGGGCAATAATCCCTGCTTACATCCCATTCGGAGAGGACGTCGTTCTTCAACGTTGAGGTTCGACGACGAAGCATGAAGTGGATGAGATTAATGGTCTTGGAGGTTTCTACGGCTGGATGTCACTTCGAAAACGAGAGGCACAAGTTGCCCATATGTCACAATCCACTTGTCAATTACAATGAGGTACTGCACAAACTCTGTAGGATCATTATGTATCATATGCACATTCTACATGTCTCATTTTTCACAGTCTACGCTTGAATGACGGCAGAAGATTACCCTTCCGAATGCGAAATAGGTAGGTCAGTGTGAAAATTGCAAGAATCTTGGAAAGGTACATTTCGTGAATGCCCAATGTGAACAGAAGGGGTACGACTTACATTAAACGCAATGACGCCAAACATGATACCAACATCACGCCAGCGGTGAGAATACTCGATATTGAATCCAGAAAACATGAACTGGTCCGTCGTCTGATATGGACAGTAGAGGCAGCTCGACGTCGCATCGGGGTTTGTTAGATATCCGCCCGCGTAAGACATGAAAGGGTCCATATAATCGGCACATGTAAGTCCAGTAGGAGGAACAATGGTAACAAGTTCCGTTGACGCGCAAACAATTGCCTGTCCGCCGACCGCTAAGAAGAAGTTGAGTTTGATGCGAATGAAAAAAACATGTAGCACAAACCTTGACCGTAAAGGCCTTCAATAAGATATGTGAAAGGCGAAACCCTGTACATCCACTGCCACCAGCCTAGCTCACGGAATGGTTGCATGACACCGTTACTAGGCCATACATCAGCAAGTCGCGTCATCAACATAGAAAATTGACTTACAATATAACAACAAACGAGAAGAGCGCGCTGAATAACAACGAAGCAATAAATGCACTTGGAGCCATTGAAGCTATTGCGAGTGCGATCGTCGTGTAATAGAGCGGGAATATGACTCCATACACCAGATAGGTATATCCGGCCCGGTCATTGTCGAATCCGACCGTCCAGTACCAGCAAATAAAGAATATTGACGAGCAAAAGATATTCCAAGGTATCTCGACAAGGATTTGAGAGGTTACGAGAGCAGTCCACTTGTACATCCTGCTCTGGCGCTCGCGGACTTCATAAATTGACCGAATATCGATGTAGATCCCCTGCATCTGTTGAGAAAGGGGTACACACAAAATTGTGGCCAAGAAAATTGCCTGTGATACCAGTTAGCGAACGAAGCCACTTCATCAGATGTCGGAAGTCATACAAAGAGTTTGTTCTGTGTACCCTGAAGGGAGTCTTTCGTCTTGAAGAATGTGAAGCCGATCAATAGACCACCAGCGATATTGAGACCTAGCTTTGCCATCAAGTAGGTTGGATTCCGCCAATATGCTTGGTAGTTGCGCTGTGTAAGGGCAATGGTTTGGTGCCTCCATGAAGTGGCAAATCGGGTGCGCAGCGCTGTCTGGACAACGGGACGAGATCGACCTTCAGTATGAATGCGCCCAAGCTCATCCTCAAGCACGACAGCTTCTGGCGAAAGTTGCCAGACATTATGCCAATCAACAGATGTGTTCGCGGTTGCTCCAGCACCAATGACATCAAGCATGTATTCCGCACTGCTATAGCTTAATTCCACAAACACCTGGACGAAAAAAAGGACTTACGGGTTGGCTTCCTCGTCACAGGGTGGGGCTCCATTGCGCTCGAAATATTTCAACATCGTGGAAGATTTTTCTCCAATGTCACCGAAGTAGACGGTTTGGCCACCCTTGCGAAGGAGGAGAAGTTTGTCAAACAATTGAAAAAGCTCCCCAGAAGGTTGATGAATACTAATAAAGCTCAGAATGGGGAACACTATTGAATGTATACAACACTCACGTGCACAAGATAGCTTGTCCACTGTCAGCCAGCTCACGAAGGAATGTTATGATGCCCCAAGCCGATTGGGAATCGAGACCAGATGTAGGTTCATCAAGGAAAAGAAGAAGTTTGGGCTATTGGCACGCTAAGTTCGAACAGGGCGCTGCATCTCCAAAGATGTACATACCTTCGCGGCCAGTTCGACGGCTATTGTCGTGCGCTTTTTATGTTCAACGCCCAACGAGCCCACAACTGCGTCTGCATAGGCCTCGAGGCCACACATTTGGAGGCACTTGTCGACGCTAAATAATACCAGTCAGAATCCCCAATAATACAACGTAAAAAGGAGGACATACTGAGCCTGAATCTCCTCCATAGGGACAAATTCTGATTGTCTAAGATGAGCTGAAGAGAGAATGGCTTCCCTAACAGTGGCCTGGGGTAGATGGGTATCCGTCTGCTGACAATATCCACTGAACCAGTTTTTAGCGTTGCCCAACGACGATGCGGTTTTTTACCTACGTTTGTGCTTGGAAGTCTGAGGGGAGGGGTTGTCCATTGATGAAACGGTCGCCTGAAACGACACCAACATCGACGCGCTCGGCAAGGACGTTGAGCAGAGTAGTCTATCACAGTCTTGTCAGTCTAAAGCGACGTTGACCAGTAAGATGACGATAACCTTTCCTGCGCCCGATTCGCCCATGAGAGCAGTTATCTTTCCAGGTGCGACATAACCAGAAATGTTGTCCAACAACCTCCTCTCTGACCCCCCTGAAATTGGCACAACGTATTGCACATGGTGCCAGGTGAAGATATCGGGAAGCTCAGGTTTCTTCTTTCCTCTAGATGCATTGCTGTGTCTGGGCGCATTTTCACGAGGTGCTGATGGTCCCGCTTTTTCTTCATCTCTTCTTACATTGGCGGGCCCAACAGAACCTACACTCTTGGGCTTTTTGAAGAGAGTGACAGCAGAATCAAATGCCGATCCGGTGTTAAATTCCGTAGCGAGGAGCAACAAGAGAATGAAAGCGGCACCAAATGCACAGATAATGCCGTAATTCTGATAGAAAATAAATTAAACTGGTTATGGTCATGACTCGTCAGAAAAATAGATTGGGACGTACGCGCCAAAGATCGCTGTACTTGTAATCATACGATAGGTAAGTGAAGGCGTTACCGTCCACAGTCGACATTCCAGGCTGAGCTCCGACAGTGGTGCAGACTTGATTAGTCAGCGATATATTTTGATATGCAGGACCCTGAGGGACTAAGGTAGTGCATATCCCGTTCAAGGTGTGAAATTCGTTCATCATCAATGATTCGAACCCGAACCCGAGAGGCTGCAATAGATATTTCAGCGCGGCACTCGGAAGATAGATCGTCATCGTACATTCAAGTAAGTGATCCAGCGAAGAGCACCCGGGATGCTAAGCCGAGGAACCGTATAACCAGTGAACAACGAGAAGACCAAGACGCCAATGCCAGCGACTGATGTAGCACTAGACTCTTCTTTAAAAGCTGCAGCGACCATTCTGAAAAATCCTTTCATCGCAATCGTCATCGTGAAAACCACCAAGAAGAATACGCTGTCAGAAAGGGATGTCAGATCTGTAGAGTGAGTAATCTTGTCGACAGGAAACTACTTACAAGAACTGTGATGGTGTCCTCTGAAGGTTGACCAAGAAGTACAGGAGTACAGAGAAAACACCCTGGATGACGAACGTAATTGGTATATCGACGACCGTGTAAGCCAGACTTTCAATGAATGGATAATACATCGCTGCTTTGTGGTGACGGAGGATTATGGGACGCTGAGCAAAGAGGGCAGGTATCTCTGCCATCGCAGACATGGCGCCGAAAAACAAGGCACTATAGACTGATTAGAAACTTCATGGACAAGAAGAATGTCACCAACAAGAACAGGATGCCCCCGCGAGAGAAGTAACCAGAAGTTGCATCGGGGAGGTTATAGAAAACCGTGCCCATCACGATGGCTTGGAATATCTGTACGCTTAGGGGGCATCAACACGTTATACCAACATGAGCATATAATTGGTACGCACACAAGTTGCACCACTTGGGAGACGACATCGCCCTTGATTATCTGGACCCGGCGGACCATTACTGCCCTGACTTGCATTGGGATTGATATTGTGTAGGAATTACTCTTCGGCGCATGACGCGCATGCTCCATTACCGCACTAAGGTTGTATGCTTCCTTGCGTTCGGGTTTGCCCACATAGAGGTCGCGGTAGTTATCAACCGATTGACGGTTAGCTTTCCCTAGCGGAGACGCGAGGAAATAAGCTGCCATTTCCGCAGCTGTTCTGGGTACTGTTCCTTCGACTTCATCCCGAAAATTTCTCGCATTTGGATCCGTGACTAGGAAATCTCAGATTATGATAAGGGCCATTATAACACCACGTACCAGAAACAAGAAAATCAGACGTCGTTTGTCGGTGGTAGGGTTCATATCCCATACTCATGAAATGTTGGCGTGCCTCTTTTGCAGGCCCAAAGTAGACCATTCGGCCCTCGGAGATAACGCATACCTTGTCAAACAGGTTATACAACTGCTCGCCGGCTTGGTAAAGAGAGACAATTGTCGTAATCCGCCCGATATCGGTGCCAATGCGAAGTGCCTGAATGAACTCTAACGCTGTCGACGCATCTAGACCACGGGTCGAGCTACAAGTGACATCAGCATCTATCACAGACAACGAAGTGAGTGGTAACAAACTTGTCCCAGGAGCTGATCAAGCTCCTGCACGACAAAGCCTCTGCAATAGAAACACGCTTCTTCTCTCCACCTGATACGCCTCGTATAGCGGCGTTCCCAACAACGGTATTACGTGCGTGGTGCAGTCCGAAAATCCTGATCAAGATGTCGATAACGTCGCGATTATACTGCTCGCGGGACTGATTGGTAAAGCGCATATGTGGCGTACGGGTTTTGATTGCGAAGGATAGTGTCTGCTCAACTGTGAGGGTCGGAAAATGGACATCATCTTCGGGACAGTAGATGACATCGCCCCGATATTGATTGGCTATTTCCTCAGGGGTGAAGGAGTCGTAACATATATCACCTTCGACAGCGTGATACTCCGACGTCTGATTGGAGAGCGCTTTTAGGAACGTGCTACAGCCGGAACCAGGACGCCCCAGAACAACTGAATTGGAAGTCAATACAAAGCAACCGAATAGAACCTAGACTCACGCAACATCTCTCCTGGCATTACCACGCCTTCAAAGCCTGACAGAATGTCACGGATTTCGGGATTGCGCATTGCGGTGATATTTTTCAGGGCAGTAGAGGGATTCAATATGGAGCCCATTGTGGGCTGCAGTGTTGCACGTGCTCCAAGGCCGGCTATGCGCAAATCTTGAAACATCACGCCCAACTCACGGGCCTTAATGGAGGCTTCACCCCGTCTGTGACGCGTTAGAGCCAGTGGAAAGATAGTGGTGAATCACATACCGTCGAACGAGGTCCTTCAGAGTCTGCTCAAAATCAAAGCCATCATCACCACTACCAGATCCGCTTTCCATGGCGATAGATATAGCGGATTTACGATTATCAACCAATTTGCTTGTCGGTAAAGGGGGAGGGGGACAGTCGTCTAGCGGACGGTGGTGGGAACGAGTAGATCGTGCTGTCATCGTGCGCTCCAATTCGTGCATGCTTGCTGGATCGAAGAAGGTAAACGGCAGGCGATGTTGTTGTTCATCCTTGGACGCAGCGCCGGGGGACTGATCGCCAGCTGAACCCATTTCATGGGTTGGATCAGGGAAAACCATGATGGGTGGACGAAGAACGTGGTTACAGCTATCTTCATATCGTGCCCTCTATATAACAGGAGCGCTGATGAACTAAGCTTCTACTCGGAGAAGATGATCAATTGATTCTAGGATAAACAATCAACGACTGCGCGAAAGTGACGCATATGTACGTACTTCGGAAAACTTATCTGGAGGCCGACGACACAGGAACTTTAGTTCAACTCGATTAGAAGACAAACTTACGAAGTTAACTAGCCCTTCCCGAGACTCCTGCAAGGGGTTTCCACTAGTACTGGAGCTGCCGTGATGTCGGTCACCCATGTGATCATGCCCGAACCCATTTCCGAGCATACCCCAATTTGATTGGGTCCAAACAATAATCCTCGCAATCAGAAGGGCACCTCAGGCCTCATGTCGGTTCTCTTTCGGTTCAGTCGTTCACCGGAGCATCTGTTGACATGTCAACTGCCAATCGGGATATTGTAACTCACGAACTTCGAAGAACACTATCACCGG